CGCAAGACAAAACGCAATGGCGGCTGTATGTCGTGATCAATTTTACGCAAATAAATATGAAATTAATATGATGAATTACTACGTTTGGAACGGAATTTTATATTGGATTAGGTTATATACTTTATAACAATGGGTTTTAACGAGGTCTCACACTTATAACTTATGTATTAACTGAGATATAAGCGAATAACTTTTCAACAATAAGGTTGGTTATTTACCGGTTTTATATTATAACCAAAACCGCATTGCGGCCGCATGCGTAAACTCTCGAGTTTGTTCGAGTACAGGTGGGCGGGAGTTTTTAAAATCAAGCCATTATTACAAAACCCAACAACTATAATGTCCCAATTTTGGCGCAACATGTAACCTAAATGCTATGATGGATTTTAACGAATGATGTCGTTAAATTCAACTTAATTGTAGGAGTGCTATAGGCAAGATGATGACAGTATAAAATAATATCTATTATTTTTATAGGCGCCCATAAACTTACAAAGATAATAGTCGAGTAATACTTTACTATAACATCTTATTTAAACATTGTAGAAATGAAAATTTTGTGGTAGAAATTAATCTGATATAGAATTTAATATTAGTCACAGCACCTGAAAAGTAATTACAAGTATAGTTACAGCAATATCCAACAACCCTCATACTTTAATGAATCTGAATATTGTTGGAAAGTTTAAAGTGAAACAACAAGTAGAATATTGATATACAGCGTTGGCGTAGTCATGTTATGTGAAAATTAAATTAAATTTACTGCTACTACCCTTATTTGTGCCAAGCTTCCTCTGCACCTACTTGTATATTGGTTCTTATATAGTGACCTTCATTGAAGACTTCTTAGAACATACTAGAACGGGGCCGCACTTCACCACAAGGCCGATTAAAAACGAGTGCCTCATCAATACTAAAACAAATATGAAAGCTTGTTTTTAAAAACAACTTCATAGAGGTCGAGTGGTTTAAAATGAGAACTCGCGTTTCTTTTTTCTTTGATTAATTCCTTATCTTCCAAACTGATTAATAGTAACAACAATATTCCTACAATTTCATATAAACAATTAAATTAATACTCGATTGAAAATAATTCGTTTAATTATTTTCAATCGAGTATTAATTATCAATCCTAGCTTGTTTTGTAAAACAGTCTCTTTTTAGATGACATTTGTGTCAAAATTTCTACTTAGTATTATTTTTATATCATTCTTATATTGCTTTTAGATATTATGATATAGATTTTATATTTATGTAATGTATATTAATTAATCTTTAGACTTTTCCGTGTCTATTTTTTACAATTCGCTTTTAGTAAAACGTAATAGACTCTTTATTTTCAGTTTTCACAGGTTGTATATTATTGTATACAGTTTTCTCGTACTAGTCGGTTATCCTGTGTGAAAATTAATTTGAATTATATTTGGACAAATATATGACCTCTAATACAAGATAGTACTTTATATCTTAGATTAGAGATCGTTATTTCGTTTAATTTTCACTTAATCCATAAATATAAATAAAATTATTCTACTTATACTACTATTGATCTACTTATATTAAAAGGAGTTGTAATATCTTATTATTAATAACGTAGGTAATGGCAATTATATTAATTACGGAATAAATTACAAACACAGAACAGAATTTTAATTACATAAGTAGATAAAAATTAAAAATTTCATTGAGTTGTTTCTCATATTAATTGAAATTTATAAATGAACCCGAATATCAAATAACTGCTTACTTTCTTGCAAAACAAGAATATGAAACGCGACATTAATCTAATTATGTACTATATATATAAATACTACGATAACTTGCTAAATGAAGTATAAAATTTTCCGAATTTGTTAGCCCATGATTATTTGGGATAATTAGATGTATAAATAATAGTAGATAACACAGACAAACTTCTAAATCGCAATTTAACTAACATAGTTACAGAGTTAATTATCTGTTAATAATGCGTCCATTTAATTTCCTAATTGAGTCAATCTATTCTAGTTTCCAGAACTGAAAGTTCTCACAAGATTTTCTAAGTTACTGAATTACAAAGTTATTATTATTATTTATTTCTTCAACTTGAACTCAACCTGCTATTCCATTGTCGGGCTCTACATGCCTACGCAATACTGTAATATAATATAATATCTATTAGATATTGTTATATTAAATCGGAATTAAGACTGAATCAAATAAATCTAACAATTACAGTTAGTTTCTGCGCTGACCACGAAATACATATGTAATGTGCGCAGACCGGCTAGTCTACTTTTCCCATTCGACTTCTCTAAAGGAATTTAAAATTATCATACATATATAGTAGGATTATACATTTCCAATATAATGTTATCTGTTTGATTCGTAATCCTAAAAATTAACAACACCTTACTACATATTTCTTATACCATTTTATTCCTACTGTCTTCATGTTACTTACAAAATAATTGGATCTAAAAAAATATTTGGTACTTTAATTAACATAAAACTCATTGAACGTCGACAGTCTGTCTTGCCTGCCACAAAGTCGACATCGAACGAACAAAGGACTTCATTACGTTCGCAATTCTACAATCGGGAATCCCGTTTCCAAATAAAGTGCCGAATAATGGCGACAGAACAAATGAAAACAAATAGGAAAAAAGCTCCGGTGATAAATGGCGCGATTCGCAGACTATAACCTTTATTTTATTACTCAGAATATTTATAATGCCGCGTTTAGGATAATTGCGGCCATTTTAAAGAGCACACACAATAGGTACATATAAAAATGATGCGCTGCAAAATATGGAATAAAAATATTATATTAGTAACAAAAAAATGTCCTTTAAAGAAAGAAGATTCTGAAAGAGCATGTAAGTTTAATCTGTAAAGGAATTTGAAAGTAGAACAGAAAAATAAGAAATGATCGTTATGTGAAACAGAGAGGTGAAAACTGTGTTTTTATAAAATTAAATTATGTATTTTGTATGGATGTGGATAACTGTAAGAGTACAGAAAAACATAAACGGTGATTAGAGATAGAAAAACTATAGATCAGATCGGGAGAAATTTAATTATAAAATAATCTCAAACAATGTTGAATGAAAGAGAAATATTAATGTATTTCACTATTATGCGACCGCAGACGTGGAACAAAAATAGGGAGATGACGATGACAGTACAGTTTTGTATATTCCAGCATCTTCATTTTCTCAAATTCTCGTGTATCAGCTACTATCGTAGTGACAGTGTGCTTAACTCTTGAATAATGATAAATCACTTGAGTATACGTAGGGTTTCGCGTTCACAAACATCACTTTGAGCCCCAGCGCTACTAAAATTGCAATCACCGCTAATGACCTGTCAGTTCAGTAGCAATTAACGTAATATCTGCTGCTCTATGTAATCTTATACGGTACAAAATTTTCCGTTTGAAAAATTTCAGTGTGAAAGTTTCGTATCTCGACTTAATTTTATATAGAAAACCTGAGATTCAAAATCTATATTTATTACATTATATATTTTCAATCATATGTGTAGTTAATTAGAGATGATATTTGAACGTAAAAAAAGAACTGTTTCCCTGAACCAGACTCCAAACCGTTTCAAATAAATAACATTGGACGGCATGTACTCGTATATTGTAATATCGCCTTTACAGCGAGTGATGCAAATGGCGCGTAAATAAAATACGAGAGCTTTGCACCGAGAGCTCAGAATCTCGTTTCAACAGGACCCTCCACTGACATACCTATATCGTGTTACATACGCCAAATTCAAAACCTTCCCCGGCGCCTATATTTCAGAATTTGAATCGCGTTATATAACGTTCTCGACTCTCACTCGTATATGTTCCAAATATGATAGCCTATATTCATGAACAGCAAGCACTACGAAAGTGCTGTTCATGTATATAGGCTACGGTTACCACTTACCATTAGATAAGCCATAAGTTGTTGTATTTATATGTTAATAATATTATAAACGCGAAAGTTTCTGAGTATGGACGGACGGTTGTTTGTTACTGTTCAAAACACACTTGATGAAACTTATACATCACAATTTCATGCAGGTGAAACCGCAGTCACAGCTAGTATCATTATAAATAAATACATTATAGAGATGTCAAATAGTTAGTTTAAAATATAAAATTTAGCAATAACGGCAGATAACATTACATAACATAAGACACATCCCTTTCTACAACGTTCTATCGCCAGTGGCGAATACACTTTATATTCGCTACGTGATTTTAGTAACAATTTCGCTAGTACCGCACTCTGCAACATTACAAGTGACAAAACTAGGATCAAAGTATTCCAATTTCGATCAGTCGATTGTCTATTCAGTCATGCAAAAACGAATTTGGTTGCATGACTCCTATGCCATCTAATATTACAAATGTGACACTAACAACAAACATGTTTAGGTATTTGTCTAAGAATTGTGTTTACATCGTTGAACGGATTTAAATTTAAATACGTAAATCGTACAAACATTCAGTTCTTATTGTTTATGTTACACAATTATTTCTGGTTCTGTATATATATATATATATATACGACTCTTTTTCATACCTATTTTGTCACGATTGCAGGCAGCTTTGTATTGGTATTCACACATAATTTCTTTCTCGTCATGTCACTCTCAGTATTCAGCTAAGTAAATGACTAAAGCATTAATTATTTTTTACACAACCTTAAATTAGGTTGTGTATTTAGGTTGTGTAAAAATATGTAGTAGTAATTATTGTTTGATTCAACTTTGAATGAAAATCTTTCCGTAGGTAGAAAAAGGGTCTCTTGCATTCTATGACTTGTTTTATCTTCCTGTTGACAACACGCACGTGATCTCTCTAATGTTACAAGGATATCTGAAATAGTGGCCGTAATTTTTGAAGAGACTTCTAAAAAAGTCGACTTACATTTTCTAAAAATTATTGTAAAATTATGTAGACATTTTCGATTAAATTTTACATAACTGTATATCTAACGAAGTTATTTATGTTCATATAGGAAGAAATCGAGGACAGACCACGAGCGGCAACATTCCTCAGCTCTCTGGCAGACTACTCGAATACCATCCCTACGGCGTCTGCTGCGGACCCTGATGCTGTTAAGCCGGCACCCCCAGCCCGTATGGGCACGCTCATCGGTGTCTACCTGCCTTGTATCCAAAACATCTTCGGCGTCATCTTATTCATCCGTCTCACCTGGGTTGTGGGAACTGCGGGCGCTATACAAGGATTCCTGATCGTACTTACATGCTGTTGTACAGTAAGTCACTCAAAATTAATATACCAAAGTCATTTCATACTACATACAGTACAGGATGATAATGTATTTCAAAAGAATATGTGCATACATTTTCAACCGTTTACTTTTAAAGCAAAGGTTTGTGTCTACATTAACATTTAATATGACATAACATAGTAAATGTCTCTAAAAACCTAGAAAATGTGAATCATTCTTTAACTATTTTTTATGAATTTCGATAGTCGAATTGAATGGCCGATGGAATCATTATGTAATGTATTCTCATTTCAACACAATAGTATATACGTAAATACAAAAAACACGTATATTTTTCGAGTTGATTAAACTTGCTACGATTGCCACTGGTTGCGACTGTGTTAGATTTCCCCCGAGAACATGTACGTTCCGCATGTCAATGCGAAATCTCTGTTATGGTAAAAAGTGTACATTCCAAATCTACTTTATCTTTATTATTACGACGGTATTATTGAAGAATTATTTTTATAACCTTTAGTAAAGATATTGATCTGTATTTATTACAACTACGTTACATGTAAAACTATAAATCTTCCTATTAAAATTTCCTTATATTAAATTATAACGAACAGTAAATACATATTTGAAGATATAACCCAGAAATAAAGTCTATTAATTATTAAATTAAGAGGTATTGGTAGAAAAATGTTAACAATCAAAAACATATCTAATGCATTCTAATGCATCCATCTCTTTCAAGAGACTCGTACCTTATGTCATAGAGACAGATAAATAGACATAAATGAAATCTGATAAAAGACTGCTTATTTTATAAACAGTACAATTTAACCTGAAAATAGTTTTAACATAGATAAAGTAATATTACATAGTTAAATTATTATAACTCATGTTTTATTTATTTCACAGACGATGCTCACAGCGATATCTATGTCAGCGATTGCAACTAACGGCGTGGTACCGGCAGGCGGATCTTACTTCATGATAGGCCGATCGTTGGGTCCTGAATGCGGAGGTGCTGTTGGTATGCTATTCTACACCGGCACAACGCTGGCAGCTGCTATGTACATCGTCGGTGCTGTCGAGATTGTTCTGGTTAGTTTTTCTATGCTTTTGCAGTACGTTTATACTTGTCGTTATTATTTTCCTATAAATTAACAGATCTAGCTTCCATCATCTCGGTCATAGATTGATAATGTAACTGCAATGAAAAATTTGTTAGCCCACCTGATGGTTAGTAATATATAAATAGCACTAAGCACAACGTGTTATCGTGAATGGCCATGCCTCTTATCATGTAATTTCACAACCTTCACAACCAAGCAGCGAAATAGATCTCAAAAAGAGTGCTATTTGGCAGCTAAAAAAGGTTAGACAGACCCACCACAAAAACGATTTTCAACAAAATCTGTTATCTGATTAAAAAAACTAAACTTAAAATAACTTGTGGAATTGATATTCATGGTAGCACATGTGTTGGTGGCTTTAATGATATTTTAATTATTCCCCACATCATTTTTTCTCCCATATCTACTGAAGTATTATTGTTTTATTGAATTAAATACTCGTTATAATGTTTTCTATATCTGGTGCAATAAAGAATATGAATATATTACTATATTATATAACTGCTCTTAAATAAAGTTGGTAATGTCATACCAAACGCCGTAACTTCGTAGTAACATGACCTTTGTCACTTGCCAAGGGCCAAATAAAATAACAAACAATGAGAGTTTTCTCATGTTATGAACAAAGCCATCAATTACATAACGTAGAAGTTATGCCACAAACCTTTTGTTGCCGTAAGTGGTCTACATTCATCTAAGATCTAAATTCAATTACCGGAATTTGCGGAACGCGTCCGCGGCTACGAACGGATCGTGTACAGAATACAGCTAGCGGCGAACTTGCTAACTTCGCGCCCCGATATAAAAGTAATTGTTAACTAAACTCGTGCCTCCAATACGAATAAAAACTTCTTGTATGGTTACAGCAATAAAAAGACAACAATTGTAAGTTCAACTTTTTATTACATAACACATGGCCTGTCTGTTTTTTTAAACTTATCATGTGACTGGATATCTGTTGTAACCTTCAGTTAGAAATACAACAGTAATAAATACATTTTGTTCCATAAATTACCTACTACCGGACAACCCTCCTCCTCTCCTCCCCTATGAGAACTGGTCACATTGAAATTTGATGATTTTGGTGATGTCATAAAATTGAAGGCCCCTCCAAACCCTTGTTATTCAATATCACACTTTACCGATACGATACCCCTCCCTTAACACGTAATATAATTCATGGATAGCCCCTAAGTGGAAATTAATTAATTGACAGACGTACATGGCACCCTGGCTGTCAATATTCGGCGACTTCACCAAAGATCCAGAGGCAATGTATAACAACTTCCGAGTCTACGGAACCGGTCTATTGCTTGTAATGGGCATGGTGGTGTTTGTGGGAGTCAAGTTCGTCAACAAGTTCGCGACCATTGCTCTAGCTTGTGTAATACTCTCCATCACCGCTGTTTACGCTGGAATCTTCGTCAATTTCAATGGAAACTCCAATCTGCAGTATGTATTCTTAGACTAAGACGTGCGAAATGTAAACCTTCATCTGTTATTTAGTCGTAGTACTGAAAGAAATGTAATCTATATTTTTTATGTAATTCTTTGTGAATATTCTTTATTCGCTCTATGCATGATCTTATAGAATTAAATTGTAAAATGAATTAAAATACGTATCTATTTATTTAACACCATTAACCTCGATTACACATCACACCAAATAACAGATAGAAAGGTTATATATTTCAATAGCAGTATCTCCTGTTATTATTTAAAGGTTTCTCGTGATTTATAAGATATTTAAGTATTTTCTTTAAATATTATAATTCGTATCTAAGATTTTTAAGTATTACATACATTTATATTATGTATTAGGTACCTAATAGTAAAAAATTCAGCGTGTAGAATCTCATATTCTAAAACAATGTTTGCATTTCTTAATTTTCTGTATACTGTCTTTGTGATTGCACAAAGACAGTATACAGAAAATTAAGAAATGAAAACTAAAAAGTAAAACAAAAAATAATTAATGTATTGACATTAATTACACTACTAATTAATTACTAATTTTGTAATAAAGGTCAATATTAATCAAATTATACATAGACATCATTTATATTTCAAACAAATTACAATAATAATGATTGTGGTAGAACACTCGCCACTGTTTCCAAATGCGGTCTGTTAATATTAAATGCGCACTGTGTTCGAAAATCCACTTCATTATTTACTGTACCGCAACTCAAATGAGATAGACAACCAATGATAAATATTAATTATTTAAACTGACAAATAAATATGAACGACCAATTAAGTATTTGTTTAACATCGTTGATAGTGAACATTTGTTTATTCATTAATGACAACGATACACAGATTAATAAAGCTGAAATGAAATTCTAATATAAAAAATTATTAATATTAATTTAATGTATGAATGTGGTTAAAGTGATGGAACAACTTTTCAGAATGTGTATACTCGGAAAACGATTATTAAAAGACATCCATATCAGCAATTGCACTAAGGCGCCGAAAGGAGAACTGGAACAATTATTTTGCCCTAACAAGACCTGCGATCCTTACTATGCCGCTCACAACGTCAGCATCGTTCAAGGCATCAAGGTAGGTCCAAACAGAAAATATAGCTCCAACCTAATAATTAATTATTAGGTTGAATATTAGATACCATCCTGGCCTAATTATTTACTACTACAATTAGCATAGGCCTCAAAAGTAACGAGATATTTTTTTATTTATTTTATTTTTTAGAATTTACAAAAAAGGTTATAAAATTTTTAATTCTAAGTTTATAATAAATCTGTGGCGCTATTCGTTTGCGCGGGAAAATAAAATAGATTATTATAAGATTTCTTCTGCAGATATAATTCTTAATTATTATCTTATACAATTCTATATACCGTTTGTTAGTAACTTGCAATACTATAATGTCAATAAGAACCAACCTGAGTATTTAATTTTCTCTACTAACAACATGAAATAAACAATTAAATTGACTGTACAGGGTCTGTCCAGTGGAGTTTTCTTCGACAACTTACAAGATTCATTTTTGCAACTTGGCCAATATATTGCCTATGGAAAGGAACCTGATGATATAGAACAAATGGAGAGACCGACGTATAATCAAGTGTATGCCGACCTTACGACTACATTTACCATCCTTATTGGCATCTTCTTCCCGTCTGTCACTGGTAAATAAATAATGTATTTAAATAATTTTCAAACACGCATTCACGATATTTTTTTTTTTGATCGGTTAATTTACGATTCATTTTAGAATTTTAAATTATTACAATACTTTGTTATTCTTCAGTATTTTAAAACATCGGGTCGATTGAAAATGTATTCTAATTTTAAATCAAATTCCGAAAGACAAAGTTTCTCTATTCGAATATATTATAAACGTTTCACTAATGACGTTTAACGTTTCACTATTATACAAAATGGAACGCTTTAGTGCTTGTTTTGTTTATTGAGTCCCATAAATACTTTTAATCTATTAGACTACTATGTTCCACTTCAGAATTTTAAAGTGCCCGGTCGATAGAAAATGTTTTCTAAAGTTTCTCTATTAGAATGTTATAAATTTGTTCCTAATTTATTATAGAAAATGGAACGCTTTAGTGCTTGTTTTGTTTGTTGAGTACCATTAATAATTTTAATCTATTCGAGTACTATGTTCCACTTCAGAATTTTAAAGTTTCCGGACGATAGAAAATGTATTCTAATATAAATAAACTCCGAAATAAAGTTTCTCTATTCGAATCTATTATGAATGTTTTCCTAATATTTAATTATTTACTTCAGGTATTATGGCCGGCTCTAATCGTTCCGGCGACTTGGCTGACGCTCAAAAGAGCATACCTATTGGTACAATTTGCGCTATCCTTACCACTTCAGTAGTGTACTTGTCGTGTGTGCTGCTATTCGCCGGCACCGTGGACAATTTGTTGCTACGAGACAAGTATGTAATGTTCCTTATTTCCTTAATTAATATTATGATTGTTTTTGATAACTATATAACATAAACAATATTAATATAATCTTTATTCAAATAAATTATATGTAATCACTTCTGAATAGTTATATTTTATTAATTCTACCTTACATTGAAATTGAAATTTAATATATCGTATATGTATTTACACCTCTTTAAAACTTAAATATTTAGTAAAAAACTATATAAGATTGTATATAATACGATACAGCGAGACAATTACGTTTGTCACGTTTTGTTAATTACACGTATCAAACAATAATAGAAGTACATTACTTGATAAGTGTAGCTTCTTTTCTATACATGTTTAATAAAAATAAAACCATGGTATTATCTCAATTTTAAAAATTCCAGATTCGGCCAATCAATCGGTGGGAAACTAGTGGTAGCCAACATGGCTTGGCCGAACCAGTGGGTGATCTTAGTGGGCTCGTTCCTGTCTACTCTCGGAGCTGGTTTGCAATCGCTGACAGGTGCTCCACGTCTTCTACAAGCCATAGCGAAAGATGAAATCATTCCATTCTTGGCACCCTTCGCCGTTTCGTCTAGCAGGGGTGAACCTACCAGGTAAGCGTAGACTTTCCAATTGCTTGATTGACCTGCTGTTTAACTATTATTAATACAGTATTACCTCGAACTTACGCAATAAGCGAGATTTAGCCGTATAAAACGAATTCGCGTATATCTGAATACTAGTTTAATTTTTTCTTTCATTCGTATGGACGACATAATAAGAGTCCAACAAAAAAACTAGTACGTGAGATACTTCCACGACAAAATACGTTTAAAGATTTTGTTTAAAGGTTGTAAAGTGGACTCTGCGCTGTGTACTTTTGTGGGACACCGGTTGACGATAATAAAATGACAATAAATAAAATAGCCTATCTTGTAGAATCCTTAGAGAATTATCCAGGTTACAGGAAAGCGAAGGTAGTAAACTTGACATTGCACATTACTAGTATGTAATGTAGTAATTATAGGGCTACTAATTTTCAATTTAAATAACTTTAAACCCTCCTCCCCTTAGTGCAGATATACAGGCGCTCAAGAAGTGCGTTGAATAGGCTGGCATGAGTCCAGGTATTACTGTATATATAATAGATTGAGTGTTACAATTCGATTATGCTCATGACCAATTTATGTGAACACAGGGCCCTGCTTCTAACAATGGCGATCTGCCAATGCGGTATCCTGCTTGGCAATGTAGACATCCTCGCGCCGCTGCTATCCATGTTCTTCCTTATGTGTTACGGGTTCGTGAACCTCGCCTGCGCATTGCAGACCCTTCTTAAAACTCCTAACTGGCGTCCTAGATTCAAATACTATCACTGGTAAGTACATTTATTTAGATATTATGAATTAAAATAGTTTGATTATTTTTTGTTTTTTTTTATTCGTCTATTTACTATAGCTCTACATTCTTTCTGCTTACCACGTAAGAGATAATAACTCTATCCTTGAACAATTCACATTGCGCCATCCAGTCCCAAAGTAATCAAATCTTATATTCCATGTTTTTTGGAAGTATATACATAATATACATAGAAAACTCCCACACTGATACAAACAATCATATTCAAGAATACAAATGTTTGTACCGTGCGAAGAATCAAACCTGCGACCATTGGAAGTAAAACGGTGCGGATAAGCACTAGACTACCGAGGACGTGGATGATACCAGATTTTTATTGCAGTAAACAGAAAGAATCATATATAATATTAATATTGCTGAGGATTTCCTCATTCCTATTACTTTAGTTATTTCTCTTTTATTGCACTATATAAAATAAATGTACAATTGGCGAGCTTAATGCCATATGGCATTTTCTACCAGCTAACCATTGCATAAGAAAGGGGTTGAAGGGCAGTAATTTGAAAAGGAATACTATTTGTTTTTGCCTAATTAAGCCATTGAGTTGGAATTGAAAAATAGTATATTCCTCATGCACTTTTGTATTGTATTTATATATTAAAATTATATTATTTGTTGCCTTTCTTAGGTCATTGTCGTTGGCGGGGCTGACGCTGTGCATCTCGATCATGTTCATGACTTCTTGGTTCTATGCACTCATCGCTATGGGTATGGCCGGGCTCATCTACAAGTACATTGAGTATCGCGGGTAATTATTTCAATTCTAAACTTCTTTTATATACATTAATTAGTTATTGAGTTTTCAGACGAAAATTGTTTTCTAACTGTACCTATGTGAATTAGGTAAACTACAATTATCATATAAAACTCGCCAAAACGATAAAGTGTGATTGAGTAACATGCTTCATAACATCTTTGCACATTTTATTACTTTGTAGGACATATAAATTTTTATGTAGTATTTCCTATAACATTAATTTTTAATTGGAACTTAATATTGAATACCCAATGGAAATTCGTTCATAATTAGTTTCAATTATTGCTGATGTTTTTATTGATTTAATGTATTTTTATGCATAATTAAAAAAAAGATTATTAGCATTCTGCACTCTTCCCCAATGTAAACCAACAGAGGAATATAAAATTATACTAATTTACAGAGCTGAGAAAGAATGGGGTGATGGTTTACGTGGTCTGGCCTTATCAGCCGCACGTTACTCTCTATTGCGTCTGGAACAAGGCCCGCCGCATACGAAGAACTGGAGGCCGCAGGTGCTTGTGCTGGCCAAGCTCAACAATGAACTTCAACCCACTTACAGGAAAATGCTCGCTTTTGCTAGTCAACTTAAAGCCGGTAAAAATATTGCTGCATCTATTCTACATCTTAAGAATAATATGTATTTTTCTAATTATTTGCACATTAAACTAGGTAGGTAGAAACTTGAATGTTAGGTAACTAAACCATTATATTAGATTAAAGAATTAAAGAATATCGGACCACCCAAATTGTATTATATATAGATGTATTAGGTAGTGCTCAACATTCTACGTCGATATAATTATCGACAGGTTATCTTAAACAGCTAGCAGACATTTAAAGTAGGCAAAAGAAATTAATACGACACACGATGAACACGCGATCACGAAACACGCTGTCGAGCGGAGGGGATAACGATGTGTTAAACCACTAAACCACCGAGGGTGTGTTGGTTGGTTTATAGGTAAGGGTTTGACGGTGTGCGTGTCGGTGGTTCCGGGTGATTTCACTCGTCGCGCTGGAGAAGCGTCTACCGCGCGACAGAACCTGCGCAAGTGTATGGACGAGGAGAAGCTCAAGGGATTCGTTGATGTGCTCGTTACACCTACTATATCTGATGGGCTCAGCCATTTGTAAGTACTTCTATCTATTTCTACATCCAATCCCTTATGTACCTGGTCCAAAGACATCTTAATTCATTAATGGTTTTTGTATTCTTTATCGTCTACACATTGTTTTATACTGATTAATCATTCTCATTAGATTCTATTCTCATACGCAACTTTTATTTTATCATCAATCTTTAATCAGCAATTTCTCCTCATGTTTTAATCAACGTATTCTGATGTTATTTTCCCATAAATACCATTTTAATAAATCTCATTATTAAAAGCAATGTATCTTATAGTTAAAATTAACATTATTTTTTTACCCTAGTCCCAAATTCCTACAGCCACACCCAAATCATTAGGAAAAAATATACTCATACATAATATATAATATATACAATAATAATAGTAGCATCGTATGTAGAATCGAACCCGCGAGCATCAGAACTAAGGCGATGGTAATATGTCACGCATACAGTAGTATAATGACAAAGTGATAGCATTCTACTTAACATTTTTTTTTAAAATTCAATTTAATCTATTTTCTATGCTATTTTTCTTTGCGTAAAATTATCCATGAATTATGTGCTTCCCTAAATCAGTATTTACTCATTAGCGTCCAAACCTGTGGCCTCGGAGGTCTGAAACCGAATACGGTGATCGTGGGGTGGCCATACGGCTGGCGACACTCTGAAGAGCTGGAGGCGAGCAGTCTCCCGAAGTGGCACGGCTTCCTGCACACCGTGCGAGCGGTCACCGCCGCCAGGATGGCAATGCTAGTGCCCAAAGGGATTAACTTCTTCCCTGATTCCACTGAGAAGGTAATTTAAATCTTAAATTAAATACACATAAAGTTATTTTCACGGTTTAAAATAAAAATTGTTTTTATATAAACAAAGAAGCGACATTTAAAATTTATTTTACGAGTATATACAATTACAATTCTTTAGTTTATTGCTTTGTTTTTATTATTACCAATTCAAGCACACAATGTTTTTGCAACGTCCATTCTGTAGCTCCCTCTACTGAGCATCAACTAAAGTTTGAATAAAAGAAATATATTGTAATTTTTTATATACTTTTAAATAGTTTCAAATCTACAATTAACATAATAATGGCATTACACTAAAAAGTTTGACATTATTACTAAAATAAAATAAAGTTAATAGGTATTCCAACGTTTTTAAACAGAGAGTACCTACATATATTGTATTATTCGGGTAATACTCGACTATTTAAAAATAATAAATAATATTCTTGCATTCCGTTTAATTATTATCAATTAATTGTTTATATTAAAAAATAAAATTTTTAATTATCGCCAGCAGAGGCCACACCGTTTGTGGAATTCTAGTAAAAAATCTTATGTGTTTAATTAATTGATCAAATGATCTTTGTATATCAAATTTTGTTGGAATCTCTTAACCCATTTATTCTTGTATGATAATAAATATACAAACTTTCGCATATTGTCATAATCATTTACATATTGGTAATATGTACTATGTGTTGTAGTAACTACAATATAATTATATTTTAAAATAAAACATGATAATACCGTACGGATGCTATACATTTTAGATATCAGGCAACATTGACATATGGTGGATCGTGCACGATGGCGGCATGTTGATGTTGCTCCCGTTCCTGCTCAAACAACACCGGACGTGGAAGAACTGCAAGATGCGCATTTTCACTGTAGCGCAGATGGAGGACAACTCGATTCAGATGAAAAAGGATCTGAAGATGTTCTTGTACCAGCTACGTATCGAGGCTGAAGTGGAAGTTGTTGAAATGGTGAGAAACATAAAATTCGAAGAGCGAATTAAAATCCCTATAAATACGCATTATAAGTACAATTTAAAGGGAAATATCTATTCAGTGTTATTTAACTAAGTCTAAACTTCGTCGATTGAGTTATGTCATTTGTCAATAGCCGGCACAGCAAGTATGCAGGATTCACCGTCCGAAGAATCTACAAAAACTAAATTTAAAATAGTTCTAAAAAACATAGAAGTCAAAAACTTTTTGAATAGTACCTATATTAATATGAAATATTTATACTTACATGTAATTGAGATCATCAAATTGTTTTAAAAATTGCTGCAGTCAATAAACTAGAAATATTATCTTCCAGACCGATAGCGATATATCCGCATATACCTATGAACGCACCTTGATGATGGAACAACGTAACCAAATGCTACGGGAACTAAGACTCAACAAAAAGGAAACACTCGGCATGGTATGTGTATAAATAATACGTTTCACTTTCAACTAGAATTAACAAACTTCTAAGAAGTCTTAGGACAAAGATTAACTTTAAAAAGAAAGAAATTTATTAAAAAAATTACATTGACAAAAAGATTTAGCTGTAAACTGTTGTAATTTGTTGCTCATTAAATAACTACAACACTAACCAATAAATATTTTTTCTATTCGAAATTAGTGCGAAATATATTTTATTGTTTTGTTGAAACTTAAGAACATACTATTAAGTGCATAAAAGCAATGAATATACGCACCGATGTACTAAAATATAATTTATTGGCACAAGAACAACAAGCTTAACAAATTTGTACAAAGCTTCATAATGTATTAATGTACCATACAACTAACGTAATGTTTGTCTGTCGCTGCGAACACAGATGCAAAATTTCGTGGACTATCGTGAAAACGCTGAGGAGAAGTTGCCTCTGGTAAAATAGATACATTAGCCCCGATAAAGTCCACTTTTTGTAATTTAGCTATTTATTAATTTTATTCATGAATGTTTTTCTCCGCATTCTTTATCATTTACACATTGTTTTTTTTTGTTTGTAACAAACAATGTGTAAATGAGAATTGGTATTTTTTAAGCTTCATTCAGTTTTCCCTTAGAATATTCTGGGTGTACTGAAAAATATACAGGGCCGTATCTAAAACGATAAAGCTTCTGTTGCTTTAAAGATGTTTCATATAGTTTTAAAACCTTTGACCGCAATAGTAGTAATGTAGCTACGGCCCTGGTTTAATTCACTTCGATGCGCCTAATTGTGTCCTGCTATTCATTACTTCATTGTCATCCCACCTCACAATATCTATTAACTATGGCCACTAAAATGCTATATGCTTTAAATGTTAACATATTCTCAATGTTGTATACACTCCTTCTTAAATATGCACTCTCCTTTTTTAGATCAATGTTTCTCCATGTTGGTTAATTTTAAATAAAAAGTACCTAATAATATTTTGTAGTCTTAGATAGATTCGTCCTAATTTTTGTCATAATATAATGTAGTTAAGTAAAATTCTTGTTCAGTGTTGTTTAAAGATAATTAATAGCTACAAGGAAGTTGTACTACGATCAAACTGTCCTACCTGTAATGATCTTATTTGTTGCTATGATTGCTTTTCTGTTCACATAGCGCTTAAAATCAATTAAGTACCATATTTAAATTCAAAAGAGAATTTTTACGTTTTCTACATTCTGTATTTTATTGATAACATATTTTGTAACAATATACCTATTAATATGTTATTTCAGTTACATTTCTATTTTAATTTTGTCGTTTATAGTATTTAGAAATTGAGTATAGTGAGTTGAAAGCAGTTTACGGTAATATCAAGTTTACTATGTATTTTTTTATGTTTTATTCCTATTATTTTAAATATTAATATATATATTATATTATAAATTGTAGTAAAAGTTGAAGAATTCAAATAATATCTATGTATTTTAATAGCATACCATATTAAGCACACAGGATATGCTATCTTAGTATCCTATTCTATTATAAAAGTTATGATATAAATTATTATAAGAACGTATGTAGGTACCTAAGTGTATAATTAACACTCTAACTTAACTCAAAAGTAATTTCACTCTAACTTAATTTGACATTTGAATGAAAGCGTTGAAAATAATAAATAATAAAATAATGCAAAATTAAGAAAATTATAGTATTGTATTGGAAAGGTATTTAGTAGTGTGCAGAAAAAAGTCCATAATCGTGTTAGTTATTAATTATAAGCATTTTCGTGTAAATATTATAATCTATTGGCGTCGATAATGAATATCAAATAAAATATAACTAACTTAAAATATATCGAAGATTCTCCTTGGCGTATCTGATTTCATGTCATTTTGCGTTTCGAATGACTTTTATTTAAGTACTACGGAGCTTATTTTTGTTAGCAACGTCCTAATTTTACCTTCTTATTTAGAGAGTCAAAAGACTTTACATCGATGTAAAAATTTCGATGTTTTTTGACTAAGCATCGATCATCCCAATATACCAGTGCTTAGTATAACACTGCCGGTACAGGTGCAAGCGATAGTGGACCATCATCACGCTGATGTAAAAACGGCCAGTAAGGTCCGGTTTGCGGAGCCGGGCAGCGGGGGAGGGGAGACCGCGGACGACGCGCCCTCCCCACCACTCACCGACACGGATGATAAGGACAAGGATAAGGACGACAAGGTGAACTCGGATCTTAGTACTTACTTAGTGTTAATGTACCCTCGATTGATCTAAAAGCCCCCATACCAGGTTCAGCCCCAACGGCCCGTGTCGGCATCGTATTTTCTATTGGTGCAGTAGTTACTAAATCCTTTTTTTTTATCGTGTTAAAAAAAAATCTATAGTCCGCCAAACCGTTTGCGGGGCTACGAGAGGGTGTATGGGATTTCTTACCCACTAAAAAACCACACGGTGTACCTATGAGCGCTATTGCCATCGCGAGGTCACGTTAGCATTAAGCGTATTTATCGAACGGTGTCGTCGGCACGGGCCGTCAGTGTTGAACCAGATAATGTAAACAGGTTAACTCGTCGCTTTGTTGAGGACATCTAGGCAGCTATTACATTTAACAACGCGAGTGTTGTGATTTTTTAACGGAAACTTACATCAATAATTATTTTGAGGCAATTAGAAATCAAATCTAATAAATATCGTATAAGTCCTTGTTTAATTCATTGAAATCCAATGCGTCCCAATATCGAACTACATTAGTTGCTTATTACATACTATCTGACTAAATATCATTGTTATTGACAATCACAGAAACCTATTTAGGTGTCCTCCTGATACTCGTCTGTTAAATAACTAAATAAATGCCTTAGTACCAATACTAGGTACCTCCTAAAAATATACTTACTCAATTTACTATGACGCAGGGTCTTTTTAAAACATTGTTTTATACCAAAAAGTTAAAACCATAGTTTAACTTAAAGTGAAGCCAAATGACCCACGACATTGTAAGTTGGTAAATGTGTTATAGCCATCAACATCTGAAAATGGCAGTAAAATATAATTACAAGTAGGTACATTTAAATTTAAATTTTAAATAACCCCCGGCATAAGAAGTTGGTGAACGCCTAAATCCTCTTCATAAATTATAGGCACGAACTATCTCGATCACGTCACTTTTCAAACATAAAAAAACTTTAACTAAATCATGGACTGATTTGATACCAGAGAGAGAAAATAGATAGACGTTAAACCTGTAATCCCCCTTTTTACGTCGGGGGTTATAAAGATCAACTATAAAATTAAAAAGTTTAGATGAACACTAATATACATTATAATATACGTTAAAATATTGTACATATTTTGGAAGTCGATTCAAAACAAAGTCTTATTTTTAATCACGAGATTAAAACATCCATGTCTCTGCTCGAAATTATATTTTAACAATTCGCTAGAAACTGAATGTTTGCAATTAGAACGGGTCCTTTTACTTTCTTCCTTTCAGTTTCAAGTGGAACTGTTAATTTTTCCATTGTTTCTCATCGAGCTGATTTTTATCACTAATGTTGCTTAATACTAAAACCGCTCTCACGTCAACAAGACGTAAATAATAGTAACTACAATTAGAAACTTTTCTTACTATCTTAAATCATAATTATATCAACTATTATTTGTACTGGTTTTTACTTGAGAGTGGTTATTTTATGTCTTTGCTAATTTACAATATTTCACTGCACTGCACCATTAAATTCCTCCGCTACATTATCATCATCATCAACTGATATTGCCATTTATTTGTCGCCAACAAGTCCTAGCGAATCTACACACGGTGGTCATATGTTTGCCAGTGATTTCATCCACGTTGATTTGTTCACTTTAGTTGGTTTCTTTGTTCACCGGTAGATGAGAGATTGGATGTTTAAATGTCCGTAGTGATTTATCGTTTAACAATTAAAGTAATATATGACATCCCGTGTTTTATTCGCCTTGAATCCGTCATGTGCAACTGTCGGTGCGCGAATCTAAATTGAACCTTTGAAACGGGAAACCAATTGGGGTAACGTAGGACGACTTTCGAAGTAGTTTGTTGCACATAATCGATTCAATGTGGGACTCGCCCGATGAACGGTCGCAGTGTGAGGGAGGGAACTCGCCGCCGCCAGAACCCGAAAAGCACAAGGAGAACAACCCTAATGGAGACGCCATCAAGCCAAAGCCCAACATGTCCGATATCACACCGTAAGTTTATTTTTCATTTATTAATTTAAATGACAAGTTTAGGTCAGTTTTGTCTACCGTCTAAGGTATACTTAGGTGCAGCAAGATTACAATTCCATAATCAAGTATATACCTATTTATACCCTGATGCATGAGTCAAAATTTTACATTTTGTAAAATGTTTGATATTAATTCAAAATATCTCATGACAATTATTATGCAATCTGGGTATTGTACAATCAAAGAGATGACACCAAAATCTTTGTATATTAGGTACTAACTTCTTTGTTCATTTTTAAACCTGATTAATCCATAAGACAGTATTAAACTATAATATATTCCCAGATTCCCAGAGATTATGGATATAATACAGCAGTATGACTGTAAGTTAAACCACTGGACCATCTATATACATAAAAAACCTTTTCTTAGACTAATTTTGTTAACGTTTGATGCAGTGACGAGGGTACAGTACGGCGGATGCACACAGCAGTTAAACTGAACGAGGTGATCGTGACACGCTCCCATGACGCACAACTAGTCATTCTGAACTTGCCCGGCCCTCCCAGGGACACCAAGTTCGAAAGGGAATCCAACTGTAAGTTCTCAACTTATAATTTTACTTAGTACAGATTCACTTAATACAGATTATGTAGTATTATCGTATCTGTGGTACAGATATTATCTTTTATAAAATTCAGTCATCTCTAGTTCTTACGAATATGTTCTAATAATCCTCCACATTCATATTTAATATATTTTCTTCGTCTCTGAATCTTATACCAATACGAATTATTAATATAGACATTAATACCTATTTCAATTAGGAATTTACTACGATGGTTTCCAAAGAATCGCGAACCGCGTTCAGGTTAATCTAACATGGTACATTGCTAGCAATGGGTTTATAAGTCCACATTACTAATAAACTCCTTCCCCCACTACATTCTAGCTTAAATAAATAGGTACTTTAATCTATCGGTGTTTGAATCACGCAGACATGGAGTTCCTGGAGGTGCTGACTGAGGGTCTGGAGAAGGTGCTGATGGTGCGTGGTGGTGGTCGCGAGGTGATCACCATCTACTCGTGAACGCGTCCCCGCCCCTCCACCCTCACCCCCACACTCGAAACGTTAGTGGAAGTCGCCGTACTTGTCGGCGCCCTTATGAAAAGTCTTTGTGATTCTATTATAACTGTTAGTGCTCTATTTTGAACAATCGAATGATTCGAGTTCGTATCTCGTTAAACGTTTTGTATAATTAACGGTCGCATAATCGCTCTCGAAAGACTGCCGAGACGGACGTTACGTTCCAATTTGTTTATAAATATTGTATTTTCTTACGATTACTATATTATATTGACGTTCGTTTGACTGTAAATGTTAGCTTAGTTCTAAACGTTCTGTTGAATTTGCTGTTTAGGGAGACGTTGTTTTGAAATTTATTCACTGTTGTATAGATATGTATGAATAAATGTATGTATGGATCTAATGAGGAGCCTTAAACTGTCGGTCGTTAGCTCTAAGTTTGTTTTTGTTACGTACCTAGACTAGATACTTGACTAGAGACTTGAATTAATTTAGGTATCTAAGTGATTCTTTGGGTACCGATATGTCATATTCATTTGATTTTGTAGTATGATAGCCCGTCGCGATTGCTCTATTTTTAATTTGTTTTTCTAAAAGTATTAAAGAATGTAGACACTTTGTAAGCATATACATTATTAAAGAAACCATAAAGATTTTATTCTACTTATATAAAAATGTATTTTGTAAGTAATTATTTTGTTCTAAGATTTTTACATCTGCTCAACTCAAAACTTACCGTGGGACTGAAGGATTAAAATTCTACTTCATTGTATCCCAACAGGTGATTTAATGAACTTATTAAATCAATTTATAGTTCTAGTCACTTTGACTATATTATATACCTATCTAGAACGAAAATTATGAAAAAAAGAATGAAAAACAAAAAATAATCTATTTCCTCTATATCTTATTAGCCTTTTATCAATTATTTCATTTAAATCAGTTGTATTTAAACCTCCACCGGGTTCTATAATGATTAGATTCAAATATCGTAAAATAAATACTATCCAATATGCAGTCTTGCCTATGAAATATAGGTTCGTAGAAAATTATTAATAAGGTAACGCTAACGATAATTTTCATATTATAATTATAGTATTCTTCATAATGCAGTTTATCAAAATTCATAACTTTATAAAATTAAATTTTTATTGCTGTCTTCGTTCTGTATTCCGAGTCTGAGCTAATTAATGTCATTAACACGTACATACAGACTATCTCTAAATATTTGTAGTATTTACTGATTATTAAATAGTAATAATAAATCGAGTAGGTACCTAATGATACTTAGTATTTTCTTCAGTTAGCTCAGATTCACCCTTTTATGTTACCATACATCTAAACTAATGACACCAAATGGCATTATACGTAGATATAAGTATCCGTTCCATAACTCTACAAAAGAATGTATTATGTCAAAACGTAGTGAATACGTTGTAAAGAACGGAATGTCAATTTTTATTTCCATTGTATTTCCATTACCAAAAATTTTAATCTAACTGTTCAAGGCCAGATTCGTTCCACGCAGACATCGTGGAATATAATTTACTTACTAAAAGCGAAGAACTTGTTAAAATCAATTTAATAATGATTTGGACTTAAATAAGACGATTTTTATTTTTGGTAAAGGTGTAAGTCTAAGAATAATTATATTTCTAATTCTTAATAAAGAGTGTTAGGTAACTGCCAAATAGGAATCGATGTTGTAAAATATCCTAGTCTGTAAGTGAAGTACCTAATTATAATTAACTTCATTGTTCAGAATTCATATTAATTAGATCATAGATCTAATAATTATCAGGGCCGTCTTAAGCATAATAGCACCGGGGTACAAATATAGGCACCTTAAATCCTTAGCCCCTTGCTCTCAAATTGAGATTTTTTCAAAGGTAAGATGGAGGAATTACGTTCTGCTCTAAATCTGATAGCCGGCTACCCTCCAAACATATATTTTTTGCGACTAGGGTTCATGATTCAGGAACATCCAAAGAACTTCTGAATTTGGAATTTGTAAGAGCAACTTTCAAAATAAATAAATCTGAGCCCGGCTAACACTCATCTCCTCCGCACTTGGATTAAGAAGAGCCTGTTAATTGTAAGAGGAGTCTAGTGCATGATATCACTATAATGTTTACTAGGTAGCGTACATAACATAGTGTACCATAGATAAAGCATTTATCAATTTATAATCGTAAATAAAGTGGTTACGTTGCATTATTCATAGAGCTATTGACAATACTCGTGATTTGTGGTTCTATGTAACTTATATTCCAATTCCATATTTCACATCATGTCGTTTAAAGGTTACAAACTTAAGTCCAACTTCAGTTGCTTAACAACTTCCATTGTTATTTATAGCTTGATGAATAAGTATTGATTAGATGTAGATCCTGGAAACATTATTAATTAGATTCGTTTCCACCATACTCTATACCTCTATCATTTACCGCTAACATAAGGTAAACAAAGCGTAATAAAATCTGCATAAATCAGCTTCTTTACAATTTCATTTGGATAATTTACTTATATTATAATTATAAGACATATTATAATAAACTTGTACTACTTATAAGTAGATACTTTGCTCGATATAGAGACAGAAATGTCGCAAGAAATAAAATTTATTGGTGCCATTGAAATTTCACTTCATTGAAGTAAATAGATATAAATTATTCTAAATTATTACTACTTATTAACAAGAAATAGTATATAATTGTTTTAAGTTCGTGATATTATATAAAAATTATTTTATCACTTAGTGATACAAAATTTATTCGTATTATTCAAATAGTACACACATATCTTCTTTTTCGAATAGAAAATTATATCAATGTAACTGTTTATGCCTATGAATAGGTAAAACGATAAAATTTATTTAAATAAATAAATGAATTATTGAATTATATACATATAACTAAATTTAAAAATTATATTTGATATTTATATGTATACACTGCCTATCGACTTTATTTAATTACACTAATGTACTTCAGTGTATGTATCATTGGTACCTATCTATTGTATATCTATATTAACTGTACACAAATCTATAATATAGAGACGAGTAATGTAAGGACTTCGCGCCAAATAGATTAGTGTAGATCGATGTGTGTATGCGCGCATGGATGCTTTTTTCCTCGTCTGTACCATACAATAACCGATTTATTGCATCTATAATTATAATATAATATGTAATTAATATTATTATAATTATATATATATAATATAAGTTGAAGCTTGCGCAGACGAGAGAATGCTATCAAAACATTATTGCATCGCATAACGCACGCAAGACTAATACTACCTCTCTTGTAATGAAAAAACACTAAATTCATCGTCTGCGCAGAGCTCACGACTATGGAAAGTACTTGTACTCTAACATATATATGAAGTCCTTACATAATAATAAATTAAGTACATGGTTATCGTACTATTTCTCTGATAATCCGGTAAAAACATAATTTAATCAAATTGGTATGTATTCAGACATAAATTATGCGTTTTTTTTGCTATAAATGTCCGTAACCTTTGAACTGTTAATCAAAAAATTATTGCTATATTTTAGCTCCCTATACTAATTTTGTATCTGTTTTTCTTGCCAGAATATATAACAATTCGTACACATTTCTACGCATAATTTTGCGGTTTAGATACAGATATTGCTTTAGATTGATTACTATGTACTCAATATAAGTGGTTATGCCACTATGAAGAACTCATGAGTGCAGTGCTTACTATCAGGTGAACCTTATGCTAGTTTGCCACCAATCTCGATTATAAAGATATTATTCCTTACTCTGCATACCTATTGTAACACAATGTTACAACTTTCGTCGATATTCTTTGCAGACGCTATTTAAATGAATTAATAAGTATTATCTACGTAACATTTTTAGAAATGGAAATTGGTATCTATATAAGACATAATATTATTACCAACTTGACGTCTACGTGAGTGCAGATTCGATTCTGGTTGTTACAACAAAGTTGGAAGTGACATGTATGTACATCAAAGCGCTTGTGTTATATCTACCTACACAGACATGTGCCAAACCTACTAGGTATATTGGATTGATAGACAGTAACAATCCATAGGATAATCTACACCCGTAGACTAAATACTTACAGCATTGTATTTCAATTGGATATTAATAATATGTATAATCATAAGCTTTCGGGATTACATTGTGTGTTAGAAGTATCACTTAACATAGGTGTAATTGAATAAAAGCACATACATACATAGTTAAACTATTTCAAATAGAATTAAAATCGTGTTCGTACTTTCAATCGTACATTTAGCCTTATTCAGAGCCAGTAAAAGTATGTGCGATCGCCGACAAAGTCATATTACCGCCATATGTCACGCCACAAGGCTTTTGGTGCTACGACTCTGCTGGTGAATGTACGTACATATTCTGTCGAGTGTCAAGTTTATTGATGTAATATTATGTATTTTAGATTTTAGGCTGTGAGTCAGCGTTAACACATTCTTTACAATTAAATATTCAGGCTAGAGTTGCTGTGATACACCATTATGGCTATAAAGTTATAAGGTAGTCATTTCTGGCTATAAACAATGGAAAATAACGTCATTTAACGTTTAAAGCCATATTCTATCTGTGATTTCACTGACGAGTAGTGCACCTTTTACCCAAATATACTTATCTTTGAAAATCCACAAGCCATAATTTGACTTTTGGGTAAGTAAAATATAAGTATAATGATAGATAATTATTTCTTGCCTCGTAATTTATAAATACTTGGAATTAATGACAAGAATATCTGTATGTTCAACAATTTTTATGTCTTCATTAAATGTTATCCACTTTCATTAAATCGGGACATGAATAAATAATTAGACATATAATACAATTTCGTCACCGCGGTGCAATATGCTAGGATTTAACTACGATGTATTTAATGAATATTTTGATCTGGAACGAGTTTTTATTAGTGAAATATTTCGAATTGTAAAAGTTATTTAAGAAATTACTAAAATATTCAAATAATAATTCTAGTGAATTAGTCGGTGAGTAAATTTAAGTGAAAGATGTTATGAATATAATGAAATAAACTAATAATAAAAGTATTGCACCATTTATTTTTGACCCTATATATAAACTTAATACAAAAGGTTGAGCTATATTATTTTATGGTTAAATAAAATTCAATAAAAATACTTTATACATTTAAGTATATTTATAATATATACCATCATTCATCCATCACCATCTGTTATTTTACACTGATCACAAACCATTATTATATCAATAATATCTATACACGCCTTATTTAATAATGGCTAGTAACTACAATTTTAATATAACGAAATGCATATAATATTTAGTAGTTCCTAATCTAAATTAACTGTGACAAATGTGATATAAAAGACCCCACCTGTATAATAATAAAACAGATGGGCAGAATTAATTTAATCACTGTTAAATATATATTAAAAAAATATGATGGCTGAATCTTTTCCCTAATTAGTACCAAACATTAACTTAATTCATTGTGCAATATTCATTAAAAGTTATTCAAGTATTGTAATATGGCAACTTCTTTGATATAAAGTAATATATTGTTTTTTGACTTAGTATTTTTTACAATAAAGTTACATCTTCCTTAGCATTAACAACTATTATCACTGTTTTTTATACAAAATGTATAAAAATATACTGATATATATTATTTTTATAAACAATATATTGTCAGTTATTCGAGACTAAATACATTTCATTAATCTACATTAAAAATTATGTTAAACACACAGTCCCTGACAAGGCATCATTTTAAGTTAGATCAAAATATAAAGGTACTCATTTTTGGCACTGTCAGAATTATTTCCATAATGAGTATCCAGAATGGAAATCCTATTAATTTTATCACTAGGAATATAAATTCTACCTAAATCTTCATGAAATAAACTCACACTATATATAATGAAAACAGTTAATTTTTCCACTCCCAAGGTTAGATATATAATAAAGGCACATCTTATGATAAATATAGTCATTGGAATATATAAATTCAACAAACATATCATAGACATGGCTCTGCATGTTTGATTCTATCAATAAGATAATCTTTCAAACCACTCATGTTGTAAGATGTATAAAATTGACTTAATAATGTATACTTTAGACTAGAAACTTTCAGGCCAAGAATTTTCAGATGTCTTTTTCTCATTATTTGAGGACCAACAAGTTGTTCATTATCAGAACAGTAATGATCTGGCAAATGAATCAAAATAGCTATATTTTCATTTCTAGGTGCTTTTAATTTCCAATTGAACATATTACTACCTAGCCCTGCAGGATGAAACATCACATCAATCAAATATGTTTCATCAGAATACAAATAAGGAATTAATACAGCTGTTGATAACTTATCCTCACTACCTGCGACAGCCAAAAGAGTATCTTTAATTTTATCTATGATATTTTTTATCCTAATGTCTTGTATAATTGGTTTTGACCACTGGTCCTTAGGCAAAAGAGGACCTAAATATTCAGGGCATTCTAAAGACAGAGCTGTGTCTATAATATTCAGTGTTCTTAACACATGAGGATTAATTTTGGACAAATACTCCTGACCAAACATTCTATTAACTAATTTTAGTGGATATTTACTAACATAAATATATGAGAGAAATATTGAACTCAAATGTCCTGGGTCAATTTTATAAAATTTATCCTCAATAACACTTTCAACAAATACCCAAAAGTCATCATATTCTTTTGTACCAAATAATAAATATCCAAATGGATAAATTAAAGATTTCAAGAAACTAGGTGATATGGATCTACCACGTTTTAAAAAGTATTGACTACAAGCTGTCATAATGTGATTATTTCGTATTTGAAACTGCATACAATAATTTAAAACACCCACAATCAAAACATGTGATTCTATCTTTGTACCTTTTAACCTCATATACTTCTCCACTGATGACTCTATTTGGATGTCTGTGTAATTCAATCTGGTCAATTTTGTTATTACATCTAAAAGTGCATCATCATTTAAAATATTAATGCTTTTCTTAAACCAACTTCCTACAACAGCAAAAGACTGTAAAGACATATATTTTTCTTGAATAAAGATACTGAGAATGTCCTGCATGGTAGTTACATTAATTTTAGGCCACAAATCACACAATTTTTGTTCAAGTAACGTTTGCACTATTCTTTTGCTTATTTTTAAATTTGGCAATACCTCAAATATGCATACAATGTTTGTTTCTTTAATATCTACTTCTTTCTGAACAAAACCAACCCACAATTTATCTATAGTTTCAGAATATTTGGAGTCATTTTTATTTTTAATTAGAAACATTGCAAATGTGCAAAGTTGCTCTATTGTTAATTTATTGTCTACAGTTCTGAATAAAAGTTCATCACAAAACTTATATTTATATGGTTCCATAAAAGAAGAAACTGACTGCAATACATTCAATATTGTTTGTGTGTCTTCAGTCTTCATAACTACTTTTAATAACTTATCTAATATAGCACCCTTTGCTAAATTTATGTGATCGTTTTTAATATCTAAATTCAAGGCACTTGGATTCTTTTCTAAATCATAAATACGTTCCATAGCACCTAGAGCAATATTTGGCGTAATTTTTGTGCATTTCGTGAGCAAGGAAAATACATCACGAAGGTCTACACATTGTTTAAACTCCGATTGTATGAGATTATAGCTGACTGAATCACTTGTGTTCTTCTTTTCTTGATCGCTGCCTTCATGCTCTTTTTCTATTTCTATATGTTTTATTTTTCTGATAATCACTGGTAGCTCCTGGACATTAAAACCGTTTTCCACTAAAATGGTACTATCGCTAAAATCGACATTGTCGAAGACTCTATCGTCACTGAATGTTTTGTGAAATATTGGCATCACGGTGGAGAGCGACGGTATTACGGATTTGTGTACATTTTTGTGAGCTCTAGTATACGATCTTAGTACTAAAGCCATATTTTGAAGATACTGGTATTACCACATATTACTAATAAAAAAAACTCACCCCTCGATTAGGGTATATTATTTGATAATAAAACAAATACAAATATCATGTAAGAAAACTACTTTATTGCGTATAAAATTAAATAATACGCAACTGTACCCAAACGTCATGTCGAATGACATTTGATTGAGTTTATTTGACATTTTAACAGAGTAGTCAAACAAAAATAGTAGTAGTAGTGGTATATTTTATCCACAAGTGGATAGGCAAAGGTACAAAAGTATTTTTTAGGATTTACATAATGTTAGTCGATAGATAGTGCTTAACGCATTAAAGTTTTATATTTATATATATATATATATATATATCGCTATATCTCTACAAAGCTAGTGTCGCCAAACTATAATGTACATAGTTAAAACTTGATTTAAAAAAGGGTTGTTTAATGTTTTGTTAGTAAACAGTAATCTATGACAATTATAATAATATGACTATACTGATCAAAACTAAAAATAAATCTAGAAAAATCAAGGATGAATCTCATGAAAAGGATTTTTTTTATTTTTAGCAATTATTATATGTGGAAGATATAACCTTAATAATAAAGTAACCTTTACGCCAATTTAACAGTTACGTTTATTTTCTGTCTTCTCACCATAATAAACTAACTAAATAATACAATGGCGGCCCCATTCAGAACGACATAGTCAACTGCACTATTTATAAAGGCAAGTACTCAGGGCCATTTTAGTACAGCATCAACGTTCATGAATGAACCACAGACGAGACCATGAATGAATGACAACAAGTATGTATAAGTATTTGGTTATAATCTGTCACTGTCTTTAAATACAACTTGTAAGTCGTATCGTAATTCTTATATGTAGTATTCGGTAAGTCATTCATAAAAATATTCTAATATAATATATAAATATTAATATTATATAACTTTCAGTTTATTAATAAATAATCAAAGTGCTAAAAATAAGTAGTTAATTGTACTATTATAATATAACTAAGTATTTTTACTAACTAAATATATTTATCTTTAATTATTATTAAGGCTTTTTTAAAATGCCGGACTTGGTACACAGAATCAGTTATTACATACCAATATTAATGATATTGTTATTTTTATTTAGACAAAAATTTATGGTCCTTACCTAATTAAATTAATTGTATTTTTACGTATTTAAATATAATTTTATTGCCTATGAAAAAAGATTAATATTATATGATGTTAATTTATTTTTTATATATTTACAGATATCTTTATAAGGAATAATTGTGGAAGTGCAGTAAGAAAAAAAAATGCCCATTTATTTTTTATAATAATTGTATTAACTTCTCCAATTAATACTGGATTATAAAACATGTTACCAATGCCTGAACCAACACATGTAAGTATACCGACCATACATTTAATCAAATTAATTCGCCACATTATAGCAGACAGGTGACACAAAATTGGACTTTTATTATTATTTGGAATAATAAATAAGACAACTTATATGTTATTCTGAGTTATATTAATAAAAAAATGAAAATAAGAATTTATTGCAACTTGTTCTATCTATATATATATATATATATATTATACATTTAAAGTAATTAGACCAATACACACAGAGATCCTCTTGAATACTCATTGGAGCACTTTTAGGTCACAGGGCAAAATGAGTATTTTGTGTACATTTGGCTCATGTCTAGCCTAAATACTGTGTGCACATGTTATATAATAGTAATAGAAATAGAAATAGAAATAGAAATAGAAATAGAAATAATCTTTATTCAAAAAAACTCATTACAAGCACTTTTGAATAGTCATATTATATATATATATATATATATATATATATATATATATATATATATATATTAGTGTAATCAGATAATATTGTCAAATGTATTTAAAATTTTTCTACAAAAACATTATTATCGACCTTCAATTTTATAGTAAGCTTTTTTGCAAACATTTAAATCTTTTTTCTGGCAGATTTATAACAGACTCTGGTATTTTATTGTAAAACCTTACGCAATTGCCATAAAACGAATTACTAACTTTAGCCAAACGACATTTAGGTAAAATCAGTTTGTTATTGTTACGTATTTTATTAGTGCAATCACTAACTCTTTTGAAACTGTCTATATTCTTCCTGGCATACATATTTTCATAAATATATTGAGAAGCAACGGTGAGGATATTTGATTCCTTAAAACACTCTCGTAAAGACTCCCTGGAACCCATGCTATCAGCTGCTTTGCCCCATAACAAAATACCATGTAATGTGGAAATAGCTAAAGTACACAAGTTTATGTTATATAATTCTTCTTACCGCGTGTTTCGCGTAGTGTTTCTTTTTCTATTCATAAAACCAGACCCATTCCCACCCATGATTGTTTGACTCTTCTCCATATCCAATTCTCAATTTATTGGACCTTATTTGTTTCTATTTTTTATGTATGATATTTACATTCCTTCTTCTAGGTAGTTCAAAGCATAGACATTATGCTTTGAACTACCCTACACTAAATTATAATTGTGTTATAGGATATTCATCCATATATAAACCTAAAGATTTACATTGGCCACTAGTGAATTATGATGAGATAATGATGAAGTCAAATCAGTCAGTCTATTGTGCCTAAGTAATGTGATTTCAACTTCATCTCATCATTCAGAATCTATCAGGTTCAGATAGAACAGATTCAGAATTATTTCATATTAAAGAAGACAGGTCAAACATGAAACACTGCTAACAATAGGACCCCGATACTAGTCATACCTTCCTCCACCCATTATAAATCCATCCGTAGGTATATCATAATTTTTTAACTATACATCAACTACATACTGCCATAAAATTGTCATATAGATACACAGTCTAAACAAGACATTAAGTACCATACTTAGTAGGCAAGCAGCTAGTAGTATGAAGCAACCTAGTTTACTGACTGTACCATATGCTCCATTAATAACAACACCTACTTGCAACTACACTAATGCCGGCATATAAATAAACATATTACCGACGTCTGTTATGAGCGCAGTCCAATTAGCACATTTAACACATAGTTAAGCGGTCTGTCAGGCATAAAGCGATTTTGAGCGAGGACAAATCATTCCATACACTTCGCAAAGAAAATCTTAGATAACGCCTCGCGTATTTTTATATGTTTATCTTGAACGATAAGAAATTGTAAAGAGCAACTAGGTATTTTTTTTACTTATCTAGAATTTTGTAATTCATACGGCGTTTATTATGTAGTGTTGAGTTACAATACAATAATTAGGTATCCGGCGTTTACAGTGTCAAGAATCATATTTCACTAGGTGTCCATTTTATAATGAGGCCGTAGTTTTTATTGAACATTTTATTCGGCGGTAAAGGTGCGTAGATGTTTGATAGTTCGGTCTTACAAAGTGAGTACTAGTAAGCAGGTATAGTAAAAATTTATATTTAATATTTTTCTTCTGTCCTATATTATGACATTGGAAAATCTAGTACATAGACAAAATGATTGATAGATTCCTTCTAGATTGATACTATTATTAAAAACAATATAGAAGAGATTGTTAGTAACTCGGGGCGGTAACCCCATTGCTAGCAATACACCACGTCAGGTCGATCTCCACGCGTATTCTCCTTGACACCATAGTGGTTAATTCCTGGTGAATTTATCAAAATCATTAAACTCAGGCTCAACTTATCATCCTAAGGTACCCTGCCAACGTATGTGATTAGCGCAGGCGTGTGTACCATTCCATTATCATCCATCAAAATATACACATATATATTTATACAGAAGTGATAACAGTGTTTTAAATGACTATCTTTTTGTGCATGTAAATTTCCATACTAACATTGCTATTTAGTTAGGTACTTTAAACTAAATTGGTGAAGTCACATCACACATTGCCACGCCCGCTCTCTTATGAGGCAGGCAGAGAGAGAGCCGATTGACACGGGCCTCTATTGTTCCACAGATATATCTACATATCTTGGATATTATTTTCTTACTTCTCACTTTCAGTATTTTTTTTTTAAACAAAAGATATCTAGACACGCGGGAGCGTGTCAAAGCCGAGTTTAAGTAAGAGAACTGGCGAGCAGCACCGTGTGTATTATTACACGAACCATTTTGAACCTGCCATATACACTCATGAAATTTCATGAATTCTTTCTCAATATTATGATCTACGTATCGACGACCTAGGTAGTCTCGCGTATAGTACTTGTAGTAGATAACCTTCCTTCCAATGGTCTAGAATTCGACTCTCGCACTATATGATATATAATACCCATAGTAATAACTCTGTTTTTATATAGGTATTAGAAAATACTATATAAATTATCATGAATTTTTATTATTACTAATTCCGCATTAAAAATAAATATTTAGGGACACAAAATAAGGTATTGCTTTTCAACAGATTTATAAAAATACATTCTCAAATCAACTGTATTTTTATAGAATAGTAATTATAAATAGCGATCTTTATAATGTGAAAATAAATATTAGATACCATGGTGTACGAAAAAAATGTAAACTTTTTCTTGTGTAAAATGAATATTTTCTGAATATATATAGAGATATTACGCATTCAAAGAGATTTAAAAATTATAAATAGGTCGCATTCTGCACAAAATGAATATCTTAATATATATAGAGATATTAATTTTTAAAATAAGGGCGAATGTGTGTCTGTTTATTTGTTGTCTTTTCGTTCAACAGTTTCATGGATTTAATAATCAATTTTCTTATGAGAACGAACATATGCATATATTATATTAAAAAAGCAGACATGGTCAAGGGTAACAACTACTTATTTATATCACGGTATAGTGTGTAAAAACACTTTAATGTATTTACACAATGTACATACATTAATGTTCCAAAATTACATATGAAAGCAAAATATTCTGTTTTTAAATATATGAAACAGATATTTGAAATTATTATATTTCTACTGTTTGAGATAGAATTTACTGTTCTCGCTGTTTACTGCGCGCGCCGCAAAAAGTGTTTTGTGTTTTTAAACCAAGGTTCTATCTCGAAGTTCATTATTATTGTTATAGCTCCAATAGACAGACAAAGGTCTGTGTAACTGTCTGTGACAACATTGTATCCTCCATAACGTTTGATTGACTTTAACATGCATTATTATTTATGATTCTATTGTATAGTTTCATCTTTTTCTTATTGTAGTAGTCATAAAACTATTTTGAACTAAACTAAGTTACAATTATATTATTTGATACATGTACAAAATGATAATGTGTATGTTTGTGAAGACATTTAGATATTCGTTTTTAAGTCATGTTTGAACAGCTAAAATAGAAATTGATTTGTTATACATAGCCCATACATTAGTTTGACATATAAAATGGTTTTATCTTAATACGCAAAGGCGAAGACGCGATTTAAAGGTAGTATCATTTTTTTGTTTGACTAAAGCAATTGTTATCATACACATCACTCATTCACGTCACGGCTTTGTTTAAAACTTTCCATATTTTCAGATGGATTTCGAATTGAAATGGGGTATTGCCGGGGTGGGCATGATTGCTCACGACTTCATCACCGCCTTAGGCACTTTGCCTGCTCACCAGCACAAGGTTGTCGCTATCGCGGGGAAAGACCTCGAGCGAGCTGACAGATTGGCCTCGCTACATAAAATCGCTACAATATATGAAGGCTACGAAGCACTGGCACGTGACGATTCTATAGGTAATAAACACCATTCGAACTATCTCTTCTATGTTTACACATTTTTAACAGCATTCAGCGAAACTAAATATCCATTCGTTTTCTTGAACAATTTGTTTATTTATCTACTTATTGGAATAGTACATGTTTTTTTTTATTTAGAATGGTGCACCTACCTGCGCTAACGATATAGCAGAACATTAGTGGAAGAGGGTAAAATCAGGGGCATTAATTATATTAAATATTACAGGGGTAATAAGTATATTAAATATTGTTAACTACTCCAATATGAAATATACAATAGTCTTAGTTCTTAGTATAAATCCAGTACAATATCGTGTCTTTTGATTCACTTGTATAATATTATAATTAAAATTTAAGAAATCACAGTCTCGGTGGCCTAGTTGCTTAGTACACTACTTTATTTTCGATGGTACGATTCCTCGCAAATATTTGTATTCATGAGCATTATTTTTTGCGTTTGTCTAGGTGTTTACTATTTATACTATACATTTAAAAAAAATATATATCTAAGTATCTCGAGGAATCGAACTCGCGACCATCGGCAGTAAAGCGGTATGCTAAACCGCTAGACTACCGGGGCCGTCTATTATTTTACTTTTTCCATCAGGTAATTTTCATTATCCATAACATCTCATTAATACGGGTTTCATAAGGAGTCTGACCAAATCGTTCATTTCACCTGATCATATTAGCTTTTCAGATTATAACAATTCACATACAGCACAGACGAAAGTATAGGGCATAAACCAGTATATAAGTCGTCACAAACATCTTATAAACGACCTTAAGTTCCGCCACAGTATATAGCTATTGAGAATTGTGTAACGTACGTGCATATGTTTCCACCGCAAGGAATGTGGACAGGAATTAAACATATTATCAAGTAAGCTTTATATTAAATAAATCATAAAATCGGAATGATTTTATTCTAACATTTCTATAGTATAGTGTAATAATATATAGGTACGTAGTTATACATAATATTCAATACTTTTGTTGTTTCTTAAATGACAGCCGCTTTAGAATAGTCACCGCAAGGATTTTTCAGCAAGTCATTATTAACATAATAAATGATTCATGTGCACACTTCAGAAAAACAAAGTAAACTATACTTATGCAAATGTGTTACTGATGTAAAAATAAAAAATGTTATTTAGCATGTAATCATAAATTTACATTTTTAGCACTCTTCCTATAGTATCCAGTTTTTTTGCAGTCCTATATCATCTACTTTCACGAGACTATTTTCCTTGTTTGCAGACATCGTTTTCGTGAGTGTTCTGAACTTGCAACACTATGAAATATCTAAGCTAATGTTAGAGAACAACAAACACGTATTGTGCGAGAAACCAATGGGTATGACATACAAACAGGTCAAGTCACTGGTGGATCTGGCTCGCGAAAAGAAACTCTTTCTTCTTGAGGGAATGTGGTCGAGGTTCTTTCCTGCTTACGACGCTTTGGATAGGCACATATCTTCTGGCGGTCTTGGGGACATCTATCACATCAGCATACAGTTTGGGGTCGAAATTAACGACATTGAGAGAAACTTGTAAGATATTTATTTCCATTCGCCAAATCGCTTTGTCGAAACAATGCCGCATCTGTATATAATGCTACATCATCACCATTATTAATATAAAATAGAATAAATAGAAATATATATATAGAAAATGTAATGTAATAGTTAAAAGTTAACTCTGTTTTGTAATTAATTACACTTAAAACCACTGTACTGTGTGTACAGTCGTTATACGTGTTTTATTACCCTGCTTAAATCGCATACGTGACTTCTAGACGAAAACAAAAGCTTGGTCATTGTATATTTCCGATTTACTTAAGTTATGGAAATACCAATAACAAAGCAAAATTAATCCTGCCACGTTTCATTTATATGATTGATTTTAGTTAAAATTAGGTATCAGCGAAATGTGGGCATGTCGAATGTTGCTTTGACTATATCATCGACAGATGACAATACCTACCACTGATCACAAAATGTGGGATAACCGTTTTCATATTTATAAGAATATATACTATGATGTAACAAAAATAGTAATCTTTATTTGTCTCAAATAAAAACTAATACAATTGCTTCATGATTGAAAACGATCTATAACTCAGAGGGGGCAGTGAGTCCACCCACAGATCCACAGTCAATAGATACTTTAATACTAAGTATGTTTTTAATATTGTAACATTGCAGAATGAAGGATTTAGGAGGCGGAGTAATACTAGACTTGGGTATTTACATGTTGCAACTAGTCCAGTTTATATACAAGGAGCCGCCGACTGACATCGTATGTACTGGACACCTGAGTAAGGCGGGCGTGGACGAGTCCATCTCCTGCGCTCTCAAATACAAAGACGGCAGGACGGCCACGCTCGCCGCTCACACACGCGCCACCTTAACTAACAAAGCGGACATCAACGGCACTAAGGGCACTCTTGTTGTAAGTAATTGTTTTAAATTTAAATTTAATGCCGTCTTAAGCATATTCGGCAACGGGGTCCCGGGGGAAAGTAAAAATATCAACATTTTAGTATACTAATGTTATATTATTACAATCGTATATTTAAATATATTAATTATATAAATTAAAATCGCTATAAAAAATAATTTATTCTACATACAAGCTCTATGCTTGGTGTATTTTTAATGCCACGTTATAAAAATATTAGGAGTGGCCAACTTAAGGGTATGAAAAATACATTGTAGCCGATTTTCAAACCTACTACTACTTATTGAATATACATATAAAATTTCATAAAAATCGGTCAAGCTGTTTAGGAGGAGTAGGGTAACTAATTACCATACTCCTCCTAAGAATTTTATAAGATTTAATAGGTAATTACTGCTACCTATATTTTTGTTGTATTTTTTTTATTGTATTGACGTAACAAAGTGCACTTTGACGTAACAGTGCAATGACGTTGACATTAATCGAGTAAATGATTTCTAGCTCTCGGCGCCCTCTAGGAACATGCGCCCGGGTGCGGCTGCACCCCTTGAAACCCCGGGTAAATACGGCCCTGTTCTAATTCCACGATAAGAGGAATGACAACGTAGTCCTCTGCAATGGCAACGATGTCTTTAGTTCATGTACATAGGCGACAATTACTGCTTACAATCAGGTGGTCATACAAATGTTTTAAATCGGTAATCTTTTAAGTTATGCCTGACAGCTTAGTAAGTACTAATGGATTGAAGTGTGTAATATTTTTAACAATGAAAGACGTCTTCGCAGGCGGAACGAGATCCGTTTGTCGTTAAAATAAATTATTGTTTATTTTAAAGTGTCTTTAAAAGAGCTACACACAAGTTGCTTATTATTCTTGTAATGCTTCTGCTGACCCAATAAATCCCAATAAATAAAAAATATGACTATTCAAAAGTCAGCTTATATTAAGTTTATTTCAACTTATTCAATACTAGCTGTACCCGCGACTTCGTCCGCGTGGAATTTAACTTTATTTATCTAAAATAAAAGGAGCCTAAGTTACTCCTTATTACATCAGCTAGCTGCCAAAAAAATTCCCGTCAAAATCGGTACAGCTATTTCAAAGATTAGCCGGAACAAACAGATAGAGAGACAAAAATTGTATAAAATGTTATTTTGGTGTCTGTACCGTATTTATATTCATATGCATGTAGTAAAAAACGGTTATTTCAATATATATTCAATAATCAACAGACACTCCAGTTATATTTATAGATGTATAGATTAATGCCATCAACTTATTTGTCACTCAAATTATAAAAAAGAGAGTTATTTAAACAGTTCTTATATTTTATTTATAGTTGGATTACTTCTGGTGTCCGACTGTGCTGCATGTATCGGCTGCTAACAGCACAGAGTGGAGCCTGCCGAAAGGGAAATACAAATTCCACTTTCACAACAGCGCGGGACTCAGCTACCAGATACAGGAGTGCTGGGATTGCATCAGCAAAGGTAAAAGCCATTTACTATTTATTACCCTACCCATAAAAGTGTTTTTTAATTTCACTACTTAATGGATTTATAGTATTTTGTTTTAATTTCTATACAGTTACCATGTGTACCATGTGTCTCTAATGGCGATCAAATTCCGACCGTTATTGAGTTTACCTCATATTGCGACACGTGTTTCGCCCCTAGGCATCATCAGGCATTAAATAGAGTTAGGTATATAGCTTAGAAGCCTAGTGATGACTGTTTATTCTTCTTCCTAGTTGTGACTTCTGAATACGATCGCCATTAAAGAAGGTCGTAATGGTAGTCAAGTTTTCACACTGAATATTTGTAGTCTCACACAGGGTAATTGTAGCAGAATTAAACAAAATAATATAAATTTATTAGATAGTGGAATTGGCTTAAAAACCGCAAAATAACACTTAATTAGATTAAATATTTTTTAATTACGCCTATAGGGTTTTGTATGGAATTTGTTACATAGATACCTATATCATTATCTCTGTTTTCTTATCCTAATTTCGTTCAGTTATTATATACAGCATGATTATTTACGCCACATCTTAAGCAAGTTTATATGAATGGTTTCACGTAAGACCTAACGTATTGTAATGTATCTATTATCTTACGATGAAGGACTATTTAACACATAGGTAGCTCCTATTCATCTTTTTTTTTTCTTACCAATATTCAGTGTTTGCCACAAATTGTCATCTAAAATATGACCATTTGTCATATAGACAATTTGTCATTAGAATTATTGTCAGCGTTTATAAAAAATATTTTTTACAAATATTTATTATATATAAATATTTTGCCTCACTAATATTATAAATAGGAAAGTCATGGCTACTTAACGACAAATTAAATTTAACTATTTCTACTAGATATATATGTCTGTATATTTCTGTTACAGGTCTAACGGAGAGTCCCAAAATGAGTTTAGAAGAAAGTGTACTCCTATCGAAATTAACAGATACTATGAGGACGCAAATGGGCATTTTAGAAAACGGACTCTAACGTTGTTATAATAATAGCGTTTATTGTTTAAATACGTATTATTAGGTTAGTTGAATATTTATATACTATATAATTGCGTTCGAAATATTGTGCTACATAGATTTATTTTGCTTTAAATATTACGAAATTAAGTGCCAGTATAACGGGAACAAAAGTACTTGAAAATGTGATAATAAATATGATAATGTTTGTTGTTTGTAAGTTAGTTTACACACTACACGTGCACAAATTACTTAATAAAAGTACAGCATTTACCTCAAGTAACTGTGATTACAATGTGTTGTGGAATGGTTGTTAATAAAATTATATTCAAATAAATACCAGTTCAATATTATTGCACAAATTATTTATTTTAATTTTCCCTATTATATGTGTATAAAAATAAATTAATTGCTGATGTACATAATAGAAATAATATATACATAAAATGTCTTTTTAATCAAAATAAAGCGGTATCCTTTGGTTTAATAGATGTGCAAAGATCACAGTGACATCATATTGTAAATTAATAATCAAAACTCCTAACTAGTTGAAAATTATCATGATTGAAGAAAGTTATCGGCACTTGTTATATTCTTTATGTATTGGAACGAATAGCGGTACTGTGGATTAATATTTAATATTTTTTGCTATAGTATTAAATGTTTTATCGATAATATTTATTCGCAATTACAATTAATTCCTTTGAAAGCGAGTAGGTTATCTGTTATCTAATAAAATATATAATTTATTATTATTAGAATTTATTGTTAGAATTACAGAAAAAGCGGACAATTATGGGTTATTAAGTGTTTTGACTATATATTACAATATATTTAAAAAATCACATATTTACAATTATGCCCAAAATAACGGGATGTTTTCAATATATATCGTTTGCTGAAAGCTACAAATATAAAAATAGAAAGAAAAAAATAATCATGTAAAAATATAAATATATAAAGGTAATCACAGCGAATATCACGTTATATAATGTTTGATACCGGCCCTGCTTAATAGCGGAGAGTATTAACTACTCCGATCGCCCGTCACCGAAAATGGCAATAAAAAAAACTTTGAAGACTTATAGTAAGAGATATGGGAATGATTTATTTGTTGAAACTCTCGAAGACCTCGCGGATGAGGGCGGCCCCGTGGCGGATCTGCTGCTCGGTGATGACGAGAGGCGGCGCCAGTCGGATGGTCTGCCCGTGGGTGGTCTTTGTAAGGAGACCAGCATCACGCAGCCGTAGGCACACCTCATACGCTGACACGCCTATTGTTAAACCATAAAAGTGAACTTTAATAATTTAGCTATAAACACCCAAATGTCTGTAATCCCAATGTGTGAAGAAATTTATGTGCTCAAATATAGAAATAGAAAATTCTTTATTAAATATTTAAGCAATTTTAAATAGGAAATTATAACTTATTTTTTTTAATCTGCTGCCCATTCGGAAAGCATCATCTCCATTTATCAAAAGAAGAACGAGAAGAAACTGGAATATTGCTCTTTTATACTACTTAGTTGTAACTTTACATTTTTAAGTTGAATTTCATAAACTAGCACTAATTCATTAGAATCAAAATAATAAATAAACAACATGCTGGTTGAGTAAATAAATAAGAGTAAAGCAATTGTAGTGATTAGAGCATACCAGTCCTTGCAAGCAATGAGGTTTACTCGTGAACCGTCAATTACTATCACTTTTTTTTTAACTTAAAGGTACAGACTAGTCCGTCCCATCTTCAATATTTGATACGGACTATGAGAATATAGGCATATTAGGGGGACGATCAGCAATTACAGCAAACAACCAATTAATAAAGGATCTCCATACCTTCCGCTACATCGATGGCAAACATCAACCCCCGCCCACGGATAGTGCTGATGTACTTCTTTGGTATTTTCTGTAGTTCCTCAAGGAATACTTTTTCCAAGGCGGCAGCCTTCTCAACTAACTTCTCTTCCAGTAATACCTGTGATACATATGTATATTATTATAAAACTTCTAGATCATGTGACTGAAGATTGTAATGAAAACTTGACCACATCTCGGTGTTCATTAAGGATCACAATGTAATCAAGTAATCCTGTTAAAATGTTAACTAATTATTTAATACGCTTTAATTCTATATTTTTTGCATTAAATTTGATCTATGCTCTCTTACATATTTTTCCTTCTCCCATTTTCACAAATCGTCTCATACTTTACTTGTGTCTTCTGAGACTTAACTAAAATAAGAAAAGCTCATGGGTTTTAAATACTTTAAATTATTTTCAGAACCAATTTTTATTGTAGCACGTCAATGTTGATTCCAGACCAGTGTAGAATTAAACTTCTCTCAATAAAATTAACAATGTTGATGGCATTAATGTATTTTAATATAACGAGTAGCGAGTCACGAATGATTCCCTTAATAATTAGTTTACTGTACAATATATTATTCATATATAAATAGGTAAAAATACCAAAAAATATATTACCTTAATAGCCTCTATAGCTACAGCACATGCTAAGGGATTGCCTCCGTACGTCGACCCATGCGTTCCTGGCTTGATTACCTACAATCAAGTAAATTAATACACAATCAAATACTAAATTACAACCGAAGAATTTTTGAAGTTACATAGTAAACCTATAGAGAACTGAAGTAACGTGTTCTATATAAAATTCATGAATTTATATTATTTCCTTTGTGTTCTATCTCTCAATGCACCCCACTCTACGAATTCGGTGAAGGAATATGGATCATATTAAATTCGTTTATTTTGCCCACGGATTTGTATATAGGTATGATTTTTTTCGAACTAGCAGCTCGCCTTTATAGATTCAACGAACGATAGAGGGCGAGTGCAGATGGAACTCTAAGCCCGCAGAAAGACTTATGAAGCGGCTAAAAGCCGACTCCCACTTGACGAATACGACTTTAGTCTGAGGGCACCGCTAGGGGTTCGAACTTCGGATCTCCGTTTGAATTGGATGGAAGATCGATAGGAGAGGTATAGTACTATACAAGGACCACTAAAATTAATCAAGTAAATAAAGTATATCCGCCCGAAAAAAAGGCCTCATTATCATTATCATATACGAGTATTGCAATAATTATAAGTCGCGTCTCATCTAATTCATTCGCCAAGCACCATGGCTTATAATCTAAATTTCTTTCATGCTATTAGACTAGAAAATAAGCTTACGGCTATGCCATCAATGGGGTTACCAGTGTCAACATCAGCTTTTTTGCCACTCAATTTCCTTAACAAAAATAAGTACGCACGTACGTATTTTAACGGACATATTACAAGCATTGAAATAGATATGAAGAAAAGTAACTTAGCGACCAGAAAACTATTTCTGTCGCTTACGTAGGTATAACAAAATTACTACAAACTTTCTTCAGGAATTTGAATTAGTGTAATTATACAAAAACATGAGATAATGAATACGTACATTCATAACGCTGCTGTCAGTTAGAACGGCTGACACCGGTATCGTGCCACCACTGAGCGCTTTCCCTAGGATCACGATGTCGGGCCTGACTCCCTCATGTTCCACTGCCAATAATTTGCCTGTGCGACCTGGTGATTACAATAATATAAATTGCAGAAAACAATAACTACAGAGTGAAATGGACGTGTTCTATTAACAAATGGGATTTTTTTTGACAGATAGCATACTTTTAAGCGTCCTTTATAGATAAAAATAAATGTCCAAATTCAATGATGAATTTCTAGACAATTCATCCAATTTGTATGAAACTTTTATTAAATAATCAGAGCACCGATGAAATATACCGACGCAGTATCCTGGTAAAATACTATAAATTTAGAACATAGGTAAATGTGGTACTTACTTGGTATGTAGATGGATATGAGCTATAATTATTTGCATAATATACATAAAAGTTAAATAAATGTATAAAATTTGTTCGGATACAACAATACAATAAGTATTTATACATTTTTATAAATTGTATCTACAATTAATTAGGAATTGTGTTTGAAAGTAGCGCTATTATCAGAGAAGTTAAAAGTTATCGTTTGTCTCGGTATGGTCATATAATGTGCAGAAATGTTTCAAGGAATATATTAAAATGAATGTCATTAGATTATTTATACGGACTGTATATGATGAAAATAATATGTAAATATTAAAAATAAAAATCTATAGAAACAAAAGGTACCAAATTTTGAATCGTCAAAACACCAACACCAAATTATGAAATATCTGTGTTAATATACGTAATAAACAAAGAAAATGGAGAAAGATAATTCAGGCATCAATTTACGAAATTATTTTGCTTTTTTTATTTTAATTGGATGATAATGGTAATGCTAATGTTATAACTGATGGAGTACCAGTGGACGATAATGGAATAGATAGATTAATTCAAATATGTATTTGCATCGGAACAATTCTACAACGAATTAGATATAACATAACCATACCATCATATTATGTATATTTATAACAAATAAATTTAGTGGTCATTTCAATAACACACCGCTAAGTTACTTCCGTAACAAATCCACCACGAATTTGATTAATTTATGGCACGATACAAACATTTATATTCCTAGATGGCCTTTATTGTTTAACACACCGTTTCTATATATTATGTATGTATTTAAAAAAATCTCTAAATATATCTGTCCATTATCTAGTACCCATAATACAAGCTCTGCTTAGCTTGGGACTAGATGGGGCGTGTGAATTGTCTAGGAATATTATTATTATTATTATTATCAATCTCTTTAAAACTACACTTACCTAGACCAGTCTGAACTTCATCAGCGATCCAGAGAACATTGTACTTTGTGCACAACTCTCGCACTTTTCTCAGGTATCCTGCATCAGGAATTATAACCCCTGCCTCCCCTTGGATGGGCTCCACCATGAATGCTGCTATTGTGGGATCTTGTAATTCTTTCTATAAGTAACCAGTGCAATTTTAAAATGTAACAATGAAGAACAATTTTAATAAAGATATCAATTAGCTCTAATAAGTTCTTTTCATCTACATACTTTAAACATCAATAAAATAATAAATTCAATAAAATTATAATATATGTATTAAATGGGGGATAGAAAATTTTTTTTCTTTGTAGTTTTTCACTTTTCTGTGGCAACAAAGAGTCATTATTATTATAATCATGATCTTGTACTCACTATTACCACATTAACTAAACGTTTTGTTAATAAGAGTTATCTTTCTCTTACAATGATGTATTCATCATTTGATTATCCATTGATGAATGTTTAGAATCCATATTAATCTGTTCATTCACACGAACAAAAACGACACTAAAATACAAATTACCTCTAAAGCTGGAATGTTGTTATAAGGAATAAGTTTAAATCCGGGCATATAAGGTCCGAAGCCGCGATAACAGGATGGGTCTGACGATGAAGATACTGCAGACAGCGTGCGGCCCCAAAAATTACCCTCGGCGAAAATAATCTAAAACCAAACATTAATCAATAATGATATATCTCTAATAGGTAGATATTGTTAACATACATATTTGTTAAAGTATATGCAACATTTTTTCAAAAGCAATTCATACAGTGCCTCATAAAGTAGGCACGGTTTGTTTTGTATTCTGGGAACTGAACAACTGGCAGATAAAGAATACACCTAAATTGAAAATATTCAGACAAATAATGATGTGATGAGTATAGTTATTTGTATTGGTTGAAAGATTACAATATTGAACAAATACAAATTAACACATACCTACATGTATAAATATCTACGTTATTATTTACTAGCATCAATCATATGATACTTTTGTATATTTTTGTGTATAATACATAAACAGTGTAATACATTTTCTATGTCTATAATGACAAATATATTCGTTGGTCAGTAAAAAGCACATTGGATTTTTAGTCACGTGGCTGGTATATTAAAAAATACATAACATTATTTTAGTAGTCTAGTGGATTGCTAGGCGGTGGCCTGTGACCAGAGTTTGTTTAGTGCTAGATTCTAAATTTATTTTTAGCTAACTAAATTACGATCACTGTGGAGTAGTGGCAACATGGCAGGCACATTGCTTGACGTAAATGAAATTCCGTATTCAATTCTTGGTCAAGTTAATTTATGATACTAATGAAAATGTAGGTAACAAAAAATACTATTGGTCCTCCCATTTATTCCTTGAGTTTCTGAAGCGACGAATTTTACTTGATATCATAAACATGAAAATTTGTTATGTGTTTTACTTTTTTTAAAAATACTGGTCGAATATGAAAAAATGGAATGGTTATTATACAAATCACGCTAGTAGCATCCCTAAATCAATAATAATGAAAATTTTTTTTAATAATTAAACTTATTACGACATAATTACAATTATTTTTTGTGTTTATATAAAGTGCAAATCCGACTCGCACTTTACCGATTTTTAATAGGAGCCACCTAATGGATTAGCCAGTGCGAGCTCGTGTATGTCGTTTGAACTGTATGTAGAAAATCCGCCACATTTTTATAAAAAAAACACCTCTTAATTTTCATTAAAAACTATACCTACTTTTAAATATAAAACCAAACCAAACCAATTTCATTTGGCATCGTATTGTTATGACAATTTTATTATTGTCCATTAAATGTTGTAACCAAACGAAACTAGTTCCAACAATATAAATGTACTGATAACGGTAACTACGACGAGTATTGTGTTGAACTCGACTTCTCACCTTGGCCTGCCCCTCTGGTATCTTCTTGACCTCGTAGCCCCACTTGCGCGCAATTTTGCACGCACTTTCACCACCCTCCACCCCAGTATTCATTGGTAGCAAACGTTCATATCCAAATAACTCTGTCATAAACTTCTCGTATTTGCCAAGTTGATCAGAATAGAATGCTCTGAAAAACATGTTATACAAAACTTTTGAGACAAAGGGTTCTTGTCTTATCGTCCACTTTCTTGACTCGCTAATTGGTATATTTCTTTTTAACCGACTTCAAAAGAAGTTCTAAATTAAACTGTACTTTTTAATTACACGATATAGTCGCTGAAACTGAGTCGATGTCTTACCACTATCTAAGCTAATTTTTGTCACGTTTTGTTCTTGTGAATCAAATTTATTATTTCTGGAACATAATGCTTTTCTTGCTATTTTTACATTAAACATTATGGCATATGCTATTATTAGTCTTTTTTACACTAATTTTTTTATAACTATGTAAAGGGGATTTAATGAACTTATTATGTTTAGAAACAAATATTTTGACGTCGCTCAAAAAAAATACGAAACAAGACGCTTGAACTCAGCCTGAAAAGACTTTCGGATAAAGTCGAAACAATTGTTGCGAAAGTTTATTAAATTCCCGTACATAATAAGGAAAATATTAGGATCATATTTACCTACTAAGTAAAATAGGCACTTACAAAAGGTATACATACCTTATACTTGTGAAAATATTTATCAGTACGTAAAGTGTAACAAACACATTTCTCATTTTCTAATAATAACTCTTACTACTTATTTATCGCCAGCATTGTGATGCAGCGTTTACCAGTGCCAATTAATATAGACTATATATAGATAAGAAATGGGTTGACAACAGAACTCAGCTAAGGAAAATTTTTATGTTTCATAAACAAATAGTAAATAATTGGTGGATGTGGATATTATTAAATTCAACTCGATCGCTTTTTTACGCGTGTTGTTTACGCAATATCTTTGCCAATAAGTATCCAATTTCGATCATTCTTTTTTATGACGAAAGAATATACTCTCACTAATCACTACTCATGTTTAGATTGTCCAGAATTAAATAATTATTTATAGAAACAAATTCATAATATTGATTGTTGAATAAATGTAGTTGTTAAATCAAATTTACCTTACAAATGCAAATTCACCACGATATTAACAGTACTTGCCAGAACATAATCAAATTTATGAATAATTAATATTAATAAGCAATTTTATTTATGGCAGTTAGATTACCTAGAGACAAGTGTGAGCTTTTCTGCCTGTTTTTTTAGTGCTTCCACGATTCTTCGGTGACAGTGTCCTTGATTCACGGCAGAATACGCGCTTAGGAAATCATAATACTTTTTTCCTTCCACGTCCCAAACAAACACACCTGGAATAATAATAATAATATATTTATTTTCTTCACAAAAACATTGTCATAATATATTGTAGAACAGAGATATACAGGCATGTAAAATTTAATAAATAGCATATCATGTAACAGCATACTACAACTAATAGGTCACAAAAATAATAAGGCGACTAATAGTGGCCTACTATCTTAACCTACTAATTTTAACAATTTTTCGCCGTTAGAATTTTTCAGTAAACTGAAGCGCCCGGTATAAACAATAGCGGCGAAACACCAGTTTTCTTTGTATTCGAATATATGTACTTTATATATTACTTAGTATAGTTACTTAGTTCCAAAGTGACTAAGACTATTAAATACATTGATATATTAATATGTGTATAACAAACTCAAAGTTAAGCTTTATCCTTACATTATGGTGTTATTACAAATTGTTAAGTGGCGCCAGACAATCAAACTTCACTTCATTGGCCACGTCTTTTCTAAAGCTTCACTTGGTTTTCCTGTTTCTAGCATGACATTGGCAGAAAAACAATATAACTTTTCACACTACTTCACATTTCATAAGATGACACTTTTATAAAACAGTCATACCTTTCTACAGGGACTTTGACGATCCTTAGGCAATGAGCCTATTCAGAGACTTAGAAATATTTCAATTATTATAGATAACTGATAAACATGCTATTTTTTGTAAAGATATAATTTTAACAGACCTCATACCTACTAATACAATGACCTCTTACCCTACAAGCCATGCACATACTCATGAATTTAAATGTTGGTAGATATGTACTATGCAACAATGGTTTCGGCTATCGTCGGAAAGCACAGTTTATATGCTAAATTACTGCATCGCCGAGGTTTTGCGATGATAAAAATATTGTTTGTATAAAATTCCTTTGTAATAAGAGATTAAATATAAAATGTCGTCAAATCTTGTCATAATCGACAACATTTAATTAATGTAAGTTTATTATTAATTTACATAAGCGCTTACATTAAATTGTTTAAACAATAAGGTGATAAGAGTGGATTATTTTATTGTTATATTATGAGGAGTTGTATATTGTGAAATATGTATTTGAAATATTAATGTACTTATAAGCATATTTTATATAGGAATACTTCAGCTAAATCCGACCTGCCCGAATAATCAGAACTTTAGGAGTTTTGTACATAGTAACATAATGTATAAACCTATATTACTCCGAATAAATGTAGTTTTCGAACAAGTACTTTTATCCGCATAATTTATTTACACGTATACTATAGTAGTATAATAGTACAAAATTATGTATTCACACAAGGCCTTTCGGCCTCTTGTGCATGTCGAATTTTTATCACTATCCCAGCTTATAACATTCTAATGATTTAAACAAAATATAACGTTGTACTAGTAAATAGAATTGATAGTTTATCTTAATACTGCAATATAAATTTTAAAACTTATATGATACAAAAAGCATTGTATTTTCGTAATTTATAGATATATTTATTTTACTTACATGCTATTATTAACACTCACTATAGGAAGTAATGGCTATTTCTATAAATACATACAGTAGGTACTTTTTGCACTAAAAACAACTCACCTTCGCCGCGGCATAAAGCAACTGGCACGGGGGCGTAATTATGGCATCCATACTTGTCCTCCAGGGAGAAAATCTCTTCTGAACTGTATCCTTTCTCACAGGCCATTCTAAAATAATTAAATATAAAAATTAAGTTACCAGCTTATATGTTTCGTATAGCCATAACTTCCCGAAGCAAAAGACAATAAACAAATTACACGATTAAACCTCTCAACGCCTCAGATTCTGAGAAAATTATTATTTTATTTGTATTTAAAAACGAAAATATTTTTAAATCATCAGGAAACGGGGAATCATTTAGATTATCTATACTACGATATGGGAAATGTCATGATAAAACTAATAACTATTACGATTCTGGTTCTTGTACAATTAATAACAGATGACAGAGAAAACTACCCACATATAAATAATATATTAATTATTATTTCATGCCACCATTCCAACCACGGAAATAACAGAAATCAAAAACCAAATTATCACAGCATTCCGTAAAATATTTGACAATAAAATAACTACCCTCAAATATATCCCCAAAAATTTAAACAAATTTCTTTTTAAATATAATATGATATGATATCTTTCGCTTTTCTAGGCAAATATAGATACTCGATATTGGCTCTTTTCAAAATAAACTCTATTCATTAAATTAAAAAAAGATAATATACTCACTTTACGAATAAATTTTCAGCAATTACTAAAACTAATCTGTGATACTGTACTGACAAGGTCTAACCGCAATGTAATAATGTTTAAAGTGCAACGAGTCGACTTATATACTAGTCATAAATATAGGATCGAAAACAATTCATAAAAATATCTATGACAATATAATAAGATACCTACATATAATTGATTTATTGATGTGTCTGGTAATAATCTCGATTTAAATAAAAAATATGCCCATTATAAATAATCTCCGTTAAAAATAATAAGTTATTATCGAATGAGTGGATATTAAAAAGTCAAACACATTGCTATAATTAATTAAACATATTATCTCTTACTCACAGAGTCAGTGATAAATACAGTAGGTGAGCAAGAATTTGTAAACTATAATGTAAAAGACGTAACTACAATGAAACTGATATATCTACAGGTATGATATTAATAAAGAATGTCCAAGATTTATAGATTGACAGATTCGTTAAAGCTCTTGAAGAATAAACTTACAACGAAAAGATAACAAATGACATAATATGTAAAGATAATGAATGATTACAACAAAAAAAAAGTTGGCAAACCTTTTAGTTTACGGTTACGTTTAAATTATTTTCCGTACGTATACGTTATTGGGGAACAACTTCGAATCCGCGTGAGATGTGGCAGCGTCCAAAATAACTCAACGACTGAATGCTCCACTGCCGCGTTCGTCGGAAAAATACTTCAAGAAGATTAGGCGACTGATTTGTTCAGTTATTGTCTTACGTCATATCTGTCCTTATATATATATATAAGCAAAAGTCTTATTAAGAACCTAAGCAAATTTAAACAATATTGGAGATCTAAATAAATATGATATGGATTAAGTCAGTTTAATCATAATTTTCTCAAACAAATTCGAGCTATGTGTAAACAATAAAACATTTAGCTCCTGGATTCCTGGACCGGTGATTTGCGGGAAAAGGTAATATCTAAAAATATGTACTACAAATTAGTTTCTTTAAAATTATGGAATGTGAGCAAAAAAGTAAATGCTACTTTTTTTGGCAGTACAATGCATTGTGTACTGATGTACACAGTGCACTACGTAGTAATGACGTAATTTTCATAAGCATGATGGAACGATGATCACTATTCAACGCTAATGTCCAGTAATGTACAGTATACTGATGGAACACCAGTAAAGAATGAGAATGAATTTAGATTTACTGAACATGATAATCAATTGCTTTCATGATATCCAGGGGAATCCGTATGGAGATCGACCTTAACAATCTTCTCTTCCCAGTCCCAGTTCGACGTAGTTGCCAGTAATACATCTATATTTGTTGAAAGTTTTATTCTATCATCAGAGGAAAACCTTATAAGGCGGAAGATATTAACTTTTCAGTTTAAGTAGGTACTTAGTATCCAGGCAAAAATATAGACTTTAATTAATTATAATAAAGATAATATGCATTCTATTAATCAGGTTTACAGTTTTATGTCCTAGCTTTTGAATTAAATATTTTAATAAGAAACAAAATTTCGAGGCGTAAACATAGTAGAGTAGGCATGAAATAACATTTTGACATTTAAAATTACATTGCATAGCTACAAATTTTAACTAAAACGTACCTCCTCATTACTGTGTAATATCTAATAAGTCTATAAATAAAATTGTAATACTAAGTATGGAGCAGAAACAAATAAATTTAAAAACTATTGTACCTATTTCATATTATTACCTGTATTATTATTAAATATTTATTAGATAATACTAGAGTAGGTAGGTAGACATATAGTTGACAACTGTAAGCTAACACTGCCAATTTTAATAAAATCAATGTAATATCTACATGAAATTCTAATGTCACAGTGGTAGTTGCCATACATCTCCGAAACGGTTTAACCGATTATGATGAAATTTTATATGTATAATCGGTAAGTAGACTTGCCGATAAGAGAGGCCATCCCAATTTTATTAATTTCCTTTATTTTTTTAATAGCGATATGAATTTATATATCGAAACAACATTTGGCGGGTCTGCTAGTATACTATATATATCTGTCCAGTTCATGGCCATGAGGGTGGTATGGTATTTGTGAATACGGCCTTGGAAGTAGCTTATTATGATAGGGGTTGGAGGGCAATCTCTCCACCTCGCCCTTTTATAACGATCAATGATCTTATCCACCTTTCTCATATAAATTTACATGCTCGTAATATAGAGATTAATACTCTTACTTTAAAAAAAATTAAGTAGGACTAATATGAGTTTACGCTAGTACCTAACTTCTCCGATCCTAAATAAAAATGAATTTATGACAAAAAATTAAGAATTTTGTTGAATATTAAATGCCTATTCAATAAATACGTAAGTATTCAATAAGTTAATTTTTATTATAATATTTATATATAATTCTTACTTATTAAGTGTAAATTATCGAGTCAGTATAAGTATCGTCAATTAAAAAAAAATACAGAATTACGGTTACAACTCTCAATATGATTAACTTTTTATATGAGTTATAAAGATATCTAAATATTGTTAGATATAACAAAGTGTAATATTTGAAACGTGTTTAAATGTTTGAATCATTTAGATCTAAGTATTTAATCAAATTAGTTTATGTATTAAACTGACAATAGTTAGTTATCTAATCACATATACTTGTATAATAAAATTGTAAAAGAGCAGTGTCTGTACATTAAATATTTTTCAATAAACTATTTGTACATGTTATATATGTATTTAGGCAAGTTACTAACGTTACTACTAAAAAAATAGTTTTAAAATCTTCGTCTCTTTGTACGTAATTTAGTTTTTTCATACTTTTATTAGAATTACTACCTATGTATACCTATCTACCTAATACGTAATATAATGTTAACTGTGCTAATACATACCATAGAACAACTATTACTATATATAATAGTTATAATTCTCTGTTGAGTATTTTATTATTTATTCAATATTTTATTTCATGCATGGTTGTAAACAAGATAACATAAACTTCCTTGCTCTCTAAAAAAAAAGTAATGGTAAAATGTGTGCTGCAGTGTAAAATTAAAAAAAAATATATTAAGTAAAATATCTATTATTAATAATAAAAATTCCCAATTGTCGGAATCTGCGTTGTTAATAGTTAAAAATAATCTTCTAAGCTTACATTAATTTCTTCTTCTTCTTCTTCTTTTAGTTTAAATGGCTTCCACCAAATGAGGTCGGTGATTTTGCCTACGTCGTGGTTTGGGAGACACAGTGGTGTGGTTTACGCTTTTCTTGACTGTGTTCGTAGAAAGGACTGTTTCAGTTGGCTGAGAATGCTAAGAATAAGGACAACACAACACATGTTAGCTTACAATTAAAATAGTGGTTGAGTAAAATACATGTATAATAAAATATATGTAACAGGTTGACAGACATGACATAGACAAGGATTTTAAAATGTGGGGAATATATACAAAGGGGGTTATATTTTTATATTATTGACAGCAATAAATTTGGCTAGTATTTTAACTAGAGGGGAGTGGGCCAGTGTTAAAAGAAAAGGAATATTAATAGGTCTGGCAATATTACGGGGAAGCATATCGTAGAGTGGAACTGACAGGTTTTGACATGTGAAAAATATGTGCTCCAATGTCCCTTCGTCTAGGCCACATTCACAGAGAGAGTGGTCACGAACTCTGATTTTAAAAAGGAAAGTGGGAGTACATATATGTCCTAGTCGGAGGCGGCATATAACTGAAGTAACCCATTTGTCTAGTGAGCGCTGGGAGAAGAACCATGGTTTGGAGGGTATTTCCGGTTGAATGCTTCCATAATACTTTCCTTTTTCCAGTCTCGTTTTTTGCCATAGGTGGTGCCATGCCTGCATCAACTGAGGCTTTGCCTGTGCTCGTAGATCACGAGCATAACATTTGTTATGAGTGGTATTGCCCATACTCACCGCTTGTCTGGCCCACGAGTCAACTGACTCGTTCCCTATTATTCCCGAGTGGCTAGGAATCCATGCTAGAGCAACATTTATACCAGAGTTATGACATTTGTAGAGACTTTGTCGTATTTCCAAGGATATAATAGAGTTGTTTTTGGCATGGAATGGATACTTCTGGATATCTTGTAAGCAACTTAGAGAATCTGATAAGATTAGGGTTTTATTAATTTGGTGGGATTCTACGTATAAAACAGCTTCTAAGATGGCGATAGATTCTCCAGTAACAATCGATGTGGGAGGAGGACATTTAAAACTGAGCAGTATATTGTATTTAGGGATCCATACTGCAGCGCCAGTGTTGCCGTCATTAGACAACTTGGACGCGTCAGTATAAACGAGAACCCAATCTCTAAAGTATTCCTCTATAATTTTATTAAAATCCTGATTTGCTGTAATGCTGTGTTTTTGGATATTAAAGTTTAAATGCACTGTGGGGTGAAAAATTAAGGAATTATAATCATATTCAAAGATAGGGTTGCGATGTGTTCTAATGATTGAGTAAGGCAAGGCTTTAATTGTGTGGAAACTCTTGAGGATTGGTGAAGGGTCCTTACGTGACCAATAAGCGGATGTGGAGGCTAGGTCTGACAGGGTTTCTAAAGCTGCGACCAAAGGATGGTCGTTGTACTGGTAAGCATTTAGGAAGAATCTATCTGAAAGGAATTGTCTGCGAAGTTGGAGGGGAGGATCTACACATTCTACTTGGACTGCGTTATTAGGTGAAGATTTCATTGCACCCAGAACTAATCGTAGGCACCTTGATTGGATTCTGTCAAGTTTTGCCAAGGCAATTTTATTGGATGGTTCTAGCAGGAAGCATCCGTAATCAAAGTGGCTCCTAACTATGGAGTTGTACAGAAGCTTCTGACTATAGGGATGAGACCCCCAACGAACTCCAGAGAGAGCTTTCAGTACGTTAATTGCACTCTCACACTTATTAGAGATGTAAGTGAGATGATGGAGACCAGAGAGTTTAGAGTCTAGAATGATACCGAGAAATTTAACCTTGTCTTCGGTTTTGATATTCTGACCATTAAGAGAAAGATGTATAGGGGGAATTTGTCTCTTCCGGGTGAATACAACAGCCGTACATTTGGGTATGGAGAGAGCTAGGCCGTGATCCTCTAGCCATTGGTGTAAATACCACAAGGCATTATTGAGGCCAGAGACAATTCCAGGCAGGGAGTCGGAAGCTAAATATAAGGCAATATCATCAGCATATTGTAATGTATTGCAGAAGCAGGAAACAGATGTCTCTAGATCGCAGGTGTAAAGATTAAAAAGGAGGGGGCTCAAGACGGAGCCCTGAGGAAGGCCTTTCCAGACCAGTCTTGGAGGATGGAGAGAGCCTTGAAAGCGCAAAGAGATAGATCTGGCCATAAAGAGATTGCATATGATGTTGGTCAGTCTCGCAGGGATACTCAGCTTTTGCAATTTTTGCCTGAGTATTGGAAGCTGGACATTGTCATACGCAGATGAGACGTCTAGAAAGACGCCTATAAGATGCTGATTTTTGGAGAAGGCAAGTCGGACTTCGTTGGTGAGTATACTGAGACTATCAATAGTTCCTCTTCCACGTCTGAATCCAAATTGGCTGTTCGGTAGAAGGTTTTTGTTCTCTAAAATCCACTCAAGCCTATTTTTTAATAAGTGTTCCATGATTTTTGCCAGAACCGAGGAGAGAGCAATAGGTCTGTACGAACTGGCATCGGATGCATCCTTACCAGGCTTTAGAATGGGAACCACGATTTGGGTTTTCCAAGATTCCGGTACATTTCCTGATACAAAAACGGCATTCAATATTTCCAGTAACTTCTTTTTCGCAGAAATAGAGATCCTATGGATGAAGGAGTAAGGAATACCATCTATACCAGGGGATGAGTCTCTAAGGTGGTCGAGAGCGCAGCACAGCTCCGGGTATGAGAAGGGTTCGTCCATTCTATCATTTGACACAGGAGGGGATGGTATTGGGAGGCAGTCTTGGGAGGGGGCGAATGGAGGAGCTAAATTGTTATACAGATTATTAAGCCATGGCAGAGGGTCATTAGAAGTAGCTTCCACGCTAGTACATCCCTTGCGGAATGAATTTAACTTCTTCCAGACTACTGAAGGATGTGTTCGTGGGGATAATGATTCGCAAAATTTCTGCCATCCTATCTTTTTTTTTTTAGCTAAGAGTCTTTTTGTGCTAGCACAAATTTTGCGAAAAGCCAAATAGTTGTCCATCGTTAGGTTTAGTGCGTATGTGTTTTCGGCATCTTTTCGCTGTTTAACGGATGTGGTGCACTCATTATCCCACCATGGTGGAGAGCAGATTTTATTTATTGTCGAGTTTTTGATGGGAATTGAGTCGTCAGCAGCTGACAGAAGACATGATATAAATTGGTCATAATTTTGCAAAAAGTTGTGATCATTGTTTGGAGGGAGGAGAGACAGTTTTTGGTCAAGGAGAGCAGAATACTTTTCCCAGTCAGCATTAGGTAGTCGGTATTTCAGAAGAGGTTGGGGAGCAGGGGTGCGAGGGAAAGTGGAGTTAATTATGGTAATATTTATGGGAGATGATCACTACCATATGAGTTTGGAAGGATGTGCCAGATAAGTTTATTTATCAAAGTTGGGGATGCAAGACTAAGGTCAGGGGAGCTCGGGTTTTGGGTAGGGGCAATGCGTCGAGTGGCGGATCCATCATTCAGTACGCAGAGATTCAGGTCATCAAGTAAGTCCAGCAGGGAAGAGGACAGTGGGTCATTAAAATGTGATCCCCACATAGTGTGATGGCAATTAAAATCACCAAGCACAATGAGAGGGGAAGGGATAGTACCTAGGATAGCTTGCAACTCTGAGATGTGAGAATAATTTGGGTGAGGAATATAAATAGACACAAAAGAGATATTGAGTACTCTTACTGCTACAATTTGGAAGCCAGGGCTATGAGAAGGTATGGTAATTTGTGTAAAGGGAAAGGATTTACACACTAATAGGGCGGAACCCGCCCAACCATCATCCCTGTCATCCCGGAGAACAGCATGACCTGATACCCGAAATGGAGTGCCAGGTTTTAGCCATGTCTCTGAGATGGCAGTGACGACAGGTTTATAGTGATTAAGAAGGTAAATGAGATCAGACTTCTTGTTTCTGATACTTCTAACGTTCCACTGTAGGACTGACTGGTCCATTATTAACAATTAACTTTGTGAGGAGCTGTTGAACAAGGATAGTGACATTGGGCGGTAAGGCTTCAGAGAATTTAGAGATAATGTTTATTAAGGTGCAAGTAAGTAATTCAATTAAGTTATCATTAGGAGTTGGAAGAGGAGTGGTTTCTATGTACTTCTGGTTGTCTGTTAAAGCGCAACCATTTGGTTGTGTAGATTTTGGAGTTTGTGTGATGTTGTTGTGGGCAACTGCATCATAGGATTTGCCGAGAGGAGCATGAGGACGAGGGGAGTTATAAACTGTTTTGCGATAAGATACTGTTTTCTGAGGGGAGGAGTAGGGTGACTGCAGAGGGGGGTGGTCATATAATTGAGCGATAGAAGCCTGCGAGGGATACATATTGGACTGAGGTGTAGATGTCATATCAGCATAGGAGCGCCTAGGGACAGGGAATCTGGCTGAAGCTTCCATGTGGCTAATGTTATATTCAACCATAACAATTTTAATATTTTTTTGTCTAATGTGTTCAGGGCATGTCGAATTAGTGGCTATATGGTTACCATCACATAAAACACAGAATGGTTGCTCTTCTTTTTTGTCACAAACATCACCGGAATGTTGACCTCCACATTGGAAACATCTAGGCTGTGATCGGCACTGTGTTTTTATGTGACCAAACCTGCAGCAGTTACGGCACTGGATGGTAGGGAGTCACTGGGAGAGAGGTATAGAAACAATAAACTTTTTCAGGGAGAATTTGTCCCTCAAAGGTTAGTACTACTGTAGTGGATGGATCCCAGCTAACACTATTGTCTGGTTTTCGAGATTTAATATTAAGCCTTCTGGCTCTAATAACTTGACCACAACTAGTTGGGGATTTTAAGTTTTCAAGTAGTTCTTCCAATGTCCAGTCTGTGGGAATATTGCGTATGACACCCATCCGGGATACTTGAAATTTAGGAATTACTCCACTATAGTTATTATTTGATAAGATTGGGTTACTTACAAAGTTATTGGCGTCAGAGTGGGAAGAGAATTCTACAGAAATTTTGTTTCTACCCAAGGCTTTGATGCCTTCTTCTTTAATTCCAGGGATATTGTGTTTATGAATGAATTGTGCAAACCTAAGAAGTCGGATAGAATAGCCGGCAGATACGTCTGGTTCCACTCTACTGACATGAACTGAAAATGGACCTGAGTCTGTACTTCTATATTTGAACTGTGCATCACTTTCAAAACCAGGTTTCGTATAAACTGATTGAATAGAGTTAGAAGGTGATTTTGTTTTTTTTTCATCAATTGCAGGTGTAGAGTCGTCTGAAGCTTGACGCTTCCTATTATTAGCAAGCTCGATTGAGGGTTGTGAAAGTTCCACACAGTCCATGGTAATTGGATGGGTAAGAGGTCCCCCACCATCAGGAGGATCTTCGTCTACACCCACCTCCATCGTTTTATTGATGGAGGTGGGTCATACAAAAACAAACACTCACCGAAACCACTCGTTAAACAAATCACAGGACAACACAAAAAGGAATATATACAAACTCAACACAGTTTGACGTTTAAAATTAAATAAAGAATTAAAATTAGCTCGACCACGTGTTTACCCAACCACAGATCCTTACATTAATTTAGTGATATTTCTCGCTTAGAAGTGAAATAACTGTCAATGACTGTCAATAATGATTGAATATTTATCACGGCTCCAAATAATCGTCGGGTCATACATTCATATATGTCAATCGTGACTATTCGAGACAAATTAGGTTTAGACATCAGAAAGGAAACACTTTCGATTGCAGCAATAATAACCTCAATCGGTTTATCTGTCGCAAACTATCAAGTACCCACTGAAAATTAAATATATTCCCACTTATCTAACGAAAAGTGGGAATATCATCTAACACCACGTCAATAATACATCTGCGTACCACACTGTTGCCCCAGTGGTTATTATTAAACTTCAAATGGAAAACTTCTGTAAAAAATTAATGACAAGACGAACAAAAAAAGGCCCCGGTACTCACAAATATATTACTGGCCAATATCATATAACATAACATAAAACACTATAGTTAATATAAAAAAACATAGACATTAAAAAAGATAGTATATAAAACAGTTCGTAACAGTTACCTTTCCGAAGTCGGTTGAGAATTTGCGCTCTCCATGACCTGACAATCGCCTAATCTTTACAATATTTAACTGGATTAAGTATATGGATCATAACATACTGCACTTATAGTATTTGTACACACTTAAGCATATTTAATGAGATATGATTTGAGTACTGTCACTTTATTCTAATTCATGGTTAAATATGTACACAATTAAATATGTTAACAAAGATATCAAAGAACTATAAGCATAGCATGAATAGATACGTAATTAAAAGGTTCCGTCTGATCTATGTATCTATGGTATAATATCTATTACTATCAGTAGTAGTGCTTTTAAGTACAAAATTTCAAATGCATTGTAGTCAATGTACATTTGACGACCTCGGTGGTCGTGTTTTAGCACACCGCTTTACTTAACATGGTCGCGGGTTCGATTACTCGCACGGTACAAACATCTGTATTCATGACTATGATTGTTTGTATCGTTCTGGGTGTTTTCTGTGTATATTATGTAGGTATTTACAAAAAAAATCTAAATATTTATATAAATTGTCTAGTACCTACCTATAACACAAGCTCTGTGCTTACTTTAGAACTAGATGGCGTTGTGTTAACTGTTCAGGGTATTATACTTAATATTGTAAGGAAATGTGGGCAATAGCTTTCTCACATTTCCCTGGATATATTATATATATATATATATATCCAGGGAATTATATATAATATATCCAGGGAAATGTGAGAGAGAGAGATATATATATACCCTTTTTCCACCGGACCTCTGAGGAGCTCAGACGTATATGTGATTAAAACCAATTTTAATTTAATTTAATTTAAATATTTTCATATAAATAAGTGTTATAAATCAAGACGGCTACCAGGGTAACAGAAACAGACAACAATCTACTACTACGGATAGGAGTAAGACCACCACTATTGTATGCAACTAACAGAGATAGATAACATTCAGTAACGTCCACTTCAACCTACCACTGCAATTACAAAGTCCACTCAGCGTCAGCCAAAGACAAATAAACCACGCCCACAACCCCGATTCGTGCGTGGACGCATCCCTCCCCCGCACAACTTACCCAAGAAGTTGCCGTCGGAAGCGTTCTCATTTAGGCCTAGCCGACAAATTATTCTAACATGGCGTTACGGCATTCGCCCCCTGCATCCAGAAAATCTTCTAAAAATTCAACACCTGTACATTATGGTTCTGACTCAAACTTATACAACCGTCAGGATGAAAAAGAAACACAAGAACCACAGAAAAACATTACGAAACGAATAAAACGCAGAATGGATGAATTGCCGAATCAAGACGAACCTTCTTTATTCGAAATTAAAAATATGTTCATGGATATTAAATCCAAACAGGATACTCTACTCGAAAAGAGTGAGGAAATGCAGAAATCCATCGATTTTATCTGCAATCAATATGATGCCATGTTCACTAAAATTAATGCATTAGAAAACCAAAACAAGGAGTACAAAAAACAAATTAATGTTCTGGAAAATAAGTTGGATTCATTGGAAAGGAACAACCGTGCAACATCAATTGAATTACGTAATATCCCGAAGCAAGAACGTGAAAATAAACAAACTTTTACTGAGATTCTAAACAGTGTCACCACGGCTATCGGTTTGAAATCCAAAATTGAAGCTTCACAGATCCGAGACATTTTTAGAACTAAGTCAGAAACTATAATCGTTGACCTGACCACTACAAGTACAAAAGAGACCATAATATCTGAAGTAAGAAAATTTAATAAAAACAAAAAGTCAAATAAAGAAGCCCAATTAAATACACAACACTTATCCATGCCTGGACAAGCCAAACCAGTTTATGTTTCGGAATTACTCACCAACAAAAATAAGAGATTAGGATATCTCGCCAGAAATATGGTGAAAGATAAAAAAATACTTGCCACCTGGATTTCCTACGGAAGCATTTATATACGGAAAGAAGAAGGGCAAGCGCCTATAAAAATCACGGAGGAAGAAGGACTTACAAAGTTGATATTGTGACTCTCTATATATTGTATAAGATTGTTTTTTAGCTTAATTATCATATTTATCCCTTTATACCTAAATCATTATACTTCACACATACACTATTACAATAGATACAATAACTATCATATTTTTTGCCGTTATACGCGAGTATATTTGGAAGTAATCTCAATATTATATACCCACATACCCCCTACTTTTATATATATATCAGCGTCAAATTGTAATTTACTTGGCTTTTTGGTTAATTTTAAGATAATCCACGTGGTATTTTTTATAAAGCCTTTGTCAAAAACAGTGTTCTACTATGATTGCTTTTTGGTGTCATTCCTTAAAGCTTATTTTAACTATATTCTCCACTATTATTTATTAAAAACTCATTCACCAATAAACTCTTACTTTAGAATATTAATAATTGTCGACATCAGATTGAGTCTAATGGAAACTTATAATAAAATTCGATACAAACAGTAAAGACAACTCAAATATAAACAATGATTTAGACTCTTTCTCTATAGCTGAACAATTTAAATGTGATATAGACAAAGTTGATAATTTTTTACAAAATTGTAAAAATAACTTAAAAATAATATCACAAAACATCAGAAGCATCGCCTGCAATATGAATAACTTCAATACACTGCTTGCCCGATCGAATGCAGACTGGGATCTTATTATTCTGACAGAGTGTTTCCTTTCTTCTACAAGTGTTATACCAACCGTAAATAACTACAATTTTATTGGCACAAAGAGAAATTTATCTAAAAATGAAGGAGTCGTTGTCTATTTCAAAAGCAATATCCAATTGACATATGAAGAGCCACAGGTAGATGACGCTAACTGCTTGCTGATTAAACTAAACTCAAACACTTGTGTAATAGGTATCTATCGTCCGCCGAGTTATCGTAATATCACCAATTTCATTTTCTCTCTGGATATAGTATTGCGTTCACTGAGTCACTATAAAAATATTATTATTATGGGAGATATCAATATTAATATATGCCCTAGTGTAATAGATAGCCATGGTAATGAGTACCTGAACCTCTTGGCAAGTCATGGCATCTTACCCGGACATACGCTTACAACACGTGGTGATTCTTGCCTAGATCATATTCTGCTTAAAACTAAATTAAAAGCGCAATGTTATATTATTCAATCTACTATTACAGACCATGAAGCTATCGCACTAAATTTATACTTAAATTCTAAACTTATCAAAAAACCTTTGAAATCCAACAGTATTATTGATTACTATTCTTTAGACTCTGATATCAAACATATCGATTTCTCAGCAATTTATTCAATGGCAAACGTTGACAACGCAACCGTATTTTTTCTAGACACATTACAGCAATTAATCAATAAGAACACTAAAATAAAAACCGTTCCAAATAGGAAACGTGTACTTAAACCGTGGATTACAAGCGGTCTCCTGCGCTGCTTGAGAAATAGGTATAACTTGTATAAAAAGTATAGACAAAATCGTAATAATTCAACTATCGAATGCACATTTAAGAGGTATAGGAATTTCTGTAACGCTATTCTTAAAAAAGCCAAAATAGATTATGAAAACAACTTAATAATGGACGCAGGAAATAACACAAAAAAAATATGGAACGTAGTTAAGGACATGACTTATAATAATAATAAAACCGATCATTCTATTTCCTTATCTCAACTCACTCCCCACAAGAGAGTGTGAATAAAATAAATTCTTTCTTCGCCAATACGGGGAGTAGACTAGCCAACAAAATTTCCTTAAATCACGCGCCAGAAGCTACCAACAATCAATTAAAGACACCGGTTAACTCATTCGTTTTACTACCCACTGACGAAACAGAAATCAGACAAACGATATTAGGATTAAAGAATGACTGTGCAACTGGTTATGATAACATATCTGGAAAAATGCTGAAAAGATATTGCTCCATACTGACAAAACCCATAACTTTTATCTCTAATCTGGCTTTTGAAACAGGAATCTTTCCACGAGCACTTAAGGTCTCAATTGTAAAACCCATTCACAAGAGCGAGAGCAATATCGATGTCAATAATTATAGGCCAATTTCTATTCTTCCATCCTTATCTAAAATCCTCGAGAGGCTACTGAATAAACGACTGATTAACTTTATTGAAGCTAACAATATTCTGTCACCGGCACAGTACGGTTTTAGAAGAGAGAGATCCACGGATGATGCAGTACATGACCTCACTGATTCAGTAGCCTGCAATTTGGACATAGGACTAAAAACCATTGCTATCTTCATCGACTTGGCCAAGGCCTTTGATACCGTCTCCGTCCCCTTGCTTATCCATAAACTAGAGATGATTGGTGTGAGAGGCCTACCCCTGGTACTTTTTTCTGATTACCTAAAAAATAGATTCCAAAGAGTTAAAATTGGTCATTGGATCAGTGACGAACTCCCAATTACCTACGGGGTCCCCCAAGGCAGTATCCTCGCTCCGACCTTATTTCTAGTCTACATAAACGGACTTTGTCAGCTCGAACTACAAAATTGTAAAATTATTGCATTTGCTGACGATACTGTCTTAATATTCCGTGGTACCACTTGGAACGAAGCATTTAATTTTGCTCAAGAGGGATTCAATAAGGTCAGCGACTGGCTGTGCAGAAATATACTTACCCTAAATGTATCAAAAACCAAGCTCATGACCTTTGCTCTAACAAAGAAACGGATACCTACTGACCACTACGTATTAGGCCATAAATGTAACAACAAATACAATGACTGCAATTGTGAACCTCTTGAAAATTGCGACACGTTGAAGTATCTAGGTGTAATGATCGATAACACCTTAACATTCAAAGCTCACACTCAAATGCTTGGTGCAAGACTCCGCAAACTAATTTATATTTTCAAAATCCTTAGACACCTATCGGACCCTAAAGTAATCAGAATGGTATATTTTGCGGTATGTCATTCCCTTATAAGATATTGTATTTCCTCCTGGGGTGGTGCTGCCAAAACACATCTTATGACTGTCGAAAAAGCTCAACGCGCGATACTGAAGGTCGGGGCTAGACTCTCGTTTCGCCACCCAACTGCTAACGTGTACGAGATTTGGGATGTGCTGACGGTTAGACAATCTTTCATCCTTGCAATTACTTTACGCATGCATTCTGGAGTTAACTTCGATCCCGTTTTGATGGGCACGAAACGTAGGAAGGGAACAGTATGCCAAACTAAACCCTTTAAAACCACCTTAGCTCAAAGATTTTATTGTTTCTTGGGCAGCTACTTGTACAATAAGATAAATAGCATACTTTCCTTCTATTGTTTGCCTTGCAGTAACTGTAAATTGAAGCTCACTAAGTGGCTTAAAACACTGGATTACGACGCTACGGAAAATATACTAACCATCTTAAGCTGAATTTTACTTAGTATTTATTTGTATAGTTAATAGGTTTGAAGAATATTTGCTCCATTGTACACACGTCACTAACTTCCAAATACTCCTATACTCACACATTCACACAAACAATCAGCCTCAGTGGGGCAATTACACACACACCCACACTTACACGCATACACACTCACACAAACATATACACTCTCACACACACCCACGCTCACACGCACATACTCACACACATACGCATACTCACACACACACGCATACACACACACACACACGCACTCATACACATAGGCCCACCCTTCTCAATGGTATTCCAACATTCTCTTTCCACAACCGTGTACTCTCTACTTTATTAATTTGCCTACTATTTTTTTCGTTTTTTTTTTTCTTTATATCTCTAAACGTTGTATAATTATAATTTATTTAGTGTAGTATAAGCATCATAATTTGTTTAACTTGTATCAATTTTCGGTTGGGGGCCTGGTGATCTGTATTACAGGTTATGCCTATCTCAGACACCAGCTCCTCACAGCAAATCGATTAAAATAATAAATTTAAGTATTTGACTATAAAAAATACTACATGTATTGTTGCCATTATGTTTGTGAGGAGAAATAAATAAATCATATAAATCATATAATAAATCATATAATAATATATATATTATATACATATATACGGGCACTACAGGTACACTACAGGTATACTTTTATACATATATATACGAGTACATGTAAATGAATTGTTACCAAGGTAGACTATTAAAAGCCTGCCTAATCAGCCACCAAGCAACTTGCTATGTAAGCTATGTTTTCGTTGTGATATTACAAGGTTAATACACATAATATATTAGTTCTGAGGAATGGCAACACGCTTGTTACATGTAGACAACGGTTATGAGGTTGGCGACAGCTTCTTCTATATTAAAACCATATCTATGGTCTGGGTATCTCCAGATCGAGTGATAATTATGTACCCTCTATCCAATTTCCAAGCTACCACTACTGGAAACCATCGTCTTTACCTAATTATTAATTGATAAGTACAGTGGCCTCCACGCGATCCACCTAGGAACATCTTGGTTAATTCGTAACAATGAGCCAACTGAACTGACTCCATCCTGTCATCTCCCACTGCTGCCCCGTCAGTGTGCGTGTATTACGTTAGTGCTGGTGGGTGCACCATACATAAAAAATAGGACTACCCTACACTGTTTTTTTTCTTATGGATCTAAATGTAAACATATATTATTATTATTAATAATAAAACATATATTGGTCTCTTTTTTCTCCAATCAGCCTCTCATGTGGGACGTTGTACGTGTAGAGCCGTTTCGTCGACTACTAAAGTAGCCAGCCAAGCTCCTCCCAAAAGCACAGAAGGCTTCTGATGTCTTCACGTGCTCCACGGAGATGGCTCGCAGTTCCGAGGATCGTGGCCACTACTACGAAGTCCAGGATTACGTGAGCGGCCGCTTAAAAACAGCCCTGACAAACGGGGAATCTTTAGCACATTTATTTATTTATTTTAAGGAGATTAATGGTGTAATTTTTCATGTTACTTGTCATATTAAATTATTCTATGCCACTTAATAATCTTAGCCAATAGTACATATATATATATTGTGTTTGTTTAACGGACAGTAGCCCTTTATTGTCCCTATTACTATTTTAAGGTTTTGCCTATTTAGGTTCAGTAGGTATTTTGTCAATCGTTGGTTTACTACTTGAATTGCTACTATTGATTGTTTCTTGTACATTATAATAGAATGGTGCATCCGCCTGCGCTAACGATTTACGCGGCGTACCAGTGAAGGATGATAAGATGAGCATGAGATCAGGTCCGTTGGCCTGTCGTGGTATTATCATCGTCCATGAATTTATCGTGATGGATTCCAAGAACCACATAGAGGTCAACCTAAATTGGCACATTGCTAACAATGGGTTTATTATTCCACATTATTTTTTTTTTTTTTTATTTAAGCTTTATTTTCCATATAAATACAATTTTATTTTTATTTTAACCAATTTGGTTCCTTTATATGTGGGTAAATGTCCACATTACAAACAATCCCCTTCCCCTGGACTACACGAATAGTGAAGTGATAGTGACGATCCAGAATCAGCAGACCACGTAGTTTTTAGCTCCCATATAAGTATTTTTAAACTATTAATTTTTAGACTACTAGCGCCGCATGAAGAAGGAAGGGGGAGTAGTTTTGGAGGGCTTTGATGATTTCTCGAAAAATGTGCTAGTCAGAGACGTGATTCCATTTTACTATGCATGCTATTCATCTAACATAACATTCACCTTTTTTATTATTTACTAGTTGGACAACTTCATCTGCCTCACAATTATTTGACATTTATCTTTCTATTTTGCCCAATGTACATAATATCTTTTTAAATTATAGCCTATGTGATATTCTGATATATAAGTATATATTACTATAAAGTTTCAGCACAATGTGTTCAATAGTTTTTGCGTGAAATAGTAACAAACATCCATCCATACTCACAACCTTTCTCATTTATAATATTAGTAAGATAATACAATTAGGTTGTTGGTGTAAGTTATTTCAAACTATGTATACTAACAAAATAACTTTTATTTATTATTCAATTAAATAACATTTATCTATTTATATCACAACTATTTGTATCTAGGATGGTTTTCAGGGTCGCCTGTATGATATTCTGAATATGTGGGAAATGACTCAGCACCCTTTATAGGTGTTGTTGGAAGAGAGCCGCCTTCAGCAAGTCTCTTTGCTTCTATTTTAGCTGCATTTTCCTTCTTCAATTTGGCTATAGCTAAATTATTAGCTATTTCTTCTTGTGTGGGGGGATCTGTCCTGAAGAAAAAAATAATTTTAGTTTAATTGGAAAAATTATCTTAACTTTCTCATTTAGAACAACTTAATATTAATAAACTATAAAAATTTAATTGACTACATTATTCCATTTTATATGTACTATATTTAAATAATTAAAAAGTACTAAGCAACTTGAGCTTTTCTGATATATAGATAAACAATCATACCAACCTCCTCATTCTGAGCCAAGCCTCCCATTCAGCTGGTATAGGGTCTAAAAAATCCTGACCCTTGGGTGGATCATACCATCTAGAAGGCTTCCGTTTACCAACACTAGGATCAGCAGGTATTTCATAATAAATGTTACCTATGTAGTCTTTACCTAAATAATAATAAAATGTTATTAAATAATATAACGTGTGAATATATTGGAAACAATCCAAATGAATCAGTTACCCATGTTGTTTCCTGTAATCTGCCTAGGTTTAAAGGAATTGATGAAATTCCTAAATACGATTTTCCACAGCTGACGATATTCACCGCTAGACATCTGCGAAAATATGGTAAGTCAATATTACAAATTGCATAATTATTGTTGATACACAAAATTGTGAAAATTAACGAATGCGTGATTTTTTATATTTATATATAAAATTACGCAACAGTGCATTTTTTATAATATATATAATGGGATTATGTATTACTTACCTTTTTAAAGTATTTTTAGCACATTACAGTAATTAATTAAAATATTAAATTATAATGTAAATAACAATATGTATCAGACAATATCTTACTATCAGAATTCAGAATGTAAAATTTTGACATTGACAGAAAAGTAGTGTTACCAGGTGACTATCTTATGCACTCATAGAAATTTTATTGATACTTGAATTCAGTTTACGAGTATTCTTTTTCTTGTAATTGTACGTTCACCTCCATGTTTATTTCATAACACTGTCATACGGTTTCCATATCCTCAAAAATCTCTTTAGAAACTAATTTAATTCCTAATATTAGCATCTTCTTATCTGACTATAGCAACCCTCATAGTAATTGTCGTATATCTATATAGATACAATAGTATCTATGTCTGCAATTCTGTATCAATATTTATTAGTAATCTGTGCCGTGTACGCAACGCAACAACTTTAAGAAACTATTTTATGTATTGTTGTATTTTACATGTGTTTTTAATTAATATTACCGTAAGCAGTTACATTTTTTAAGTGAAATTACGTCCAGAAGAGTTTTTAAACTAATCATTCATCATGGCGAAAATGGCATTTCAGCACCAGGCCGGAACGGCTATGGAATGCCTGAGTGTAAGTTTTAGAGACCACTCCCCAATATATTTTTCTTGCACTGTGTTAAACTGTTATCATGTATGTATTATAACTCCGCAGATACCAATAACATTACAAAAAGAAGCTGGCGTAGATGCCGAAGGGCGAGAAGTTATGAAATGTGGCTTTAAAATCGGTGGTGGGATTGATCAAGATTTTCGCAAAAGTCCTCAGGGATACACTGATAACGTAAGTGGTAATGCTTGTTTTATACAAGTATGTAACATAACTTAATATCATCCATGATATCATACTTTATATTGTGAAATATATACAAACATGTCAAGATTCTTTACTAAATATCACACCTAACAAAAAAAAGCAGTATATGCATTGTTATACTTTAAATAATAAAATGTCAACATAGCACCAAAAATAATAAAAATTAATTTGCAGGGCATATATGTAACTGAAGTTCATGAAGGAAGTCCAGCAGCTAAATCAGGATTAAGAATGCATGATAAAATATTACAATGCAATGGCTATGACTTCACTATGGTAACACATAAAAAAGCTGTTAGTTATATAAAGAAACATCCTGTTCTAAATTTATTAGTGGCAAGAAAAGGTGTTACATCAACATAATCTGTGACATTTGAAAATATAAGGAGTAATTACTATTATTCTTCAGGATATTTGGTTAATGGTGACAACAAGAATGCACTGTGAAAAGCAAACTGATGTTATTATTGTATATTCAGTACCACTGTGAATTGTTATATAAAAAACAGTGGGTTCAGCAAATTTATTTGAATAATATTTAATAATTACTTTTTATATTATAAATTTTATAGAGCACATGACATTGTGAGCTATTCATAGTGGATCCTGCATCAATTAAACTTAAGTATTATATAAAGAAGTGATTTTATACAGTTATTTATTTTTAAATCGAATTATTATATACTTTGTATACACAAATATGAAGTAATTAAGGAATTTCATGAATATGCTAACACAATCAAACACTAACCAGTGTATGTACTGTGAAAAGTACAAATAATTATGCTGGAAAATGGTATAATTTACAAATGAGTTACCATTAACATTTAATAATTCACTCCAAAGTACTATGTTGACATAGACAAAATTGTTTCCACCTTTTTCATATTATAGCAAAATGAATTATTATTTAGTTGAAACATTATTTTCACCTAAATATTTACTATTGTTAAGTCTAAAAATTTAAATTTATTATAAGTTGTGTATAAATCATTATCTTGTTAATGAGTTATGGTGTGGTACAATTGTTTACTATAATAGTATACTTGAAATTTTATATGAACATTTTATTGTGAAATCTATATTTCAACATTAAATTTGTGCTGTGCCAAATATTAGTATTATAGCCATTAATTATTACATACAGAGTCCACTGTGAAGTAAATGTTTATCACAGTATATAAATTAATTTAAGAAAATTGTGAATGTGCACATGAGTGTATATGTTAAAAACAAATTCATGTCTAAAGACTATAAATGTATAAGTTTTTTTACTATAAGTATCTATATAAAAACCCATAAACAATTAAATATTTACTCAAGTTCAGTTAGTATGTGATGGAAAAGGGGAGACAAAGGATTAGCTCTCCTTCAAATGCTGTAGAATAAACTTCAAATATGAATTGAATATATGCATCCTTATATATATTTTATTATGTATAATTTATAGATAGGAATTTATAAATTTAAAGCCATAAACTTACAGTACTACCTCACAGTGTAATATTTACAATTTTCTTTATTTACTTATGTAAGATTGATTGATACACATAAATACTTTACCTTCATAAAGGGTGAGAACAACAATTAAAATGTTAAGTGCTCCCAACCAAGCAAAGAAAAGAGGAGGCGAAAGTGTTTTTCAATATTCATCAATCTATTCTTACGAGTTAGGAAACTATGAGTACTCTTAACTTAACATGACCTTTACTCGACACATCACCTTTTTAATCCTTGCCAATATATTATAAAATTACTGTAAATTTAATTTGATTTAGACATTATTGTTTATTTATATTATGGACTCTGCATGTATTTAAATGTACACATTCCAAATCACTTTTATTATTGTGACGTCATAAATACCATCTAACTTCAGACTTTCTGTCAGATTGTATCTTAAAGAGATGAGCCAAAGAGTTGTACTAAAATAAACTTTAACAACCCCTATTGATAATATTTCACACTACCTAATTTCAAGTAAATAGATGTATGTACTTAGTATGTATAAGGTCCATTTTTGGAGAATGAAAGTGCATTTACAATTTTAAATACTCTACTAAATTAGTTATATTTTTTCATTGATTATTTAATATAAGGGACGAAATTAAATGTATAATTTATAATTTATTTAAGGCCTCTGGAGCTATGTCATGAATATCACATCGAGAAAATTTACAAATAAATATTACATGTTATACTAATCAATTGTTGATCTTAATTTTGTTTCTAAATGTTTATCTGCTTTATTTTCATATATTTTGGAATTAAATATATCCTGTCTTCCATCTGTTCATCCTTATATCTGTATGGCAAATTGTAGTATCATATGTATAGCCTATTTGTAGTAAAAAGGTAGCAAACAGACAGCCAGAAACTTTTGTATTAGTACAGATTCAGGAGAATGTACAGTTGTACATAAATTTATAGTAGGTACAGAACAGCCCTTTGAGATATCTATTATCTCAGAATCAACCAACAACTACAGTTGCAAGTGAAAAATTCTGTATCTGGATCACACTGTATTTTACCGTCAGTCTGTATTGCTAAGTAGTGTAGCTAAAACTGGGGTTGTATACTGCCGCACAATGAATCCACAGTAAGGGAAGGAATATAAGAAAATTTCAAACATTTTTATTTTCTCAAAACTATGTTTCACGACTTATTGCATGTATGTATATGTGTCTATTTTTAGTCATGGTTATTGACTTATTTACGATTTATCTATATTTTGAATAAAATACCAAGATTTAAAGATTGTTATCCCAGATCGTTATAAAACCATATAGTGGCAGTAGGACATATAAAGATGCCCATATTTCGCTGAATACTTTCGAATCCATCGCGTTAGACGACATGCCTACCGCCGTCTCTCGGAAGTTCCGACCTTCACATTGTGTATACATATTGAGTATGGTACACGGAGTATCTACTCTGCGGCACTATACACATATACCTACTATATTATTTCTTGTCACATGTATTCTTTAATGGTTCACCCTCCTGCATTAACGGTTTACACTAGCAGAGCACCAGTGGAGGATAATTAGATGGGCATGAGGTCAGGTCAGTTAGCACATTGTGGTAAATTCACCAGGAATTTATGGTTGGTGGTTTCCAAAGAGAATGGCGTGGTAATCAACCTGACATGGTATATTGCTAGTAATGAGGTCATCAGTTAACATTACTAATATCTCCCTTCCCCTATCGCAAGTAGTAAACAAAGTAGTATTGGATAGTGCATGTTAAAATTTGTGTACTAGATTACCAATAGTAATTAGTAATGTGTGCCAGCATAAGTAACATGTAAAGTTGACTTTCATGCAGTTCCCCCTGGAAACCACTGTGTTAAATTTCTGGTGATCTTGGCTCATCTTATACTATAAAATATGGCATATTGTAACAGTAATAACAGAAAAGTACTCAAAAATATCTAATTTATAATAGCAAATTTAAAAAATAATCATAAGATTTTCCAATTATCTTGAAATATAAATATTACCTAGTGAAAATTAAATGTACATGATAAATTAAAGCTCAGAATTTTATTACTAATCAACAGTATAATTTTAATTTATTATTAAATATTTCAATTTAGGTGAATAAAATATTTATGATTTTGCTGGGGGCCAATCCCACTGGCCCTTAGGGGGTTTAGCCACAAGAGGTTCCCATGGCTTCCAGTTCAGCATTTTCCTGGCCAAACTAAGTTCATTTTCAGCTTGAATTATCAACTCCTCAGCTTGACCACAATTGATTTTTTGTTCAATCTCATAGACATCCTTAGTCTGTGAAAACATGAGAAAATAATGTAAATATTAATCATTGAACTCAAAGTGGGAAATACCTAATGCTTACATTTATATACATCAACATATAACTGAATAATATTTCATGATATAGATATGTATGATTTTATCAAGGTATACATAAATTGATTACCTGTGTAAGTACGGCAGCCCTTTCCTTTACGATTTGCTCGGTATATTTTCTATATACTGATGTTTCTGGCATTTTTTGCACAGTTCTAAGGATTTTTCCATAGAGTGCACCCAATGTGTGATGAGGATTTCCAGATACAGCGAGACCCGTAAGTCCCGTTGTCTGGAAACAAAAACAAATAACCTATGGTATTTTTATGTTCACTAGAACAAAATCAAAACAAAAAGTTTACGTGTAAAAATTTCGAACAGATCTTATGTAGTGCCACAAAGATGATAATAGATTTGATAACTAATAATATAATTATGATATAACATAAATATTTTAGTGTACCTTTTTTAACAATCCCATTTTTCCTGGTGGAAACTTAAACTATTCTTTTTTTAATATTATGTAACGTATATAAGTAATAATTAAACACAAATAAAATGAAGGAATGAACGCCACAGACGATTAATTGTATCTGCAATCTGACAAGTACATATTCTGTGGCTAAAGCCGAATCAGACAATTCAGACAGCCTCCCATACAGTTGCCTCTACTTCTAGAGCCGCAAAACTAATAAAGGTATTATTAAAAAAAAATAACTTTACACTTTGGTTAGGTTATTAAACAGTCATTGGTATTTGATTGCATTTTTATATTTTATTACTAATTTTAATTATAATTTGTGCAGTGAAAAACTATTAGTGGTCTAAAAAGTAGGATATTTTTCTTAAATATAGTTGTTTATCTTTCCTCGGGAGGCTTCTCGTCATGTCACGTTTCAAAGGAAATCTGTCAAGATCACGCTCATTCAGTATGTAGAATCTGGGATTGTGTTATCACTTCTCGAGATTAAAACAAAGGTAAACATGTCTTAATACTAGCATTATTTTATTCTATATTCTACTATTGTCATCTCTAATTTAATTAATCGATCTCTAATTTAATCTTGTTCAGAATTAAATAAGTTTTCTGTAAATCACAACCATTATTCCGAGAATCATCATAACAACTCAGTTGTCGTTCTACTATTTGCCATTGATCTGTCTTCTTATTAAAAATATTTGCCCTACTATTGTCACGCTGGGCAGGCGCATTGGTGTACTTGTTATATTTCCAATTTTCCATCTTAACCATTGACGTATCTGTGCTTTGTTCCCCGCATCGCCTATGCGACTTCCTGGAGATGAAAAGTAGTGATATTAGATTGTATTCTTCATCATTACACATCAGTGAATAAATTATTGAAAAATATCAGTTATTATAAAATTGATATATTACATAATGTATAATAATGGTCTAATCCTAATCAGATTGAAAAGAACAAATCTATATCATTTGGATAATGTTATAAACATCAACATCTGGAAGCACTATCAAATAAATTAGAATAGACTTCACTATAAACATAATATAGATGATAATGAGTATATAAGCAACAAAATAATTAAAGAAACAATATATACACTAAATATACAGAGTAAAGAAACAGTGATAATTGTGTAAATTTCTGAACAAGTTATTTTCATAAACATTGTAGAAATGCTCCTGCTCTGTAGAAGAAACCTATCATAATTTCATGTTAGGTAAAGGTATGGTTTTTAATAGACCTAACATACAAAAGTGGAATTAGATATTTTCTGGAATCCTCAAAGATTTTTCAAAGCAATCTCTTTTCTGAAAATTTTGGCCACTTTAGTAAGCATCAGTAAAACACTCAAGGATTATGTGAGTTACTTCAACATCTATACAGCTTCAATAGAGGACAATTTGTGTTGCTTGTTGTTGATCAATTCTGTATATGTATGTTTATTTATATTGTATGTCTTTAATATTTTTTTCTAATCTAGCTTTAGTAGTGTACTCCATTCTCATAGAAACCTCTTTGTGTACCTTTTTGTATTAGATTTAATAGAATAACTTTGTGATTATACAAATATTAATCAAATACTAAATACAACATTGTACCACAAATAATGTTTATCATTTGGTATCATTAATGAATATTGTTATAAATATTTAATATAATGTGATTATCCATTCAATTATTAAGATATATATTGAATACATGAAAATCTTTCTATCCCTATGTGACCAAGAGTTTTTTTCTATAATTGTTAATTTTATTTATAATTCTCTCTTAATATTTTCAAATACAATTTATATATACAAAGTGGTATATATGCAGTTAAACCCTCAAAAATCTAATAAATGTATTACTCTTTCCATGTAGTGAGTGATAATTTTAAAGATAAAATATTTGTTTACACTTTCTGTCAAGTTTTATTGAAATAGAATAGAGTTTTAGGGTTTTTGATGAAAGTGTACATATATTCTACAGATTTTTATATATGTATTATATAATTTGTTCAATCCTATGTTATTCACTATCAAAATTACTAACAATGGCTGCTCATATATCTGTCAATATAATACCATCATTATGTTGACAGTATTGAAGGAAGAAGTGAATGTTATGTTCCTATAGTTTATTTATTTATCAAAACAACTATTCATAACTGCTTCTATAAAAGTATTTAGAGTTCATTAATGTTAAGTTCTGTTATAATGCACCTTGTGAAAAAAAAATATAAAATGGAGTCTCTATATTCTCTACTCACTGTCAGATTTATAGGTTTAAAACAACAATTTTACATCTTACTTTAACTGTGAACTTCAGAAATTGTAATTATACTTATAAAAGTTCTAGCTAGATAATAATAATTTATTGCAATCTTTAATGTGTTACTTAATTGTGATAATTGCATTAAACTATTAGCAATTATGTAAAATACTTGCTACTGAAATTTTCAATGAAATCATTGCAAATAAAATATTAATGATCGCATTGATAATTAGGCAATATATCCAAGTAAAATTCATAATTATGTTATTTAAAATGGTTTGCACCTATAAATGAATACACTACTTTTAAATTTTTATAATTGGTATAGTTTTGTTGATATTCAAAGGGATTAAATGCAATCTACATCTCAAAATACACTATGATTACAGGATTGTTTATCAAAATGGAGACAGTATCTCCAACACTGCCTGACGACAGTTCAAGTGCCAACCCTAGCAGTGTTAAGAGTGATGACAGCAGTCCACGTCATGAAGGTGGCCGGGGTTCACCACCACCAAATTGTGCAATATGCCTTGGTACATGCAAGAACAAATCATTCACTGATTCCTGCCTACACCAGTTCTGCTTTAAATGTCTTTTGACTTGGAGTAAAGTAAGTTATTTATTATTTTAATGGATGATAATGATATGCTGCACCTGCCTGCACTAAGGGTTCATGATGGTGGGGTACCAGTGGAAGTTGATGAGTATGAGGTCAAGTCAATCCATCCCATCGTGATAAATTGACCCAGAATTTCTCATGATAGTTTCCAGGAGGAACAACATGGAGGTCATCCTGACATAGTACATTGTGAGTAATGTGATTATTAGTCCACATTACTAGTTTATTGTAACATTAGGCATGCATAATGATAGATTACAATCCAGTTTTGTTAGCCCATCATGGTAAATTGACCCAGAATTTCTCATGATGGTTTCCAGGGGAAACAGTATGGAGGTCAATCTGATATAGTACATTGCAAGTAGGGTTCATGATTTCTCGAGCTTTTCAATTTCTCGGGTCTCGAGAATTCTCGAGGTCAATTTCTCGGGTCTTCTCGGGTTGTCGAGAAATTTACATTTATGTACGTTTTCTCATATTATTTGGTTCCAATAACGTCAAAAAATTCAGTGGTTTTCCTCTCAAATAAAAGTATCAAATTAAACTTTTATTGAGTATATTTAAAAACATTAATATATATTTTTTTTAAATAGGGAAATAATATTAGATCCTTACATATGAAATTGGCGTTTTGTCGTACTGATCACTTTGATCTCAAATATCTCCTCTTTGGTTAGGAATTCCATTTCCAAATTTATACAGCTATTCACTTTGGGTCACTCACAGCATACAAAATGAAAAAACTTAAAATATCGCGTTATTTACGAGTACGAGTTCCGCCGTGGCACCAGTGCTACACGGTGCTAAACGGCTCGAAGTATTAATGATGTGTATGGCAGTGGTCTCGCAAAAGAAAACACGTGCATTTTTGGTTCCAACGTTTTCGTTCTGGAAATTTCGACCTGCAAAACAAGCCCCGTGGGCGGCTGAAGTACAAGGTTGATAATGAAGAATTGAAGGCTATTATGGAAGCAGATCCATCGCAAACCCGTCCTAGCTGCAGGTTGCGGTGTTAGTGACAAAATTATTTTAATCCTTTAGCAAATTGGGAAGGTGAAAAAGCTTGAAAAGTGGGTCCCTCATGAATTCAATGGAGTAAATCGACAAACGCGCGTAGCCTACTGCGTTACATTATATCTCAACCGGCATAATAATGAAGGGATTTTAAATCAAATCATTTCCTGTGGTGAAAAGTGGATCTTGTACGATAATCGGAAACGCTAATTGCAATGGCTAAGCCCAATGGACCAGCCAAATCCTGCCCTAAGCGAAATATGGCTCAAAAAATGTTACTTGTGAACGTTTGGTGGACTATTTCCGGTGTTGTTCACTTCGGCTTTCTTAAATCTGGCCAGACGATTACGGCAAATGTGTATTGTCAGCAATTGAGAAACCATGATGGAAAAGCTAGCTGCTAAACAACCGAGGCTGGTCAATCGCTAAGAACGCTTGACCACATAGTGCACAAAATAACAGTTACCAAATTAAAAAAGCTTCAATTGTAATGTCTAAGACAACCACCGTACTTCCCGGACCTTGCACCAACAGATTACCATTTTTCGAAAATATATTCATAACTTAATGCAATTATTTGGAAAAAATTACCTTTACTCCGATGGGACAGTCCAAAGTGCAAAAGGCAAAAACTGCATAAATAGATATGGTACATACTTTGATTAAATAAATATATTTTATATATTATTATTTAATATATTTTGAAAAAAAAAAAAATACTTTACTTTTATTCCCTTACAAAACGCCAATTTCAATTTTTTAGGACCTAATTATTCAGACTTATATTTATAATGATAGCACCATTTTTGGCTGCTTATTTAGATAAAAAAAAACAATGTAAACAAAAATAGTTTCTACAAAATAAAAAAATAACACGAAAGAAAACAAAAACGTTAATATCTTAAATTATTGCGCCGCCACGCAACAAAACAAAGGGCAATTAATTTCTAGATAGGTACATGTTTTCTCGAGTTCTCGACTTTCTCGAGCTTGATTTCCCGGAACAAAACCCATGAATTTCCCGGGAATTCTCGGTTCGAATGAACCCTAATTGCAAGTAATGTGATTATTAGTCCACATTACTAGTTTATTGTAACAGTAGGCATACATAGTGATAGATTATAATCCAGTTTTGTACTAATTACATGCTTGGATGATAATCTGTTTTATGTAGTGTATTTATAATGCTGCAAATAAATTAATCTTATATTATATTTAAGGTACACAAAGTTTTGAAAGTTGATCCAATTCCATAGTCCTTATTGTTGTCTCTTTTATTATAACCCAATGTGCTCCATGATGCACATTTGGTTTTTCTTATTCTTTTTTTTTTTCACAAATTTTTTATATTTTTAACACTTGTGGAAGATAAGTGTTAAACAGTTTATTTGTATAGCTCTGTTGGATTTTCATGACGCCTATTAATGAACATAATATTATTCAACAAATTATAATTCTTCATAATTTTTACTAATAAGATGAATTAATTTAAGTAAATATATCCAGTTAGGTTGTATATTTATATTAAAATTGAATTGTACATGCTATCTACAGTTCTAACAGTCAGTTCAGACAGCTGAATATTCTGGAAGTATTTAAGATCCTTAACATCAGGAACTCCTATATAAGTATAAAGTTCTTATTACATTTGTTATAATTAGGTTTTTGAGGACTACTTCTAATACAAATCCAGTACCTAATTGAGTAAATAATTAATGTAAAACAATTTTTTTTTCTGTGTCTATCCTGCAATCAGTCTGAGACTATGAATAGATGTGGTATAGCTGCTACATAATACTGTAATTAACTATAAATAAATAAAGTTAGCCCTCTTCATAGCTGATTCGTTTTAGGGTATTTGTGTATATTATTATGTATTTTCCCATTTAAATAAGTTGGACCATTTCATAAGTATACCTTGTTTGGATGGGTATGGGTGTTTTCTATGTATAATATGTATATTTACTAAAAAATCTATGTATTTGTATCAGTTATCTATAATAGATGGTGCTGTGACTTGTCCTGAGATTATTATTATTAACTGTTGCCCAACATTATGTAATTTTATGAAATATATATCTTAGTAATTCATTTATAAATAATTGCAGGTGAAAGCAGTATGTCCACTTTGTAAACAGAATTTTAAATCAATAATACACAATGTACGTTCCAATCACCAATATGAGGAGTATATGGTGGAGCAAAGAGAGACTGAAGAGACTATTGAAAGATTGGACAATGATAGCTCAATTACACCTACAAGGAGATTTAGATACAGGTAATCACAATAACAACACATGTCAAAGTAGATATATAGTGTAACTAGTGGATAAGTAGTTATTTTATAGCTTCGACAGCAATAAATTAATACTTTTGCCTTTATGGTGTAGCGGTTTATCAAATCCTCTACACCCTAATTCCGAATGTCGTGGGTTCGTTTTCTTTCATGAGTATAATCAGCATTATTATTATTTGATAATTATTTTATAGGTCTAGGTGGGTTTTTATTTAAGTTTCTACAAAAACTTTATATCTATGAGGTATTTAGTATCAATAACATAAACTCTACGGAGTTTGAGACTAAATGGCGCTGTGTAAATTGTCTACGGTTGTCCATTGTTATTAAATTTATTTTTATTATTATTTATACTCAGATGTATATTTTTTCGTAAATATATAACTATTATAAACTACTCAAAACATTGAATGAAAATTTTGAGAAATATGTATTTTTTATGGATAGGTTTATTTAAAACAAGGTTCATTAAGTGATTTAAACTCAACACCTCGTGATATTTCTTTATTTTGATGAAATTATGCACAATATTAATGTTTTTGAAAAATTAACAGTAATAAAGAGCGACGTATAATTTTCTTGAACATTGTTTGATCCTTAAAATTGGGCCAATCGATGGCCTTTAACAACGCGTAGCACCTCCTCTGCTCTGTATGCACTCTCTAAGTCTGTCTGGAACACTCTCTATTAGATGGGTTACATTTTCATTAGGTATTGTTTCCCAAATCTGTTTCAAAGCATTTACGAGTTCCAGTTGGCTGTTAACCTCGCTGTAGTTCTCTTTGAGACTTTTCAATTGATACCATAAATGCTCAATCGGATTGAGGTTGGGACTCATCGCAGGCCATGGCAAAACAGAGACATGCGCATTAGAGAGTACTCGTTGTGTGGTACGGGCTGTATGCGCGCGAGCATTATCTTGCATCAATATGAAATTATTCCCTACACGCTGTGAAAATGGAATGACATGCGGTCTGATTACCTGCTCGACGTAGCTAGCAGCAGTAACAGAGCCTTCATTTAAAATTACCAGCTCCGTTTTACCCATCAAACTTATCCCACCCCATATTATCACACTTGTTCCTCCAAAACGATCAGTTCCATGGATGCATGGTTCTGTAAATCGTTCTCCCTGTCTTCTCCACACGCGTACACGTCTATCATCGCTCAAAAACTTAACTTTACACTCATCTGTAAAGAGTCCGAACCGTCCTCCAGTTGTCCATGGTCCAGTCTAAATGCTCACGTGCGAACCTTAAGCGCGCTGCACGATGAGCCCTGGTACGTTTAAGTCGAATAACACGTCTTCTTGACCATTGCGCATCTTCATGCAGTCTGTTGCGAATGGTTTGATCATTTACACGTGTACCAGTAGTTTGCCGTATTTGCCGATTTTGTAAGATGCGAGCGGTAACGGTGCGCTCTCGACGTGCAGTTAATCGAATATACCGATCTTCCTGGGTGATTGTGACTCGATTTCTTCCTGATCCGTGTCTTCTAGCGATACTGCCAGTCTCTTATCATATCGATTCCACACATTTCGGATAGCCCGTCGTGAAACACCAAGACGCATTGCAACAGATCGCTGTGATTCTTCCTCTTGTAACAAAACAACCGCCTTTTTTTTATTATTTTTTTTTTTTAATAACCACAGACACAAAGTCAGTGCTCTTATTAAGTTAATTTTTACATTTTTGTTTGGCTTAAATTGATTTATTTAAGTAAATCTATTTTGGTCAGGATATAACAATTTTATGGATGTCAATATATTTTATATTATATTGACAACAACCGCCTTTGTAGCGGTTTCCAAGTCCATATGACGACGAGAACCAGGCATATTGACTTCGTGACGAGATTAATACCGGAACTAAACACAACAGTTGAACAAGATGATTGTTAATTGTAACGCTTGCGACGAAACTCGAAACACAAATGATTGATGATGAAATTGTGCATAGGGTGAATTCTAAGCACTTAAGTTTTTTGTCTACCCACTTAAGAATAACATTCAAATTGCTATTCCTAACATCGCTACGAATGCATTAACTATTAAGTATCATAATGATCAATATTGTAAATAACTCGTAGTGGGTCCTATTTTGTTTTGAGTAGTTTAGATAACACCCAGACCGATACAAACAATCATACTCATGAACACAAATGTGCCGTGCGAGGGATCGAACCCGCGACCATCGGAAGTAAGACGGTGTGCTAAACCGCTAGACCACCGAGGCCGTCAAATTGATGTAATTATTATAGAGATTGTATAACATGTGCGCGTAGGACGACGTTGACTCTGCCGCGGCAGGAGTCGATCACGATCCAGGAGCTGCTGACGCAGTACCCGCTGTCCGCGGAGCTGTTCCCGCCGCCGGCGCCGGCGCCGCGCCGCCGCCCGTCGCCGGCCTCGTTCCGTCGCACCGTCTACCGCCACCGGCTCTGGGCGCGCCCGCTACCAGACTTCACGGGACGGTTCAGGGATTGCACGCCGGAATTCTACAGGTACACTGATCCATTTGTATTTCAATATATGAATTTAGTTTACTAACTCTAAAGTTGGATTATATCAGAAAATAATTCGTAAATCTATCAGAAAGTAATCGTAGTCAAAAACAGTCAATACTAACTTAGTATTTACTGTTTTTGACTACGATTGAGAGGAAAGCGAACAAAATATGCATTTAATATATGTATAAAATTAAAGCTTGTTTAGACCAGGGATGAGCAACCGTTTAATCAAGGCGCCAATTTGAACGAGCTGCGTGTTGCTCATTCGTAATCTAGACAAATATAAAATATCCTACTAGTGACTATATCGACTTTTTTGAGATAATAATTATTTTATGTCCATCCTTGTGATGCATCTTCACTTTGAATTTCATTAACATTCGTTTAAATGTTACCTTTACACAAGTAAACAGTTCAACTCACCTTAGAATATTAGTATGGATGGTCATTTTGATGGTGCGGAATCATCAACAATTTATATCTTGAGTGAATAAAACTGCGCGAATAGTGCTTTAGTTTTCTTTCATCTACTGTTTTTAATTCAAGGTACAATGACACGCAAATGCACCGGTTAGTACCATGGCTGAACAGAGAACTTAATTATTTGTTAAATGAAAATGTGGGGCATATATCTTACGTAATTACTCGCATATTGGAATTACTTCCTCGGTACCATATTGCATCGCAGGAATTTAGAGAAGCTGTACAAGTCTATCTTAGAGATAGAACGGAGCATTTTCTTCATGAACTATATTGTTTCGCTTCCACTCCTTACGATATGACTGGTTACGATAGGTATGTACAATATACCACTAGAATATCAACAATGGTCAATGAAGTTATTTCTAGTTCTGAATCAGAAGGAAGTGTCGATTCTGATATAGTTATGGTATCAAGCTCAGAACCAGCGGAACCTCCCGCTGGACCATCCAGAGTTTCCAGTTTCTCAAGATTACCGGGCCCATCTAGGATACAGGGATCTTCCAGGTTGACAGGTTCCTCCAGAGTGCCAGAGCCAGTGTATCCACAAAATTACATTTCTGAACCTACATCAAATAATAACGTTATAACAATCGAAACAATATCACAATCGGACACTGATGATGATTCCTCGGAAGTTATGGTAGTGGGATACATAAAACCACCCCAGGATAGAACACCTGAGGTGGTGGACTTACTCGGTTCAGACAGTGACGTAATAGTGCAAGATACCGTGCCAGAACCGACACCAGACGCTAATGAAACTCAAGAGAACCGGCCTTTAGTGAAGTTTACTTTGAAACGTCACGTACCAAACGACGACGGCGACTCGGACAGTGGCGAGAGTACTAGTCGGCCACCGCCGGCCGCCCGCCGCCGCCGTCGTCAGCGCTCCAACGACTCCACCACCACCAGCGACACCTACCGCTCCACGCCCTCCCCCGCCAGCGAGTGGCAACCGATGTCTGACTCGCTCGCCTCGCTATCCACGTGTCCATCGCTGATGAGCCCGTCGACCGACGCCACATCTACTAGCGATACCTACAGTGATTCGAGTAGTACTTCTTCGTCTAATACTAGAAGAACCAAAATGCTGAAGCGAAAAACTAAAAGAAAATCTAATAAAGAAAGTTTAACAACCGTGAAAGAGAAAAAGAGAAGTAGAACGAAACGTACATCACGAACTCATCGCAAAGATAAACAATCGGTTCGATTAGAAAAAGATAAATCTAGGAAACGTAAATCACATTCTAGTAAAACGATCAAACCGTTAAAAAAGAATGAAGCCACTAGTACTGCAGATCTAATGCCTGTCAATATAGATCAACCTAGCACTAGCGGAGTCTCTAGTAATCATAAAGACAGATCAAAAAGAGAGCGCAAGCGACGACCACCGAGCTCAGAGAGCAAGCGACGGCCCGCGAGCTGCGAGAGTAAAAGACTGAAAAGTGTTGTTAATATTATGTGTAATAAAAACAATGGTGAATCGAGTTCCAGCGGAACGTGTAATGTTTTAAATAGTGCCCTAACAAATTCAAATGCTAGTAATACTTTACCTGAAAATAGTTTAACGCAAGCAGAAACTTCTGCTACGACGACCATGAAAGATAACGAAGATTCTGATTCCGAAGATAACCTGCCATTAAATTTGACAATACAGAAATTACTTCAGTAACATGTGATATGTATCTAGCAGTAAATAAGAAAGAGTTCCTCGCAGGCTCATCATACTGATCTTTCAATCAATTGCATTTTATACCCCCAGAATTATTTGGGATATTGTATAGTGATAAATATCAGGACTGTATGAAAAATTTGTATGTTTCTTGAATTAGATTCAGAGACTTGATTTTGAAGTAGTGTAATATAACCATTGTACATGATAGTATACATGTCTACTTATATATAAACATTATGTATAGAATTTTGTTTATTTCATAAATCTTAAATTTCAAATGATTGTGAATATTCGTTAATAATTGGATAATTTTGGTAATGAAGTGCAAGTTCCTGCAAGTCAATTTGTTTTAATTTTGTTTGAAATACGGGTATTAAAATTAATACTGGAATCAATATTTATTTAAAATAATTAAGAACTCCTGACTCTGACAAAAGAAATTACCTTTATGTCTAAATTGTTACATCTCCTTACATAATAAATCCAAATATTAGTCCTTCACAATTTTATATGTGTATATAATATACTGTAATGTCAATGATAGTAATTATTAGAATTTTCTATCAAATAAAATAATGGAAATTATTACATCACATACGAGTTTACCAAATAGACCAATCAAATTTTTGTATCTTGTCAAACTTGTATTGCCAATTCAGATGTATTTGTAACCTATCACAGGATATGGAGTATATACAAGTTTACATATGTACAATAAGAAAAACAGAATATCTTGCAGAAAAGTTTATAAAAACATAAATCAACATTACACATCAGCACAAAATAATGAGGTAGTCTTGTAAATTTATATTAAGTTTAATTGTCTACAATATTCCAAATATCTACTAATTAATCAGCATCAATTTACTGTAAATGTTAATATGTACCGATGTTCGGAGACTGGTATCACTTAAATTATTTATTCAGACAGCATATATCTTATATAGAATTTTAGTAAATAAATGTACAATGAGAATAATCATTTTTATGTCACTGTTTTATTGCTTATTCACCTTTGCTACAGATTGGGATTTTAATTTATTTGGTGGTAAGAATTAAAGGTAAACATTTCGGACTACACACAATGACAATTATAAGCTTGTGCCTATGATGAGGAATTATTAGGACGGGACATAATGTATTATTTAGAATTCTGTATTTATCGTATTATCCTATCTAGTATATTTTATATATTTTTCGTATTTCACACTTTACCTTCGCACCAACTACAAATGTTGATCTAAACAGATCATTGCACTGTAGAACAGACCCAGCATGAAGTCAGGTCTGTTATCCCATCATGGCGAATTAACCAGGAATTTACTACATACTATAGTTGCCGGTAAATTTGAATTTGAATTTAAATTACTACCAAGAGGCCGATTAGTTACTATTTCTTTCAGCAGGGTAGTCGCTATGCATAACACCTAATTGCTTTTGTAATATATTGTTTCTAACAATTGTATTGTAACATGTTAAAAGCGATAGGTTTGTAATGTTTTAATCATTTGCAATTACAAGCTGAGATGTAGACGGTAGAGTATAAAATAATAAACAACATCAATATGGTGAATTGTACTTTATTTCTCACGTCTAAAATTTAATATACATAATTTGAACTGTGTTCTCTTCAAATCTTGAATCCCAATCCCAGGGCTCCATATAATACATAACTACCGTATAATATTGCCATCTTATAAAAATATAATACTACTACCCAATTTAGTATGACGGACTTACATAATTATATATTAGTGTATTTGATATACATACATATTTATTAACAAATATAACGAACTTCACTACATAAAATTTTCGAATATTTGATTATCTAGGCATCAAGTATGAAATCCTTTTCAAGAATAGTTACCAGTCAATTTAGCGGTCAGTTTTTACTAAACAAAATAATAATAATATAACAAATTTCGGGTACAAAATATGGCATGCGGCTACAAAGTAGGGGGTTCGATTAGTTTATAAAACGAAGCCCCCTGATGCGTCAGTTAATGACTACTACTACGATGTACACCGTAATGTCATAAGTTCGAAAACAGAATTTACTTTCACACAAAAAAGCTGCGTCTATATTTCTGACTAACGTTGATGAAATCAACTATAATAAATAATATTAGACAAATAATAGAAATATATATACACAAACTATTATTATATAACAAGTACGACATACCATATAACGCACAAGACTAATATATTATATTCATAAATATAGTGAAATTCGTTTCGTAGTATTTATGTTTACACTGTGCTAAATTTAGTTCTATAACTAGCTAGTTTCTGAATTCAAGAAATTATATAATTTATATAAGCATATAACAAAAATAACTAATGCGACGCATCCAGTTCATTACTAAATTTACCATAGTGTTTAACTTTATTATTGACTTATTAAATTAGACATAGTTTAGACAAAATCTAATTTTTATCATTATTATAATATTAATTAATACTTTATTTGTCCTGTTTATAACAGAACCTGTTTAGAAATCCCAAATAAAGTTTTTCTAATAGTTCCACATAAGCCAATTTTGCACTTTTTAAGAACAAGTTTTTTAATGTTGATAATTACACATAATAATGTACACGATCAAAATGTTTTATTGTCTTTATTACTTTCTATGTGGATATAGAGAATAGGACCCGAATATTTTATTACTCCAATGTTATTACTTCAAAATAGCTACCGCTTCTATCATAATTGCCTAATTAATTGATAGTATCAGAGATACTACGTACGATTCTAAACTACGTCCAATTCTAGTGCGAACTTACTACTTACATATCAGATAGACTTAATATATTATTACATATAGATATGTAGATCTGTACTTAAAACTGATTTATACCTAGATCAAACAAAAGTTAAGCACACTATGTTACATAGTTGGACGGCTAAGTGTCGTTGCAGTACATTAAACATGAGGTTGAAGCCAAATACTATTAAATTATTTAGTACCAATAGCAGCAATTAGCATGGAACATTCTGTTTTTTTTTTTCATAACCAATAAGCCGGGAAGCTTCACTTTAATAAGGCGACTGATTTCTTAGCACCAGTGTTATAAAGCTTATGGCGAAGTATTTCGTATTTTCAATACTAATTATAAGACACAATACCTCATAAACGTTATTATTTTATTTACATTTAATACATTAAAAGTTAAGTCTTCATCAATTGAATTGTACTGGATGTCATTAAAATATATTGACAATATACATTTCTATACAAAATCCATCGTAGATCTACAGATAATGCGTGTTTTGTATGGGTAGGCAAATGAATTTGTAAGTTTTTATACCCAAAAGGGTCAATAGTCATTATTTCGTACAAGTGACAAAAGATACAAAAAAAAAAATTACATTACACCCAATATTTCTTTGAGAATGCCCTTGATTATATACCCTTTCCATTATACCTTACAATATATAGATGTGTATATCTACATACATTACAGGCAGTTTGATTATCTATTTAGATAAATGATTTTATCTTTTAATACACTTACATTTCATTCAATTTATAGATATATGTATATATGAAAAAAATACGCAATTAACACTTTCCTTCGATCAATAAATTATAAAAAAGTATTTTACAATCTATACAATATTAATCGGCAGTAGGACATAATTGTGTTTTTCTTTCTCGCAATTCATTACAATAAAATATACTAAGCTAGAAATCGTTGCTACCTATATTATAAAACATTTTTTTTTAATTTAAACATGTTTCAAATATAAGAAAGACTTCATTACCATATGATATTTTTAAAACGAGCAATGAACCAACATGTAAATATAAACATTGCTGCAGGTAATGCATTGTCCAGCAATGCCATCTATTAATCAAATTGTATTATTGCACGTGGTAACATCAAGACATAATGAGTACCATAAACGCAGTACACCATTAGACTAGTTGGTATTACAAGCGGGTCCCTACAGGTCATAAACACAATAAAATATATTCATAGAAAAACATTCAAATAAGAAATTATGAAGTGTTAACTTCAACCACTGTGTTCATGTGCTGCGGATGAGGTTTAAATTCTATGACTTCTTTCCAAACCAAATCTGGAATAAAAATTGTTTTTTTTTATATTCACTAAAATTATAATTCCTTCCTTACTCATTATGAAGCAATTAAAACTAATAACAGATAGCGCTGTGTGAATTGTCCAGAGTTATTCCCTGGACAATTCACACAGCACTATCTAGTCCCAAGCTAAGCAGAAGTTGTGTTTTCGGTAGTATCCAAAAACTGATAGAAATATTTAATTACATATATAGTTTTAGTGATTACATAATATATACTGAAAACACCTAGACAAATACAAACAATCATATTCATGAATACAAATGTTTGCATCGTAAATTTGTGTCCATCGGAGGTAATGCAGTGTGTTAAACCGCTAGAATAACGAGGCAGTGAATAATGAAAGTATAAGTTCATCAAAGTATACTGTAGGTCTACTCAGGAATCTAACGTCAATATCAATTTCAATCCCATCCATTGTAGTATTATTTTTTTTTAACATAAAAGACTAAACAACTTAACAGACAACGCCAATGTAAGTCATTTCATCCACTCCCATTGATACTCCGTCCAATTCAAACGGGGATTGAAGTTACAAAGGCCTCAGCTCAATCTCTACCTCTTAACGACAGGAGTTAACCTCCAGCCGCTCCATAAGTCCTTTCGCGGATTTGAAGTGCCATCTGCACTCGCATCCTAACGTGACAGTCAAGCTGCGGCCAACAGCATTAAAATAGTTAAAAATAGTTTGTCCATAAATTATGATTTTATTATCACCATTGGCGATCTGTAATGCACACGTATACGAAATTATAAAAAGAAATACCTTTCCACTGCTCAACCGGGAGATCCATGTCTTCGAAGCTCTCGTCATACGGTGTGGACTCGGGCTCATCTGTCGGGTCAGCGTACTGAGCCAAGTACTCGTGTGCAAGCGCTTCCTCCGCAGTTATGCGCCTGTAAATAAACCATCATGCATTTATAATAAACGGATTCCCATGCCCTACTTTTTAAGATAAAAGATGGTTTATGTACGTCCACTTCATACAAGTTATCCTCATGTCAATCTACATCTAGATCAGTGTTTCACAAAATATTTACTGCCATGCCACCTTGGCCTTCCTAATACGATTTTAGGATAACAATGAAATTGTCTCCCTATGGGACGTGCGCCCCATGTTGGGAAATACTGATCTATATCAAACATACAGACAGAACCCTAAATCCTAACTATTTATACAATTATTATGTATACGTAGATTCGCTAATTATTTTTTAATCCTAAATTCGATAAATATTGTTTTTAGAATCACCTGTTTTTTAAGGATATAGTTAAATTCAGTAAGTACACGTTATTAATATAATTTGTCGGGACTTTACACGAATTAATAAAAGGGATTTACAGTACATTGCGACCAGTTTCACTAACCGTGGTTGAAGTAGACTTGAACATAATGACGTCAGTAAATACGTAGCTTTAGGTGGTTTATTCAACTAATGCTACTTTACTAGATTGTCCATGGTAAAATCGCGAAACATAGCGCGCACGTTATCCGTAAACTAATGTACCATATTTACCTAAAGTTATCTAAACTCTATCTCACAATGTATATTTATAAAATACAATAAAATAGAAACATAGAAAGTTGTTCTTACTTATCGGCATCCAATTCTAACATACGTTCCAGCAAGCTGATTGCTAAAGGATTCGCACCGCGGAACACTTGACGAAAATCACGTTTCTTCAGAGAGGGTAGGGTCTGAATATAGTTGCGAGCCTAGAACACAAAATAGGTAATGCCTTGAAAAATAACAATGCCACTATATACTTCAATATATTTTTCTTCGCCTTATTATGGAACCTATGTAAATCAGACAAAACAAGTTGCAGTAACAAACACATACATAGACTATATATGAATACCCCTGCACATACACAAACAATTAGGTATATATAATTAAATGTATTTTTTATCAAAAGGATAGATGTGTCTTAACCCTCTCCCCTAGCCTAATCATTTTCGGATCGTGATAGGGAAGAGGGGTATCTTCCTCCGTCTTTTTTATGTCTGCTAGTTTATCATGCATATTAATATTCTTATTATAAATTCAAATTATAGTAAAACCCACTCAAAATTATACTTTTTAGTATACTAAAATTATTAATATACAGGATTATAGGCAATGTAACACTTAAAAGTAATGATGTAGCAACTTAGCTCGTTATTGTTCAGTTAATTGCATTTATTATATTGTTCAATATTTTTAAGAGGAAACAATGTTTATGAATTTTATAATCTCTTAGTTTGCTTACCTCTTCACTAATAATTTTATCAATGGTGTCTTGTTCGGGACTCCCACACAAAAACAATATTCTTGTGAGATGATCGATATCTGACGCACAAATGTTAAGGTTACAAGCACCAAACTTACAAAAGCCACATATATACTATACCCAAAATGTATAAAGCATGTTAAGGCAAAGCTATGTTATGACTTATCTCTTAAGTGTATTACAAAAACTATTAACATTATATACAAGAAAATATTCAGCACTCGCGAGTATTCATTAATTTTGTCGCCGTTGCTGGCACTCCGCTATGATTATAAAATAAGCCCTATAATTAATAAAGTAAACTTACAGACTCAGAGGAAATCTTCTGCATGAATTCCTGACTAGGTGTCCCAAGTACTTCCATGATCAGATTCAATTGATGAATATCTGTCTCGTTCATTAAGGTTGAAAGCGAACAATGCGACAATTTCGAAAGCTTTCTTAAGCTAAATAATAAATTAAATGGGAGCCTTAATAAGTAATAATATTCTGTAAAAAAAACTGAACTGGACAAGCGTTTTAATTACAATGTAGTAATTATATTGCTTAAAACATGTAGCCCATTACATTAGAGTTAACACAACATACTATGAAAAATAACAGATATATATATTTATGAACAATAATGGAATAGTCAGTTAGTGTACTAACAGTATGCACTGACAGGGTACCAGTAGAATATAATACATTGAACATCAAAATCCATCCCAATTAGCCCATTCATTTGTGCCATTTTGCACAAATACTTACTGCAAAAGTTAACCACAATTCTTGGATAATGGGGATAGTAAGTTAGTAATGAGTAAGAACCACTAGTGTGAACATTACTAACACTTAGCCTCCAATTTCCTCCTATACATTAATCAATTATTAGATGACCATTCCATTGACGAAACTGCATAAGCCATATGTACCTTATCTTTAATAAATTTTCTGTTTTTGCAAGACAGTAAAAAATAATATGAATCTCCGAATAATTAATTCAATATAGATCAGATGATTTAATAATGGTCTCCAGTCGTCTATGAAATACCAATTGATCCATGACACTGTAACCTTTAAAACCTACCTTCATAGAGCATGCATGCTTTATATAACAGTATTAAAAGGATACGATCTGTGCCTGGAAATAGGGTCCTGCTAGTCAACAGTTCAGCCATTATGCAACCAACTGACCATATGTCCACAGTCTGGTTATAATGCATCCAGTTGAGCATAATTTCAGGTGCTCTATACCACCTACAAAATATGTGCATATTGTTTTAAAGTATTTATGATAATAGTGTTATCGACAAAAGTAAAATATAAAGTATAAAAAAACTATTATGATATAAAGTAATAATTTTAATTTGCAATGTAAGTATACTGAAAAGTAATAATCTACAAATTAAGATAACTTACAGATAACATTTAAATTACAGATATTTCATCTGTAATTTAAATGAAGTTTCTTACCTTGTAGCTACATAGCCTGTCATTTCAGTTTCAGTAGGCCTAGCTAAACCAAAGTCCAATATTTTCAGCTCACAATCCTCATTTACTGCAATGTTTGAGGGCTTTAAGTCCTGTAATTTCATTCCTTTAATTACTATTACAGCTTTATAATTCCCTCTTACTCTGAACATATATATAATCTATTCTGTTATTTTTTTCTTGTTAAGTTCTTATAGGACTAAAAGCTAAAGCATCAATCATCACCTATCTCTATCTACAACAATATACAATTAATCTTTTCCTGCATTATATGTTATGTTACAAACATGTGCTGATGAAGTAGTTAATAGATTATCAATATGATCATTAACAACTTTGTCTTTACTATTAATATCACAACTCAAGACAATTCATACAGCACATTTAGTTCCAAGCTAAGCTAATATTAAGGGTACAATACAACAGATAGAATACTTAAATACATTTTTTTTATAAATACATATATACATACATACTGGGTGTTTTCTACGTACATAATATACATAGAAAACACCCAGACCAATAAAAACAATCCTAGTTATTTTTAAACTTTTGTGTTTAAAATACATTATTTATATTATTAACTGTGTTTTAACATGAATAATTGATAATAATATTAATAAAAACAAATATACTCATGAATACAATTTTTTATACTGTATGAGGAATTATAATATTATAAGAGATGAGCTACAGCAACAGCATAACCACTTTGGCTATCTGTCCAGTTACATATATTACTACCATTTATAGACAATACTATATAATGAACCATTCCATTCATTATACAACCATTTTTTATCTAGTATGCCAACAAAATTAATAGGTTTATTAATACAGCAGCACAAACCCTGTGAATGATGCCTGCAGAGTGAATATACTTAAGTCCTCGGAGAATCTGGTAGACCAGAAACTGTACATGGTCATCAGATAATTTCTGTGTACGGATTATATTGTTCAGATCAGCTCCCATCAAGTGTGTCACCAGATACACCTGTTGAAACTCCTCTATGGTTTTTTCTGGACTAAAGACATCCAGTAATCCTATTTTACAGGAAATAATTTTTGTTTAAATCTGTGTACTGTGATATTTTTGTGTAAAAATATATTTAGCAAACACAACATGCATATTTTTATTTATCTGTAAATAATTAGGCAATTCCTGCAGTTTTACTATTCTAATTGGGAACCCTACTAATATATAAAAATGGCTGGTTTCTAGTACCAAGATTAAATACAAAAATAAAGCTTCAAGACTATGTAAATCAATCAGAACAAAAAATACATAACAGAAAAACTTGGTCATGTTCTAAAATACCTTCATACAATTTTACATTGGAAATAAACAGTACACCCACCAATAACATTTTCATGATTCATATGCTTTAACATGCGTAGCTCACGATAGGTTCTCTTTGCATGCACTGCTGACTGAAACGGCCTCGCCAATTTCTTTATTGCCACTTTTACATTATGCAGAGTGTCTACAGAGGAACTGGGGAAAATAATTGACAATCAATTAAAACCGGTCCACCCACGTAGGTGCAATGTACTGTTACAAAACAGGAAACGCAAATATGAATTATTTTTGCTGGACTAGAATACAAAAGATATTATAATCGGATGGCCTGAAGCGATTCACAAAAGAATACATACCAAACTTGACCGTAAGCTCCTGATCCTACAGGTGTTAACATTTGATATCTTTCGGGCACAATCCATTCTGTTTTATTAATTTCCACCTTGTGAAATCGTGGCATATTGATTTCTTTTCGAAAATTAAAAAGAAATTAAAGGAACAACAAAATCTATACGAAAAAATATCTTGATTTTCTTTTAACTATTCTTGACTTTTATACGGCAGATATAATTTGCCAAAGATACGATTATTTTTCTAAAATGTCATAACTTGTCAAATATCATCGATATCGATAAAGTAACATATTTGTGATGATTGTGGAGCTGTTGACGTAACCCGATACGTAAACAGCTCCACAATCATCACAAATATTTTACGATAAAATTATTTAAAATAAATCTTTAATCAAGATAGTGCATGCATCAAAAAATAATAAATACACTACAATTTGCCAATCACTTTATGCGTGGTTTTACTAATATAATATGATGAATGAAAAGCAATGTTACCGTTATTTTTTCTTTTTTAGTGAAGACCATTTCAATATATATTATTTATTAGCTTTACTTATTTATATATATACATATATTGCCTTAAGTATTACATTTCTTAGATAAGATACATTAAGTCAAGCCACAACTTTTTTAAATGGATATATCGACATATTATGAATTTTATTTATACGTCTTATGCAACCCTATCGACGTCATCTGTATGATCATCATTCATTGTCACGTCACTTTTTATTTATATGAATATGCAGTAATAATTTGGAATTTTATAGCAAAGGAAATGAAAATATGTTATTACATTATGTGAGATCTGTAAGGCCGAATATATGTACCAATATTATATAAACTTGTTATTAGCAATGTAAAAGTCAAAGATAATTACATAAATAATTCTGACAACAGTTGTCAGTGCCAGGTAATTACACAGATTATTTATGTTTATTATCTTCTCGGTACTCTGTGAATATTATTATTAAGTCCTCTTGCTCTTTCCATGTTATTTTTTTCTATGATCTTTTAAATTACCTTAATTAATAATTAGTATCGACAACAAATAGAAAAATGGCACAAACGGCGGGTGTCAAGCCTATGGCTATTGCTGGCCGAGTAGCCTCCGAGAGAGAAAGATGTTTGGGTATGACGGACGCTGAGAGAGCTTGGCGCAAACAGTGGCTAAAAGATCAAATTTTAGCTCCCAATGAACCAGTTCATGTCGAAGAATACTGGAAAGAGAGAACTAATCCTATTCGTCGTTTCTATCGTAAACCTTTGGATAAACTCTTCACTTCCCTTATTCCAATGCTGGTAGTATTACATAACTGCGATATCCTTACAAAACAATAACATTGCCAATACTTTTTTTCACTAATTTATATATGAGTATAGGAAATAATTAATCTTCTAAATTTCACATTTTTAAAGTAATGGAAAAATAACTAAATGTAATTTTTTGTAGGGTGAGGAGCGTGCTGTAAATTATAGGTACATTACTGGGAAACTTGGCCTGATAGCAATTGGTGTACTTTCTGTACATTACTACTTCAAATACCAAGGAAATGTGAGTTGAACTTTTTATCTAATTAACAGAATCAATTAGCCCAAAGCTCATACCAATTTCACCACAATATGAAGAATTTGTGCTTTATTATGCATATATAAAAATTTAGTTAAGTCACCTATTTATTAGTTCCATATATACTTTCAGGTTACTGTTATTTAACTAGTTAAGAATTTATAATGGTATATAGCCCAAATGGAATAAATAATCTTTATTAAAACTATATAATATGTTGTATTTGTATAGGATTGGACAAAGAAAGGTGGTTGGAGAGTGATGAGGACCAAGCCTACAGTCCTACCAGGGCAACCAGGTTTTCCATTCAAATCTGAACGATCCAAGCCTTCTGATTATGCTGACAGAAATTTCAAGAATTCAGTGATCTAAATATATAAATGCAATAATTGTTTTACCTCTGTGGAAAAACTTGTTAAAAAAGGCATATAATTAGTTAATAAAATTTAATTTATAAATTATATTTTTTCTTTTTGTATTTACAATTATTTATGCAAAATGTATTCCTTCTGCATTGAAGGCATGTAATAATTTCATGAAGTCATCAATGTCCATAGTCCTTGCTCGCATTTGATCAGCTTCGGCATTAGTTAAAATCTCTTGCACTTTTTGTTTTATGTCAAAATCTTCTGGTATATCCTATAAAAAGTATACTGTTATATTCTGGTAACCACACAAATAAAAATATACAATTTAATATCTATATAGGGAAAAGATTACTTATAAAAAAAATTTGGATGTCAACTTATAAAAACTTAAGTACCATAGAAATATCTATAATAAAAATATGTTAACTATATCCAAGATCTCTCAACATTATGAATAGGATTACACAAGTACCAGAACCATGTAAATTTCTTTTAACACAAGCACAGACTTCTACAATAATAACACATTATGTCCTTGTGTTGGGTATGGGTTTTTCCTATAAAACAAGTATATTACTTACAATTACCATGCAGGCCTACCTCATCTAGATTTAGGTTTAATATTTGCCTGAGTTTCACTGCTGTACTTATTCAGGAGATGACAAAGTAGTGTTACTTAGTATTATCTATACACAGACACATTTACTATGGTAATTTCTGACTGTTCACATAAATACCTAACTTAAGACTTATGATAAATATTCTTCAGCATTACAAATATGTACATACCTTATTTTTTAAAGAGCAGTGTACTCTATAGTTTTTTTCCATGACAGCCATTGTAGTAGCATGCTTGAAAGCAGCTGCTAATGTTTTGTTTTTTCTAACAAATGCTATCCTTGTCAAACCATCCCATTCAACAAAATTAATTGGAGGAGGTGGATTCCGTGGCTCAATTCGTACTACACTAGATTCAACTTTTGGTGGTGGCCTAAAGTTGTTTTTACCAACCTGTAAGAAGAATATTACCAAAATGAATACATAACCCAAATGTGCAGTATTATAAATACAGCATAATAATTCATATGGTTTAAAAAATAGTATTCATGGAATAGTATTTAATATATGGTGGAGACAATATTAGGGACAATGTTTCAATAATAACTCTGCGAGCATCCATCCATGAGATGACCCTTCTCCTATAAGTGACTTTATAACAGAACTTTTAAATTTCATTATTGTACATTATTGAGATGGTTCAATCATATCTGCATATTAGAAAAATATTAAGCATTAATTGAAAATAGTATAATATGAGTTATGGTAAATAATGCTAAATAATTTCACCTTCATCAACATGTCCACTCGTGCCAGCAGTTGAGTGTTGATTGACAATCTACAATACAACTTATCACCTGGTTTTGCAACCAATCTCTGTGCAAATTCTTTTTGGAACATTAAAACTGCACATCTGAAGAATGGCCTGTGTAGTAACAATTTGAACACTAATGGTGAACTAATTTGGTAAGGAATATTTGCTACACATATATCGAAAAATGGCAATTCTGTCTTTAATACATCTCCAACAAGTATTTGTAATTTTGCTTGATAAGGAGTACCTTGTACACGTTTCTGTAGTTCAGCCACAAGTCTGTAATAAAAAAAAACTAAACTGCAACAGTCATTCAGTAATTAAAAGTTGTGCAAACAGTATTTACATTTGGTGATAGTACTTTAAAATAAAACGGTTAAGTCTGGCTTCTCATAAAATATAACCGCCTTATAATAAAAAGATAACAATTTTAATAATTTTTCACTTCTGTTTACCAAACAGTACAGGATACACAATTTATTACATCTTTATCTAGCAATTACCTGGTGTCTATTTCACAAGCAATTACTTTTTTCACTCTGTCGAGCAATTTGATTGTCATGTTTCCAGTACCAGGACCAATTTCCAAGGCAACATCCGTGGGTCTCAAACCAGATTTGTCCAGCATAGATGTAATAATAAGAGGATTCTTCAGTATATGTTGCCCGAAATCTTTATTAAACTGTATACCTATAATAAATATAATTATTTTAGTCTTAGTCGTATTGTAACACACGCTAATTAATTTATACATTTAAATTAAATAAATAATAAACAATATAAAACTCACCTTGTTTAGCAATGTCATTATGTATTCTGGATTTTTTCTCTGCTTTTATTTTTGGCATTGTTTATAAATAGAAGACAAAAGTTTATAAATCGAATCGAACTGAATTCAATAAATATTTATAAATCTCAAACTTGGTGATAAGGTTATGTCTATAGGTTAGAATAACACTTGGACCACAGATCGGATAGAGATTGTAATTTAGACCACAGCACAGATTAGAACAATGTAGAGATGCTCGATATTTTGAAAACGTTGCCGTTTTATCGAAAATCATTGATGATTTGACACTGATGTTAAGTCTTCGATAACATCAGTATATTGCTTTTAAATCATCAATAAGAAACCGAACTCCTTATTTTAATCTTTACGAACTTACTTTCTTTCAATTATTTATTAACATCAATATTTATTATTCTTATGATCGATATTTATAATTAAATAGTGACATCGATGTTTTTTTTATATCGAGCATTCCTAGAACTGTATCACCATCACCATATCTTCGTTTCTAAGAATAAATATGTAGTATTTACTTAATACTTTTATCTAGAAACCAAATACTTCTGCTGTCGAATCAATTGTGGACACTTTCTCAATATCACAAACTAATAGGTACTAACTATATAATTAATTGATAAAGCTTTACTTATATACAATTTAAATATATAGAAATAATAAATCATGTATAGTAGTAGTAGTAGTAGTAGTAATTAAACTAGACTTATAAAATATTCGCATCACTATCAATCAATGTTTAGCATTTTGGCCTTCTTTATGTACATTTTATTTTCAACTGGCAATTCCTTATAGTAAAATTTTGGCATGCTTAATTTTTACGGGACTTAGTGAATAAAAACCGTTTTCTGAAATTATTATGAAAATGGAGTGGAAACCTGAACAAGAAGGATTAAGACAAATATTAACACTCCTTAAGGAATCCCAGTCTCCAGATACAGCGACACAAAGAGATGTTCAACAAGTATCCTTTTCACGATTTATGTCGATGCATTTCATCGGCGTGGATATTTTTTGTATATAACCGCATTATTCCTTTATTATATTTAATATGCATTCTAAATGTTAATATTTATTTTAATGTATTGAATGTTTTATCACAGTTGCTTAATTATGAGCTATGCGTCTCATCTCGATGCTTGTGATAAAATCGATTTTTCCGACATGACAGTCATTGACATCTTTGATATTATTTCCTTAGCAAATATTCTCAGAAATTGGAAGAATTAAACAAGTATCCGGATTTTAATAACTATTTGATATTCGTTTTGACCAAACTACATAATGAAGAAGAACCAACACGCTCTTTGAGCGGTTTAATTTTGAAAAATAATGTAAAGTCACATTACAATAGCTTTATGCCTGAAGTTGCTGAGTTTATTAAGCGGGAATGTTTATCTGCTGTTGGAGACCCTTCACCACTCATCCGTGCCACAGTTGGAATTATCATTACTACGATTGCCAGCAAAGGTGAATTAACCTCATGGCCTGAACTCTTGCCCGCCCTGTGTCAGATGCTTGACTCTCAGGATTATAATGTTTGTGAGGTATGAATTGAAACATCACTATAATTGTGTTTTATGTCTATCAAATTGTTTTAACATTTCATTATTATTTATAGGGTGCGTTCGGAGCTCTGCAAAAAATATGTGAAGATACAACTGAGTTACTGGACAGTGATGCATTAAACAGGCCATTGAATGTATTGATACCGAAATTCTTGCAATTCTTCAGGCACTCATCACCAAAAATCAGATGCCATGCCATTGCTTGTGTCAATTATTTCATTCTGGGACGAACACAAGCCCTAATGTTGCACATTGATTCTTTTATTGAGGTGATAAATTGAAGTTTTCTAAATACAAGTTTATAATTTTAATTATTTTCCTATCCTTCAGTAATTACTTTTATTGTTGTACTATCTAGATATTACAATGTTCAGATAATACAAATATTATGTTTAATAATAAGTATTATAGGTATTTAATATATATATATATATGTATAGCTCGAAACTTTTATTTGAATTTAGGTTATTTACATCATATATGATTGTTTTCAGAATTTATTCCATTTAGCAGCAGATGAAGATGCAGATGTTAGAAAAAATGTTTGTCATGCACTAGTATTACTTTTGGAAGTTCGTTTGGATAGACTTATACCCCACTTGCCGAACATAATTGAAGTAAGTAGTTAGATGTGATTGACTTCCACTAATTTTATTTTTTACATGGAATGAACATTTTAGTCTTTTGCAACTTTTTGTAACTGGTATCACTCATTTTAGTTTGCAGCGCTCTTGTGAACTAATTTACTTTTTTATTTGTTCATTCTCAACTAAATTGAGACTATGACTTTGGATGGTTCATTATTATCATCTATTTTGAAAGAATTTATTTGTGAACTACACAAGCCTAGAACATTATTAAACAAATAAAACTGATATGCATAATTAAAATATGTTTTAATATTGCAGTACATGTTGGTGCGTACTCAAGACCCTGAAGAAGGTGTGGCTTTAGAAGCATGTGAATTTTGGTTGTCCCTGGCAGAACAGAATGTTTGTAGAGAGGTGAGTAATACTTATGACACAATTATATAAATGTCATCATCATCAAATTAGACCATTTACAAAACATGTCATACATATACTTAATTTATTTTATGATTATATTCAAATTCAATCCATTTTTATATTACACATAATTTTATGAGTTTTGTATAGTTTATAAGGTATACATAGAATTATTCCAGAGGGTTATATCTCTAATACAATGTATCTTTCAATCCAATAATTTGAATGTATCGCCAATACAATGAAATTCTTGTCTCCAATATAGATATGGATATTTTCCATGTAACAGTGGTCCAGTGGGCTAATTATGTAACTTCGTTCGCAACGATTTTCGTATGTAACGTAGTGAAAATGACGTCATCTGTCAATAATGCGATCATATAGACGCCATTTGACGCTGTCAACTAGCATTGCAACGTAAACGCAACTTTACATATCGATAAAAATTATTTCTATCGAATGTCGATTTACTAACCTCGTTGCAACGTCACGTAATCGCTATTTTGCCGAAATGACAGCGTGGAATTGAAACGGTTTTTACATTATGAGAAACAATTTAGAAGGTGTTTCTTTTGGTTACAATCTTTAAAATATCAGCATTAGCAGCATTATTTATCTTGTTTTGGTAATTTTCAGTATTACATATATTTTTATTATATTAAATATTACGTAGAAAGTCGTGAAAAGGTTTTAAATTTATTAAAATGGGAAAATTGTCATCACAACACGACATCAGTGTTGCCAATTCGATATTTTATTTTCGTCCCAAATCACATAGAATGTTGTATTAACTAGAGTAAATGTTTAATATAAAATATTGATTATGATATTAATATAATTAAAAAACTATTTCAATGAATTTCTGTGATATATATATATCGTTATGATGCTCTGTGATTTGTTTAAAGTAAATAAATTTATTTGTTTAAAGTTTTTACAATTATGTACAAATTTAAAAAGATGTGCCCATATCATTTTAAATTTATATGGATACTAGGTATCTATAGCAGAAAAGAAAATTTAATTTGTAGGTTAGATTAATATTATTAATGATTATAAATAGTTTGTATAAAATATGTTTTTATATTCAAAATTATTAACCTTATTTTTTCATTAGAATAGAATAGACTTTCTTTATTTTATTTTATTAAATGTCTATTAATAAAATTAAAATAAAAGAACAAGTGAACGCTGCAGTATATTTTGTAATTTTTGAACGCAATAAAAATTGTTTCAAATCAACCAACTAGTGTAACAACCCAATAAATTAAAATGTATCCCTCTAAAGGTATAAGCTATCTAATGTACTGACTTTTTAAATTGGTCGGATTAACAATATTCCGCTGCAACTTCATAGTAGTGTTTTATCGATAGAAATGATTTATGTTGCGGTCATTCGACCTTACTTGATCGCATTTTTTAAATTGAAATGATTTCATATTGCATCACAACTTCAACAGAAACAATTTCATATCGTGTTACATAATTAGCCCACAGTTCCATAGACAATTAAATTTCCACCTAAACACTCAAATTAAAGTGTGTCAAATTATATTTAATATTATTCCTCTTCTTTTGTTTTTTTTTGTATCAATATATATCTGTTAATATAGTGATTCATAGTATTACGTAATTATATACTATATTTAGTTTTTTATTATATATAAGATATATATATCCTGCATATATTCAATGCAATAGTATTTTTAGAATGTTGTTTGTAAAGATAAGCATATATCTTAATAATTTCCGATAATGAGTAAGATAAAAGACTTTGTTATTGTTTATTCAATTTGACCAAAACCATGAAAGCAAACAGTAAAGTAAAGTAATAGTCTGTTATATGAATATTTTGAATAAAAGATATGGTCTCATGGGTCTAGCGGTTTAACATACATGTGGATTCCTGACCCAGTACAAACATTTGTATTCATGAGTATGATTGTTTGTGTTGGTCTCGATATCTTCTATATAAAATATATATGTACTTAAAAAAAACTTATGTGTTTGTATCAGTTATCTAGTACCCTTAAGAAGCTTTAGCTAGCTTGACTTGGCCCTAGATGGCGCTGTGTGAATTGTCCTGATTATTATTATTATTATTGTATAACCAGGTTCTGGGTCCACGTTTACCAGCACTGCTGCCAGTGTTAGTACGCGGCATGCGCTACTCAGAGATGGATGTGATCTTGCTGCGAGGTGACCGCGACGATGATGCGGACGATGCTGAACCAGATCGCGAATCTGATATACGCCCTCGCTTTCACAAACCTCGCTCACATACTATCAAACACAATGGTGAATATCTTACATCCTTTGATTTTATTATCTTTAACAGATTATTGTTAAAGGCCATAAATATATTTGAGAACATAAAGTTAACCAGCTTTAAATATTTATGAGAAACTAGATTATGACTACTTCTAAATGCATTACAATAGCCCACCACATAATTGTAGAATGCAAGTTAGTCTGAATACTATGAATCCTTTGTCTTGTGCTCACATACTTTCTTGTCATATATGTGTACCAACCAAAGCCTATTTTGCCAAATTTTCCAAGAAATTATCACAATATTTTCAGGGGAACCGCATGGAGGTCAACCTGACATTGCTAGCAATAGTGTTACTAGTCCACATTTCTTACGATTCCCTTTCCCCCTACAGTTGTAGTTAGTTTTATAAGTGTATATATATAAGTACAATAGTATTGTTAGGCAACAATTGGCTTAGAGTAAAAGTAACACATGTGGTATGGGTAGCGGGCGCAGGTGACAGCAACATGTCGGGTGGCGGTGAGTCGGACGATGACGACGACGGCGGCGCGGACGCGGACGACGGCTCGCTGTCCGACTGGAACCTGCGCAAGTGCAGCGCCGCCGCGCTCGACGTGCTCGCCAACGTGTTCGGCGCAGACCTACTGCCCGTGCTCTTCCCTATCCTGAAGGAGACGCTGTTCCACGAGGAATGGGTTATTAAGGTAGTATTTATAATGTTCTCATTTGACAGTTCAGTTTGCCTAAGTTTTCTTTTGCCCCCTGCGCTTTTCGTTGGCGGGGCATCAGAGGAGGATGATAAGATGAGCATGAAGTCAGACTGACTTCATGCTCATCTTATCATCATTCTTATCATCGTAGTTAGCCCGTAGGTAAATTCACCAGGAATTTATCATGGTTTTGGGAGAACGCGTGGAGGCCTGAAATGGTATATTGCTAGCAATGGGGTTATTAGTCCACATTACTAGCAATCCCCTGCCCTCCTAGATTTTTTTTTTTGTGTATGATAATGGAATGGTGCACCCGCCTGCGCTAACGGTTTACGCGGGCGGGGCACCAGTGGAGGATGATAAGATGAGCATGAAGTCAGGTCAGTTAGCCCATCGTGACAAATTCACCAAGAATTCATCACGATGGTTTCCAGGGAGAACCACGTGGAGGTCGACCTAACATGGTACATTGCTAGCAATAGGAGTTACTAGTTCCCATTGCTAACAATCCCCTTCCCCCTGCCCTCCTAGATTGCCTAAGGCGGTAGGTAGTGTCAGATAAATGTGATTGATTTACGGAAGATAAAATATGAAGTATAGCAAGATAATAATTAGGCTTAGTTAAAAATTAACAACAAGAAAGTATTTTTTATATATGTTTGTTATGTGTATGTTATTACAGCGTTGATACAGATTGAGTTTATATTATGTAGAAGGACAAAGTGGATGCCCAGTTTTTAATGACAATATAACAAAGTCTCTGGTGTGACAGGAGAGCGGCATTCTGGCGCTGGGAGCGGTGGCGGACGGGTGTATGGGCGGCATGGTGCCGCATCTACCCGACTTGGTCCCGTACCTGGTGTGTTGCTTGGCCGAACGGAAGGCGCTTGTACGCGCTATCACCTGCTGGACGCTGTCGCGTTACTCACATTGGATTGTCTCGCAGTCACATGACCTATACCTGCGACCAGTCATGACAGAGGTATGCACCATTGCTTACTGCATCTGCTAAAATTTTACTTTTTTTTTTCTGGAGATTCTCCCACTCGCTGTGAAGTTTGGAATTCATTATTTTATTTATATTTCTATCTTATATATACTAGAACCGTAGTCTACAATTATGAAAAATTAAGTGAGAGACCTTTTTAATTTTGGGCGTATAATTCCAGCTGTTGAAGCGCGTATTAGACAACAACAAGCGCGTTCAAGAAGCGGCGTGCTCGGCCTTCGCCACCCTCGAGGAAGAGGCTTGCACAGAACTGGTGCCGTACCTTGGATATATTCTTCAGACGCTCGTTTACGCCTTCAGCAAGTACCAGCACAAGAATCTACTTATTTTATATGACGCTATCGGCACTCTAGCCGATTCTGTGGGACATCACCTGAACAAACAAGAATACATCAATCTATTGATGCCACCTCTTATCACCAAGTGGAATGTACTTAAAGACGAAGATAAAGACTTATTTCCGCTTCTCGAGGTGGGTACTTAAACATTATGTAATTGAATCGGTTTTTTACAATTGTGTCAGACAAAAAACCGGTTTTCATTAAGGTTTATACATATTAGAGAATGCAAGATACTTCTCATTTACAACTACAGATATTATTGACATTATTTTTAATGACAATTTATTTTTTTATTTTTAATGGAATATTCATATCAATCATATCTTCTCAGAATACACCTATTTTTATTGAATTTTACAGTGCCTGTCATCAGTTGCTACCGCATTGCAGTCTGGATTTCTGCCATATTGCGAGCCTGTATTTAGAAGATGTGTGTCATTAATAGAACAGACATTAAATCAAAATATTGTAAGTATTTAAACATTTGTTATAATTGTACATTCATTTTAATGTAAGTAATATTCATCTATTTATATATACTAATTCAAAATTACCAGTATTTATATTTTTGAATAACAATTTCAAACATTATTCTTATTGGCTTATTTTTTTATTATAATGATAAAAAATAAAAAATGACATATTTGTTTCAGGCTAACAGCCAGTCTCCCGAACAATTTGAGGCTCCTGATAAAGATTTTATGATTGTAGCTTTAGATTTATTAAGTGGTCTTGCAGAAGGTCTGGATGGACATATTGATCATTTAGTATTGAATTCAAACTTGATGCAGTTACTCTACCAATGCATGCAGGATCCCATGCCCGAGGTATATCTTGTATGTGATTATTACTTTTTTTTTTAAAATCTGGGATGATGAAGCTTAGGACAAAGTTTTGTATGAATTTATTTTTTATTTGAAATAGTACTATTACTCTATGCTATCTATGCGTATGTCATCCATTTTAACTAGGATATCTGTGGTGCATCTATAATAAATATGTCTGAATTCTATTAAATTATTATTATATAATAAAAAATATTTTATATATAATAATGAAACATTTTTATTTTTTTTCAAGAATTTTCTTCATAAAATATTCACCACAGGTTATCTGTAACGCTCATTCAATTGGTTTTAACATTGTTAATTTTGCTTACTAACAGTTAATGGGTTTTGGGTTTGAATAATCTTGTGAAATTGATAATAATGAGCATGACGTTGTTGTAGGTACGCCAGTCTTCGTTCGCGTTGTTGGGAGATCTGACTAAGGCTTGTTTCCAGCACGTACATCCATACATACCCGAGTTTCTACCCATATTGGGCATGAACCTCAATCCTGAACTAATTTCCGTTTGCAATAATGCTACATGGGCTATCGGCGAAATAAGTATCAAATTAGGTGAGCAGATTGTTATAGTGTCATGATAAAAAATATGATGTAACACTTTTAGCCATATATTGTAATAAACATTGGAATAATTTGCATTTATTTCTTAAAGAAGGAATATAAAAAGCATATCAAATGTTATGACCTTACACCAACAGCCACAAAAATACCATTAATAAAATACATGCATGATACACAATTTTACGAACACATAACAAAGGACTTGAAGCATGAATATTTCAATTAAAGAATCAGGTTCAATTATTGCAAAACATGTGAAAATTAAAGTGTGTAATTATTATGTTACAGGACCGGAAACATCTAAATACATCCCTCTCGTATTGAATCATTTAGTCGAAATAATCAATAACCCTAACACACCGAAAACACTTCTCGAGAACACAGGTAAGTGATGTGAAATCTTCACCACCATTAGAATTTAAAATATATATTTTTTTCAGTTATTTTATAGATATTGAACTTTGTTCATTTATAATATTTTGCTAGATTATTTTTCAGTACAAATTTTCTTTGGTGGCAGACAGTATATATTGTAAAAATATAACCGTAATATATCACTGCTTTATATTGTATGCCCATTCCAATCATGATATTCACTTTACATAATCTTTATTTTATCTGTGATAAATTGCAATGTAATTTATTGGACTCTAATAATCTTAATGCTTAGCAGACATTATAATTTATCAAGTACCTACATATCATTTGTGTGACAAGTGTTTTACCAAATTGTGTTGCATATATAGTTTCTACTCCCTTTATATACCTACATATTAATGTGTACATTATATTTATATATATATATATATATATATACATAACTGATAAACAGATATACTAAACGAATAAATAGTATTCTAACATAGGTAAAAACTAAAATCTGAACTACAATTTATTTATTAATTCTTTTGTAATCAATTACTTATTATTTTTTTCTGGGGTGTAATGTAAATATCCTTAACCACAGAAGTAGTGCCAAACACTAAAGTGTGCGCCTGCCTTTAAGAGATGGCCTGGACTATATTTGTCTGACATGATAGTGAACAATGCCATAAACTATCACCCATAGCTTATCCTATTCTAGTCTCACCTACAGTAACTGTAACAAGTCCCTGGGCCATCTTTTGATGAGTATTCTATCTTTAATTTTTAATAGCAATTACTTAGCGTTAAATTGTTTCACATTTTTTCTATTTGTAACACTAATTTGTTGCTGTTGAATTATGTAATTGAACTATGTTTTGAATGGTTTGTTGATTTGTTTCCTTGGTTTTGTTCTCGGTATGTCGTGTCGTGGCGTGTAGCGATTACTATCGGTCGGCTAGGTTATGTGTGCCCCCACGACGTCGCACCCGTATTACATCAATTTGTACGCCAGTGGTCTGTAGTCATTTTTTTTATTATTACTTTATATTACGTTTAATATTAAATAAGTTATATTAGGTATTATTTCGATTGTGGATGGTGTTTGTCCATGGCTTGTTAATATTGTTTTATATGATATGTTATTATCGTTTGAGTTTAACCAGGCATGTAATATTAATCCTATGTGTATTTACTGAAGACATGGCCACACTTGACGAATTTCAGACGTATGGGGTGGTATTATTTGATCATCTTGATTTCGGTGTTGTTCTTTATGTGTTGAACACCATCCGCTTTCTAAAATATACAACAGCTAAAATTTATCTAACTATTATTTTAACCAAACTGCAAGAAAAATATACTTCAGATTTTTTCGTGATGAACGGGTATCATCTATATTTTATTGAATTATTATACATATATGTTAGTACCGAAGCAATTTAAAGGAGGCGTTTATTTAAATTAATCTAACATGTGGAGCTCGCAGTGAATGTATGTTGTTATATTAGTAGCTTATTATAATCCCCTATTTTTTTACTTGTAGATTCAGTTCTTAGTTCTGTTTGTAGTAATTTAATTTCAATGTAACAGGTAACTGTTTTTTTTATTTAACTGTTAACAGGATTTTTGTGATAATTTCTCTTATCCATGCGCCTCGTTTAAAATGCTCTATTTAATTTGCTTACAGTTTGGAATGTTTGAAATCAATGTTTACAAATATATTTTTGTGTGCTCATCACATTTAATAATCTTCACTTTAAAAACTATTACATATTATACTACATAATTATTTTGATCATTATCTACCTATCCGCTTTATATATTTATCTAATATATAATATATTATTAGTTGACTGACATTTGAAAATCGATATATAATATAGTTGATATATTTCAAATGCATATTAACTGCATAACAGAATCAATATTCGAAGTGTCTGACTCAGGTGTGCATCGCTTCGGAACATCCGTGATAACGACGAGAAAGACTCCGCTTTCCGAGGCATCTGTCAGATGATTCAGGTCAATCCAGGCGGCGTGGTGCCAGACTTCATGTTCTTCTGCGACGCGGTCGCCTCATGGTCACACCCTAAGGACGATCTAAAGGAAATGTTCACCAAGATCTTGCACGGATTCAAGAACCAAGTGGGCGAGGAGAACTGGCGCACATTCACCGACCAATTCCCTATGCAGCTCAGCGCTCGGCTCTCTGCCATGTGTGGAATATAAGACACGATTACTTATTTTATGGTAAGAAGTATTTTAATTACTATGCTATTTTATCTTTAGAGACATTTTTTAAATTATTTTATATTGACCCATCGATCTCATTTATTTTTCTCGTAAACCATATTACTGTCCATTATACCCGCTTTAAGGGCGAAAGATAAAGATATAATTTATTAGATCTGTAGCGCGGTGGTTATCCTCATCACTGTAGCGTTATATATGTTGTGATGAGGTGACGCTACATAATATATTATTTATTGTATTGTAGTATGTAGGTAGTGAGTATACCGGTAAAATTATTGTACTATTTATTAGACATTGTTTATTTATAGTGTGCTACATGGTTTATTAATAACGTGTACAGTCGACGCGGAATCGGGGCATATACTGATTTTACACTTAACTTAAATATATGTTAGTGGAGACGTAAACAAAGGGAAGGGTTTCAAGTGTCGACTGAAATATTGCAAGTGTAGGCACAGATCAAGACGGGTAAAGCCTCCATAAGACGCCAAAGGGCGTCTTTTATTCTTTTAAAACATTGTGGATTCTTTCACGCTAATACCAACTATATATCGACGTTGACAACACACAACCTACAATGTTTTTATAAGATTACTAGTACTATTGTAATCCTTGCTACATGCACAATAATATGGATGGAGGATATAGGCTTTTTTTTAAATAGGTCAGTCCACATATACTTCATCCCAACCAAGCCAGGCGCAATCGCAGTAATTTTAATATTACAGGGCTTCATGAATATTGTGTTTGATATTATTTGTATGTGTTGTAGGGGAATCAATGTCAACATGGGTCGGGAAGACATTGCGGGTGCGAAGCGCAGCCGCCAATCGCTGCTATGGACGCCACTTATTGTGCCAACACATTGACCTCAATACATTAGCGACCATATTTTCTGATTTTCATTACTGCATGTACCTATCAGGAATGTTATCTAGGCTGTAAACCATTACACTTAGGTTCCGATCATTCGTCGTACCTGAAATTGTTCATAGTGGAAATTATTCTTGATAGCAGTGACTACCCCTTAACATTAGCACTGACAATGGGTGTTATAAATATGATAATGATGGGCGACAGCGTCGGCTCCGCACGGTGGGGCGAGCTGCTATGGGGTGCTAGGCTTACTGTACTCGTATATTAAATGTCGCACGTTGCATGCTTACGTGCCGTTGTATTTTCGTTAACAGAACGAGTGTTAACTCACTGGCCTGTAGTCGTAGTTCTAATCACCAAATTGTTTTTAACAATGTGGCATGTGGTCGGTATATGTATAACAATAATTGCATGAACGTTAGTGATAGATTATAGTAGTAACATGATCCGTTTTGTTTATTTGTATGAAAGTAAAATTACTGAGTTTCGTTGAAAAGATTATGCAGTGAAACACTACTGTGACAGTAGTTTTGGAATGTTAAATTTATTTCAATTGTACATCGAATCATTACGGGATTAGGTCTGCGACATAACACAGATTTTATTATAATTTAAGTTTATTATGAATATCGAATAATTTATCGTCAGTCCGGACAATGAGCTGGTTTTGATTTGATGTGATTAAAAAGACTTCTCGTTTATAGTACATTTTCAACGTGCATTCACTTGTTGGGCTATGAGTCCACACGGAGGTGCGGTTGTTTAGTATTTAGAGTAACTGATGCCATTTACTGCTCAACCAATTGATCACATGTTTTTATTTCTAGTTATTCGTCGACTAACACTAATTGTACTTTGGATTTAACAATAAGTGAATTGTGAGTGACTTCAATGTGATTTCTATCGTAACAGATATATTTGGAACTTATTACAAAAGCATTTATGACTCCACTAGAGCTTTTCTAAAATATACACCTTAGTATTTTTAAATTGATGTGTTAACTATTATTTTATGTAAATTACAAGACTTAGTGAAATTGAGAATTTATGTAAACTGTGATTTGTGACTGGTTTATTTTGACTAATATATGTGTATGATTATATGTCTGTGTCAGTGTAGATATAATATACTGCTTTGATAGTTTTTATGACGGCTAGACTTCTGCTATATAATATACCAAATAGTATTTTTACGTTGTATATTGTTTTGATGGATTTGTATGTTTGTGTTTCTCATTCTGATCGACACTGGTGGTAGAGGAACGACGTAGATTCTAACATATAATACAGTTTATACATCTATATGTTCAGAATTCTAAGCTGGTTCGACTTATGCACTTTATGCTATTTGCGATTTTATATAAATATCTCCAGTGTGGGCTTACTTTGAGAAACTTATATGATTGATATAAAGTACTATTTACGTGTATATTAATTTAAAGTAATATTATGTATATGTAAATACATATTGCGGTGTATATTATTATAATTATTGTATGCAAGTAAAATTGTTATATTTTGTTTTATAAAAGCTAAAAGTCTGACTTTAAACATTTGTTGTATATCCTTTTGTTTTTTCGGATAACGGGGATCTGAAATGTTTAGTACAATCATACGCAGTATATTTTACTGGATACATTCGTTTCGACTAATGTATACATTAAATGTACAACATTCCTTTGGAATAAAAATCAATTGTGGGATTTGTCACATTATTGTTATATGTATATATTTTAATTTCAATCTGATAACGAGGCTATCCATATATTATTTGACACCAATTGCAGCAATTTTAATCGGGGACGGTTTCCCATCTTTTTGTCACATTTTGATAGTAAAATTTCGCGGTATTGTTGCTAAATTTGGTAATATAAGACCTGGAGTGAAATTGGACCTAGATTTTACATTATTTACATGAATTTTATTTGACATAATCCTACCGTGTAAGGAAATGTATGGATGGCCCCTCTAGTATTGCATTTGACTAAATTTCAGGTTTCAGTTCTCGTAGGTCCTCGATCGGTCCTCGACCTCCCTTGAGTCAGTTCCTATCCCAAGTCCTATCTAGTCCCATTCCTTGTCATGTGCCAACGAAGCCCATCACATGCTTGAATGAATGCTTGTCCTTGTATCTTCAAGTTACACGCCCTAGAATTGTGTGTTAATTCAACTTGACAGACTGAGGTTTGCATTATTTAATAAAACAAATAAACGGTACCAACATATACCCGGTACTAATAGGACGTATTAAAAATTATTGTATAGCTAAATGCAGTGCTGCCTCCCGATTTAAATTTGAAAAACTGTATTTATTTTTAAGTAGAATCTTTTTATAAATATTACGGGTGGCAACGTAATTTATTTTTAAGGTTAGTAGACTTTATTGTCATCATTTTATTGTAGTGATTTATTTTTCCTAAAAAAATGAAACCGTGATAATAGATTAAGTGTGCGCATGCTGTGTGGGTGAATGAGGCGGCATTCGTGAGGCACTCCCATCCTTGTGGCGTAGTCATATTACGAGATATATTTGTATCGTGCAGACGAGCGTAGTCGATGTATTGTAGGGTATATGCGAAACATAGATATATATTTATGTGATTATTTTGTGTTAAATTTTCATTAATATAATATCGCAAATCACATTGTAAACTCAATGATATATATGTTTATTTATTTATTAAAAACCCAGTCATCAAATTATATTATAGGTATTTAGTTAATAACAATTTCAATGTCATAAGCTCGGTGGCTTGATTATGTAACATAGTTGCTACCAATTCTAATTCGAATCGTAATTAAATTTGCATTTTTGTGATATGTATGAATATTTCTATAGTTATAATTACAGTTGCAGGTAATATATGAATACGACGATTGACACTGTCAAATAGTATATCCATAATACCAACCCTGTCAATTTGTAACCTCTTTCAAACAAAAGTGTTTAATAACTGCGTTACATAATCAACCCCTTGATCCATTGTTACATTCCCTCTTATATTTTTGTGCAATATCTTTAATTAAATCTAAAATAACAGCTATCAACCTTGTATAAATTGGATTGTCTTTAGTTATAAATCATTTATATAACGATTAGATTCAGATGACAATAGCGCTGAGGAAAAGATTCAATGAATTATTCTACATGATAGTAACATTTTATATCAAAACAAAATTTAAGTCGTTTAAGGAACGATTTCCTTCTTAACAAAACTACTTTTATTAAAACATTATACCCAAATAAATGGATTTTGTAATGTGCAAATGAGTATTCGTCTTGCATAAATATTTATATTATTAAATAGGTATACCCACCTCTTCGAAATGACACTACTCGACAATTTATTTTGTATTAACAAGTATATTTTATTTATATTAATTTTACATATATAATATGTGATTTATCTATATAATGTTTATTCATAAAAATATTGAGTCATTATAATTAATTTACATTATTCCATTTCTCTTTATGAATCTTTCGATTCGATTATTCATTATATACCTATTATAAAACTTTGTAATCGCGTAAAGTTTTAATATTTCGAAGAAACTGTTCAGAAAACAGTGTGAAATTGTTATGTCTATTTATAACAAAAATAAGATATTTGTGACTTAATTTGTATACTTGCATTTTTATCTTAGAAGTGAGTACTTACATTATTATATTATGTAACAGGAGCTGCGTCTTTTGGCCTCAATATAAGCATTGGTTTGTTAAAATAAAGTGTCTATGTAACTAATTAATATCTGTTTAATTGTAAAAGTATTAAAATTTTAGTATTTCATGTGTTATGTGTACTCACTTCCCGAAACTTGTAATTATTAAAAGTACATTGCAAGTGTTAACACTATTATCTTGCAATACATATAATACCTGATTGTAATACAAACATTTTACAATAGACATTCTTTTACCGTACATTTCGTTAATAAAAGCACTCATTGTTCAACTATTTGTTTTCTTTATATTCACTCACTGGGAACTTACTATTATTATTACATTTTTAATTGGATTAAAAAGAAAAATAAAATTAGCTTAGATGAGGGGTATACGCTTTATATTCCAGTTTCCCAAATTGCACTCTATACAGTTAAATATGAAATTTCATGTTTAACATTGTATGCTGCCTCGCTGCTTGTTTGCCTATCTTTGCCCACAGAACAAAAAACTTCTTTGTTTAAACCCATGACTTAATAGCTATGTTGTCTATTCTGGGAAAACTCATACCAAAAATCATTCTGTTGAGGAACTTCGAAGGGAAAAAATATTTGTTTGTTTTACATTTCGAGCGTTCGGAAGGTAAGGGAAAATTACATTACCTACATTTAAATGCTAGAATGTTTGAATATAATTCACCTTATCCATAAAAACTAAAATGTTCTACAAATCTATATTATATATCGTAACATTACAGTTGTATATATAATTACTTTCTTACAAATAAAAAATAACTCATAGGAAGGTGCAAAGTAGTACAATGACTTTCCCGTCTTTTTACTTTTAAATCAGCGCGCTCTACTGGCTGGCGCCGCGCGGAAATCAAAAAAACAAATAGTGCGGTTATGGAATATAACTTCACTATTTGCGTTATAACGCACGCGTGTTTTATGAGCTCCTTTATATATTGAAAACCGGTGAAATTAGACTAACTTCACGAGAAAGTGTGTTGAAAAAAATTTCAATAGTATAACTCGTATGCAATTCTCTGTTTCAATAGACAAAATGCATTGTACATTTGCTGCTGGTCTTAACAGCACACACACCTGTATATACCTACTACTGTACGCCTATAATAGAATCAATAGAAAAAGAGATTTTCTGCCGTTGCGGTGGTGGTGGTATCGGTGCATAGTTGGTGAGAAGTGCAGCGAGCAGGTGTCTACAGAAAGCAGCAGTGGGTGCCACTGGGGCGGCCGGCACCGCTAACACGGCCGTCGGCGCAGCTCCGCGCTCCAGTTCGGCGTCGGCAAATGCCTTTCGACGCCTCACGCGCTCACTCCATGCCGACTCGCTGTTCAGCAGTCTGATGCTCCCTATAATATAAAATAATTGTATTTTACATATAGGTATTACTAGCTGACCCGGCAAACGGTTTTGTCATATAAATTAATATCGTTATTAAGAAATAGAGGTTAATGGTAGAGTCATGTCACATTTAGTTATTTTTTATTACCTATTTGATAGAATAAAATCAATCAAGTAATAAAAAATAACTAAACCTTCCATATTGTCTCTAGTTTCTGAAAATTTTAACCTTGCGATTAGTTGCGTCATGCGACAGTTTTGGTTAAACACATAAAATATTTTCTAGTATAGGAATCTATAACAGTATGTATAGTCTATGCCTAGCATAGTAACGTTTTGGATACTCCTATGTATTCTATTTCTGCTCAGGTAGCATATTTTACTTCTAAATTTCACTATTTCACACGTTTCGACTTGTAAATGTAAACTTACAAGGATTATTTAAAAGAGCAACACACAAGTTTCTTTCTCGTTCTTCTTGTGATGAGACAGCTTTCCGAACGAGTGTTAGGTAATAAACAAATTGTTATGACTGTGGGTGCTAAAATTAAGTTTATTTGAATAAATGATTTTCTATTCTATTCTATTCTATTCAAATTTCAATGTTTACTACTCTGTGTAGGCATATGTACCTATATCTAAGTGGCATATGTAAACTAACACTGTTTCTATGTGCTACTGTTATGTAGTTCATACGTAATCAAATAATTTTGAATTTCAATCGGGTATCAAACAACTGCAACAAGGTGATGGATCGCTTTAGCCGCTTAGCATCAAACGGACCGTACGCATATAATTCTCGCGGTTGTTTATAGAAAAAAGAAATCGACTGTGAAACAAAGATCCCTATTAACATTTGGAGGGATCTTTTTGGCACCCGCGGAGCTATCATTCAACGAGGCGGAAAGACGTGTTTACAGTCAACAGTATGCTGTAATCCGATATCCCGACAAAGAGACGCCTCCACGTTCTCTTGTAAAACAATCTTCACACTTTTTAAGAGCTCATAAAAATAGTTGAAAGAAATTATTTTTGTTTTTTTTGATAGACAGTGAAATGTTACCGAGAGTTAGTTGACAGCTTTTGTTCTATTATGTTAACGAAGTCGCGACATTTCAATAGTAGGTACAATCTATTTTCTGTACACGATGTTTTTGTTAAATATTTAATGGTAGGTATTATATTTATCACAAGGAATTATATATTATTAGTTTTAGGTTAATTGTTCTAGTATATATTTTTTTTATTTCTGTATATATAAAGCAATTAACATTATATTACTATGAATAGCATTAGGTAGATAGGTACTATTATTTGGATAAACTACATTTTTGGGTTATGGAAAACAAGGTAAAACCCATACTTACTACACAACCGTCTTTCACAGAACTAAATAAAAAAAACTAATAATGTTATAAACATGAAATTGAGAATAGTTTTTGATATTGACGTGTAGTATAGAAATATATTGGTATAATATGAAAGATTATCTTATATATACCTACTTAACACAGACAAATCCATCAGCGCAGAGGTAGGTACGTAGGTACCTGTTTAACCAAATCATACACACCATAGACACTTATAAAAAGTCATATAAAAGCAGTGTTTGTAATAGAAATATCTTATCTTTAAATCATTTGAATGAACCTTTCAAATACACAATCATATTTTTTTATTCTACCACTCATTCGGAATGTACAAGAAGATCTAGCAAGAAACTTTCGTGTTGCTTTATTAATTAAATATGTGTACTTATTATAAAAGATGTATTGTTATATTTATGTTACCGAGGTCAAACGAACAGTTTCATGAATTTTTGTTTGCTTGTTTGTGCACGCTAGTCTCAGAAATTGCTTAACAACTTCGAATTCGATTTTCACTGATGTACTTATTCCATAACATCAGTTTAGTGTTATGATATATTCTAATTTTAAAAGTTATTATACTACGCTTACAATCTCGCAGGCATAGTTATACTGTATTTCAAACCAGCTAAACTTTGGTTGCTCTAATCAAAATAGAGAAATAGGTACTTAGGTATATAATTTTAACTCGCTCTCAGTGTTCCAAAATAAATATTTATCTAGCTAATTTGCATTTAACGTTTCACGAGTGTGAAACGACACACTCGACAGTGTCTACTCGTTTACAACAAAAACAATGCCCGATGAATCTGCCTGAGACACCCGTTCCGACAACAGCCAGCGGGCATCACACGTGGCTGACATCTTGTAACTCTATGTATGCTATAGGTATACCTGTGCAAAGGCCGTAGAATGCATATTCAATAAGTCAAATTCAAATCAAAATATGTATGAATGAATACGATAGAAATAACGAATATGTGGATCTCCTATGGACAATTATGTTATGTCACATCTGTAGGTGATTTTTAATTTAGTTCGAGCCGAGAATAATCTATACCTACATATAAATAAAATTGGGGTGTCTGTTTGTAATATTGAAATAACCATTTTTTACTACATGCATATGAATATAAATACGGTGCATACACCAAAATGTTATTTTTGCCTGTCTGTCTGTTTGTTCCGGCTAATCTCTGAAAGAGCAGGACCGATATTGACGGGACTTTTTTTGGCAGGTAGCTGATGTAATAAGGAGTAACTTAGGCTAATTTTGTTTTAGAAAAATTTGTTTATTTTAGAAAAATAAAGTTAAATTCCACGCGGATGAAGTCGCGGGTACAGCTAGTTGATAATAAACTGTATTTTCATTCTTTTCAATTAATATTCTATAATTATAATAATAATAGTGAATGCTTAAATGAAATTCTTAATTTGATACAGAGACATGTAAAAAAGTTTAATTTTTAACAATGCTATCTGTCTTATCAATTAAAGATATCGCTGAAAAAAAAGAGTCATGATTTGAAAGTAAATATCAATTAACAGAGAGGTTGATTTTGTAGGTATGGTGCGAAATATTTAGAACACCTGTTGATCAATATTATTTTAAACGGAGCCTTAATTTCTTAATTTCATTTAGGAATAAGATTAAGTACTCACCGTAGGTTGGTGGTTGAGCCTGGTATGTTCTGGCCATCTGCATACAACGTAAACGAGCGCGGTAAGCACGTTTGCGTGCCGCCAATGCAGCCATCTCTCCGCCATCCCGAATATCAGAACCACTTGAACCTTGTTGTCTCCTCAATGCAACCTTCATGTAAAACCAAATTAATTTAATTAAAGTATTATTATATTAACCATTCTAACACACCGTCTATACTTATTATAGAAAAAAAAACTGTATATATTTTTTTAAACTATTTTAATGGTGTTGGCTGCAGCTGCGACCTTGTGCCAAGACGACATGACAGATACGACTTTAGTCTGAGAGGACCGCTAGGAGTTCGAACCTTGGCTCAGTCCGTCGTATTTTTGATTATTGCTTGAATTGGACAGGGCATCGATCAGAGTGGGCTTTGTATGTGCTTGATAATTTGTTTGTAGAATTTACTATACCTACTTATTCTTTAAGTCAAACAACAACAGCAAAATGTTAATTTATATCGTAATAAAAATATTTTTTAATAAATCTATTTAATTAATTAATTACATCGTAATATGTTCGATTACTTACTTTATTTCTATTTTATTTTACTACTCTTAATTTACTCGTAGTAAGTACTTTACTATTTGCTCTGTAGGTAGGTACTTAGGTACTTCCGTTACTTAAAAAATAAATAGGTATATTCAGTATTCGACTATTTTTCTGCGTAGGTATGTTACATAGGTCACGCGAGATATAAACGATAAGATTAATAAACAATACTATTATTGGAAAAATTAATAAAAAATAGTATTCATATTAAGCAGCTACGAATGACCCAAATCACGAATTATTAAAAAATTATCGTTAACGGTTCAATTAACAATAACAGGTAGTTAAGTGATTATAAAATAAATTATATGTTTAAGTACTGACCTGAGCAGCCATAACACGCTGCCTCTCAAGCACCAACAAGCATCCAGGACATCTGCAGTCGCGCCATCGACATAAACGCTTGTGACCTTTCAAACAGGAGATCACACCATGGTTCCTGCAGCGAGCGCACTTTGGAGTTCTAAGCGCTTTCCGACCCCCGTTTCCTGCACTCTCACTTTGCATAACGACTTTTTTCGTATTCCAATATGAATTGTTTAACTAGCTTCTTATTTCTTCACAAATCGCAATACAGTCTAACAATTTTCGAATGATAAAGTATTAATAATCCGAATCATGTCCCAACTGAAACATCTTTTCAGAGATTGACGGCTCTGAAGTGGGTCTCAAGTTTAAAACATTCTGTGTAAGCAATTGCTCCGCCCTAGCGCCATCGCGATTGGCTGGATGGGCATTGTAGGCGGGCGGTTTGATCCCGACTTAGCCATTTGTACTATAAAAACTGAGATTTTTTTATATTCTCGGTAAAGTGATACATTTATTGTATGTTTAATGTTATAAGCAGACCGTTTGTTGTTTCAGCAAAGAGTATCGAATTTTACAACGGAAGAATTAATTCTAAAATCTACTCAATAGATCATAAAAATGTCATGGGTAAATGACTTAAAGTATAATTATAATATAATTTGATATTGTTGTACCTGCCTATAATTTTATGACAGTATTAGCATTAAAAATTTAGTATAGGGTCCACACCCTGTCAATTAATTATTATTTATTGTAAATTGCATTCGCTACCAGGTACTAATAAATATATAAAATTCAATATTCTAAGATAAAAATTCATTTATATAATATTTTTTTTTATTCCAATAATTAGAATATTATAAAAATAGTATCCAAGTAAGTATAAAAAATTATAGCGTAGTGTAAACGATATCCAATCTCGGACTACGATTGCCAATTAACTCTCCGATTACATTCGATTTGACCACTGCTTATTCGACTAGCACTATCATATTCCTCAATATTTTGTTTCAATCAAGTTTATATAATAGACTAGCGACCAGCCCCGGCCTCGCTTGGTATATTGAGCACATCGTTATTGCATTTTTTTGTAAAACTATTATTCATTATTTACTTTTTCGTAATACGGCATTTCAATGTTTTGGATTAGAAAGCCTTCCCTCCTATACTCCATACTTATTCCATATATTTAGTATATATGTAACTAAGTATATTATATTTAGTATATTACGTAGGTACTTTGTACTTAGTATTTTTATCACTTCTTAAAACAAACTTTAACTATCTTAAGCTTGGGACTAGATGGTGCTGTGTAAATTGTTCAGGAATATCATTAATGTATTGGCTTGGTTTATGTTATTGAAGTAGATATAACTACCTAATTGCTATGCAGTAAGTATCTACGTAATGTACAATAAATGTAGACACAATGATCCTTATTCTGTTCATAATTATAGGGCATAAAGCAATCATTTGTAAAGTGCAGTGCAGCGCTCTGAAACGAAATCACTGTGTGTCAGATTACACACGACACGCTTGCTTTTAATTCATTTTCAGGATGAGCGAGTTCGATTGTACCATTGGAATTAATAACCCGAACAATGCATATAATTTTATTGCTGGTGTGGTAATATTACAAATGCTTATTGCAAAATTTTAAATAGATGTTTGTTTGATGATATATGATACTACAAAAAAGTTTTATAAAAAAGGCAGTTCGTCTTTATTTTAATGAAAAATAAAAAATCTGTTTTGATACAACAACCATATATAAATGAAATATTCGTTTAATAATGTTTATAATAAATTATATTTCATTAAAAATAATAGTTTCAATTTTAATTCTCCTGGATATAACAATATAAACTTTATCGCACAATCATAAAGTAAATCTATCTTCACAAATTCGTTTTTTGGAAAGAATACATTCATCCAACCAATTTTCAGAGATTACTGGAACCCCAAATTTCGTTTTCAAGTCCATTACAACATCCGCATTAGTTGCTGTTGGTACGACTACGTGGGTTAAATCCGCTGCTTTATCAAATACCACTGATGCACCGTACAATTTTGCCAATATAGCATAAATGCTGTTATCGTTGTATAAATATATGGTGCAAGGACGAAGAAAGGAAAATGGATTTTCATCATCAAATATATGTTTGTCAACCGCAATTATCTCTTGTCTTGTGAGATACAACTTTGGTTCCTGCAACGGGAAAGGGGTTTAATATATTTCTTTTTTAATGTAGGTAATAAATATAAAAGAGAAGCACTGGCGCCTGACATACCTACATATTTAAAGTTTTGACACACATTTGGATGTCTTATAAAATCTAATAAAAGACTGTAAAAAGTCTTGGCGTGAATACCACTGCCAACATATTTCAGCCACCAAGAGCTTGTCTTTTAAGCTACGACTTAAGCTTAAGCGACTTCATATACATTTGTACATTTGAATATATTGTATCAAATGCCGGATTCCAATGAACTTACTGTTTCCATCTTCTCAAAACATCTCTTTAGGGTACACTTGTCTATTGGTTGCGTATAGCTATCTCCGAAATGGTCATAGTCTCTACGGAAACTTAATCTGGTGGAGGGCTTCATCTCGAGCAAATCAAGAGGGCGCAGTTGGCAGGGCGTTGGTGATGGCGGCAGTTGTCGTAGCCAGTCGGCAGAAACGACGTCGACTACCTGAGACTTCAGCATGTTTCGGACGCGAGGTGTCATGCAACCCACCACCGTGCACCACGTGTCCCAACCTGATTGTAGAATAACAGTTACATATATAAAACGTTATGTTACTCATGTTATATATATTAAAAAAATGTACATGCATAACATTCATGTCAAATAGAGTCAGAGACTCTTTTACTATATGATAAAGGAATGATGCACCCGCTTGCGCTAACGGTTTACGATAGCAGGGCACCAGTAGAGGATGTTAAATAAACAAACGGGTGAACCTTTAATTAAAGTATTTAAATATGTGTTTCGTATTATAATAAATAATATATGATTATTAATACAAACTGTCTTCAGATTGGGAATATTTGACGACGTCTGAAAGATTCAATCCTAATATGTACTATTATCTTTTATTGAAATAAAGTGTAGTAGTACCCACAGATCAATACATTTTCTTTGTAGTGATAATTAATAATAAAAAAAAATCATACGTTTACATTTTCCTCTACCTTAAGGTTTTGGTACTACTATCGCTGATGGGAAGTTATATGATAGTAAAATAATCAGTATAGTATTCAATACCTACTATCAAAACGACCTAATTTGCTTCTAATTTTTTTCTTACATTTATTTAGAGACTTTCTTTATTCTTTTATTGTACACACACATTTTGAATTTGAATACCTGTACGAAAAGAGGAGGTACTAAAATATTGTTCTAATAATATTAACTATGAGTATCAATAGACATACATAAATATATTAATATATAGTCATACATAAATGGTACATAAATAAATTATAAGACCTAACTTAAAATGTAATTATAATATATAAATATAAAAATACGTCAGCATTGCGAAAGATAATACGTTTTTAATCGGCTTTTGAATATTCCAATACTAGAGCTAGCACATAGTTCGTGAGGTAAATAATTCCACAATCGAATAGATGTCACTACAATAGAGTTAGATAGCCTCGTTAGTTAGCCTCCCCAGAGTGTACTGGAGTCCGTAAGAGTAATTTATTTTGAAATACTCGATTTTAAAATTCATTTCTGTCGAATGGAGAAAATTAAAACGTTCGCGGAGATAGGAATGTGCAGAAGGATCAGACTTTTATCATAATATGATAATGCCAGTCCCATCGTATCTTATTACTAATCTTATCTTCTATTGTACAATGGAAACAAAAATTTTGCTGGTGATAATACCAATTTTTTTTATTTAATTTACTTACCTACATTATGAACATTCTTGCCTCCGTGCGACATCACAATAGTATTTAATTCTAAATCGCCTTCCTTATCGTCTGTCGGCATGATGTAAATTTTTCTATCGAGTAAAGCGTTTGAAATCACTTGGACATCTTTAGCAATCTTGGGACGAAATTTTTCATGCACTTCAGGAATATTAGCGACACGTTTCTTCCGTGGTTTAATGGCGGTGGCATCGTCTATTTGTCCTGGTTCCAGAGTCTTCGTGGCTAGTTTTATGACATTGCTTTTACTCTGTTCAAATAAACTTTATCAATTAGTAGTTATTGCGGCCTCTTTTGACAGGACTGCTTGCTGGCCGCTGATAAGACGTGACTAGGTCAGACGGAACAATTGACGGGAAAAATAAGACAGACAAAAAGCGGACGACAAGATAGAAATTTTACTAATTATATTTTATTACCAAACAAGCTCTCTATTCATTATCGACGACATTCTTAACGGTCGACCGAACAGCAGACCGTTGAAGTGGTCCTTCGAGCCGGATTTTCTAGGGTGCAGATACAAAGACAAGCGAAGATGACGACAATACCGACGGTACTGCATGGTACTGCTGACCAGGGTGAACAGGACTGACAGTCCGCCCACGATTGGGACAAGATGTCACAACTTACGATGTAAATTGTCCAGGGTCCTAATTATTATTAGTGCAGTCAAACCAAATAAAAATATGTTCATTCTTGTATGTGAAATAGAAATAATATTTATTGAAATAATCTCAATACAAGCATTTTTGAACAGTCATATTTGTTTAGGTATTCTACCACTCATTCGGAATTCACAGATTCATCACAAGTAGAATGAGCAAGAAACTTTTGTACCGCTCTTAAATAGATGATGTCTATTACAAATTCTAACCATAGTTCAGTATAAAGTATAAGAACATACAATTTCAATTTCAGTTGCATAATAAAAACAAAAATATCAATCAATGCTGTGGCGCTAAAACTAAGCACAATTGGTCAAATAGAGTTTGTTTAATGTTTACATAAATATAGAAAATTCAAAACTTTTACACACCTCTGTCAGCAAATTAAACTGTTCCAGCGTGATGACGTCATTGACAGGTTTGTCATCCCGCAACTTGGTGACCCGTGGGAAACGCAGCGTGTGGGAGGTGCCGTACTCTACACTGCGAATCAGTTCTGTTGCGCGGATCTAAGACATAATAAAATATGTAGATATACTGATTAGTAGTCACCAATGGCCTCGGTAGTCTAACGGTAGATATAGCAATTCCGAAGGTCTTGGGTTAGATTCTTGCGCGGTACGGTAGGAATCGAACGAAAGATATATTATATAATTATATATATTCATGAGTATAATTGTTTGCAACATCGGTCTGGGTGTATTCTATGTATATCTATATATTTAAAAAATATATAGATGTATTTGTTATATAGTACCGTCAACACAAGCTCTAGCTTGGGACTAGACGCCGCTATGTGTATATTGTCCTGATATAAAAATAAAAATATTGTCAGCGTAGTCTAGTAGTACTACCCCGACAGACACTCCAAGTTTGTGAGTTCAAATCTGACCGCATCAAAAAACATCACGTGTCAAAGAAACATGATTAATCATCATTACATAGTATAAAACAAAGTCGCTGCCGCTGTCTGGCCCTATGTATGCTTAAATCTTTAAAACTACGCAACGGATTATGAAGTGGTTTTTTTAATAGATAGAGTGATTCAAGAGTAAGGTTTATATGTATAATACATGTGCCAAGCCAGGGTGGGTCGCCAGTAACAAATAAAAAAACCTGATTTACGGCGGTAGGCCGTTTTATGCCACGTTGGATTTTCCTATTAATTTACCCATTAAAATATGGACATTCACCATTACGCCACCGCCAGTTGACAATGCTCTGTTGATTATATTGATTAAATTGCATGCGGGCGCTTAGGACCCTAGCGCCGGCCCTGTATGTTAATGTAGTACATATTTTATAGGGAGCGAAATATAAATATCTTATTATATGTAAACAGAACTGGCACTGTTGTGTAATAAAAGAAAAAGAAATGGTTTTACTAACCTCCAACACTATAGAATCTTTTGGCATAATCCAAAAGTCTGGTTTCTTTTTGTTGAATACAAGAGTCGCGGGGGGAGACGTTCGTTTTGTTGGTTCCCAATTGCGTTCCAACAGCTCGCAGACACTTTGCAACTGCTCATTTGTGAAGCCACTTGATACGCACCCCACTGACACCCAACGGTGAGGGGGGTCACCTAGTTGTAATAGTTAACTAATAGGTATACTAATATATATTTATTGAGGACTTAGGGTTGTATGTATTTTTTATTATTATATTTTTAATGACACAATAAAAAAATATAAATAAAAAATTTGCCCAAAAAAAAAAAATAATGTTAGGGGTGGACAACGCTTATCACTTAGTAGCCGATTCTCAGACCTACTGAAAAATTGTAGGAATATATTAGAGTGCTCTTGAGCAAATAAAGCTGATAAAAAATTAAATATTATTCTCTTACGCTTTTCAAATGAGCTTGTATATATTTACAAAAAGACAGACTCATGTTTAAATTAAATTAGGGAGAATGTAGTACCACACAAAAATTGTAGGTATTCGTCATTTTTAGTCCTTGAAAAATATGTTACTTTTCACAATTTTGAAAAAGTTAGGGAAAGCTGATTCGAGAGAATACCTGGAGTAGAGATGTCAGCGCAGGCTACGTAGAAACTATTGGCACGACCATGTCGCTTATTCTCTGCTTCATCAGCTCCAATTATTACGAAGTCTAAGTCGTTCATAGTTTCATCGGTGTACTATAAAATAACAGATTATCTAATACGATACATAAGGGGGGAAGGGGATTGTTAGCAATGTGGACAAATGACCACATCGCTAACAATGTAACATGTCAGGTTGACCTCCACGCGGTCCCCCCTGGAAACCGTCGCGATAAATTCCACGAATTTGCCACGATGGGCTAACTAACCTGACCTCGTGCTCTTATCAACCGCCACTGGTGCCCCGCCAGCATAAACCGTTACCTCAGGCTGGAAAACCATTCCATTATCATCATTAAAAAAAAATACAATACATACGATATAAAGTACTTGATACAAATAGGGCCTACCTAATTTTAAACACTACTGTCTCGACAAATATATGCCTACAAAAGCTAAAACAATATTATTCTTTATCTTCTGTTTATTAATAATTAGCAATAAATATAAAAGCTACATTTTCTATCATTTATATAGTTGCGATAGCAGCTAATCGGATCTTAACACAAATAATTTAACGCTAAACAAGGATGGCTGGTATGGTTCCTACAAACTCTCTCAAAATTTCGACTAGGTTACACTAGCCGTGGTCACAAGTAGACCGAATAATTATATTAAAAATGTATATTAAACAAGAACGATTAAAGCCCACTATTCTATGCAATCTTGGTTAGAAATATAATCATAAAAATGTACTTGCCTCTGGTTTAATTTTGTACCACCCCGCGTTACGCGCTTGAGGCACGTAGTAGGAAGCGATGTCTTTCACAACAATTCCCTCTTCTTGCAATTTGATAGCGTCATTTAATTTGTCTAATATATCAACACTGCAAAATGATAAATACTTATAATTAAAGTATTTAAAAAATCCACAGGAGGCATGGCAGATGTGACAAATTCTAGAACAGTCACTTGGTGTGTATTATATAATAATAATATTATTATTATACACTGGACAAAGTATATAGCGCCATCTATTCCCAAGTTACTTCGCTGGCTTGTGAGGAATGACGCAGAATAAAAGTCGTATATTATTTTTGTTGGTCGTATTTAATAAGAGTATATAGGACGAGTTTTAACGTCATTTAAAACTCGTCCTATACTCGAGAATTATATATACTATATTAAAAGTGGTAGATATAGGTATATACGATATTAAAAGTGTAAACATATGCAGATGAAAGATTGGCGAAGCAAACATATGTGCAATGTTAAATAAAAGTAAGATGCAGTTACAGGCAGTTTGATACAGGAGTAGTGACAGGAAGCGAAGCCTACCTATCTTTGACAGGTATCCTTTTACTATGTTGTAGGACGCCGGGGACATCACTGAACATGGTGTCAAGTAATTTCAAACGTTCTTGTAAAGGCACTCCGCCCTTATCCGAGGTGCCCACTAACACTCTATCATTGTAGTACAACACATCGTATACACAGAAACACGGCCTTAGACTAGAATGTTCCGTTATTTTCTTGACATCGAAAGATTCACCTAAAAAGAAATATTTAACTAGAATAGGAAAAAAATTGGCACCCCACCTGTTGTGTAAACCAATACCTATACATAAAAAGAACCTCCGACATTTCAATAAAGCCTGTGTTTGCTATCCCTCAGTTCTTGTTGGTTTGGATACATTTATCTGTACCAAACTGGCAACACCTTGTTATTTAATATGGCAATATGTTCATCGTGAGTAGCAGTAGGTGTAAATATGAAATTTGTTCGTCTATAATCTTTTCACCCATTAACTTAAGTCTTATGGGAGGACCACGTGTCGTGTAATTTACTAACATGTCTCACTCACTATAATGCAAGCTATTTTACGTAAAAAAAAATTGAGATAAGGTACGATAAAGGATACGAGGAAATTAAATATTACATAACTCATATTAATGCATTTTATAAATATTAGATTGTTGGACATAAAATTCCTTGTTATATTGACATATATTATTTGTATATAAACAGAGAAAACATATTAATAATGCGAATAAAATGTTGTTTCCTTATTTGCCCTCTGCATAAATAAAATCCCAATATAGATAAGTTATGGACCCTAGCTGTGGGTACAATTTAAAGCCGGGATGCATGTATATTCTAAGACACACAATTTTAATGGTATAGAGGGGAAGGGGAGGGAGCAGCTTCTTTCCCATAATGGATACGCAAATGTATCTATAATTATATATTGAAAAATTGCTAACCTTTAACTCTGAACGATTTATCAGTTTTGTGCCAGCCCATCATTTCACCGTCTAATATGAAATTTGTAACACTCTGGCTGAAGCAATTCTTCAAATAGGGCGTCAATAATCCAGTTTCGTATGTTTTACCATACTTCTGCGAGTACGGATAGCCTCTTCTTGAAAAATATTCAAATTCTCCATTTTTCATGTGCATCTAGATTCATTAAATTTATTTGAAGCAATTGATCATTTTAATAACCTTATTGTTAAAGTTTTGCGTTTAGTACACAGTTAAAAGATTTTCCATCGGACAATCTAATGACGGTAGTTGAACAAACTGCCGGCACCTGCCGACATTGACATTTACTGTTCCTCCAGTCAGCTCTTGACCACGGCTAGTGCAAACGTCGAGAAAGGTGTCGAGAAATACATTATTTACTTTAATAACCACTTACTCAAATCCAACTTTGGCTGTCGTTTTGAGACTATATACACATATAAATAGTAACTAATGTCTTTCTGGTTACATAATGAATCAGAAAGACATTAGTAGTTATATATGCCCGTATTTCCAAAATAGACATTAATGTATAATATTTCTGAATTGTCTAGTCACAAGTTCTTAATTTGTATAGGTACCTAGGTTATTTATTAATTTATTATAGAGCTATAGAAAATGCGTACAACCAATAATGGATTCCGAAGTTCATTTTAAAGACATTAGTTACTAACCTGAAACCTCTCGCCATCAAATTTGTTTTCTATGTGATACTTCTTCTCGGGGGACAATCGCTGTGCCACTTGGGTGACGTTTAATCGTTCTGAAAGCATGGGACTCACAGCACAAAACAGTTGGACGCCCAGCTCCAAAGGCCGGCTGTTACCATCGTCAAACTCTTCACACACCTAGTAATGTAATGTATACCTTCACCACTGTTTTCCAGATGGGGTAATCAGATGTAGAAGAGAGGAGCTAGCTTTTACTACACGAAAGAATTCTACATAGTACCCGGCAATATTAGATTAATACCTGAGACCATCTTTTAGTTCTCAAGAATGGTTGGAGCATGTTAATTTTCAATTTTTATGAATGATTAGGATCGTACTTAAAAAGAGATGCGACAACGTACGAAACGTTAAGCGTATTGTAGATGTGCCATATACCTAAATGTACGCCTAAAAAAGCAAAATGCACCTACTTTATTCTTATTGAAATTTTCAAACTGTTTTATCATGAAAATTAAAAGGATACTATATGACTTTTTTTTTCAACTGCATACCTTGGGAGATTTCAGCATTTTTTATGTTTCCCTTCAATGGCAAACAACGGCGTATTGATGGAAAGTGGCAACGGCCGTTGACATATTTGTACATGAACTGCATCACAGATATCACGTCTCGTAACGGCCGTGACAGAGGTACCCACACAGAGAATTTCATACAAAATTACCTCGGTATTAAACGGTCTAAATTAATTTTTAATTGGCCGGTCGGTTTGTATTTTAGTTTGGTAAATAATATGAGTATCTATGATCAAGGCACTTTAATTTTATTCCAGTAGGTTTTGGTTTGACCCATTTTATATAATTATATAGATATATATAGGTACCTACCTTCATAGAATTTATTACTGACCTTATAAAGGTTGTTGCAATTTTTATAATATGTAGGCGCGTCAGGATGATAAGCCGCTAAAATACGGTCAACACTAAAACCCAGTTTCAAGTCTTTAAGAATTATCCGAAGAAACCACTTAAATTGCTTTGCGCTTAATTTACTAATTGCATACTCAAACGTCTCCACCAACACGGCTGTAAAAAACATCAGCGAATTATTTTCAAGATTCCTAGAAATGAGCGACCTACATAAAGAATGTAACTAACACATTTCATAAAATCTTTTCCACTTTTATCACACCAAATTTATCTTTTTAGACTCTAATAGTCCCACTTATGTTTACTGAAGATATTTACGGAAGTCTGTTTACTGGAACATTTTTGTTCTGGCTGTCCGGATTCATACCCACTTGTAGATCTACTGATATTTTGTATCGTCGTTTAGTATACTGGTTCTGAATATAATGCAATATACGGCACATGTAAGTAGGGTAAATATTTTGACTACTAAAGTATATTGATTTGCTTACGTCCTTTATTTCCAACTTCGGCCGTTGCTATTTTATCAAGAATTTCATTTACGTCGCCTATAGTAAGATCGCCACATTCATCACGGACTTTATTTTTTATAACGTAATAAGCTACACCAGCGAAATCTTGGTTGGCTGCACTGCTTACTGATGATGAGGATGAGGATCTATGTTGCAGAAGCTTCTTTGCATCTAAAGAATTCTTTATAGATAAGACCTTCACTAACAGATCACCGAGCTTCTTCTCCTTTAAATTATACGCGTTCCTTTCTCGTTCGCACGTCGGTAACAGTAATCTTAAGATCGGGAAGATACTGGAATTCTTAAAAAAATAAAATTTATAACCAGGGGGGCAGATTCTGAAATAATGTAACAGATTTCCCTATCTATACGAACCACCATGACAATTCATGTTTGTCGTTTGTTGTTTTTTATGTGATTTTGTTACTTATTATTGTTCTATTATAGGCTCACTAGTCACTACACGCTTTGTAACTTATTAACTATACCTATAGTAACTGTAAGTATAGTGAACACCTTATCTCATATAAATAAATAAATAGTTAATGGTCTTTTCCCTTGTCGTTTCTTTTCGGTGGAACCATACAATTTATACAAATATCATTTTCGGAAGTGCAATTTTTCCAATTAGGTACAACTCAAAATGTCACTGACATACTTACGTAAATAAATTTACATTTAATGTATCTACCTTCTTTCCTGAAATTGATGCCGTAGTTATTTTAAAATCGTTGAAAAAATCTATTAATATATTTGCCTGTTCTTCTTTCACATTTTTCCCCTTTTTTTGATTATGTTTACTGTAGATCTGTTCTAAAACACTACATATATCTTCAAATAAAACCGTATTAGCGGGTATAACTTCAACTGTCTCCATTATATTACAGCAGCTAGGCACCACCTAAAAATTAAACAAGAAACAAATCATTCTTACTGAAATAATATTTGTAGAACTGCTATGTTGTTCTTATAGTACACCTTTTTGTTGAGATAATACAAAAACTGCGTCATTATTTAGTAATTCTTTTAAACCCTTAAATGGTATGCTTGTAATTCGCATCTTTGATATGATACATGCGAAACGTTTCATGTTTTTTATGAAGTCGTCTATCAGTAGTTCCACTTCTTGACTATTGTTATAATAACTCTTAATTAATCCTAGATCCAAACAAACTATTCGATGGTTAAAGTTTCTAACATTAACTGAATTTTCTTGTAATGTAAGTTATTCAGCAACTTAATAATATTTTAAACCCATTTTTAAAACTAATGTGAGCAAGGATGGGTTTGTCTGAAAAACACTTAATCCAGTCAACCTGACAGTGACTTGCTTGCATACATATTTGCAACAATAGATCATCATAATAAATAAAAAATGCAACAATTTATACATAAATAACAATTTATTTTTTATTCAATTACAAGGTATTTCAACATATATTTCCTAGCCATTTGGGGGGAGTGGTCTTTATACAATAGAAAAAGATTAAAAGCAGTTTCTCTAGTTAAATTTATTAAGCCATGATGTTTGCAATTAGCTACAGGTTCACAAACTAATGCTCTTTCATAATATTCTATAGCTAAGTTATTAATACTTAACATTTGATATGCTCTACCCAAGTTATAATTAGTTTCCTGATCAAACTTTCTCAGTTTTTGGTAAGTCAAAAAATAAGACATTCCTTGCAGTATCAAATTATGATGTTTGTTAACAGTTTTTTGTGCAGCCATCACTAATATTGTGATTGCCACTAAAAGAGCTGACAAAGGATCACTTTGCTGTTCATGATATTCTAAAAAATATTTAAGAGCAACAGCATATCTTCCTGATGTTAGAAAATTGTTACCCAGAAATAAATTTTTCGCAATATTGGGGTCCTTTTGAAAAATTCTTGTAAGTAATTTTATATGTGAACTTTCCTCTACTAGGTTAATTAATAAGTTTAACAAATTCCAAGAGCAATTATTGGGTATTTTCTGAGAAAATTCCCTTATAAACCGAAGGCCATTTTGATAATCTTTGGTGAGAAGACAAGCTTGAAAACATAAAAATTCAATTTCACGGCGATGTGGAATCAAAGTCTTGGACATCAGTGCTCCAAATGATATACGCTGCATTGTAATATATTTTTTATTACTAAGTGCAATTCCCAATAGTTCTAAAAATAAATCCCATTCTTGCTGTGGAGTTAACTTAAATGTTTCTTCTTCATCAAAGTGTATTTCATCCTCTAGGTAATTATTTTCACCACGTATTTTTCTAAAATCATTAATAAGTTCTAAATTAGTCTTTGTATTTTTCATATGAAGTACTATTTTAATTTCCTCTTGATGTCTGTATCTCTGGAAGGTTTTATACAGCAGAGTTTCACCAACTTCCAAGTAATTCATCATTTTATTATATTTTTTTAATACACAACATTGTTCATGTAGTAGTTGAGCACTAATTACATATTTATAATCTTGTTGTAATATTTTTAAGGCTTCCTCAATATTGCCCTTTTTTTCAAGAAGGTCAAACAATTTTCTCCGAGCATCTGGATGCTGAGGAGCATGTTTTAAAACTTTATAATAAGACTCTACTGCATCTTCATATCTGCCTAGATTATTTAAACAATCTGCATGTTTCAGCCACACAGCACCTAAATTGAAGCTGTTATTATTTACCAATGGCACCAAAAGCTGCATTGCTAATTCATGGTGCCCAACTGCTGATAGTGCTTCTTCTATGTCCATATACAAATCTCCAGCGTTTTCAACATCATTAGATAAAAAGTCTTTCAGTAATGTTTGCACTAAATTGATAGCACCTAAATAAATAAAACATATTAATAATTTGCTTTTCAGATCTATTGGCAAATTATTTGGAATAGAACACTTAATATAATTTGTTTGCTCTTCTATTTGTCCATCTGCATTCTTAATAGTTTGTATTTCAGCCTCTATGTCTACACCGACATTGGCAACAAATATTTCCAAGCATGTTTGATATTGTTTTACAGTTATTAAGAGTTCTATTAAAATATTGATATCTTCTAAAGTAAAAAGAGCTGGACATTTCTTATATGCAGTTCCCATCACTTCCACAGCACGTTCAACTTCATTTGAATTATGATATAATGTTGTAGCCATTTTAGCATATTTCATAATTGTTTCACCTTCACTTTCTGGTAAACAAGCTACAATACGATGATAACATTTAACGCGATTTATACTTAGTGTGTGCAGTGGATATTTTATTTCTTCTAGAGTTGATAATATTTCAAGTCTTTTTAAATGTATATCTAGATTATGTGGCTGAGCTTTAATGGCTTGAGTGTAACATGTCATTACTTGTTTGACATCATTTCTTTCCTTAGACAAAGCTGCCAACCGAAGCCACTCGGTTGCATCAGGCCGACTCAAGTGAGCTGCTAATAGAGAAAACTGCAATGATTTCTCTGAATCATTCTCATATATCTGAGCCAAAGTTTGATATGGTTCTGGTGCGGTAGGTATTTGTTTTATTATCTCATGACACATCCTTTCTGCAGTATCTTTCTCTCCTCTCACAAACCGCAAATTAGCTTCACCCATTAAACCTAAAAGTGCCGGCGATAACCGTGTAATTTTTCGGCGTCTAGTCACTTTATCGGTAGTCTGCAACGACTGTGGGGGTTCTTCGTCCAGTAATCGGTTGGGAGTCTCATCTGCATTAGCATCTTCATCATCATCGTCATCATAATTATACCATTCATTAGAATAATCAGCGAAGGTCATTTGACCACTTAAAAATTTATTTGTTAACTCTTTTTCCAAATCCATTTTATGCTCAAATGGGCCTGTACTATTTTCCCCGTTATCCATTTTAATTAATAACCTTATTCGATTAGCAGTGAATTATTTCAATCATTGAGATACTAATTCTAAATTAATGATAGTCCATTTTTTACTTACAATCTAGCAGGACACAAAAGGTTCCTGTGTGTAATTGTTATTCAAATTAATTAAGACACATTAGTGTAATATTTAAATCAAAATTGTCGATAATAATAATTGATTAGAACATAAAATAGTACACAAAATCTCTAACTCTACTAACAGAAATGTACTCTGTAACTCTGTACTGTACATCGTAAAATGCATGTCCGCAGTGTAGTATGAGAAAAGCACACATAAAATGTAGGCAATAAATGCGATTTTCTCAAAAGTTTATTCTTGCTTTCTGCGAAAACAACAGAGCAGCAGAATTTATAGAGGACGTTATTAGCTATCAGCTGTCTGAATCATCCAATGTCAGGATGACATTAGATGATATCCATAGAATGAGATGAGATTGAGAATAGAATAGCACAAATTTAGCATGATTTGTTACATATTCCTTCCATACATATTTTTAATATTTTAGTTTGTTTTTATTACTTTTTACGTATGTTATATCTTAAGGTATACATAGTATGGGCCAATATTATCATTTAATAATATTAAGTTGCCTGAAAAAAATAAATATATTGTTTTTCCATCCATCATGTTCCTTAATAAGATATTTAAAAAGTGAAACATTTAGTAAGAGTGTTTTCTAAATAAATAAAATAAACTAAAAATATTTTCGTGTAAGTTAACATTTCTAAAAGTATTACAACCAATAGTCAAATACTGTATCTAACGAAAATCGTAATAGCAATTGTGCTAGCGCTCTTTCGCTTATTTATTTCGCATCTCAGTTTTGCATCTGTGGTTTGTTTTTGTTTTATTGTTTACTTGTCCGTACCTTTCTGTTCTCACCTTATTTTATTTATATTTTAAATCGTGTTCATACATTAGATTTATTAAAATCAAATATTACACATGAGTAGTAATCTAGCTTTTTTTCGTAAATGTACAGTAATTGCATTTTAGAAACAAAATTTTTGAGTGATGCTCCAATAATTTCTTTTGTTTCAGTACTTATTTAGAAGTATAATTGTATCTACATACATTTGAATTACGCTACAGTTTATATTTGTTGTGAAACTTTAAAAATATTTCATTTTCTGATTGCAAAGATTTTGGTGATTGTAAAAAAACCAATTTTTAAAAACCAATCCTGTAGTCTACTACAATATTATGCCATTTCCTAAAATATAGAAGTGCATAGTAATTAATCGATTTGAAAATATTGCATTGAATAATTTTTCACATCAGTGCCCAGTCCTTATAAAATTTTACTAATACTTGTTCACCTTAACATACTATAAATGGACAAAGAATAATAAGATGAACTCAAAGTACTAATAGGCTGTATAGAATGATAAAGCATATTTTGTGATGTTAAAGTTATTTTGTTTATATTTAACAGACAAATGAATTAAGGTTTCATAATTAAATTCTACCTTACAATACTATTTAATTGAATATTAAAATGTGTGATATGTTACAATCTGTGAAAGGACAATTAAATGAAATTGAAAATGATCTCATCACAGCTGAAAAAGAAGTTTGTGAAGACTATATGGAGAACTATGAGCCCACTCTGCTCAATATGCCAGTTGAGGTACTATTTTTTATAATTTATAATAATAATAGTTAAATATCCTGTGGTATAAGGCACCTGTCCATATTATGTTATTTATTCTCTGTTCATAAATTCAAGACTGTTACATTATTACTGTGAATATGAAATTCCTATTTTTGTGCTTGCTCAATATTTTCAAATTAGGTATTATTTTGCAGATGTTCATTTCATTACTTAATGTATGTTTTATTTTAATAATTCCATAAATCAAAATAATTTATTTCTTTCTCTTTCTGCACAATTAGGTTTGTGTATAATTCAATGAATTAAAAATTTACTTTTTAATTAATTGAATTTCAAGTCGAAATTAATTTGGTCTCCAACTAAGCAAATTAATTTTTCAATATTGATTGTTACAGATTGTATTAAACATATGTTCATTTCTAGACCCTCACTTTCTAAGAGCCACTCTTAGTAAGGTTTGTAGGCGTTTAGAAGACATATTAGCTGATGATCATCTATGGAAAAATTGGATTCATAGTAAAATTAATACTTGTGCCTTCCCTCCCTTACCTTATTTGAAATTATGGGATGATATAGATCTAGACTGGGAGGAGGTTTGTGTTGAAATGGATGTAGAAAGAAAGAGGTGGTCAAATGTCAAGGAAACTATGCAACACATAGTCGTGAAAGATGTACACTTTGCATCTGTGGATACAGTGTTGTTAGTTAATGTAAGTATTTTACTAAATTTTAAAGTCTATTTTATAACATATTTTTTTTTACAAAGAATTAATAATTAATGTATAGAATACTGTGTGTTTCCAACCTATGTTATTTAAATAGGTGGAACCATTAATTTTGTTCCATATTAATTATCAAAGACCTTGTAATCGATTAATACCATTATTTTGATGAACTACCAGTTGACCTAGCTCTCTTCATGAATCTCACCAATTCTCACTAGCCACCCGTTTCGAAACGAATATCTTTTGCAATTACATTCAATGAATCACTTAACATGATTAAAAAATATTTTTATTGTTAACAGAAGGGTGAAATATGTATATCAGGAGGTAGGGACCGTGGTATGGCACTCTGGAATGTACAAGACATAAAACCACAGCATTTTTATGAGAATTCCACAACACTAACGGATGCCAAACCAAGGCAAATTAAATATGATGCTCATTCAGGCTGGGTGTGGGACTTGGCACCAGACAATATTAATTCTGCAAGCATAATTTATTCTGCTTCATGGGACAATACTGTCAAAGCCTGGGACCTACAAACAGGTTTTGAATGTGTAGAGACTTTTCAGTAAGTTGACTCAGTTTGTAATTATAGTAATGTAGATTATTAGTTTCAGGGGGGGGTAGGGGATTGTTAGTAATGTGGAGGAAATACCCCTTTGCACTATGTCAGGTTGACCTCCACGCAGTTCCCCCTGGAAACCATTGTGATAAATTCTTGTTGAATTTATCATGATGTACTAACTTACCTGACCTCGTACTCATCTTATCATCCTCCATTGGTGCCCCGCCAGCATAAACCGTTAGCGCAGGCGGGTGCACTATTCCATTAACCTTAAAAAAAAATAGATACAGGAATAGTTCTTTTGACCTGGTCTAACTGGTCAAAATTTAGAGAGAAAATTCGTTAATGCACTTGCAAACATCCAAAAGACGAATTTTGTATGGGTTTGTCTACTAATGTGATACTTATTTCGTGTTGAACTTTGATTTAGCTATATATTGTAAAGAACCTGAGCATTTCATTGAATTATTATATGACTATCCTAACTTTCATAAAACATTGTAATACATTGTTTCTAATAATTTAATCAAGAATGAATTACTAGAGATATTGCGCATTTCATACATATGTCAAAATTAATAATTACAATAAATAAAATTAATTTACAGGTGCGGTATGTCAGCCTTATCAGTTGTATCTATAGACAAAACAGTAATGGCTGGGTTATATTCTAAAAAAGTACTCTCCTTCGATACGCGAGCGGGTTCTGCACCAGTAAGTTACTATAAACCACATAGAGGTCCTGTATTAGCACTATACGCTTATAACAACATGGTTGCGTCTGTTAGTGAAGATAAAACATTAGCAATATGGGATAGAGTTGCAGGAAAGCTTCTAGCACATGATGTTAAAATACCTACAGACAAGGTGTATCCAGTTTGTATTAGTTGGTGTCCAACAGCTTTATACATTGGTGACTCCAAAGGTTCCCTACACCTTATTGATCCTGAAAAATATGTCTATTTGAAAACACATGAAATATGGCCTGAGCCACCCATCATCAGGCCGTCAAGTAAAATAACTAGTTGTTACCAAAATCAAGGAACCATGGTTGTGTGTTCAGATAGAGGAGAAATTAAATTTTTATATAATTGCTACCCTCCACAAGAATTTTCCAGTGTGAAGACTAGTACATGTGACGTGACTCAGGTAATTATAATATCAAATAATTATAAATTACTATTTTTATGTGTCTGAACTGTAAAAATAATAAAAGTAATGAAATTGTCAACATCGATCCTATATAAAATATTTAATTACTATAATTCTATATTAGAAAATTTCATTCATTTCCAGTTGCGGTATTTGGACGACGTATTGGTGATTGGCACATGTGATTCAGCGCTTGAATTTTGGATTCCCAGTGAGCGATATCAAGATACGTAATTTGTTACAGCTGACTATTATTTAATGAATAACTAGTACGGATCTTTGTATTTTTATTACATTCATAACAATTATCCAGTGATATATTGATATTAAAAGATATAATATTATACCTGTAATGCTTTTACACTAATTTATTGAATATTAATATTATTTATAGTACTGAATCTGAACGAAAATAGAATTAAGTTTATGTAAATAAACCAAAACTTATGTACATGTTTACATTAATTTTGTCAGAAAGTGATTTAGAAGAAAAATTTCCAATATTTTGTATATTATTTCGTGTCTTTAATAATAAATTCATTTATAGATACCACACTCCCTATAAAACTAATTAGGACACCGAATTTCTGGTTCGCCTAAAATGGTGAGAATTCACTCTATCGGATTGTTACTTCATTTTCGGTTTTAAATACAGGATAAACTGTGTTTGACCTTATTACGACTGAACTGAACAGATCTTAATGAAATTTTAAATGAAAGTAGATCATCTTCACTTCAAGAACCGGGAAGGATAAATACTAGGAAGAATATAAAATATATGAACATATTAACTTGAGAAAAAAATTAAAAATTGTATTTATTGTATATTTTAAAGTTAATAACCGATTTTTTTATCATTTTATTATTAAACATGCATTATAATTTTAAGAATCAGTATAATATATTTTTTTTCATATTGAAAAGCTACTACAGGTCTTAAACACAAATACGCAGTGGCCAATATTTTATAATAATAAAAATAATAATAAAATGTGTATTGTTCTGTTATTAATAGAATTCTCATTAGACTGCATATTTTTACGATATGATATGTTAGTCATAATACTCAATATTCATGCCTTTTATCTAAACTTGCATAACATGTTTTAAAATATAAAGCTATATAATTTATAACAAGTGGTCTTGGAAGACAAGTAAAGTACTTTATATATTAAACATACCTTTTACTAAAAATATCTTCATTTTTTATTTTTTTAAATACATCAAGTAATGAAAAAAATAAAATATTTTTTAAATATTTGATGTAGGTTAAAAATATTTTTTATTTGTCGTGGTCAATGTCGACCTGAAATTCTAACCTTACAATGTTACAATTTGTATAGAAAAATATAGCTACAAGGTATTCTACAAAACAATGAACTTAAATACAGTATATTTTTTCTTAAAAACTCAAAGTCATAAATAGTATATATTATTTATTATTAATATTATTCTTACCTGAATGTTAATATAATATAATGTACTTTATGTATTTGCTTTGCTACAATTGTAAAGAAATATGCAATAAAGTAATGAAAGTTCACATATAATTGCTGTTATAACTCTTAAATCTGTGATTATTATTATAAAAATGCAATTCAATAAAATTTTAATTTTTTGAAGATTTTTTATTTATTCCTTTATTGAAGGACTGCACTAATGCTGTTGGCCGCAGCTTGCTTTTATAGCTTATTTATTCCATTTATGACATTAAATACAAATATTCCGCTCTCTCCGTGTTAGATCTTGATTTCCGTCATTATTTAACCGACTAGTCAAAGATATATGGAATTATTGTAATTTCTGTAGGTACCTTAGTATAATTTTTAAATATCTATAGGCGTGTTCAGCCCACTAAAAAATCGATTTCAATCAATCACATTATTAGGGATCGAATGAAATTAACCTTCAGGTAACACATCATAAAAATACATGCGAAATAAGTACCGCCTGTTTATTTTTTTGTAATTGGAATAGCAAACAAGCTATCGGCTTATATCTTGTCTGATGAGTATGAGTTGCGCATGAGTGGTAGAATAAATGAAAATTAAGTTTATTTGAATAAACATTATTTCTATTTCAACCTTTGAAGAGCCAACTTAACTTTATATGAGTATGTATTTGAGATGCGAATATGTTTCTTAGGCAGTTTTTGTAATGTGCCATAGAATATTTCCAACGTATGCCGGTTTAACCCTTTTTTTTTTTTTAACTGCCTCATGGAGCGCTGCCGACCCCGGACTTGTCTGTGTGACTTTACTCACTAAAAACTCCATTCCATATTAAAAATATATATATATATATAAAAGTGGGCGAAAGGGGATTGTTCGTAATGTGGACTAATAACCACCATTGCTAGCAATGTACCATGTCAGGTGGACCTCCACGTGGTGCCCCCTGGAAATCATGTTAATAAATTCATGGTAAATTTACCACGATGGGCTTACTGACATAACCTCATGCTCATAATATCATCCTCCACTGGGTCTCCGCTAGCGTAAACTGTTAGCGCAGGCGGGTGCACCATTCCATTATCATCCATGAAAAAAATACTGTGTTTTATTTGGTAAAATATGAATCAGTCAGTGTACTATTTAGAAATTATTATTATCACGTTTTTATCATACAGTAACGTGTAATAATTTAGGATACAATGAAACATATTTCAAAATCATATTTTAAGAAGTGTACTGTAGGTCCATCCTGCTTTTACATTTGTCGATTAGCAATCACATTAATAATTGGTAACATATTCCACACTAAAATATAATGCAAGTGACATACAGGCCAACTGTATTCAATAAAATATTATGGGGAAATTGATACACATTTTGTATGTATAATTGTAATTACATGTTACAGCCCACTAATAGCAACATACTCGTAATCATGTGCATAATCGTGTAAATTTATAGGAAGTACTTGAAGCAATTAGTCTAATAACATGTTCGAAGACTTGTATTGTGGGCGTTAATGCGAGTCGTGGTAAAGCCTATATGCATGTAATTCCAACACATTTTCACATTATTATTTACGCATCACTACACAAAAACAACGATTATAGATGTTCTATTAATTGTACAGCACTGGTTCCAAATTACCCTCTTCATTTAATTTCAAAGTTCTAAGACGCATTGTATAACGCAATCGATTAATTTTTATATATGCTAATGCATAATTTACAACTTCTTCTAAAGGTCTTCTCAATAAATTATGGAAATGTTTAACTGTAAGGTATGCTGTGTTGTATATAAAGTGATGAGTGTAACCATCTGCAAACTCATTCAATAATTCTTTCCATCGTATGTCATGCCACACTGCATATGTAGACTTCTTTAATCTGTAAATAGCACTATAGTTACATGTTTATCTCATATTTATGAATACTATTACTGGCTATCAGCTTGACGTACCGTTTACAATTATATATATTTAAATAAATAAAAAAAATCTACATACATTTTAAAAATACGTTTTCTCAGCGCTCTCATAGTTATATATTCTTTAACAAAAAGCTGGTTATGAAGTTTAAATTCCCAAAAGGCTTGTAAATAACGGTAATGCTGCCCCATATCCTCTTCGAGTCTCAACCAAATGGACACGTCTATTTTCTTATACTTAAGCTCTTCCACAGAGCAGTTTGAATACTCCATCAATAACTTTAAAAACTTAGTTGCCAATGGCAATGTCCATTTTAATTTTTCTCTCTTTTCCGGTTTTCCTGCAAATTTATTATAACATTTTTACGTAATGGTCAATAATAGTCTATGGTCCGCGAGCCAGCAACAAGTCAAGGTGACTAATTTCTAGCTCTATTATTATCAATACACCAATATAAAACAATACACCATAAGTTTAAATTCCGTTTCAGTTCTTGTTTAGGAAATTTATTTCTACAAATAAATTACTTTATTCAGGGCGTACTAGATGATCGCGCTCTACAAATGTAAAAGGCGCTATTAAGTTGTTAATATTGTTTGCATGACGTTAATGTCATATAGAATGTTTAAATACAAATCTTATCATGCTTATTAAGGTATGATTTAATATAAATAATGCCATGTTTTTTATATATAGGTCTTCAGAATCTGATCCTGGCTCGCAGCCCAATTGGTTTATACGACTTCTAAACAACCCTTGTAAACAATTATAGCGAACAAAACAAAAACAAATAGGACAAAGCAACAAATTGTTAAAACCTGAAACTTACATGTCTCTACATACCATCAATATTATAGCCTAATCTTTTATAAATTCCTCGTGGCTCCCGCCCAAGCACTTTAGATAATATTATTACAGCATTTTTAGGTTGATGTCGAAAGCAAATTTCCATAATATTTTCTTCTAGAGGAGTATAATCGCCCTTCACAGGACCACCGTAATGAGTCATAACGTGCCTTAATATTTGGTATAGATTTCGTTTCACTCCCCGCGCCAGGTACGATATTACAAAATGTCGGACATATTCCTCGCTGACATATTTTGATTTTCGTTTATTTCTCCATCGTGCGAAACAGATGATCTTGTCGGGAACGTCATATTTCTAGTAAAAAAATAATATAATTATGACTATCTTATTAATTCATATTATAAATGCGAAAGTTTGTGACTATGAATGAATGCTTATTACTCTTTCACTCAAAAACTACTGAACGGATTTTGATGAAAGTATACAGTAATATAGCTTATACATCAGATTAACACATAGGCTATAAATTTCATGCGGATGAATCCGCGGGCACAGCTGATATTACATATTATAAATACTTCTCTACGATATTTTTCTACCTCAATAAATATACGCTAGGAACCTCATCCTCATGTGTGCTTGTAGAGGAAGGTATCCATTAAAACATATTTGAATAAGTTAGAGCCTTTTTAATGTCAAACTGCTATTATTATTTTAGAGATTTATGACTATAAGAAAAGTATTATTAATAACTCTTGATAAAATACATAGCACTATTTAAGGCTAAATTAAGCAGAGCTTGTACTAAAAAACTAACACCTCTCAGTGGAGTAATTTATATGGAGCATGTTGCGGCCCGCGTTTAGCCGACAAAGTCCTCACCTTCACCTGAGAGGGCTTGTGCCCCGATGCCCTAATCCCAGAGATTTGCTGAGTCCCATCACTCTCTTTCCCATCTGATCTCCCCACCCTGTCTACCTTTCCTCCTGCCTCGTATTAGACATCCGCTAATTCCCCCATTTTGAGTTCCAGCAAATGTCAGGGGCGCGGGGCGGATGTTAACCCATATTTTACTCAACAGCTTAAGTAACTGCCTTGTTTGTAGAATAAAAATCACAAAAGAGTATATATATATGAATAGAAAGGTTGTGTTTTAAATATTCAGATGTTAGGGACATCACTATATTTATGTTCTACTTATGTTTATGAGAAAGACTATCTACCTTCAAGAGGCTGAAAAATCTTCACTGAGGGTTATTGTCCCCAGGTTTGATGCTGGGGAGAAAGGGCTCGCCCCGAGGCCCCAATCTACACTCCCCTAGGGGAATTTTCATTTTGTAACTATTTCTACATTTAAATGAAAAACTTCAGTAATGAATGCTCATAAAGAAAACAGAATATTTATCTATCTGTAGAATATTTCTAGCTTCGTTATCAATGCACACAGGTGGAAACTATTTATGTACCCTGAATAATCAAATTATACCTTTCTAAATATCAAAATATACCTTTCTAAATTTTGTCCAATTTTTATGTATACGATCAATCTCTTCTTTGGTCATGCTGCCAGTACAAAATGTTTCATCGGGTATTTCATCTGGTTCCTTCACTGGTCTTGTCAAACATTTTGTTTGTTGATACCATGGTTGTGGCCATGTGATTTCTTCATTTTCCAATTTATATAGAAGCAACTAAAAAATTAAATAAGTAATGAATGTAAACTAAAAAATGAGATTTGTAATGTTAAATTATTCTTTGTTTCTTTTTTCTTTAATGCACAATATAACTTGTACAAAGGCGAGCTTAATGTCATATGGCATTCTCCACCAGCAAACCTTTAGGTATACAGAGAGTGCTGTTGGGCAATTATATATAGTTATTCGGAAAACAATCACAAAGTAAGTAATAAACATTAAATAATATATATTGAATGCAAATAAATATACACATATATTAATATAAATAGTACCTAATATTATATGTATACATAGTTAGAATTATTTAAATTAGTATAAGTTTAATTTATGTATAAGTTTTAATTCTCAAAAACTAGAACCTACCAACAGTGGTCTGCACGGGTAACTCATTCTCATCTATTCCAGATGCCAAGGAGCTTGTTCTGTAAGCTGTTTTAGTGTTGTAGGGTGCAATTCAGGCAGTCAAAGTACAGGATTAAAGGCATGATTAGCATCACCTGATAATGTGATGTCTATAGTGCTGTTCATGTATAAGGCAATAGTTACCACTTATTGTTAAGTGAGCCATCAGGTTGTTTGCCATTGCAATTTCCATAAAAAACTTGAAATCCAATTTAATTAATGCAGTATTTTGTCACTTTAGTACAAAAGTATGATGGCTTTCTTAGCTTAATCTATTGAAAACAAGTCCATATTCAGGATGCAGACATTATTAAATATTAGGAAAGTATTATGAAATTAAAGATTTATGAGTTATGGATGCATTTTTACTCCTTAGAAAAGGCACCAAAATTGAAGAACCAACAACATCACAAAGTATTTTGTGACATTCATCATCAACTGTGCCATCAGTTTATTCCTCATGACAAGTAAAAAAAAAACATTAACTGCAACATATGTCATCATTTAAATAGGATGTGAGGATGATTTAACAGACTATTAATCATATTGATTGGAACCATGTCAAACAAATCAGCAGTCAGGACATCAACACAAATTGAGGCAATGTGTATTTTACATTACAGACTTGTACATTAATACCATTGAATAATTACATTCAGTTTTGTAGTTTTTAAGATATATTCAGAGCCATTTGGCCTATCACCAGACCAGTTTGACCACCATGATAAAATCACCTGGAATTTAATATAATGGTTTCAAAAGCACTGCGTGCAGGTCAACCTGACATAGTACACGGTCATTAGTACCCATTACTAACAATTCCCTGCCCCTTCTCCAATATTGACAGGCTTGTTCATTAATTATATTTTTATGTTGCTGATATGTTGGTACCATTAGCAACATACTGAAAAGATATAGTACTATTTTCTTAATTAATGAACTAGGCTTTACACACACTAGAGATGGAAAGAGAAAACGGGAAGGCAGACAAACTAATGGATTGAAGTTACCCGTGGGCACAAAAAGAAGAGATTGAAATAGGAACAAACGAAAGCCATTAAATTAGAGATATAATATAAAAGATTTTAGTTTATATTCCACAAATTATTAATTAAGTAATTTCAGATTACAGGGCTTTATTATTATTATTATAAGACACTAGGTCGGTGGCTAGTATGTTATAAATTATTGGGATAATCAAACCAATAACTATAATAACAATTCCAAAAATCTCTCTATTGAATGGATAATTAAATTTTGTTAGCTTGTTACAAATCGTTATACCTCCATAAAAGCGTTGTCTTCGTTTTCAAGATCTTCAAAATAAATTTTAATAATATCCATACAAGCAGGGTCACTGGTGTCCATGTATTTTATATGTTTCTTTAATTCTTTGAGAGACATTTTAGTCATAGCTATTTGTTTTGGTTTTGAGGTTAATATAAAATAAAAACAGCGGTGTTCCGAAATATTCGTATTTCGTAATATATCTTTAAATAAATGTAAGTATTGGAATTGTTCTGTTCTATGTATGCAATTAAAATTAAGTAAAAGTAGCGATTATTTCAATTAAATAATCTGTGAAAATAAATATTCAAAATCACAAGTGCAGCCCGCGGATATTGTTCTATGCGCACGAGTTATCTATGCGCACGAGGTTCTAGTCACAGAGTACTTTATTGGTTCTAATAATAGTAGTAGTGGTATATTTTATCCACAAGTGGATAGGCAAAGGTACGAGACCATACAGCCTAATCTTCAGTAGTATTTCCATGAAATTCAGTAATTCTTTTCATTAATTATAAGTTTGTGTTAAGTTCATGTATGTGCCCATAATTGAAATGTTTATAATTCTCCGATAGTTGCTATGATAAAGTCGTAAATTGGTTTAAAAGTTGCAGTGCATTTGAATAGTTCTTGAAGCGATGGCGGAATAATCTTATATAGTTCTTGAAGCTTGGCAATGAGCAAAATTCTGTTTAAATTGAAGGCCGGCAATCAAAAAATATATGTTCTAATATTTAATTTTCGTTACTAGAGCATAAAAGACAAATCGGAGAATTAATGATCTTCATTACCGAATGAAGATTTATGCACATTTACACCGGTAAATGTGCATTGTATTTACAATGTCCAAATCGCAGTCGACAAATTTGAGTATAAAATGTTTTCTCTAAAAATATTTTTCCCTGAATAAACCAGGGTTTTTTGCCAACAGTACTGTTTATCCCTGTATACCAAGTACCTTTATCTTTGGTAGTACGTTTGCAATCTTCTTCCCAATTTTTTAATAAGTTTTTCCTATATTACAGGAATTAAATATTAATATTGTAATTGACTTGAGTTAAGGACCAAGGTAAGAAAAACTCATTATTTACAGACGGTTCTAAAAACGAATCGAGAACATCCTTTGCTCTAATCTATTGAAAAACTGTCAATAGATTGGGTGGCGAGTCTAAAGGTAATCTATTTTTACAAGGTAATCTATAAAACCAATTATTCATTACCTATTATATGAGCTCTCATTGGAGTGTTATGTCACACACATTTGTGTGCCGGTATCCAAGTAAATATAATTTATTTTCCTTTATTAAACAAAACAGTCCATAGTTCTTTAATTTGGTACTAATAATTCAGTTTCTGAATTCTGAGGATGGCAGTTCTTCGAAAAAATGCATTGTTAATTAATACTATAATATCGAAGTAATGACTAGGCAGTATGGACCATGCTCTACGCCTGTACAATTTGGAACAATTAAAAAAAAACAACAAAAATATTATTGTTAAAAATTATTTTTATTTGTAGTATATCTAGTATTGAACCCTTGAATAGTATATTTTTTTGTATTGACTATTAAGATTTCTTTAAATTGTTTATTATGGACGACAAAAAGAACAAAACTCTTCAAGAAATAATAGACAGCGACGAAGAGTTTGGGGGTGCGTAGCTACTCATTGTTTTTTTTTTATTAATTATTTCCACTGTATTGAACTTAACTGATCGACTTGTATTGTAAACCTATTTTGAGCATTGAGGAGATCGTTAACAGTGGGCTAGAGCTAGTGCTTTATTGCTAGTAATGCCTGCTAGGTCGACCTCCACACGGTTCGCCCTGTAAACCATTATTTTTAATTCCTGGTGAATTCGCCACATAGCTAACTCACCTGACTTCATACTTATCCGATCAGCGACACAGATGCCGCGCTAGCATATATTTTTGTTAGTGGATGATAATGGAATGGTGCACCCGCCTGCGCTAACGGTTTACGTTGGCGGGGCACCAGTGAAGGATGATAAGATGAACATGAAGTCAGATCAGTTAGCCCAACATGACAAATTCACCGGGAGTTTATCACAATGGTTTTCAGGGGGAACCGCATGGAGGTCGACCTGACATGGTACATTGCTTCTAATGGGATCATTAGTCCACATTACTAACAATCCCCTCCCCCCCATATATTGTAGCCAGGAGCACCATTGCATTGTCATTCATAGACATAAACATACTTTACATTGTGACTATGTAGACCACTGGTGAACTGGTCAAGTTTTGTTTTGGTAACTTACCCAAATATATACTTTTTGTATGTATACTATATATACATATATGAAATAGTTGGTGATTAGTAAATATGGCCCCATTACTTGCAATGCACCATGTCAGGTTGACATCCATGTGCTACACCCTAGACTTATATCTAGCACTGATATCACACTAGCACATATGAAGTACCAGTAGAAAATAACGGGATAAGGATGATGATGTAATGGCAAAAGATGACTATTTTCTCATATAATTGGTATTGTAACAAGCCAATGGCCCACTTGATTGTAAGTGGTCACCATTTCATCATTTATATACTAAAACTATATATCAATATAAATGCTTAAACTGTTTGGTCCTTGGTATTGTTTAGTTTGTACTGGAATGGTGTCTTTCATCTAATAATAATTAATATTAAAATTAAAAAGATAATGTTACCATATTGCATGAATACTAATAATAATGATATCTACTAATGTTTCAGACAATTACTATGAAGTTCCTGAAATTCCTGCATATAAACTAGACTGTCGATTTGAACCCATTCAATTTCCATGGTTGACCAAATATAAAGTTAATAAACTTGTGAAAAAACTTAAAGTGGATACACTGTTGTCTGGAATCAATGAAGAAACATTTCAAGAGCAAACTAAAAATCTGAAACCGGGAGAGAAAATGCTAGTCACCAATGCAATATTGAGTGAAGATGACATATATTGCCTAAAATGCATTGAAACTGTCAGTTCTGATGCAACTGTACTTTGGCTTATAAATTTTCTAATGTACAAAGACATTCAATCCAATTTTAAATATTATAAAAGGTGTTTAGTGGACAAGTACAATAATAACTTCATGCTCAACAACATATTGCAAGACAATAGCACTAAAAGATTTAATTTTGAATTCAGAGTGGTAAATGTACAATAATAAATTAAGTGTAATTTTTATAATATAAATAATAAATAATATATAGTTAAATGAAATCTGACTATATTTTAGGCTATACTAAATACATACAAACTAGTAACTTTAATTATCAGGTAAAAAATCAATAAATAAGTATTGTTATTAAAGCATTAATTACTGCTGATTGCAAAATATCATAAAATTATAATAATATATTTTTTATACTTATGTTGTGTTTACCTCTATTAAATTACCTCCCCTTTACTGCAGCACTACATTAGTATAACATGTTTTGGCAAAGGATACTTTTTCAATAGTTCTCCTTACCTGTACATTCCATAATTAAGGCACCTATTTTTACGCATAGAGGTATGCTACAAGGTTGGAACCTCGGTGACCTTTGTATTTTTTTTATGGATAACGTAATAATAGTTGTCCTATCGCAATATATTTTTTATGTATTTAATAATAACAAATATATTTATCGGTACATAGTTAACATTAAAACCAATAGAAACATTTGTATTCATAAGTATGCTTGTGTACAAACAATGTATACCAAAATATGGGAAAATAAATTACTGCGTCAAACCTCTACACCAGCAACTGTATCAAAGGTACATGCTTTTGTAAATTTCTGAAGCTATTGTTGCATTACTGATTTCACTTTCAGCTTAGGCTTAGTAGTCGTAAACAGTCATATATTGTATAATCAATTTTCGGTTCCATTCCGTACCAAATATATTGTAAAGTATATAGTGATACCAAGAGGCATATCGATGATACGCTATCAAATGATATCTGTTAGTAACACAACAACGCAAATTTACACAAAGCAAGTAGATAGTGTTATTTCTGTTTAATCTGTATGCCAAACAGAATGTCCACCAAAGCCAGGCGGCAATCGTCGCCTATTTAAAGAACACAACCAACCACTACTCCTGTGGTATTCTTTAATGCATAGCCTGGAATGGCTATGCATGATAACATGTTTGCCTTCGAAATTTTACTGCTAATGGCACCAGGAAAAAATGGGTGTATTGAAAATTATAAATCAAAATAATTTAAATATATGACTTTCGGACAAGTCTTGTTTCCAGAGGTAACCTTGTGGAGGTCAACCTGTCCTGGTATATTGTTACTACGCCCCTAATAACAATCCTCATTACTAACAATGTAACCCCTAGTAAGTCTACATGACTACAAGAGATCATTTGCATATGAATGTTTATATATTCCATATTCATTCTTTTACAAAATTAGAAATCATTAAATCGTCACGTTTGTTATCACAGATGGGATAATCAGAGATATCGTTAACTGTCGTGTCATGTGGAATTGAACTCTAAGCTTGATTTTGGTTTGTAAACGGCGTTTTTTTCGCCGAAACTAGAAACTTTTTGCCACGTACAACCACATTGTGGAATCACCTTCCAGCAATAGTATTTTTGATCCAATATTGAAAGCTTCAAGAAAAAAGCTTGTCTTTTTAAAAAGCCGGCCACGTACTTGTAATACCCCTGATGTTACGGGTGCTGATGGGCGAATTACTGACCATGAGTTGAGCAACAACCTATGTACTAAAAAGTCGTAGTCAGTTTATTGATGGTGATTGTTAAATTTGAACTTACGACTTCTTGGATGTGAGTTGGGGTAATAAACAGCCAGGCAAGGACTCTCTTAATGTATAATTACCAAAATAATTTATTGCCTATTAAAGTTGAGAACAAAAAGCAATATTAATTATTAAATACGTATAATAAGCAGAATAAAAAGATTACAATCAACAATATGCTAAGCAACGACATCGTCATCGATACACAGACAATTAGGTCGTATATCTACAAATTATACTCCTAACATTGCCTCCTATAAGACAATTGATTATCAATTACAGTCGTTAGTTTTGTTTTGATATGATTTTTTATTATAATCATATAAAAAGTAATATTTAAAAGTCAGAGATAAAACCATTACCTTTGTTTTTTGAAGCCCTTCTAATTAAAAAACTAAATTATTTTCCTTAAGATAAATTTTATTATAGTAACAATTATTGATAAAATAACAAAATAATCAAAACACTTATTTTAAGTTTATTTTAACTACCAACTTTTCAATTACGATTTTATTGTATCTGGTACGTAAATTTATATAATATAGATGTATTAACTTTTTTTTTAATGGAATGTTTTTTTTTGCACCATCCTGCAAGTTATTGTGCCTCCTTTTCAATATGTTCTAGGAATCCCTTGGAACATCTCAATGACTGCTCGTAACATTTTTCAAAACCTTTGGAATCACTATCCTAAAAATAGAAAATAAAATATTTTTGTTTAAAAACCCATACAAATATATATTAAGTTGTAGTAGAAGCTAAGAGACATTATAGTCGCGCCATCTATTGACGACTAGGCGCAAATAACTACAAATGGTTTCACTTCGACACAATTCAAATAAACGCAACATCATAGTTTGTACCATTGTAATAAAATTATATAAAAATAATAAACGATACTGAGAGGAAAGGAAGGGTCATTTCAAACACATTATTTTATATTAAATAGATATACATACATACAGAGTACATAGAAACATCTATAGTTTAGTGTTTTTTTAGTTAAATAGGTATAATAGATCAATGTTTTACTTTTATGAATACATTACAACTATAGTCAAATCATACAATCCTATATAAAATTTTTACTTACATAATAAGGATCTCTAATGATGCGGTCACCTTGAGGATCAAAATCTCCGAACAGAAGAAGTTTTGCTTTACTATCCTTTGGGGCTCTCTTATTAAGATCTTTCATATTTGCCTCATCCATACCAAATATGTAATCATAATAGTTGAAATCTTCTTTCGTTATCTAAAAAAACTTTTATTTCAGCATCCCACTTACAGTACAGAAGATGAAAGTATTTATAATAATTTCTTACATAAATGTTTACTTTAATCAGTCTTAGTTTAAATATTTTACTATAAATTAACTATAGTATATATTATTTATAAAGAACATAGTAAAATTATAATAATGAACAATCATGCTACTATTAATAATAATAATTAGAACCATATATATTGTATGTGTTGTAATTGCAAGAAGAAATATAGTAGAAAATAAAAAACAAAAATGTATTGAAAAGTGCAGAATAAAAGCTTCTTTATCTTTATAATATATTAAAAAGAGTGTGGAAAACATAATCACACTGTCTCGTCTATATTAAATTTTATTGTTTGTAGTATTGTACTTCAAGACAGAACAGTCTAATAAACTTACTTGTCTTGCTTGATTATTATATGGAACATTGTGTTTTTTCATGGTATCCAAAGCTCTCCAATCTGGTGGATTACCAACATGCCATCCTCCTATTGCGGCACTATCAATTTCCCATTGATCACACAAGTTTAGATCATTAACAGTTTTTTGAAATACTCCTTCTGCTATTGGAGAACGACATATATTTCCTGTAAAGTAAATTATAATTACTTAAAGTAAGTAAATCATAATTAATTATTAATTATATTATTCAATGATGTTTTCCCTAAGGAAAGGTAGATTATATTTTTAAACAGGTATAAACAAATAGCGTAGTTTAAGCATAGAGGAAGATTTTTACTAATATTATGTATATTAGACTATGATAAGATGTATCTCACTGTCATGTCAACTAATGTCTTATCCAGAGCTTCTAGAAGCTTGCTTCGAAGGCTGTGTTCACATTAAAGGATGAGCACTTAAAATAAATAAGAAGTCCCTAGGCAAAATTTTGTTATGAGACAGTTCATTCTGGTTACAAGTAACCAGATGTATTCTTGTTATTTTTAATATATTATCTTAGATTGGTGCTTCAACAGAGGAAGGAATATTCCTCCCCATTGTTTAGGTGACTAATTATATTTTTGTTTCAAATTACCTGAATTTCAAAAAATCTTTAAAAAAAATCTAACTCGACGAAGTCGCGGGAACAGCTAGTATTAAATATAATCTAACTTCAATGACAGGCAATCTAAAATCTTTTGTTTGAAAGAAATAGTTACATTTATGTCGGAAACCTGTTTGGCTCCAATATTTAATCTATTTCTATATTTAAATTGCTTCAGCTATTTAGGTTCAGATTTATTCTGATATTTTGTTATAGAATTAGTCGGTATATCACTTACCTAAACAAATGAAAAGAGCTTTTTTCTTATTGCAAGACATTGTTAAAGTTATTTGAGTACGTAAAGTAATATCACTATCAATAAAATAAAAAACTGAAATCACTCTCAACTGGAATGAAAATATTATATTTTTGTCTGTAACTTCTGTTTTTCGTTGCCCCGAATGCCACAGTGACTGTGTTCTGTCCAAATCTCGGATATCAAAATGCTATTAACATATCTCGAGGGTAGTCTGCTTTGGTATATTTATTTTACTCTTTGATTTTCTGTCATAGCTTTTAATTGTCAACGAACTACTGCTCTATGTATATAGGCAATCGACTTTCCACATCCATCGATGGCGAACGAAATCTTATTTTTTATTCATGTGGGATCAATGCTATCTATACATTAGTATAGATAGTATTGATTCCACTGTCTAAATGTAAAAGCTTAACTGTAGCACGAGAACATAGACTACCTTTAATCTCAAAATGTGACAAAATCACGGGTAAAAAGTAACGGATTAAAAGGAAAACTTATAAAGTTTTTTATAGTATCCCCAAAAATGTACTTGGAATGAGTGGATTTGAATTAGTTTGTAATTTATTTTTTTTAGTTTATGTAAATAAAATAAAAAAATCTATGTACAACTAATAAAATAGTTTGTTAATTTTTGGAACTAATAGGTATTTTCAGATTATTCGGCATTATCTCTGGTTTTGTTATCTGTTAGCTATTTTTTTATTTGCAGTTACAGCTTATTAGGGTTTTCCCCCAAATTTGGATACAATCAAAGAGTAAAGTAAATACCAAAGGAATACAATGCAGCATGGCTCTAACAACCGGTAACGCCTTTGTCTGTGCGAGACTTTAGAAGCGGCACTTTTAGTTATCAAGTTTATTTATACTTCAAGATTTGACTGTAAATATCAAAGTAAAATAGTGTAAAATTTACATATTGACTCAAATATAACGAAAAGAAAGAAAGAAAAATATATTTATTTGGCGCATACGAAACATGTAAGAAGTATATATTATTTTTGTTGTACCAATATGTTGTACAACAAAAATAAATGAAATAATTGTCAGGTTATCATTATTGGGACATTTTTTCTTAAATAATCCAAGTTTGTGGGAAAGTATGGAAGTAAGACAGTAATCTAGCAACACTGATTATTTATGTAATATTTTTTAAATTTTGAATTGTTTTTGAGGCTTGTTACAAATCATTCAGTTTATTTATTTTATATATTTATATAATAACTTAGACAATTCCGAACCTGAATGTAATTTATTTTTTATTAGAGTGCGCAAAGAAATGGCTTTTCGATCAATTTGTAGAACACTTAACCGCGTTCAAAGTCCTCTTCTAGTGTGGGACAATATTTTCGATTGCAATGGAACTGATATTATAGTGTGTATTACGGGTAATCCAGGAATAACAGACTTCTATGTAGAATTTGGTTCCGAAGTACATAAAAATACGGGACTTCCTGTATGTGTCATTGGTTAGTGGATTTTATTTTTTGCTACAAGTTAGATAGCAGCTTATCATTGATAACCATTTTAATCAGATATATGTTGATGGAGTAGGTATAGAAATTAAGATTATTTGTGCGATCAATGATTTTATTGACAGACTTTAATATATCCATTTTCGTCCTTTGCAAGTTTTCCATTTGTCATAAATTTCGCAGATTTTCTGTCTCCATTTTGCAATCTAGCACAATTTTTTACTTGATGATAATTTAATGATGCACCAGCCTGCGCTGGGCTGAATTGTTATGAGCCTCATACTCTCACTTCTGTCACAATACAAAGAAATTAATGTAACTTAAAAAATATATTATTATTACTTTACTCTTGGTCCAGAGCCAGTAGCAAATTGAGGACTCTTTGTGGCATAATAGTTAAACCAGGATAATTACATTGCCATGCTTTTTACTTTCTTATTTTAGTTACTCAGTACATTTTTTTAAAAAAGTTTACTATTCTTAGTACAATATTAAAAAGTAAATTTATAACATTCTTAATATTTATTGGAAAATTAATAATAATATAATTTTTATGTATAAATATGGTATTTTTCAATAAAATGTTTATTTGTTGTTGTTCTACATGCAATATGCATGGGCAGTGTTGGAAGTGTTGGCAGTAATTTATTAATCATGAATTGTATTAATTAATTGATTACATTAATTAACATCCATTCAAGAAATTCACCTTAAAGTGGAATAATGAACAGTGTCTTTCAAGTAATTTATGCAACTTGACTTTTGCCTTGACTGTGCCTATCCATATAAGGGGTTTGATCAAAATAGACATTATAGAAAGTTGTTAGTGTTGGTATACCCATTTTATCTATTTCTGTCCCTAAGCAGCTGCTTGTTTCTGACAAGAGAAATAGAAAAGGTCCACTTTAGTCATATTTGTATATAGTTAATCAAATAATCATCAGAGGTTAAGAAAGCTTGTCTGGTAAAGTTGTAAAGGTTAGCTGCGACCAACAGCATTGGGGTAGTCCAAAAAAAAAAGAAACATGTGAAGAGTATACCACACTATAGTGTAAAAAATATCTGAAATACTATAGGGAATCTGTTTACTCTTCACATTTTGCTTCTTTACCTCATTTTTATGTTAACTTTAATTATATTACTTCTGGAGTTTGCCAAAGTTTTGAAAACAAAGTCAATGTTAATATTGTTGCCTAGACCATGATTGATCACCCGACCATATCAGTCACTCGTAGGAGTCGGGATATTAATCCACATTTTCAACAACAAGACCATGTATGGGTGACAGACGGAATTGTTAGTAATTTGAAAACCGTGTCTCCATTGCTAGCAGTGTATGTATATTGCTATAGATATAATACTCCTGCATATGTCAGGTCGACTTTTACAGGGTTACCCCTAGAAACCATTACGGTTCCAAGTGAATACCTCACGACAGGCCGACTGACCTGACTTCATCCTCATTCCATGAATTTCTCTGGTGTATGGCTAGCGTTTACTGGAAGGTACTTTGCACAGATTTAAGTCCAACTGCCAATGTTTATATAGGTATCACCTGCTTAGCCAGTGCTTCTTTGTTGCCTAATATTTATAAAAGTATTTTTATACGTTATCGTAATTTTTTATAATGTAGCTGTATTCTCTATACTTAGTCCAGCCATAAGTTCTAGCCATAAAATGCATTTTTTCAAATGTAGTAATGTAATATTATTAAAATTTATATCTACATATTTACTATACATAGGCAGAAGGAAAAGTAAAAAAAAATTAGAAATAATTTAAAAGTTGAAAAAATAAGAAAAGTTTTTATGGCCAGACTAGTTATAATATCAAATATATTTCCTGAAATTCTATCTACTTATTAATTTCTTTAAACAGTAGGAAGTTATTCGGTATACTTGTAAATCTTATAATTACGTGCTACTAAAATAATAATATTGATTCTTTTTGTGTTTAAGGACAAGCTGGACACGATGAACCTGCGAGCAAACCTGACGGAACATTACAAAATGATGATAATTTATACAATCTTAAAGGTCAAGTAGCACAAAAGTTAGATCTTATTAGTAGCCATATAGATAAAAAAAGTAAAATACATTTTATAGGTCATTCTATAGGAGCTTGGTTGATTATTGAATTATTGGAAAAAAATCCCCATTTGACTACTAGAGTTTCATCTGTGACTTTATTATTTCCTACATTACAAAAAATGGCAGAAAGTCCAAATGGAAAACGTATATTCAATTTGGTAAAGACATATCGTACACTAATAAAATTATTGCTAACGCTTCTAGATTATTTACCACTTTTTGTGAAAACATTACTAGTGGATATATATTTAAAATTGAATTCACTCCCTTCTCATTATAGCGATAGAATATTAAAATGCATCAATCCAAATACAATGGATAAAGTTATCACTTTAGCGCTAGATGAAATGGAAACAGTGACTGTATTAAATAAGAGTGCAATTGACAGGTTTAAACATTTAACTTGCGTTATTTACAGTAACAGAGATGATTGGGCACCAATCGAATATTTTAAAGATTTCTTAGATTTTGAACCATCTATTGAAATGAAATTAGTAGATATTAGTCACGCCTTTGTCCTTAAATCTTCAAAACGCGTAGCGGATTTGGTGGTAGACTTTATTAAAACAAAAATTTAATAAACCTACGTAGTAAGGGGATCGGAAATGATTGTTTAATTAATATGTGCAATTTGATTTATTATAAATTGTTACCCATTTATGTTACATTACATGAAAATTATAATATAGGTGTGTGATATATATTTAATAATCTAATTTGAAGAAAATTGATAACATAAAAAATTACATTTACGTATAAATAATAAATATCGTGAAAATATTAGGTAAAGGCATTGACATAAAAGTAAGTTATCTCATTTCGGTTTGGTATAACATGGATAAGAATATATCTTTCGAAAGGGTAAAATATTTTAAATACTTAAGATCCAGAGGGCCAAATTCTATACATAGTTTGGTCACTTTTATTGATATAGCATTGTACATAGGTATGTATATAGCACAGTCGGCGCTGTGCATTGCATAGTAAAGCTAATCCCCAAAACTCGACAAATATTTATTTTCGAAACGAGTCTGAAATGCTGCTTTAGTAGATTTATTTAAATTTAGCGATAAGGAATAATAAGAGAATAAAAAAAAGAAGTAAAGAGAAGGCAATACATTCCATTTTTTAAATTTTATAATTATTCATTTTATAAATGTTTTAAGCCACAATGTAAATATGACGTGCATATTGCATTTAAATAAGTACATAATTTATGGGTATTGTAACAGTTTAATTTATATTCTTAAAAATATGAGTACTTATACATAATAAAATTAATATATACAATTCAGTAAAAATAATAAGTAATGCATATACACAGCATGTCTACTATGTTTCGATATCCTAATTGCATCATACGTTAAATATTAAGGTTTTGGTATATGCGGTCAATACCTATCGTATGGCTTATCATATTGGAAAGCAAGCCTGTGTATGATTCGCGGTATCGCGAAAGGCAAGGCCTAAACACGAATACCGCTATAATTACGCACACTAATTCATTACGGCAATTACTCATGATTGGGGGAAGGGGATTGTTAGTAATGTGTACTAATAAGCTCATCGCTAGCAATGTACCATGTCAGGCTGACCTCCGCGCGGTTCCTCTCCATCGTGTTAAATTCTTGGTGAATTTGTCACGATGGGGTAACTGACCTGACCACATGCTCATCTTGTCATCCTCCACTGGTGCCCCACCAGCGTAGACCGTTAGCGCAGGCGGGTTTTCATTATCATCCACAAAAAAAAAAATTACTCATGATTTACTAGCCCATGGAATGGGCGGTGTATCTATCAGCGAAAATCGGCAGTTTTAAGTGAATATTGCAGTCTTTAGCGTGTGGTCAGTAGTAGTGCATTTGTAGGTATATAAAAAAATATTCCTAGCAAACTTAGACAAAAAATGGGGCGATTCTAAATATGCTTCTTTTAAGTTCGTCTTCGATAGAACAGGACCCCTCCCACCCTTTGTCATAATTTATGACAAGGAGTGGGAAGAGGAACTCTATCCCATTCAATGTATGACCTAATTTATGGATGGTCGCTTACGTAAAATTGGTTTTGTCTTTGGTGTACCACTATATCCTCCATAATTTGGTAGATGTAAATTGAACACAAAATTTCAAAACGTTATAATAATTCAAGCATAAACAATGCAAGTTCATTATTTTGAATGCTTGAATTGTTGCGAAACAACTTTTGGCTATGAACAGATCCAACATGAATACTAGTATCACTTCAGTGGAAAAATAAAAGAGAATTTTATCATCATATGACGATTCATATACAAAATGTAACAACTTCGAACCGCCCATTAAGACATCAGAATGGACTTGACGTCCATAGACATCAATTCTAATTTTCGTATTACTATAAGAATAATAAAGTAAAGATAAAAATAAAAATAAATCTAAATTATATTAAAGCTTAAATCTAGCTATGTACTATAATATAAACTTGTGGATCGCTCATAAAAAATTAGAATCAGCTCTGTGACTTTCAAATAATTCAATAAACAGCGCGCGTCTATTTTTTTTTTACCAGAAGACTAAATTAATATTTATTAATATCTAAATTCTACGTCATCAGACTTCGGTATAAACTTTCAACAACATTTAAGCGTTTTTTGTAAATAATTCGTGCTTATTTTCCATATACAAAAAATGTATTGTAAAAGTAAATGATTTTTTATAGCTACAGTATATTAGCTCAGTGTAAACAAGACAAAATAAATGAAATATGTAAAATGCGAAAAAACAATTTATTTATTTATTTTTACTTTAGATAAATTTTAATATCAGTTTAAAATTGGGATGAGCTAATTAATTTGAAACAAATACCCCATGTTATTGTATGAAAATGCTTAGTCTAAGTATATTTTATTTCATAAGAGTATTAATGTTATTTATATTTTTATAGTTATATTTATTTAAGTACACTGTAGACGCGATTGTATTACGAGTACATATATCACATTCCAATACAAGTATTATTAATAGTAATGAGTCAATTGTATCCAGGTCTAATGTAGATTGTGTTGGATTTGGTGTGGTATTTATGTTTATTTCTATGGTGTGAGTGACAACAAGGACTATGGTGGGTACTTTTAATTAGTGAATGTACCATATACACTCAATTCTTTACAACGGGTAGGTGTATTAATGACCACATGAAGCAATGTAAACATAAAGTATTCTATTTTCCTTGTAATGCAGTGACGTGACATTTACACCAGTGTTGACAATTTTCGGCTTTCACAATATCTTGAGTACCATCTAAAATGTACAGACAAATAAAGGAATTTAATGAAGTAATGTTTACAAAGAATATATTACCATAATAATTCATCATAAATAACAATAAAAATCGGTTTAGGAATAAGTATTTGTAATTGCTTATTTAGACGAATTAACTTACATAAAAACTTCATTTTACAAAATAAATTATGATTTAAGAAATAAACAATCAAAGATTTTTGTCAGAGTGAAAGATCAACTTACTAAGTGAATCAGCAGTCATCACTATTATTCCAATTAATTGAGCAACATGATTTTGTATTAATTTGATTTGTCATTTTACATTAATAAATATTAAAAACAATTTATTTTGTGGTCGCAGACTTTTATAATGCATTGATACGGAATTTCACATCAAATAATTATAAACTATTACGATGGGTGCATATTGGTAATTTGATAGTTGTTTCGATCCGGTTCGAAGGACTACAAATACGTATAGTCTCTCTATGACTCACCCTGATACCAGAAATGATAAATTATTTCAGAAACCATTAAATATAATTTTTTTCACTGATAATTAGTGAATGGTCGTTTTATTGTGGATTGAGAGGAAAAAAGTATGTATAATACATAGAAATATAAGTGTTGGTAGTTATTGAATAGCAATTATGAAATGCACGATTTGTTACTTTGGTGTTCACAACATAAGAGAAAATAGTACCTAATAGATTTAGTATTTAGACCATCTAATACATTGATTTAGATATATTATATCCTCGAACATTATTTTTTATAATCATGTTTGTATTATTGATGTAAAATATCAGTCTTTATCATGAAAATTAAAGTTAATGATTAAATTGGGTTTATGAAAGATGTTATGTATTATTTACAACCCTAAAAACATATCCTTATTCTAAAAGTTACTGCGAAATTATCTGTTGAACTTGGTGCGGAAATGAAGTGTCAATGAGTTCGTCTGCTCATCATAGTATAGTTTTATGTAATGTAAACCACTGAACTCTCAGAGGTTTATATTGCGCAAAACTTACATAAAACATAAATTTCATAAATATATGACATGTCAAGTTTATATATTAATACTAAGAATTATCTGTTTCTGTATTTTTGAAGACGACCTTTTAAAAATTATACATCAAAATGTTCCTAAGTTGTTGAATTTTAGAATGGTTTTGATGGCAATGACGAGCAGACAAAACTTTCATATGAAGCATTACAAACATATCTATTACAATAAGAATTAAGGATTATAAAATATGATTTCGTTTATCTTTTTGAAGCACTAGGTACACTAATGGGATATAAGGCAAAAACAGATGGTGTTACATTAAAAACTTGTTATTGTAGTTTTTACAGTAAACTGTTGAATACAAATATTAAATTAGAAATGGGTAATATCGGCTTTAGGCTGTACTATATCATATTCCACGTATATAAAGCTATGTAAATATATTATTGGCAATATATTGCAAACTGTGTCACTGTTGTCGAGCGGTACCTACTAAACTGTATTAAATATCGCTGACATTGCATAATTACGTCGTAACCTGAAGTCACTGTGAAAATGCATGTGTTATATCTAATACTTGGCTTGCATACAATCAGTCGATATCTATGTATATATTGCATGTATTCGCGCTATATATATAAGATTTCTATTGCCCATGACTAGTTAAAACACAATATCGATTCCTATTACGGAACCAAAGCCACATGGAATATATGTTTAAACGAAAAATTGATAAAAATAAACTGTTGTGATGTAAGTTTATATTACCCAATTTGGATCTTGCACTCTGGAGTTCTAAGAGAGACTCTCTTAGAATTTAAACTTGCTAAATTTATCCAACAGTAGGTAGCTACTAAGTGCCAAATACTATGAAATCTAAGTGAAATGGTCCATGCATCCGGATTGATTATTCAAACTTCATAACAAAAGAATATCATTGGATTAAAATTATTCAGTTACAGGACCATTTTACTGCATCAATTAAAGTAAAACTTAAAATCAATATTATCCACAATGGTTATAATGGTTACTTATAAAAAAAAATTTCGAATAACCCTGATTAATAAGATTGTATGTAGTAGCGTTTTAATATTGTTATCTCTGGATTTCATAACAAAATATGTGTACATTTAAGAACAAATCATAAATAACTTGTGAATTTTTAGTGAGTTTATATGCCACTTGTTTTATGAAGGTATTAATTACAATTGCAATATTTCAAATAATAATTTGGGGAGACATTACGACATTTCAGTACAAAATCACATAATATTTAAGGCGTTATATTATCATGAATGATTCATGTAAAATGGCTATTGAAACCTGCCATTGGCTATTCATTTATTACGGTTCGTGACAGTCCTACAACCATTTCAAAATGCTAAATTTGAAACAAATAAATATAAAACATGTAATAATATTGCTATTGGAATGTACGGATATTCTCAAAAAAATTTACTTATGGACTTTTATAATGCATTATAACTGGATGAGGGTAACAAATTTCATAACAGCTGGTATTTCATAATATCTAAAACTATCACTATATACAATGAATGGAAGAATATATATTTAAAATAATTTGAATATAACTCATCATTAACAGTTCACTATTTTCACTTGAGTAATTTGTGCGTTAGGTAATAGCATAGAACAAAATATAGGAACTAGGCAAATATTAAACCTCCATAGTTACTACTGCAATAATGGCTAGAAACAAACGCAATCTATTTATTAGAAAAGTATTTAAGTCGACATTCATATTAATATACAACGAATCTCTCAAAAATAAGTAAGTATAATTACAATATTGATTAAAACAATCATAGTATACCATACATACATAGTACAAACATCCTCTTTATAATAATTGAATTTAATATGATACAATTATAATTTTGAAATCTTATAACTAAAAGGATACAAAATTCATACTAATAATACTCATACATTAAAAGGACAACACACGTATCATACATAAGACAAAAAGCTCTGCCCCGTTGCTCATGTAGCATCCGAAACCATTATATCGGACGGGGAAGAGCTTAGATCTTTTTATCAGACCATTACTGCTTCACTGATCATCTACGGCAATTTTAACACGTAGTCTCCAGAAGTGGATCCGCAACTTTTTTTACGCTGTCATTATCGATAGACGAGCAAATCATTTTTTGAGAGGCAGACTTATAAAGCCGTCTAGGACGGTCTTCATCATCTGATAAAGCTCTTATCGGCGGTCGAGGAACTAGGCGTGCAGGCGAAGGACGAGGTGAACGCGAATCGCATGTACACTGAGCACCGAGAGTACTCGTCACGGCCCGCTGTAATCGGGGAGTTCGCGGGCAGCCGGGGCTTCGTGGCCGCCAACATTCACAACTTTCATTTCCGCAAGATTCGCACACAACAGCCGATTTACGCTCCAATTTACCTCGTTTGATAGTAGCGCTGTCGCGTCTTACGTCAGTGTCGGTCGAGGCCTTCACGATATCGTCTCTAGAGACTGCACGATCGGCTGCGGGTCGTAGCGATGAATTTTTCACCCACGGATCGAGAGCGGTACGGTTCGCAATTCGTGAGCGACCACCTGCGCTTTTAAGGTCGACTTCGCTCATTTTGCGCCATGGGTTTCCGAGAACAGTGGTAGCATCGCTGGCCCCGCGTTCACGGAGACGCGGTCGGGTCGTTTCCGACATTGTGTCGTCCTCTGTACGGCGATCCAACGCTCTCTGCGAAGTGTCAGGCGATGAGCGCTCGCTGCGGACGGCGCGCGGTATCAGCGGTACCAGTGGCGTGAGAGGTGGGTGTGAGGGTGACGGCGCCGCCGAGTGAGAAGGAGAAGGCGCGGCGGAGGTCCTCGGCCGCTCGGAGTGCGAGCGCGTGCGCGGCGTTTGCGCGCGGCTAGCGGGCGTCACGTCGCTGAGTGAGCGCAAGTGGATTCGACGCCGGACGTATGCGGGCGAATCTGTATCCGTTACGTTTATACTTATATTGTGGACTCCGGGTTTAGGACTTTTGGTTTCATTAGATCCGATATCATTATTGTCTATTTTTTTATCATTTTCTCTATAATTATGCGGACTGACGGAGCCGTTTGCATTCGTTGAGTTTTTATTGGGGCCGGCCCGACTTGGCCCGGCCCCCGCTAGCTAGAGGAGTCTCTCTGTCGCTGAACTTGAAGTACCAGAGCTTAATGTAGAAGCAGGATTTTGGTCATCACCTGTGAAAAAAATCTATTGGTAATTCTACTTCTATTGCGAAATATATACTGAAAAAATTTTTTCTCAGGTAGATAGAATACGCACGTGTAAAAAGTTTGGTACCTTGGGTCGTCTGGCCTGTGGCCGGCAGTCTTTGTCAGTTGAGCAACTCTACCGAAACGAAACGTTTCAGTCTTTCTAAATATTGATTGAAGAGCTCGACATCATTGTGTCCTGCGCCCTGAAATATTACATTTAATTAACTTAAATTGAAAGAATAAGTATTATTCAATAAACCTAAAAAAAATACAAATAATAAAAATCTACAATAACTGTTATTGTTTCTTTTTGCAGTTATATTCTATTATATTAAAAGGAAGTGACATAACTGTAGAAAATTAAATATATTACATGGGAATTTATATCACAACAACTAAATTATTACAAAGTAATTAATATATTAATTTACCTCAACCCATAACGGCTCTACAGCTCGCGGACAGCGTTCGTATATGGCTAAACCATGTGAGAAATCGATCACCTCATCCTCAGTTCCGTGAATAACAAGGACTGGAGACGTGACCTTGGGTATTTTATCGATACTGAAAGATATAAAAATATATACATAAATAATATAAATGTTAAATAGCCGTCTGAGTCGCGAAAGCGAATGCGACCTCGTGTCGATGGCAACACAACTCGGGCAATAGGCGCCTCGAGGGGCGTCATGGAGTTTGAAGTGAGTAGGAGTTTCAGTTTATAAGTAGTAACTACGACTGATTGGGTGGGTGGGAACTTCCAACGTTCGAGGAATAATGGCCCAGTTGTTAGCAATGTACCATCAGGTCCACATAGGTCCCCTTGGAATTCATCATGGTTATTTAATGGTGAATTCACCATGACGGCCTAATTAACCTGAATGCATACTCATCCACTAGTGCCCCGCAATCGTATAACGTATAACGCAGGCGAGTGTACTATTCCATGTTCATCTATCAACAAAATACAAATCATTAAGTAAATGGATTTGTGTTTTAATTTTTTTATCATAAATCGTAAAGAAATTATGAAATTTATAAGTATAAATGAATATCTTTCATATAGTACCGTATTCAGGGGCATTTTAAATGACGATGATAAGGGAAAATTTTAAATTAAGTCAGTAACAGAGGTCAGTGTCGACGCCGCAAGTTGACTCCTACTGTTTACGTGGACGGAGTATGCCGCTGTTATCTCGTCACAGTAATTCACAGTATACAAACGTAAACATATTAGGTGACAGAATGGTGAATAATTATGATGGTAGCAAAGTTTTAATTATATATTTGCCTTTAGTTATCATAGTCTTGTAAACAAAGAACGAATGATATTCTCTTTTACTCTATTTACTGAAAGATTTATTCTAACGTCTTATTTACAATTGTACTTCAGAATACAAGCTCCACTGATCAACTAGGGCCTAACTATGCAGTGAAAGCATAACCGTTGAGGTAATGTAATAGAACAAACAACACACATTTCCCTGTAATTGCATTATATCACCAACATTTTTTATATGTAGGTACCGAACATTATCTATTAAGTACGAGATATGAGCAATCCAAATGTAATTGTTAAAAAAATCTCTACAGATAACAAGATATTATTAATTAATGATACAAATATTTAATATAACCCAATTTGTGATATTATTATAGAGAGAGAGAGAGAGAGAAAGAGAGAGAGAGAGAGAGAGAGAGAGAGAGAGAGAGAGAGAGAGAGAGAGAGAGAGAGAGAGAGAGAGAGAGAGAGAGAGAGAGAGAGAGAGAGAGAGAGAGAGAGAGAGAGAGAGAGAGAGAGAGAGAGAGAGAGAGAGAGAGAGAGAGAGAGAGAGAATGAATGCGCGCGAAAATGATTTCACAATTTTAATGGTATTTAGTTATTGCTTTTGTTGAAAAAATTATAAATTTAGAGTAATATTTTATGAGAATCTATCAAAAATTATACTTTCCCATCTCTTTAAGGCATAGTCGCCATTCGCGATAACAAAAACACACAGATATGTGTGGTATATTACAGCATACATAGGTAGATACATAAGCCATTCTATGCATAATGTGGAGTGTGAAACTTCCAATATAATATATCATATTTATTTTCGCCGGTAAAAAAAATCATCTGTATTTGGAAAACCAATGCTGTATAAAGATTACATATAAATAAATATATATTACATACATTGTTCCAACCTGTGACAACTCAAGATGAGATGATAGTTTTATTTTACCTACAGCAAGGAATCAGTAGGGGAGGGTGGGGCAAGACGGGGTAGTTAAGGTTTGACACTGAATAAAACTCACATTTAAATAGGGACAACCATATTTTCTTTAGTTTTACAAACTTTGGTAATCGGTTCATTGTTTAAATAACAATAGACTCAAATTAGCTTATTATTTTTCTCACAATCAATAGTTAAAGGTGTCTTGCATAGGGGTAAGAAATAGGGCAACGATGTACGTAAAATAACAATAGCTGCTACGGTAAATACAGTTAGAAACTAAAAACAAATGGTTTTAAAATATAACAAAACAGTCTCAAGTTTAATACGATTATAAGTAATGGACTAAACTACTACGGGGATGAACTGCAAGGATAGCTCTGTTGTGATCCAGCCTACCTCACTGCAAACACCCCACGTACCTTGGGGAGCATTTATCATCAGTTCTGGCTTCATCGTTTTATGAGGAAATAGCATCATTGGTAGCATGTATATATGCACTGAAACTAAACACTACAGTGATAGTAGCTCCCCTTTTAGCTGAAGATAAAGATCCAACTTGCTTATTCCCTGTTCTGGCGATAATTTTATATTTACTTTTAGGAACGATGGATACCCCAGTCTCGTCTATGTTATATATTCTGTCAGACATCATACAGTATGGTGTCCAAGAGAAACAAAAATTAAGGAAATGGATCATGAACATGGTGAGATAATGTGACAGATGTCACAAATTGGAGAATGGCAGCCTGGGATAGAGTATACAGGACAGAATTACAGGAGGGCTATGATATATATAATTATACTATATAACTTTTAAATATCCATGATATTAATATATTTTTTTACTTCCCACCATAATTTACTTAAGGCATTTTATATAAAATACAATAAAATTCTTTTTAGCTAAAGCTAATTATAAAATATAAATATGTCTTTAACCCATATTCTGATTACAAAAACACTAGGAGGCATATGTCTATAGTACAGCATACCTAGATATGTATACCTAATGCTTTAGAAGGAATGTAGACAACTATTTTAAAAGACAACACTGTCACATGCATGCCTTAGGGAATCTAAAATGTTCTTTATTATCAGATTTTCTTTTTTTTGTCTGTAAGTTCTCTCCCAGTAATTGAATGTAAATAATGAGGCACTGTAATAAATTGTATTTGAAGCAACATTTTTTACTACAAACTATGTGTTATGTATTGGAAAACCAAAAGTATTAAACAATTCATCTTTCACATTAATATCTACCATGTAAGAATGAGAAAGTGGACCACTAAACAAATTATTTAAGAATAAAGTATAGATGGACATAAAATTTATTGTAAAAACTAATTAGTTAAAATGCAAACATATTCAATAAAATATATCAAACAGTTTGTCATCATGAATTTAGTATTTAGTGATCCTATTCTTGATGTCACTGATAAAATATATTTGTAGTTTGATTAAAATGTATAATGACCACTGTGTATGATTAATATAGAATAAATAAAATACATAGAATGTATAAATCAGTAAAATTTAATATAGGACCTGCTAATGGATCCCAGATCCCAGGATCTTACAAGAGATGAGTGTTTCTATATGTTTTGTGATCTACATGTGTAGATTTAAGAGAATAGTTGATTGATTTTGTTAATCCATTATAATTAGATTAATATAAAATGATATTTAATCATCAAAATGAACATTTGAGAATATTAATTTCTTGCATATTGCACAAAATAACTACATGTACATGTACATGTTCATAAAAACAATCAAATTATACTAAATTGTCTACCAAGAAGTGGCGGGCCTATTAAAAAGATAAGGTATCTGGTTAGAGTACAAAACATTGATAAATTTTAATATTAAGTATGTAATATGATAATAAAGAGATAAATATAAAAACTTAAATTCTTAATCAAAGTCATTGATTTACACACTGATTTATATAACAAAAGAAGAGTAGACAGACATAGTAGTCATACTCTTAGTAGGTATAATGTTGGTTTCATTTATTTCAGGATTATTAATTTATTAAGATTTCTATTTTCATAGAAAATCTGTAAACGATCAAGGCATTTATAATGTTGATATACATAAACATATAATATGAATCAAATATCCAGGAACAGTATGGAACTATATTTTACATTATCTAGGATACTCATATAAGAACCTACCTTGGAAAGGCATCAAAGAACCAGGTCCTTTTGGTATTTGGAAAAGCTACACGCATGCCGGACATGAGAGGTGAGTGTAATACAACTGCTCCCACCTCATAGCGTGCAGCGAGGTCAACAGTAGGCACTGTTCCAATGCTTTGTCCATATAATATTATGTTCTCTGGACTAATGCCATAGCGTGTCCGCAGCGCCTGCCAGGCAGCATCTATATCTGCGTATAAATTCTTTTCGGAGGGCTTTCCTCCACTTACACCATATCCAGAATAGTCATAGCTGAATATATTACAGTTTATTCTAGTACCTAACCCTAAGTAAAAACTACTCATTTGCCCAAGGTCTACAGCATTTCCATGAGAAAATAATATAGTGAAGCGGGCGTTGGGACTGCAGCGAACAAAGAGACAAGCTATTCTATTGCCTCTCGTCGTCCTGGAGTAGAAACCTTCAATATTCTCTTTTTCCCGTTCTGAATACTGCCATTCTGCTCGTTCAGTTAGTGTTAAAGAGAATTTTGATCCAGTTTCATCGGGTGTGAATGCATACGTGGGTTCTGGAGGCAGGAAAGCAAGCTTAGCCGCAATTTTTCCTGGGCATGGCGGACAACAAAACAAGCAACACAGTTCACTAAAACTTAACCCGTTCATGATGAAAATGTGTCTGTATTCATGAAAAATCTAATTGAACACAACCCATTACAAAACCACAACTCACAAATTACTGGTCATGTCATGGAGAAAATAAAAGAATTTCACAAAAATGACAGTTCGATAACATTTCATTCAGCCATGACCAGAGTGTCCAGTGTTGCTAACAAATTATGAATGCAAGTCCTCTAGGAGATGTGTCGACGTTGCGACATAAATAAACATAACTCAATATTATTCATTTTGACTTCACTTGGAGTACTTAAATTATCTACAATTGCAGTTAATGATATTAATAGCAAAACAACTAAGGTGACAACACTACTCTGCGTAGATAGAGAAACTGATTTACATTTATTTTTATTTCTGTATCGGAATTAACTGTGTGTCAATAATAAATAAAATATAAAAAATGTATACTGTAAAATTTTATATATAACAATTGCTTTAAAAATCAAATACCTAATAAATATGTCATGATAGATTCTTTGATCTGTGGCATAGGAATAGTCTTTTTGATCTGTGATGTGATCGTCTGTGGTTCCAAATTTATTTTTTTATTTATGCTTGCTTAATACCTTTATAATGTAATATTTTTTTATGTGTACTCAATAACATTTATTGTAAAATGTGAAAAATATTGTATTAATTCACTTCCTATGTAATTTTTTGAATACTTGAAAATCTGTACATTTATATTGCCCCGAAAATGTATCAAATATGCTATTTAAAGGTGTTTAAAAAAATGTAGTGCAACTGGTTACTCGTACTTTGTGGTTGTATCGATTACGATTTCTGATGATGTTTTTTTTATATATTAAACCCACAGTGGGTCGTATTCTGTCAGTAGAGGTTAGTTTTTATTTAAAGCTTATCTTTAATATATATATGCTGTGCGTATTTATTGTCAATACTGTCGTTATGGTTATAATTTATTCCATCATTCTACCACACATTACTGCCTTTTTCAAACACATTGTTGACTCAATAAAACTTATATGTGTTAATGCTTATTATATGTATGAATTATTGATTTAAAATATAACCTTTTAGATTTTGCAAATGCAATTACAGCCGTAAAATATCATTATATTTAGACTATCATACAGAAATAATGCACATTTTAACATTTCTTATTTTGAATAAAATATATTTTTCCAGGTTTCTTAATGAGAATGTGATAAACATGTTTGTTTCACATGAAAATAATTGTAAAAAGAATTTTCTGAAGCCAAATATTCTAAGAAAAAAATCAAAGACTGCAATAAGAGCAAATGTACAGGGCCCATGTATACCTTCTGATAGCCAATCTGCAGTAACACTGGCAACCCAAGAGACATCTGACAGCATACTTACAGATAGTTTTACTGGATATAACTATGATGTACCATTAGAGATGCCTAGGACACCAATACCACTTAAGTTAGATACTCTTCTATATGACAATGTAACAACCAAGCTACCTGACATCAAGCTTGAAATGGAGGGTAATGTCTCTGAGAACAATTTAAGTATGAGTAGTAAGTATTTTTTGATATATTTGTTGAAGAGTTCTTTGTTTGTTTGTAACACTTTATTGTACAGTAAATACATTTAAATTAACTAAGTATACAACAATCATAAAAATAAGTTGTACAATGGTTGACTTATTCTACATGAGGGATTGCTTCCAGTCAGCCTTTGAATAAATGAAAGGAATTGTGGAGTGCTGGAAATATATATATATATATATATGGCAATAACAAAGAAAAAAGAAGCAAATGCAACACAATCAAACGTAATTGTAATAATTATCAAGTAGTAATAATCTATCAAAGTGTAACTGGGATAAAAAGGCCACCCCCATAAGAATTCTTATTTTATCCCAACTTAATGACATTGACTGTGGGGTGCGCCTGGTGTTTAGGCACAATACACTTATTTATTAATTAACACATTGACTAAGACAGATTTTATATGAAGTTGTCTGCATGGGTATCACATCATATTCATATATCATATTTCTGCTTCCATACAACATGCTTTATTATCTATGCCTTTTAAGAATATGATGAAGAATATGATTGACCATGGATGTGCATGGTACCATGCACATCCATGGTGCAGTTCAAGCATATAAGTGTTGTTACCACTTTCTATCAAATGGGTCTTCATCTGGTTTACTTTTCTAGATTATTATTTCTAACAAATAAAAAAATTGATTAAAAATTATATGGTGAAACACGAAAAGGAAGTTATAACATAAGGGTAATACACTTCTGTTATCTGATCATTTTGTTTCGATAAATACTGTCTGCTTAATAAATTGGAACTAAAACATTTACAATATGCTCCGTCATTACTTTCACATGGTAAAAATATATTACAATATGACCTTGCTTAACATGTAAGATATGTTCCATCAAAGTAGAGTGTAATGTGAAATAGCGCTAAACAAGGCTGGCTCTTTTAGTATATAAATAATGGAATTGCATTTTGCTAGAAGTTGATAAGTGGATAAAGCATAGATATTGTAAAACTGTTGGTATCATTATTTTTTGTTTATATTCCACCTTAGTCTCCTAGAAAATATTTGTTTAGCTTATATGCATATTTTTAATATTACTGTTGCCAGTCTCTAGTGCTTGTTTTTAAAAACAGCTATTTATATGTGTGGTCTTTTATTATTGGCTAACTGTCTTTTATCCACATATATTAACTTGTTAATTGTTGCTGTTGGTTTTCTCAATAAATAATCACTCAATACTGTAAAACTTGGTCTATACTTATAATTTTGCAATGGTTACTGATTATGTGTCTTTTATTGTAGATTATGAAGATGATCATAATCAGGCAGTTAATGTTGAGTCCTTCTTCAATAATGGTGTGACGGAAGCAGAGGTAGGTAGATGGTGGAGAACATATTGCTTACCTTGTTAATGTAACACTTTTGCAAAAATTCTTATTTCTCAGTTGTTTTTAAATGTTAAATGGATTGTATTTAAACGTTTCGTAATTATATACATAGATAGATAAAATCTCTGGTTTTACTCCATTTGAAATAAATATTTATGTATTTTCTACTAGTCTAGTATAAAAGTACCCTATGTATATATATAATTAATTTTGATTATTTCTGTTTACAGAATGTATTAATGTTTAATATAAACCCAGACAAGGAATTACGCACTCTAGTGGTTATAGGTTAGTAGTTATTTTTACATAGTTCATTGTTATATAGTTTGCCTTGAATCAAGACAGGCTTTGTAAATTGTAATTTGTGTTAAAATCTCAGTCTCACCTATTTGAGCTGCCAAGTAGCTAGCCTAGTAAGCTATGTTTTGATTGAAAAAAATAAAAATAAAATGAAGTTTATTTGCTAGAATTATTGTATGAATAGGTGTCACATTTATTTTTACAATTATTCTGTCACAGAATGGCATGCTAGTATTAATTTTGAACAAATTTCAATTATTTTCATCATAAACCTATATGAAGTGATATGAAGGATGTAATAAAGCAGTGCAATATTGCATAATATATAATATAAAATATTGCGTAATGCCTATAGTGCTTCTTACTTAAAATTATAAATTTTGTATGAAGATTTATATACTTCTTTTTATAAAGAGTTGATTAATTGTAGATGTTAAATTTATTATTTAACTATATAATAAATTAACCAACAACTATTGATAAGATTTTATAAGATATTGGGTCAAATTTAATTATTTAAAATATTTATGAATTATGCAATAATTTAAGAAAATGTTCTTTTAGATGATGAATCTCACGTAAATAGTATGTACTCTGAGCAAAACCAGGATGTATTAAGAAATATGGTGCCTTTATCATCAGTATCTTCAATAAAACATGATCCTGCACAAGACATGCAACCTGAAGCGAGCACTACTACACCTGATCAAGATTTATTTCAACAACTCATAGCTACACCTGTTAAGTTCAAAGTAAATAGAACCTCATATGTTATGAATCTATTATTTCTTCAACTGATTTTAGCGCACAGTTATATTTCTGTTCCCTTACAGTGTGAAGCGCCAAATTGCAATAAAGAGTTTAGAAGTGAACAAAAGTTAAAAAAACACGAAAATATCCATAAGAAAGATAGCGGCAGCGCACCAAGACAAATCACAGTGGAGTGTCCCGTAAAAAAAGTTCTGCCCGATGGTACCGAACAGCCGTGCGGGAAGATTTATTTAGTACGAGAGCAGTTAGTCAGACACTTGAACGAGGATCACACTCTCGAAGATGCCAGCTATAGGTATATTTTGTTTCTATATTTATAGAGGAATTAAAGCCACTCAATTAAAACTAATATGCTTAATATTTAAATAATCCTATTGGCCCTTAGCGTCCGATAGACCAAGAATTAACAGTGGGTTGCAACGGGATCAAAACCAAAAGACTACTGGATTAGAAAAAAAAAACTCAAAATTCTAAACTAACAATCGTTACTAGCAATCCCTTGACTGTATATTAGCGTAGCGCGCATACACACGTGTGGCGGGTGCGCAGGTGCTCGGAGTGCGGGCGGCAGTTCTTCTGGGCGTCGGGGCTGCGGGCGCATGCGCGGGCGCACGCAGTGCCGCGCCCCCCCGCCGCGCTCGTGTGCGCCTGGGCCGGCTGCGGCCGGCAGTTCCGGCAGCCCTGCCGCCTGCGGGAGCACGCGCGCGCACACACCGGCGACCGGCCCTACGCCTGCCCCTACCCGGTCAGTGCGCCACCACTCGCATTCTTGCACCCGATCACTTAGCCGACCGATCGTATCACGTTTCGGTACATGTGTAAAGTAGAAGCTATACGTAGTCATACTAGAACAATAAGCGATTTCGAATCTAAAATATTTCGAATCTATAGTAAAATGCTTAAGCATGCCTTCATGTAAAATTATTCAAAATGTTACGCAACAAAATGTGGTATATACACGTCATGTGACATGAAGATGGGCTACTTTTTACCGCGGTCGATCGATAAATAATTTAATTTAATGTGATCAGGACTGCGACTGGTCGTTCCGGTCGGCGAGCAAGCTGGAGCGGCACGCGCGGCGACACACGGGCGAGCGGCGGCACGAGTGCAGCGCCTGCGGGCGTGCTTTCCTGCGACGAGACCATCTGCGGGAGCACGCCGCGCGACGTCACGCGCACGCAGCGCATCGCTGCACGCGACTGGTCGTTCCGGTCGGCGCACGCAAGCTGGAGCGGCACGCGCGGCGACACACGGGCGAGCGGCGGCACGAGTGCAGCGCCTGCGGGCGTGCTTTCCTGCGACGAGACCATCTGCGGGAGCACGCCGCGCGACGTCACGCGCACGCAGCGCACCGCTGCACGCACGCAGGTACAGACAACGCGACATCTGCGGGAGCACGCCGCGCGACGTCACGCGCACGCAGCGCACCGCACGCAGACAACGCGCGACGCCGCGCGACGTCACGCGCACGCAGCGCACCGCTGCACGCACGCAGGTACAGACAACGCGACATCTGCGGGAGCACGCCGCGCGACGTCACGCGCACGCAGCGCACCGCTGCACGCACGCAGGTACGCAACGCGACATCTGCGGGAGCACGCCGCGCGACGTCACGCGCACGCAGCGCACCGCTGCACGCACGCAGGTACAGACAACGCGACATCTGCGGGAGCACGCCGCGCGACGTCACGCGCACGCAGCGCACCGCTGCACGCACGCAGGTACAGACAACGCGACATCTGCGGGAGCACGCCGCGCGACGTCACGCGCACGCAGCGCACCGCTGCACGCACGCAGGTACAGACAACGCGACATCTGCGGGAGCACGCCGCGCGACGTCACGCGCACGCAGCGCACCGCTGCACGCACGCAGGTACAGACAACGCGACATCTGCGGGAGCACGCCGCGCGACGTCACGCGCACGCAGCGCACCGCTGCACGCACGCAGGTACAGACAACGCGACATCTGCGGGAGCACGCCGCGCGACGTCACGCGCACGCAGCGCACCGCTGCACGCACGCAGGTACAGACAACGCGACATCTGCGGGAGCACGCCGCGCGACGTCACGCGCACGCAGCGCACCGCTGCACGCACGCAGGTACAGACAACGCGACATCTGCGGGAGCACGCCGCGCGACGTCACGCGCACGCAGCGCACCGCTGCACGCACGCAGGTGCAGACATCGCGACTTCCTACAACGCGACCATCTGCGCCAGCACGCTGGTACCGATACTGCACCTTCCTGTGATGCGACCGTCTATGCGATGTAATGAGCCTTACTATGGACGAACTCCTGCGTGAACACGCAACACGTTATCTCACAACCACTCTATTTCATTTTACTTAAATGATGGTAGATATGGTAGCTGTATTATGAAGATAATACAGCTACCATATATAGTAACTTATGTAGGTAACTTGTAAAACAAGCTGTTAAGAGACAGAAATAGGTGAGACAATGAAATCAGGGAATTTCCCTCAAGAATTGTAGCTACTTTCGAGCCAGGGCTTGATTATGGAATGCTGTTGCAAAGTCTTATGTCTGAACATTAGTTGCGAACAGAACAATTTAATGTGTGTATGAACTGGTATATAAAATATAAATATAATAATAAAATATACCGTTACAACTATTATCCTAGACGGGGTAGTCAGAGGTGTTGTCAACTGTATTCATGGTGAACGTAATATTTCAAATGCTCACATTTCGCTAGGTATATTTCAATCCAAGATGGCAGTGGGCGAGCTTATTGTTATGTCTCTGATAAATTTTTCGTTTTGATATAGGCATTTCCATTAAAGGAGAGTTTGTCGTGTCGGTAAGGTTTGCACTTAGGACCTCTTGTAAAAATAAACCGATAAGTAGTGAATTAAACAAGGCCACGTCAATATGGTATAGTAATATGATATATACAAAGTTACTATTATTTTTAGCTACATATTAATATATTTATCGTAAACCTTTTTTAGGTTGTAAACATGTCTTCAGTAATACGAGTTCACTCTACCTGCATATGAAGAAAGTGCACAGAAACCAGGAGAGCGAGAAGACGACCCCTGAGAATGCGGACGACCCCTCACTACTGAAGAACAATTGGGATTTTATATTTTTGGTTAGATACATATATACTTGTGTAGACACTACCAGATATGTTAAATGACCATGGTTTTAACACCATGTTCAGTGCAGTCATAATTGATATTGTTCTTAATGCATCCTATGTCACACATTCAATCTTATTACATAATGAATATTTATTCTATGATAGTCAGTGTCTCTGGTATGGTCTGGTAATGGCCCATGATCAAACCTAAACCTTTTAGGAACTCTGTTACTAAAGCTATTGGTTACATATTAGTCTAGTAAAAGATAAATGTATGAACTGAAATTCAGAAGTGCTTAGTTATTGTTACTATTCAGACAGGTCAAATCTTTACTTTTAGTTTATAGTAACAATATTATTTTTTTATCCTTTGATGGCCTAGGTGGTCTAGCGGTTTAGCACATCATTTACTTCCGATGATCGCGAGTGCGATTTCTCACATGGTGCAAACATTTGTATTCACGAGTATGATCGTTTGTATCGATTTGGGTGTTTTCTATGTTATGTATATATTATAAAAAAAAATTATATGTTAAATACATAACTTCAGACGAGGATGATCGCAATAACGTGTGCATGTCCCATAACAAATTATCGATATGTTTTGTGACAATTATTTATCGATCGATCTATATATTATTACTATTATTGTTTATTTATAGACAGTGGAGGGTGTGGAAGAACCAGAAGCTAGTGAAGGGAAAGCTTTGGAAACGGAGGTGGAGTCGAAACCGGAACCGGAAATGGAAGCAGAAGTAGAGGCCGGGCGAGCGGCTCGTACGCATTGTCCCTGGCCGCTGCAGTCCCGTGCGCTCCATCAATACGTCATGGAGGAGGAAGGCGCCAACGTTGCTCAAAGTGTAATATAATTCACACAATTCCTTATAATACCTTATTGGATTTTTTTCTTTTTAAATATTATGTAAATATGTAAAACAATAAATAAATTTCACAGTTGTATTTGGCGAAATAGTAGGTATATCTTCTATTGGGCCAAAAGTTGAGATGCTAAAGTCGCAATGTTGGGCACGGAATTGTCAACTTTGAGCTTATGCTCAGTTTAGTTAAGTGGCTGTTTACCGTGGTATTGTATGTCGAAATTTGTTGGCTTCTGAATAAATCGGTATATCATTAAATTCTTCGTAGATGCTGCACTTAAAAATTAAGTAAAAATAATATCTATTTCTGCATCAAATTCTTTAGACTAATCAATTATATTGTGTCAGTTGGGGTAACACTTATTAAGAACTCTTATAGAGGTTGGATATAAAATAAAATAGAATGCAGTCATAACATGACATACTATTACAGGTGGTGGAACCATCTGAAAATTCGGAAAGTAATATATATACCGTTAGAAGTGACCTCTTCCTCCACGGAAATGTTCTTATCAACGAAGATAGCGAGTAAGTACACACCTTAATTTTCTTTTATAAAAATGGGCAATTGATGTTAAATTCCGATAGTGCCACAACTCTATTTAAATATTGCAAAAACCTGGCAACATCGGTCATGTCAAATTTATCTGCGGGATTAAAAAACAGATTCTACATCACTTCACCAGTGAGCGAATTGCCTTAGCCGCACTATCTGAATGGTCGATTGCAGACATATGGGCGCGGTGTGTGTGCCGGGCGCGGGGCCGGAGGCGGAGCCCGAGCCCGCCGCCGACGACCGCGCCGACCACGCGCTCGGGGAACTCGGGCTGCTCGATGCGCACCCCACCATTGATCTCATGCAGGTTTGTGTTACCATACAGCTCGCTGTGTCGAGACCTTTTTGTGCCTTGGCCTTTCTAAAATTCTTATCCCTCTATATTCCTTATGTAACATCATAATGTTTAACATTAAAAAATTGAATTGTTCACTTAAGAAACTACATCACTACTCACTTCATCATACACAATGATATCACACAAGCACATACATATTGTTACAATATACTCCGTTCTTGAAACTACAAAAAAATTATAACTATATCTTACAAAACAAATATGTATTTCAAGATTATTTTACTGCAAGGTTCCGGAGAGAGTCTGGAGATCTAGAGTACAAGTTTTGACCTAGTTCAGACTCCAGACTCTCTCAAAGAATACCAATTGTTTTACTTAATTAAAAGTTTAAATATAAATTATATTGTAAGGCTCCTAGTGAGGATTTATCATTACATTTATTATTATTTTAAACATAAATTATTAGGTTAAAGACTGAGTTATAAGTCAGGGGAATTACAGTATGACATCTTAGTCCACTGGGATGGTCACGCATGTGTATGAGTGTTAACTCAAGATAATGTGTTATTGCTGTTCATGTATGTAGGTGACGGTTATCACTTATCATCAGGTTGGCCTTTACTTCGTGAACCAATTAGGTAAAAAATATGAATTCATACATGTTCTCAATTCATCTATATTTATAGGAGGAGTTAATGTACACCGTGTGGCAGTAATCGTGCATTATAGGAGAATATCTTCTTTGATCCAGAAACAAAGCGGAAGGAAGCTAAATAATCACAAGCTAGGTTAGTGTTAGGGAACAGCAGCTCAAAGCGAGTCATTGTTGCAACCTCCATGGACGGTCAAGCGGCTTGAGTCAAGCTTAGTATATTTTGACATTTATAACATAGAAGATACAGGGCTTAGGGGCGTTCAACGTTGGCTATAGAAGCAGATTAAACTGCGTTCTTGATTACGCCGTTTTACCGTCTACGGTGGCCCATTATATTAATATCGTATTTATGTCACTGGAAGTGATAGATGTTTTTATGTAGTATATGTAAGTGATGCCTGTAGTCTATATGTAGGAACATTTTTATAGTAAATTTAAGGCCTTAATTAATTGAAAAATAAGGTCTCCTTATCTTTTGTATACAATAATCGACGATGACAATTTTGAATAGACTGGAATAAGTATTGATTGTGTAATTAAATCTATACATAGATCGCTAAATTACTGGTATTTACAGTACTTACCATAATGCTAAAAATGTCCTTACATTGTCCGGCTTATAGCATAGACAAACATTTATATTGAAAATAACACTGAAGTACAGTTGTATGTGTCGATCTTGTTATCACTAATTGAAAAATGTACAAATACGCGTGGGTCCCAGCAATTAAATTTAGTTCTTATTACAAAATTATAAGGTGGAGAAAGATTTATAAATTATTTGTTGACAAAATGCTTCTTTGAAAGTTTTGTATGTCATATAATGTAGCAAAGCATTGGTGTCTTATACATGAACCTTTTTATGATGTATTGGTAGTCTTAATGTCCTATGTATTGTTACTATAGCTAAGAAGAATAAACTCAGTTTGATAATATAATGTGAACAGAAGCGTATGTGTAATTTTATGTGATATCGGATAAATATAGCTAATATTATTTATGTAGATACAAAATGAATACAATCTCTCTTACGGTTTTATGCATTTGTAATTTTTGCCAAATTATTAACAAAGGTACAAATTGTGCATATATAGTTAAAAATTGAATTTAGGGTGCAATAATTTATTTCCTATTTTTTTTAATGATTCGGAAATGTAAGTTTATTAGAACGAAAGTTCAGTGTGTAATATTGGCTTCCAAATTTTTTTAATGCACTGGACATGAAAAATTTTAGCTATAATCTTATTGTTTCATTCCCGCTGATTTTGTTTTATTTTGTGTTACAAGCACCATTGTTTTGAAGAACAGTCAAGTATGTATCTCTTAAATTGTTTCAAAAACGACTTTAATAGAGTTCTTTCCTTACTTGTAGCTGTGATAAATATTATTGACACAAGTAATACAATATGTATATAAATAAAAAAGGCTTGCTACATAGAAGCATTATACATACATTGCCTTATGAATGTACGGTTTTCAATGGGAAGAAGTAATAAAAATGTCTGTAGTGAAATGTTAATACTATTTGGAATAATTATTGTATTTATTACTTAATAAGTTAAAAATGTATCGTATGGATTTGTATTATAATTTACACAACCGCAATAAAAAATGAGTCGTAACCAGTTATTTAGAAATCACAGAGGCATTGTTTAACTTTAATGTTTTGAAACTTTGTTTATTTCCTGTTATTGTGGTTTGGTAGATTTTGTAAAAGATTTCTCTCCACTTTGTGTACTGGACCTGAATCCCATGTATAGTTGATATAATGTGTAGATACCGAAGTTAGCGGTTCATTAAAAATGTATCGCAAAGAAGCAATGATCTCTAGAAATGCCTTTTATATTAAGGACTGCGTGGATTGACCATAATAGCATAAAATCTATTTTTGTGATAATATTAATTAGATGTACAATGGATATTTTCCATGTTGTATGGAAGTTAAGTCTGAATAGATTTAATATCCGAGGTTAGGTTGGTGGTTACCTTTATTATTGTATACTTGATTGTAAGTGTGTTTTACTATAATATAATAAATGTTTTTAACAGTTAATCCTATTTATAGCATACGAAAGACGCGATAAAATTATATTGTGATATTTAAGTCAAAATTGTGCAATTGTAAAGAGCCGAAATCAGACATAAATAATATATACAATATCATATTTATAGTTAAAAAATGAGCAAGTTCTTTCAAGTTTTATTATTGTAAATTTAACATTTCGAATTTAATATTTAATTTTTAGGCGTGTTTTATATCAGCGAGTGATTTGCGTGCGTGCTTTACCTACTATGCATGTTAAGTTCACTATAACTCGACAACTTTGTTGACAACCGGCCCTCGTGCCTCTCCGATCAATCCGCTGACCCATGGAAATTATAACCTTTTACCGCTGCATAAGTCCTTTCGTAGGTGAAGCATGATAGGTCAGCTGCGCCTAACAGAATTATAATAGTTCTCACCTTTGGATTGGCAGACATGACAGTTCCAGGTTGAATGATACAGTACATAACATTTAACCTGCAACTCTGTCATGTCTGCCCATCTAATGGTGAGAACTATGATAATGCTGTTAGCCGCAGTGTTTGCATGCACACTCCGCATTCTTAACTTATGGCTATAAAGTGCCGCACACGCAGTTAATAACTATTATTGTAATTGTGTCTATTGTTATACAGCAGTATGCAGTGTTCAAACTACTTTTAGATGTAATAAATATTATTAAATATTGTACTGACAATATCAGATAACTTTTCCAAGAAATATGTAGATTGATTTAGTAGCATATAAACAAACTGTAAAGAATTTATCTGTAAATAATTTTAAAGCAGTTTTTATCCAGTTATGATCAGTATAGTTAATTTGTAAGGTGATAAACGAACAATAAAATACTTAATACGTAAAATATATTACGATCGATACTAGAATCTATACGCTTTATCACTAAAAATCACTGGTATCTCGTAAAGTTTTTGTACCCCTCATCTACTTTTCTTTTATTCGAGTGGTGGTGCCTCCGGATTCAGTAATTTTACTGCCATATCTTACACTTCAAACACATAAACTTATGAAGTGGAATTTCAGAATTTGTCTAACAATCATATGATATAAAATGTATTTGGTGTACAGTTATTGCAGAATTTAAGCATAAGTATTTCAATTTATGTTAGACACGTTAATAGCTCATATATTGTCACTTATTTAATTGTAAGAATATGGAAATATCTGACACCTACAGGTAACGTCGTAGGTATAGGTATTTTCTCTGCAACATGCTGTATGCTAGGTAAACCATCTGATCACAGAAAGGACTGACGACCAGACCGAAGGACTAGTGTTTATTTAATACTTAATTTAACTAACATTTTAGATATAAACAGTGTAAATAAGAAAATATATTTTTGGATATACAAAATAAATGATAAGAATGGCATATTTTTTGAGACTGTTGTCCAAAATATAATATCATGATATCATTTTGTTAAAATTATAATAATATATCTAACTAGATGTATTGCAAAATTATTTTTATAAATGAGTTTTATTTTGGTTGTTGCTATTTGTTTTGTTTTATATTTTCGGATGTATACATATAGTGTAAGCATAAAGTTTTCGTATCGTACAGACACCCTAAGTCAGATGTTTAATTAATCACATATCAGTAGTTTAGTTTGTTATTAATCATATTGTGTTTGGATGATGCAGATGAAATAAATATTCTTGGATACTATCACATTGATATTATTTTCTACATTTTCCTGCTCTTTTATATTTAATAATGTTTAGTTCCTTAATTAAATTGAGAGTTACAACAATATAGATACAATAAATATGTATCGAATGTAAAATTTAATTTGAAATATAATTTGATCAGACTACATGCAACTTTTATTCATAGTTTCTTGTAGTCTTGCTGCTCTACATGAAACTTGAATGATAAAACAAATAAGGTGGCTACACTGGCTAGTAAACTTTGTAACTCGGTTTTTTTAAATAATTACAACATAGTTTTATTTTTACATTCCCGATAAGTATTATAACTTAGGAGCACTTGTATATGTGTGCAACGATGTATTAACATAGTAGCAAGAGTAGCAAATGCTTCTGTCTGAACCAGTGATAATTATATTCACAGTCTAAACACATTATAAAGAAGAAATGCTAAATAAAAAAAAATACACCTGACTCTGGACCATAACAAAAACTTGCTCCCTGGCCCAGGTCCTGAAGCAAATTCGACTAGAATTGAAATCGAGGTCCCCTTTGCTACAGGTCCTGCGTTACTTAATCTGGCACTGCATGTGTGTATCAGCGCAAGTAAAGACTTTAGTTGATCTATTAACGAAGCTATTAGAAATTTGGAAAGTATTGATAATATTGTCAAGCCATTCAAGTACAAGTCGGAATAAAGAGGGTCCAAGGTCACGCATTACCTATATCCCCTATTGTAACATCCGCGTTGCAAAAACGTAATTATGTTCTTATGATATCCAATTAACTGTCATTTACACAATAATACAGGTATGTAGTATTTTTTATATGTGGTAGATAGTTGGAGTGGTTGATAGGTACATCGGTGCAAAATAAAATAAATGTATTTATGTGTTTTAAATACTTATTTCAATTTATTACAATATAAATAATAATTATCTACAATATTTACATGAGAGTAAGTCAATAAACAAACTATATAATATTGTATTATACAGAAAGTTTAAATATCTAAGTAACATTTTCGTACAAATATATGTAGGTATGTACAACAAAAGCTTTCACAATATTAGACAATTTCCTATGGGAAATTGTAGGAAAGGTATATCTATGTTTTAGTGACGCGTCTGTTGTCGTAAATGCAAAGGTATATACCTATTAAATTAAATTTGATATAATATCTATTTACAAAATTATTACTTATTTTTAAACCTCATACTGTACCTGTGTACAAATATGGTTATAACCTGGTTAACTGACCTGACATTGATATATATACAAATTATATTCTCAGGCTATTTGTGTATTGTTTACTCATATCACATATTTGGGCTTGCCCGCCCCTTTCAGGACCAGGACCTTACAGGACTCTACCCGTTTGAAATATTTACCTACTTTCATTACACTAATAATCCGCTAAGAGTAAAATTTCATCTGTTATTACAGAAGATGCAAAGACTAATCTTTCAGTACCTACTGATGTAACAGTAGGTTAACAAGTGATTCTAGAGTTGCCGCGATATCATTATGTGAAATGAAATAGGTAATTAACAATCAATGAGAAGAGTTATATTTTGTTAATACCAATTGTATGCCTAAACACGTTGTTTGATTGAATTACATACTAGTTCCCTCAATCCTAAATGGCATATTCCTTGTATTTTTACAAATTCGGTACCATTTTAAATATTAACTTTCTGTGGTATGGATTATTGGTAATTAGTATCTACAGATTTATGACACTCTAATGTACTTTGATACGAGGGTTTTGATACAAGATGTTTTCTACAAATTAATGAAAGTTTGTTTTTGATAAGGTAGGATAACAGAGATCATAATTTTATTTCTACATATATATTATATATGTATATATAATAAATGCTAAGAGATGACGTGACATGTATTCTAGAAATAGATAAGATCTATCGAGTGCGAAATTATGTGGTCGGGCAAACCCAAAACTGTTAGAAAAGCCGATAGAAATAGTTATAACTCAGCATGACTCACAATAGTTTCGTTTTATTCTAAAATTCTGGTGTCTAATCGAGTATCAGGGACTGTGGGCAAATTGTGGCTGATAGTGCGGATCAGGGATATTGAGATCTTGTCTCTGCAGAACGCTAGTCCCCATACCATCAAGTATATGACGAGCAGGCCGGCTGCTGACGCGGCCACTATTGCGCCTGCACGATTTCCTTCGTTCCAGTCTAGAACCTCATAGATGTAAGGGTTTCCATTTCTGAAAAATGTATGTCTCTTTATACATAGATATTATCATTTAAGTAGGTACATATTGTATTCGTAAAATTTGTATAAAATGTAGTAGTATACCTACTTTTGTTTTTTTTTCCTAAACTTCGGGTTGAAATGTATGTTGTCCCATTAAAAAAAAGTATGTGTAGTATTTTTGTTCGTTTTTTAAATATTCTCGATGACTTTAAGTTTGTGATAAGAGTCCCAGACTTACCTACATGATTTTTAATGTTAATGTTGATAGAATAGTACGCTTCTATTATAAAATTCAAGTAAGTATCTAATCTATAAAGCCAATTAGGTTTCATCACATTATAAGTGGTCGGCGTTATTATGATTATAGACTAGGTAGATATTATCTACTATACATGTATAGGGAGATATATCTACGTACTACATAAGTTGCATTTATAATGGTTATTTATTTCTGGTGTCATTGCTTAAATGTGCGATAAACAGGATTATCTTATTTACTTTTATTGTACTTGCTAACAACTAATAATAAAATTGATGTTAGATTTTTATCTACATTTGTAAGGTGTGTGGTAGTAGGACTGGTAAGGTATGTATCTTAGGCATGAACTTCCATGTAAAAGAAAATAACATGTATGATTCGATAACATATCTTATTAATATTATAAATACGAAAATTTGTGAGTATGAATGGCTGTTTGTTATTCTTTCACGAAAAAACTACTCAATGGATTTTGTTGAAACTTTACAGTGATATAGCTTATACATCAGAATAACATATACCTAGTCTTTAAATTTCACGGGGGTAAAACTGCGGGCACAGCTAGTATGTAATACCTATTATTCTATTCTCAGTTGCCTGCACAAATTATTGCATCTAGTGCATAATTATATTATTATTACTGAAATAAAATAATTTTATGTTTAAATGTAGGTCACAGATCGTCTGTATCTTTCATTATTTCATGAAATCAGTTGTCTGTGGCATTAACCAACACATATCCAAATACCTCAACAACTTTCAAATTTATAATATTATATTATTAGGATTTCAATGGCCGCGGTCCTATGGTAGATATCCTTCAATTCCAGTAAACTACATATTTTAGCTTAAGCAGTTTTAGCTTAGATCTTTAAATACGCGAGTGAAATATTTCCGATCGCTAAAATACTCCTCGCGTTTAACAGCCATGGACTAGATATAACGATGTCAATGTTAAATATCTATCTATATATATTTTATTTCTTTAGGTTTTGGTTATATTTACCCGTCGGTGCCGTCTGCCGCATAATACACAGCGGTGAACGCTGCGTACCACAATCCTATACTTAATGGCTGGTAGAAATGTAAAAGTCGCACTGGTGTCCTCGACGCTAACACTTCGGTTAGTGCTACACAAGAATTTATCGCATGCGTTGATATATCCAGCCAAAACAAACGACCATCATCATCATCTTCATAGTTTTCTGTAGAAAAAAATTCAAGTCTTAGCATTTAAAATAGAAAATTCCTAGCAGTTTCCTGCCTATTCGTCTACTTCTTTGTGAACAAAATAAGTGTTCTATTTTTTTGTGCAATTTGTTGCGAAAAGCAAACAAATAAATAGGTAGAACCACAGACATTTCGAATACAGACAGTAGCTATAATAGTTATTTCTGATTTGTTCATTTTGCAAATTTTGTGATTTCTGAGTAGGTATCCGATTCCTCTTTATAATAATGTAAAAAAATTATGATTACCTACATACCTACTGCTCCATGAAATGAAGTTATTTATCATTACCTATACAGATTGTAAACAAAGTCTATCTTTTAGACCTTATTGATTAACATAATTATTATACTACCGACAACGGAGTAAATAATTTATCAAGCTGATTTTCTTACCTGATTTATACAGTAGAGACCAGAACAGAACTGTGATAATTAGTGCGTTGGAGACGGCTATATTGTATAGAAACCAATATGTACTGACATACCAGGGCAGATCACTTGTCTCTGAAATACATAAATACATATAGTATAGCTTACTACCTAAATACATTTTAAATTAGGAATATGAAATTTTCTTCTGGATAATCATCAGTGTAGTACATAGGATTTTCAAGTAAAGTTTTTAATGAATTGCACTTGTTTATTAAAAACTACTTAAAAAATTTAAACCACACATTTGATACAAATTAAATGGGTGGATTATTTCTTAAGTAATAATAGTAATAACACACCTGTATATTTCACACAATGGCATCCAGTCGCAAGGTAAGCAAACTTTGTGTTACTAATATATATAACTAGACAACTAATATAAATAAATATGTTTTGTAAATACATAATCTACATAGAAAACACCCAGATCGACAGAAACAATCATACTCAAGAATACAAATGTTTGTAGCGTGCGAGAAATCGAACTTGCGATCATCGGAAGTAAAGCGGTATGCTTTACCTAGATCACCAAGGCCGTCAAGTAAGAGTTGTCCAATCCAATTTACGGCTAATGCGCCCTACACGCGCCCATGAATACTAGGGCTTACAAAAACATTTTCTTTAGATACCACATATTATTAACACTTCGTTACATTATAAACTTCCTTATGTACCGTTTATTTTGCAATGCAAGTGCAATGCACTAATCTGTATATATGCTCTTAATAAAATAAGCGCAGTGGAATAATAATAAATTATGTTTATGTGTAAAATATAGTATTTGATATTGACATAATAATAAAAAGAGATGTTAACTGAGATATTATGCTTAGTAACGTCGGTTCATAACATATGCATTATTGGATTATGTCACAATCACGGTGTCGTACTCGTACCATTGCAAGCATGTGGGCCACTGGCGCTGGCTTGAACAGGTATCTCGCAATTCCATGCGCGCGAAGTTACCACAGCACATTGCATAGTAAGGGACGGAAGGCCGCTTTTACAAATTACAACTTTTATATACGTAACACGTAATTAACTTGTGATTAATTTACAATATAAATATTACTTAATACTAATAAATAGTACACTTATATGCAACTTCAATGTATTTTAATTATATTAAAAACTTTGCAATAACTTATACGTGTAAATAGTTATTGTACAGTAGATAATGTTTTTTATTTTAAGAAATTATCTATTAATTTTATATAAATAAAGCATAATTACATCTTGTTTATTATTTATGTGTGACAGTAGGTAGGTATTATATATATTTTTAGAAAGTTTACATGTAGTAAAATTATCTTATCTGTGGTACATATCTATTAAAAAGGAATAGTGTAAATACCTAATGTTAAGTTAGTTAGGCCCAAATTAACACTATTATTATCAGAATACCTTGTTTCGCAACTTCGTTCTGATGAGATCACATTATATAATTTACCATATGCCGATTAATAAGTAATCAATGTCCTCCAGACATATACATAGATATATAACAAAATTTACGTTGCTTGATTCAACTGTTAGTGACCTAAGAGAGAGCAAAATAAAAATTTTATATCTGTTCCTAATATTAAGTGATTCTTAATTTTCCATCAGAAAATGAAATCTATACGTAAAAATTAATACAGATTTTAAGATGTAAAAATAATTACTCCTTATTATTATGCTAAGGTAGGTAACCAATTATGATGACACGTTTGTAAAATGAAAAAAAAAAATTTACAAGTACTTAGGCAAAACAAAATAAACATTCTATATCTACAGTCGATACGATACCATCAGTAGTTTCTAAAATATTGCACTGACTTATACAGATCGATAGACAGATGAAAAATAAATGATAAATACTAGATGTGTCCGTGGTTTCACCTGTGTTAAATTTCAATAAACAAATATGGCCTATGTGTTATTCTGATGCATAAGCTATAATATATTACTGTAAAATTTCAATAAAATTCGTTCAGTAGTTTTTGCATGAAAGAGTAACAAACATCCATAATTACAAACTATCGCATTTATAATATTGATAAGATATAATCATGTAATGTGCAATGACATGCAAATACCTACTTACTTAGTAGGTACACGTATGTTATCTGTATTAGGTATTAGGTATATACTTTAATACTTCAATTTAACTTGTTAGTATATTTTTAGTATGAATATTCTACAACTGAAGACTGGAGGAGATTGTATTTGTTTGAAGGGTGAGATAAGGTAGTGAAATTAGAGGGAACAAAGACGTAATACTTTAGTTGTAATGTAAGTGAATAGTAGATAGTAAAGTAGTTATAAAGTAAGCAATGGTACTGAAGGCGTTATAATGTTTTCTGTGATATCCGCAGTCCTATTCATGCATATAGTCGCCACGGTTCATATATTCATACCATGTGAGTTATATTTAAAAAAAAACTAAACGTTTTGTAAGTACCTATACCTATTTTATATTAAATAATTTAAGGTATTTTACTTTGAACTATTCTATGTATGATTGAATAGTTTCGTCATTTAGTAGTATTGTAGATAATTGAAAATCATTCTCAGAAATATTACTAAGTTCGTTTTTATTCGGTTTTATCTTAAAAATTTAGGCAGCACAAATATAAGCAACGTCCGTATGTTAGTATCTTATGTACAGCAAGAAATAAATTTTGACTTTTCTTATAGCAGCGTAAGAGGCCTACTACAGGCGTTGTTATCTGGTATCTAACTCACGTAAGTACCTGAATCTGTTCATAAACATACAAATGTGTCAATTTCCATCAGGTGGGTCTCTATTCCAATGACTTAATAATAATAGAATTTGCTATAGCCTATGTGTAATATCCTCCACTCTGATCTTATGTATTTATTGTACCTACTTACTTAAAATCTGTAATACTAATTAAGTATTTTAATAGGTAATTTGTTCCTTCGTGAAACTGGTTAAATTGGTAATTATTTCGGTAAAAAAAGTTGATATTGAGTATGACATTGAACATTTAATTTTCCCAAGTCATTAGGTGTTTTAATAAATATTAATTGTTTTGTATTATGAATGTCATTTAACAAGTACGGAGATATTTATTGCGAATTGGTATAAATTAACACCTGTATAAAATACTATTGTACCAGTGTTCATAGTAGGTATGTACAGATATCATCCAAAGTATCATAATAGTTACTTACAGTTTTATTGTTATGTCTCATAATTAGCATTGTTCATATATACCTATTCAGTATATTTACATTGTCAGAACAAACATAAATTTTTATACGTCAGTAAGTAATTAGTCAGGAGACCTTACCTTTAAAAGTGGATTTACATACAGCAACCCACGAGACGATTAGTCCGCTGAGCGTCATCATGGTCAGCATTATCAATCCCCAGTTGGTAAGGTAGATGGGCCAGTAAGGTGAAGCGCCGCTAGTCAATGAAAACACCAGGATGCCCAGTGCCACCGCAGCCAGTAGTACTCTTACTACCAGCAGCGGTAAAGGAGACTCTCCTCGTTGCCATGACGACGCGTAAAAATCACTTACTTTGTCGTTCGACGACACCCAAATATCCGACAAAGACACAGTCTTCCTATAACATTTCACCATTTTATTTAATAACACTCACTTATTTCACACGATGTTGTTTAGTATAATATCACACCATGCAGCAGAGATTTGGGAGTGACCGATAAGTTTGAATTTTTAGATAATACTATTTCACAATACGACGCTGAGGAATGATGAGATGCCACAGAGAGAGCAAGTTGAGGAATCACTATCGATAAGCATGTATTATCTTCGTTAACTAATCTAATATATTGACATCCATAAACGGAAAATAAGGTAGGAAAGCATCGCGTGCGTTTCGCAAATAGGGAAACAATCAGCCGGTAAATACGTAAACAACAGACGTTGGGTTTTTTTCTATATTTCTGAATTAAAAAGTTAATTATACCATGATAATTAGATCACATTTGAATATGTTTAAATTATAGTAGAATTTAGAAATAAAAATTTCGTTGAACTAATAAAAGTAAGGAAACTAAATCGGGGCGGCGCAGCACGGCGCGGCGGTGCGGACGCGTCCAGTGTGGTCGAATGCCAGCTGGCTGCACTGAGTGCTGGGTGCTAGCGCCACGCGCCGCAGTCTGCCAGAGTCCGCGCGTAACACTGATTGCACACCTTACGTAATAAGCTGTTTCATATTTAAACTTTGATTCTGTTTGTTTTAACGACTTGGTTCCTTTCTGTGACATCAAAATTGCACAAACTAATTACACAGTCAATGCATTCAACCTTTAACATGCGGATGTCCCTGCCTATATAGGAGACATGTAAGATATAATTTCTATACAACCATCAATTAGAATCTACTTCATAGAGATAATGAGATTTTTGCAGTTGAAATTTGTTCAAAACTGAAATAGCTAGGTACTTCGATTATACCTATTATAAATTCGTTATACGTATTATAAACTCATGTTTATTAATACTATATGTAATAGTACCTACGTGTACAAAGACAAATATCTACATTTTAAGTTTATTGCAAAATATACCGCAAAATAGATTGTATGAGTGAAGTATAAAGAAAATCGTTTTGACCTTACGTTTTTTCTCAATTGTACTATAATAGTAGGTATGTACGGTGTCTATGATCATAAATATCATTTTTTGATAACGCCATTGAAATGTATTGTTTCTGATACCTTTATTTTCTTAACCATAGAATAAATATTACAACATATATAAATATTTGTCCTATGTCATAACTAAGTTTCTTTTCGTGTTGATATCATCAAATAATCGGTTTAGTTAAAATTAGGTTTGATCGGTTTGACGCAATGCAAACCTATTAATGAAGCATTTTTGGATGGCTAAATGGATTAACCTAACCTTTTGAAACTTTCTCTCCAAGCACTACATCTCGCAACTGTTTATAGTAATTTATTTATTATGTGATAGTTTCCAACTATCAATGACTGAATTATTTTAACATTTATATAAATGTTGTAAAAATTTGGTATGAACTTATGGGAGTTGCGATGAATTGACTACTACTTCGTAGAAACAAGGGTACTTTCCTTCCCCTTCATCTGGCAGTATTAGATTTACACATCATAATATTAGATATTCGTGTACCTACTGTAATGCAAATATTCCGATTAGTGTAAACTTTACAAAACAGTTCGATCACAAAATTATTTGGTAAGTTTACTATAATCTATGAATGACATAGAATGCCTTAAAGTAGATGATTATTTGGACACTAAGCCTAAATAAACTTTTACTTAAAACGAAGAAATTTTGGATGATTTTTTAAATAAGTTCATATCTGCAGGTTTTTCAGTTTCTTTACTATCATAATAGTATTATGTATAAAGCTAAGACTATATCTTGTATGAAGACTGTAGGGAATTAAGTCGGACCCTATCATTATATAAATGATGTTTATTAATAATAATAACAGGCCTTTCTGCATGGCAACAGTCGTGAAGACAGAAATAGTTAACGCAGTGATACATATACATACCCAACAAAATTCCCAACACAAAGTATAAAAATGGCCACAACACGTCACATTATTAAACAGGTTCTCTGTCTTTGCATCTTAAAAGTCTACGGAATTCTCGCGATTTATTTTTTCATTTGACTACAATGAACTCAGGCACTCAGGTCTGAGTGCAACACGCAAGTTTCTTCCTCATTCTTGTGAATTGATTAAAAAAAAAAATGATGACTGTTTGAAAAATGCCCGTATGTGCGTTTATTTGAATACATTTTTATAATATACTAGCTGCACCCGCGACTTCGTCCGCGTGGAATATAAATTTATTCCTTATTACATCAGTCACCTGCTAAAAAAAGTCCCGTCAAAATCGGTCCGGCCATTTCAGAGATTAGCCGGAACAAACAGACAAACAGACAAATATTGTAAAAATGTTATTTTGGTGTAAGTACCGTATTATATTCATATGCATGTAGTAAAAAACGGTTATTTCAATACAAACAGACACTCCAATTTTATTTATATGTATAGATTACAATATTTTCTATTCTATTCTACTCAGGTATTTTGTATCTCCAGACCTGGTGATGCGATTTTGTCCTCTGATATTATTTACTCAATACCTTTTTTTTATAAGCCCAGATATTACGTTCCAGGTTTTCTACAGAATTTATTGGACACATTTCTTCTTATAGACTAGTTAGGGATATAATTTAAGGGGTTATACTACAACATTGGTTCTACTTAAAATTATTTCCACTTTTTATACACAATACCTTACCATAATGTTTTACTGTCACTTTATGGAATCACTTACCTAACTATTTCATACGGAATGAAGAAAACATTTTTGTTTACATAAATAAGTTGACTCAGTATCCAAGTCTATAGGTCTTATAGGTATGAGTATGTACTTTGTGGTTATATCGTATGTTTCATAATACCTACCAGGTAATACCGGGTACATTAGCGTACAAAACTTCTATATTTTTGTGGTTAAGATATACCACAAGCTTACACATGTTTAATGTGAAAACAAAATCAGGGAAATATTATAATAGTGATGGGAATCGCCAAGGACAGCTTCCTAGATCATCTCGTGTGTACCCAAAGTGGGGCCGATTTTTTTATAGAGTACCCCCCGCAGAACTAATTATATACCCCATACCATTACTCGACTCTGATTTTGGTATCCTGGCCTACACACATGTCTAAAAACCATTTGATTGTTTAGTATTACTTTATTAGATGTACTATTCAAACACTATTATTATATATCGAAATTGAAACCTTCAAGAATAGAGCTTATTCCAGTTTAATAGGTTGGCAACACACTTATAATTCCCCTGGTGTGCGTGGACGGCGATAATCACTTACCATTGATACACAACTGATGGTAAGTGATTATCGCTATAAAACCAAACACTTTCTTGGAATTTCAGAAGATCTACAATTATAAAATCAGAGTTGTGTAATCGTCTGTTCCCGTAAGAACTTCACTAGGTTCAACAACACAATGCCACAGGTTACAGATGGAACATATGTTATAAATTTTAGTTCCCAGACCCAGCTCTTTTACTTTTTTTTTTTTCTGCACTTTTACTTGTGATTTAAGTAACAGTCAGATATGACAAGTCACTCTCTAAAAAATATAGTGGAGTAGATTTAAGCGTCATATATTTACACAGGTTTTGTAAATGTGTGACGAATGTAAGTCCTAACTTACATTCATTTCCTATAAGAATTTAAAGTTTAGGTGAAAGATATACGTTCTATTGTTGCAATATTTCTAATTTATTAATATCACACACGACCAATCAATAACTAGGAACTAGCCCTCTAGATTGAAAGGTGATTGTAAAGTTATTTATAAACATAAACAATTTTTCATTTACAATATAAACAAACCGAGTAAGTAACATTTTTTTACTAATAATTAATATTTCAAAGTAAATAAGTAATTAATTTCTTATAGCTCTATTATGACAACACTTATTTCTTACATTAAATTTACCTATATGACACTACCCTGTACTAATTTCTTGATACAAGCACCTATAACAGTTCAGAATCGGTTAGTGTTGAACATATGTATTAAACTTCTTAATTGAATTAAGAGATACAATTTTCATTAATTAGTACTGGTGCCATAATCAGTGCAGTGAATTCATAAGAAAATAAACCTTAATTTCTTCGCTATACGTATTGAAACATTAACATGTACTTACAAAATCCAAAAAGGTAAAAGTTTTATGTGCGGTGTTACTACTATTCACATAGATTATTATTATTAATAGACAAAGTTAAAAATTATAAAATTTTGACAAATAATTATTAAAAATATTATAGTAATTAAAAAAAGAAGTTTATTTATCTAATGCAATAATAACTAATAATAAAACAATAAATTGTACTTGCATTGTATTTTATACCTATAAAATCTTATACACTAACTGTCATTTAGAAGAAAGAGAGAAAATTTATGCAACATTTGCGATTAAATCTAAACCATATATACATATTAAGGTTCAACTAGACCTATAATTAGAAATTGTTTCAAAAGTATTTTTTTTATTTATTAAAATATAAGTTTCCTGTCTCTACGTAGAGGTAAATTTTAACGTACAATTAGTAATATTATTTACACGGGATCTTATTATAATATTTATTTAAAGAATTTTTAACATAAATAAGAGTACTTGTATTTGTGACAAGAGTTCTGTAAACGAAATCTATATCGGCTAAAATATAGAGAACCAATAAAAGGTCCTAATAAATAAATTTGTTAGGTACATTAATTTTGTTCATATTGCACTTATATTGTTTAATAAATGGAAAGTCTATACAGTAGTTTGCGCTGGTTCCGATAATGGTACTGCTTCTCGGCTGTGCACTGTCACTGATGATTGAGTGAAGCAGGCGGCGATGGCATCCCGTGCAGCCGCCAGGCTTACCATCACGATGTACAATGCGATCAGCAGAACTCCAGTTATAGAGCCCACTGCAACTGTCTTTCCAGGATTCTCCCAATTTAAAACTGGGTAGATGTATGGATTACCTTTTCTACAAACGAAATAAATATATTTGTTAATTTAATATCTGTAGAATCCCTCATAATGTGAAAAATACCCAAGGAAGAAGTGGTGAGTTCGACTCTCAGTCGAACTCACCACTGACATCATTTTTACTGACTCCAATTATGTAAACACCAATAATAAACTATAACAACGGTGTTGTGATATCGGTATAGGATATTGATGCCACCCAGTACTTACGGTATATTACATGTAAATGTTAAGAATTTTCATAATATTATTATTATATTGGAATCATGGCTGTAATTTTTTTAAAATAACAATTGTTGTAAATATCGGTCAACATTAAGACTGCATCAATAAAATAAATGTTACATGAATTAACAAATAGATCCAACTTTTAGAATCTATAAATGTGTGTTAACATGAGGTTTAATCTTTTTTTTATTTATGCATATAGCATATGTTGCATCGAATATATTTATTATTTTTTTGCAATGAATACATCTACTTACTGGTCAACACCGTTAGCTAAATAATAGAAGAGGCTGAAGAAAAAGTAAGTCAGAGCGAATAATAGGGGCTGGTACACGTGAAGCAGGTAATTTGGTTGCGAACATGTCATCAGAAGGAGGAACATCACTATAGTATTCACACCGTGCACTGTTACATCCAAGGCATGGTTCAACTCTTCCTCTATGCCAGCTGCAAATAAAAAAAGATTTTCTTTTAAATCTTTAATAATGAGAAGTACAGACATATGTAATTATAATCAAAATAAATTTATCGATCTATATTATAGCTTTATACTAGTAGTCGGCTAATGATCCAATTTCAACCATTGGGCAAGTTTAATAACGTTCCAAATTTGAAAATTATTCAGGTGACGATAGAGTCAAAGTTTTTTTTTCTTTTTCTCCTTTAGCCAAGAGGCTAGTGTTGCCTATTATACTACTAACAAACAGGAACCCGGGATGATAGAAAGGAACGAGTTAAATTTTGGAATTACTCGGTTGTCAAAGATTATAATTGTTGTAATTGTTTCCTTTATCTTATTAATGTTATATGAGTATGGATCAAATGTATCGTGTGTGTAACGTTAATTTTATAAATTCATTGTATTTTCTATATATTATTAGAAACGTACAGTTTACTGTAATTTTACTAATTTAACAGTTTATTGTAATTTGACTTCTGAAATAAATTAATATGAATTAAAATAAATTAAATAGAAATGGGTACCAACTACATTTTTCAGGTATTTAACATAGATTTTTAATAATAGAATTATAGTTATACAAACTTACCTTCAAAGAGAACAGTCCAGTAGAAAATTGTGATGAGAAACGCCACAGGAGTTGCTACATTGAACAACACCCAGTAAGTTTTTAAATACCAGGGGATGCGATATTGACCGCCTGAAAATGTTAAACAGTTTTCCAATAAATACAGTTACAACAGTGAATAAAAAATTTAATTAAATCTAAATTAATATACATATCGATTTGAAAATTTCATTTAAAATATATATTGTAAAATGACGGATAGACACAATTTACAAAAAAACTAACATAAAGAAATTAAATGAAGTTGCTAAACGCTTATAACAATTACTTATTAAAAATATACGTGTGTGAAAGAAATATTGACGTATGTCTTTTATATATAGAATTTTATATTACTAACACCAGTGTCTTCAATAAAACATTTTTATATAAAAGTCATTGTACCATGCAAAACCATGGGTCACCTTATGAAAAAGTCCTATATGCTTATTACCATGCGATGCCTACTTCCTCCTATTTAGGTATCACTTAGGTAGTAGGTGAGTGTTTGTACACCCATCGAACTCAAGGACACAGTTATGGCTAGAACCTCGCTTTGATGTTTCTTTGTTAAGGGGATCTTTTATGTATAATATAATCACAATATTTGTAAAATGCTTTCTAATTTTAGTAAGAATTCGCACAGATTATAAGGAATATTAATTAGTCGATTTGATTATCAGAAGAAGACAGATTTTAGAATATTGGGAAATTAAATTTAAACTATATGTTTGATAATAATAATAACCCTGGACATTACACGCAGCGGCATCTGGTATTAAGCTAAGCAGAGCTTGTGTTATGGGTACCACGATATGAAACAACTGATCAAATCAAAATGCAAATATAAAATACAACTTCTATTTAATTGAGATTGTTCTACTAGATTCATGGACTTAACCTTGTATTGAAATAGACATATACAAACCCGTTTAGGGTCACTATTTTATCATATTGATACCTTTTTATGACTAAGTATTAACTGACATGACATAAATTACCAAATCCTCAATATTTTCTTTCTACATACGTACATTATCCAATTTATTAGCATTGAAACTAAAAAAAAAATATGCCGCGTTGTCAAATAAATCTACTTGTAAGATATATATTTTATAGTATTGAAATATTTCAGATAATATACAACAACTATATTAATGCGGTTTATTTCGTATGAACTTACAACATATAGATAAAACAAACTTACTTATAGGTCCATAAAAATAACACCGTGTAGATACCGCTGTGGCAAATCCTGTCGCTAAAACATTTGCTGTTAGTCCCCAATGGGTTAGGTAAATAAACCAATACCCAACTATTCCACTTATTGAGTATGTGATTATAGAATACAATAATATTCCAAGAGAAGTAAGGAATAATATTGCACGGAATATCATAAGTGGCAGTGCTGACCTGTTCTTTTGCCAAGCACTAAGATAAAAGTCCGGTGGTTCAGTATAATCTAGTCCTAGATTCCTCCATTGCATTTGCTCTTTAAAATATTTTTTCACAACACCCATGTTACTTTGTCGTTACAGTGCACTTGAAATACTTTATCGTGGAACACTATATGATGTACTACGTATAGGTAACATAGATGGTCGTTATCGGATTGACTCACCTTGTTTATCTTGTGTTACGTTGCCAAATATAACTGTACAACTGTTTCAGGGTGAGGTAGATATTATATATAAGACATATTTTCCTACTACAATTGATATTAAAATTTTATAATCAATAGCTTTATACTTATGGCATGATACATTACTTAATTCTGCCACCTAAAAAAGAAAGTGTTTGATCTAAAATTCTAGTTATCCAGGCTGGTAGAGGATACCAAGAAACGATGTGACAGGACAATTGTAATGTCGTTGATGCTTTTTCATTTTATATATAATCTTTGTTCTGTAATTTAATAGCTCAGATCCAGGATTTAGCCAGCCAAACAATATGAGATTTATAATTATTTAACATATAAACGTTGTCATTAGGTATCAAATAAAATACCAGGCTTTATATTTTTACTGTACCTTATATCACATCTCCTTTTTCTGGTATGTTAATTCTAAATAAAATATAAGCCTTCTAATATCGTGAAATTTACTTATTTCAAATAGTCTTAATTAGACGTCTCCCAAACCATGACATATGAAAATAAAAAAAGAAAATCAAAGAGGCATTTTTAAAAATCTTCCTGCATTATCTTTATATTATATAGGTATTATTAGTGTAATCTTATATATTAGTAGTTTTATGTAATTATAATATAAAACAAATTGATGGATGGCCCGCTTAAGCGGTAACCATCACCTGTATACCTGAACAGCACTATGGACATCGCTTTATCATGTGATTCCCGTGACCACTCATGCGTTGCCATTCCAGAGGATAAAATATCATGCATCTTATGCTGTAATTTCACTGTATAATCTGCATCCTAGAACTGAAACAGCTAAATAAAGCAAGCTGCTTTGTAATATATGACCTTTTACAGTCTAACTCTGGTAAGACTATATGCAATAATATATTCAGTATATCAACATCATAAATACCTACTCGTTACCTTTATGGAGATAGTGTTTCCAAGATACTGGCAGCATTTCTTTTCTGTGATGCCTGACTTATTTTCTGAGCAAAGTAGCTATCTGATCTTGTATCGCTATTAATATCGATGAGGCGCGTTTCAGAAACAGTTCACTAATGCTAACATTTTATGTGTTAAAAATATATATATACTAACTATGCCCGCGGTTTCACCCGCGTTAAATTTCAATAAAAATATAGCCTATGTGTTATTCTAATGCATAAGCTATTGTACAGTTTCATCAAAATCCGTTCACATATATTATAAACTTAATCATATACCTAATAAAAAAATATCCACGTTTACCCCAAATACCTATATATAATATGTAGTGGATACATAGAAAACATCTAGACACATTTATTTACTACCAACAGTAAAAACTTGCCTTTGTTTGGGACTAGTCCATACAGCAATATCTAGTGGTGTCGTTGAATTAATCATTTCATAAATGATACAGTCGTGACATCTTCCAATAGTTGCTGTATTAGTACTAGTGATTCCTAAATGCATATGCCACAGGGTATCACGAGCGTCTCTAGATAACAATATCCATGAAGCTGTTCAAATATATTGGCGGCTGAACACCTTTTCAACATTTGATTCAGCTTGTTTGTCATTCCGGTTATATAAAAATAATTATTTCCATACATAGGTAGGTGTAATTATTCTAATATCATACTCGAATATTACAGAGACCGAAGGAACTGTCAGCATATTAAATATTTGTGTGTAAAGTATTTGTATGGAACAATAAATAAAAAGTCATTAAACCCTTTTTATTTCCGCATCTGGACTCAAGGAGTATCCAACAATCACAATGTATTATCAAAAAAGAGAGCACACATTGAAACAATTAATTATTAGTCTTATATAGTATTGATTAATTATAATATCTTTATGGATGTATAGAGACCGTCCGATTGTCACGTATGTATCGCTTGGAGAACCAATCTCTGCAGAGTGAAATCACCACTACGCAGAGATGGAGGACTATGAGTACAAACGCACATCCAAACACCACTCCCGTAGTGGGGCCAGGTTTCGCCCAATCCAATGGTGGGTATATAAAATGACCACCAAATCTGGAATATGAAATTGTTAAATTAAAGTACATATCAAAGTAATTAATACGCTTGTACAGGGCAAAATAATTACTTCAATTGCATTATTGAGGTTTACTTCGAAACTACAGATGACATTTAAAAGACACATCAACATAGGTTTTCAAGGAAAAACAGTCGAATGCAGAACGGTCTTCCTTTTTTTTAAATTACGTATTAAAAAAATGCCTTAATTATTGTATTTTGTTTATTATATTACTGGATACTTTTATTACGTTTTCCTTCTCTAGTGGTGTATAGTGATTTGAATTATTTTGTCTCCGTAACTAATTAGGACATACTGAGGATGTATATATCTAATATGATAGGTAGGTTTTACATTTCCCCTATTGGTATAAAAATAAACATCACCACATAAATTTTTACTCTATCACAACAGAGTAAAATTTTATGTGGAGAAAATATTTTTACAGCATGGAGTAACTAATTACTGAACTACATAGTATTGATTACTTGTAAATTGATGTTCTGTGGATTCAGTAATTTTACTGTCACAATTATGTTACCTATACCTAATGCATGTAAACTGCATAAAAAGTTATTATCCGTGACACAGTGCCACCTAGTCCCAAGCATAATATATGTATATCAAAATCACGCATACTAAACCAAAAGCTCATACTCATAAATATAAGTCTTCGCATCGTACAAGTGTCAATCGTTACATTGTGGCGGTGTGCTAAACTAAGCTAAACCACTAGACTATTGAATGCGGTACCGATGATGAATAAATATGAAATGAAATGAAAACCAGCATGTTCCACGCCTGTTACTGGTGTTCTTAGGGGTACTTATATATTATTTAATATTTATCACTCACGGATTAGTTCCACCGGCAAAGTAATATATTATGCTGAACACTAAGTAAACTAAGGTGACCGCTATTGGCTGATAGACGTGCAGAATGTTGGACGGATGCTGGGACACCAGCACCAGTATCAGCATCAGCACGGAGTTAATGGCGTGGATAAACACGTCAAGAACCGGATTTATAGCGTATTCTTCCTCTGAGAACAGAAAAGGAAAGATTTATATATTTGTACTTATCGTCATTCAACGGTCGAAATTCGACTATATTTAATTTAAATTACAATTTTAAGATAATTAAGGTTCTATTGTCAAAGACTATACGTACTTCTATGCGCGTGTATTTTGAATACAGGATAGTCTGTGTGTAATGATTTTTTAATCATTACAAAAATATTAGCATTTTGAAATTTCACACTCCTCCATCCGTGCTATTTTCGTAAAAAGGGGTAAAAGATGAATTTTATATATTTATAATACATAGTGTAAACAGTTTGAGATAGTATAAATATAGATTTTTCTTTTACATATATAATTAAAATGGCAAATAAATCTGACGGTCCATATAATGGTCACAGTCGCCTATATACATGAACAGCATTACACGTTATTATCTGATTCATGTGATACCACTTGCTATTATACGTTGGTGTACCAGAGGACTAAGATGTAACTGTCACTGCCTAAAATAGGTGAGATTGCGGACCAATGTAGAGAACTTTTTAAAGTCAACATCTGGTTAATATTTACTATCCATAAAAATTATATCTGGAAGATTTACACCTTCCTACAGTTGATTACCATAGAGTATATTCAAATCTCCTATACCCTGAATAAAGATGTTTATTTTATGATCTTATTCCACTTTGAGTTCGGTTGTTCGCTGTAAAAACTGGGTGGAGACGTGGAGATATATTTTCTTGGAAGTTTTAAAGTAAGTATGTAGCTATAGATTAAGCATAAATATTTATAATTATAAGTTATAATTATAAATTTTAAATCATTCTACAGTTATTAGTTATTTACCTCCTGTGGCCAGCAGAATCCAGTAAAATACTGTAATGAATAATGCAATCGGAACTGTGGAGTTGTACGATAGCCAGTACGCCTTCACGTACCATGGTAGACCTAACGATGAATCTGAAACATATTTAAATACACATACAATACACATGAATAAGAATGTTCGTAATTTTCGTAAGAGAAATCTAATGAAAGGAGGGAGTAAGAAGAGATTTTAAAGTGCCTTTAACCTATACACATCTGGACATGTTATGAGTATTTAGGTGCCAGGTCAGTTGTAAGACATCAACCATGGGATAAAAGAAAATATTTCTGTTTTCGAACTTCAAACTTGTAATTTATAGAATCTATTTTGGAAAGACAATTCGAGTTAGATTCAATCGCTAGACTCATATTTAGACTATTCTATTTATCTGGAACACTAATATGATGACACCAGCAGTATGGACTAAACTCAGTCGATCTATCGGGACAGAGATGTTATTTAATTTGATTTAAGTATTACTGAATATTATCTTCGTAGATATGGTAATGACATTGAATATATACAGAACATTTATATTATTAGGGAAAATAGAATGTAGGCAGGCTATTAGGTAGGCTTCTACGCCACCAATGAGCAGGACATTGTCAACTATATACGGACCAGGAGTAACCCGACATTGAGGGTGACGCAGCTGGAATCGAGCCGTAACGTTAGTTTCAAGGCGTTTATGGCCCGAATTGGATTTTCCACCAATATGCTGACCACCTTCATGAAGGAGGACTACTGGCCGAGGGTGTGGTGTATCGGCGCTACCGTGGCAGATTACCATCATCAGTGCCGTGATCACACAGACAATTTATATTTATTTTCGTATGATTATATTAATCATATGTATGTTAGTCTGTAAGGTATTTATAATTTGGGCCATTAGCTTATCTGAATTAAATAAATAAACAAAAAGTTAAATATATTCTATAATTAAGAAATCTCCTGTCAAGTCAATACCACTGAAATGATAAACAATTTTACACCCCAACTGAACGTGAACGTTGGCGCATCTTGTCTATAGCCATGAATAGAGGAACATACCATAATCATCACCAAACTTTGATCTGCTAAATTAAGTATTCAAATAAATTTTTAATGGGGCACCAGGCCCTATCAGGGCCTATCTATAGTACATACAGAATTCAATCAAGGAAGTACTAGTTAAACTATTAGATAGGCAAATTTTTCGGATACATATATATACACAAACAAGGTTACATAAATAGATAATAAAGTGACGTGATTTGTATGAAATATTAAAAAATGATTAATCTTTTTTTTCTAGAAGAAATTTTTATTTTAAAAGACGATATTTTATATTCAATTTTAAAAAAAGGAAGCGTATAACCTGTGTCGGTATAGTTTAGCATCGGTGAATATCTTCGGTAATTTGAGTATGCATGATATTGATATTTTGATAACTTTTTTACAGATTTATTTTTGTGTAATTCCTTTATTCACGCGTGCAATTATGCTGTTTAACGTAATTTTTTAAACAATTTAGATGATATACAGTTTAGGAAGAAAAACTGTTTATCCTTATTTATTCACAGACAAAACGCATATAAAACTGTTTTAATATTATAGCAGTACTAATATACAGTATTACTCACCAATAGATCCTTGAGCGACAGCTATTACAGACACATAAAATGCGAAACCGGAAGTGACTGTTATAAAGACTAGTCCCCAGTGCGTCAAATAAACAGGCCAGTAGCCAAAATGGACCCATGATAGTCCAGTGAGTATTGTCGATGCTAATAATATCCCTATACAACCTATAAATATGATAAGCCTTATAAGCAACAAGGGAACCGCGGAGCGACTGCTCTGCAACGAACTAATGTAGAATTGCGAAGCATCATCGTGTTCCAGAGACCACTTTTGTCTTGAGAATTCATTGCTAAAATATCTTTTCACTCTTCCCATTTTCGCACAAACAGTTGTGTCAAGCCGATACTATTTCTAATCACATACTAAACATTCTTGTGATATTTGATTTGTTATCTACGATACATATACATACGTCGATATAGTTTGCGATGGGTGTTGATGATAACAACAGCTGTGATACAATGCCTCTGTCGTGTATGATTCAAGACCCTTCCCAGAAATTAAGATAAATTATTAATGTTGGTAAATCAAACTTTATTTTATGAACTTACCATTTTGTTGAGTATTTAAACTAATAACCTTTGGACGACCTTGGTGATCTAGCGGTTTAACATACTTTACGTCCGATGGTCGCGGGTTCGATTCCTCGCCTGACTTAAACATGTGTATTCATGAGTAAGATTGTTTGATTTTGATCGGTCCGGGTGTTTTCTATGTAAAATATATATATATTTATTTGTATCAGTTATCTAGTACCCATAATACAAGCTTTAGCTAATTTAACTTGGGTCTATCTAGACCCGACTCTAAAAAAACCTAATACGTCTATCTTCTAGTAACGTAACCTACAATATTTACAGACCACCTGATGGTAGTCCTTTTGCATGAAGCAGACTGTAAGTCTGTAAGCTTGATTGCTATAGGTAGTACTCGTAGTTACTACCTCGTAGTATGAATATTAGAAGTTTGCACGTAGGCACTTAAATTGTATAAATATATGAAAAATATTGTTTACTTCTCACGGAAACACAATATATTATTGTGGAATGCAATATAAGAAGATTACCTAACATATTAGTTATAGAAAAATTTACATGAAAAATTAAGACTGATATAGAGTCACGTTTCGATATCCTTCATATCATACGCTAATATCATTCATATTTATTCACCAATTACCTACCTAACTGCTAATCACCTTTCTGATAATTAATAATATTCAGATAACATTCGCATAATATTACATAAGTACAATAACAAGATACCATTGACTTTTTTGACACCATAATATTAAAATCATCGCTAGCTTCGAACAACATTATTATAATAATTGTTGTTAAAAAAAGGGAACTACAGTAATAATAAACAAAGGTTAGATGTAAGATATTTTTATTTTTTTATATATTAAACTTTATAATAATTAAGAAAATCCTAATTAATTAATCTTTGGATATTAATGTACCTATAGATATGTACTGAAAGTTGGTCGCTGGTTGACCATAGAAATAAATAGTTCATTATATCTTTTAATTGTAAGTTGAACAGACATTTTAACATATCATATGATATTACAAATATTTTATTTATTTATGATCTCTTTTGTTTAATACAAAGTATGTAGTTGTAAAACATTAATATTTTAGTCACTACTTTGGTCTTAATAAAAATAGTACAAGTAAATTGAATTTTACGATAAAAATAAATACATATGTTATTTATATCGAAAATAAAGTATATTATAATTATTTGTATGTCTTTTTCTAAGAATAAAATATTATATATATTATGAGAATAACAATTCACACCGAACCAAAACCAATAACCATACATTGAACCATTTAGTTTAATAAATATACTACACTATATACCTACTTAAATGCTGTAGTTTGGTAAACCAAATTTACAAAAAAGCAGGCAGTTTGTACAAAATTTACAAGTAAGTATTAAAACTTAAACATTAATATGTTTCTTTTTGTCATAACTTCAAGAGGGTAGTGATTTAGTTTACTACTCCATACACTGTATCCACCAATCCAACGGCAGATTTAATCTTCTCACGAATATCTGTTCGTACTGGTTTTTAGGTTTCTTTTGTATTATTAAAAAAAAATCAAACAACGTATTTAAGTGTGTCTCAACAACTGCTCAGTACCCATAATAGTAGCACTGATTAATTTGTAACTAGATAGTGCTGTGACATTGTAATTTATTGGATGTTATGTCCAGGGATTATTTATTTACAAAATATACACTAATCTAAAATCATTTTGGAGTTCTTCTAATGAAACAAAACTAGGTATCTATATAAGTAGTCAATGTGCCAGGGAATATGTGGATTCCCTGTTCACCATCTCCAATTATATTATAAATTGAGCAACAGTAATTTCGTATTATTAAATCTCTTAGAAATTAAATGTTACTAAAAAAAATTACAAATAGGTACTGAAAAAGTCCCAAAATTTATAAGAATATCTACATAAAAAAAAATCATTTTTTTTCCGAACTTCCTCAGGCAGTAGGCTGAAAAAGAACTTTTAGTTCCTCTCAGTTTATATTTATATATCAGTTTTTGTTTACATTTATATTATATTAATTTATAAAGTTATATTATTTTTTTTATAGAATAACTAAAACAGAAAAACAGAATACATAAAGCCAATTTATGAAACAACTTACAAGCTTACTTGAGTACGGATTTATTTTAATTATATTATTGCTTATTATTTAGCTTATTAAACTTACCTACCTAATTTCTTATGTAGGTAAGTCACAATAAGCTACATAAATATAAAACATACTTAGTTTTCTTTTTCTCGTCGTCTTGGTCTCCATCCTTCACAGTAATATTATATCTATACCTACCCATAATGTTTGCAACACATTTGTTGTAATATCGAATTTCCAACATTTTATACCCGAGTATATCACAGATCATAGACCAAATGACGTTGGTACAGTAGAATTCATGATAATATTTAAAGATATCAAGTGGACTGATACATTTGTCAACTCAATGCACACTAATAAAAAAACATATCATCTCTCTATAGATATCATAGTAAACACTAATGTTCAAATAAAGAAAGAATAATTTGTGACTAGTTTCGTCTTTGTGAACGAATTATTAAAAAAGGAGATTCGTATCAAATATACAATTTTATATATTGTATGTGAGATTCCTTATACATTGAATGTGAATTTTCTTAGGCACTGAATGCATTGTTGTATACACCGTTGACATCTCTTAGGAACCGCCTCGCGATAACATCCCGCAGTGTTGAAATGGCGACCACAACAATGTGCATCAGAGCTAGAAACAAGCCCGATAGTGCGGCTACCACTATCGTCTCTCGTGGTTTATTCCAATCCATTACTGGATATATGTATTCATGACCCCACCTGGAATTAAACATTTTGTTTTGAATTTCTGAACAGACAGAGAGGAAATGTGACTTAAGGTATTCTACCTATTTGGCTTCCACTTATTAATGCTTAGTAAATTAATTTGTACAATAACATAACTTTATTTAAAAAAATTACGATACGTATTTATATAAAAAAAAAATAAAGCAGTATATTTATTCCTGTAGGTCCTTATGAGATCTCTATGTAGGTACGTATTCTTTTTTTTTAATTCTGAGCTGCACCTCACAAGTTCGTCTGCGTCATATACCTACGCTCCGCTATTGCTACATTTTTAGTTTAGCTCCACTCCTATTAGTGATGTTGTAAAGAACCTACATACATAGCCTTCCTAGAGCACTAAAAGAATTTTTAAAATCGGTACAATCCCTACAACCTTATAAACTTTATATCTTTATAATATTAGTATAGATATTCATATCTTTTAAATTATATGTGACATTTTAACCAAGATGTACCTATTACCACATGAATTACAAATAAGAAAAAAATTATAACTCCTTTTGTAATCCACAAGAATTGTCTTTCTTGAGAACGTAATTCCTAAAATATAGTAGTATATAGATATATACAAAGTACGTAATAAACCGAATTAGTAGTACCTAATAAATCCTTCTGTCATTATACCTTTTTATTATATTTTTACTCAGATTTGGATACCAATAATAATTTAAATCATAGTATGAAATTCGAACCAAATGTATCTAATCTAATCTTTGAGTCCATGCGGACTAAGTTGTGAATAATCACTAAATAAATAAAGAAATATTCGTACAAATTATCAATCTATGTGTGTATTATTTTATCTATAATCTAATATGTATGTTCCTGCTCCGCAATAAATCTTGGGGGGTCAGCGAAAATAATTTGGAAAAATATTTTTATACACCAGAATTTGAACAAATTATACATTGGAAATATATTATAGATTTAATACGAATGAATGAATGAATGAATGAATATTATAACAATTTCAGAGGTTCTGTCTTTTGAAATCCTGAATGATTTATATAGATTAAATTATATGCGATAAATTTGGTAAACACTTATATATTATACAATCAAACTTATCTATCATAACAAGTGGGAATGATAACAAAATATTGAAATGTAATTAAGATATACAGCCATACCGGGGGTTCCGAACAAATATCGTAAATAAATTATAATTTTCTTTGTATGATTTATTTTATAGTATCGGTACTAAGATATTTATTTTATGTACTAGACATACCTACATATATGTAGGAAATTAATGTGATTAGTATTTTCTTGGTTTAGGTACCTAAACTAAATATTTATATTACTTTATGTTTGTACTTTGTGGAGGATTTTTAATAATTTATTTAGCATAAGTTGTGTTAGTTATAAACGTCATTGTCGTATTGCGGTAATATTTTCATGTGCATTTATCAGCCATAATTATGCTACATTACAAACTTTACATATAATATACTGAAAATACAGAAATATATTATTCTTGACCCCAGTCACCCCAATAAACAATTATATATTACAATCATAAGTTGTGTTGAATAGCATAGCCCTTTCTGAAAAAAAAAGAGTTTCAATCATAGTTTTATTATGATCACAGATAACATAATGATTATGATTGAAACTCTTTTTTGTTCTTATATATATACTTTATTGCACTTATTACATTAATAGACAAAGACAGTTATACTCAATTGTGAGCAAGGGCGGGCTTATCTCTGCAAGAGATCTCTTCTAGCCAACCTAGCGCTGTGACAAAGGTGGTAGTTAGTACTTCAGAAAGTAAAGAATGTTGTAACAAAACATAACACTTAAAATCAATTTCAGCAGTAATTTCTAAACTCGCTATATTTTAGAATATAATTTGTGGCCCACAGACGGACATATCTATACGTGATCAAGGGTTTCATCGTTTTCCTTCGAAACCTTAATGACGTCAAAATAAAGGTTATTATTTAGAGATTGTTGGAATGGGATGTTTATAAATTAAATAACAATCTTACGTAGCAAAATTAATCATATCTAGATATTGGATTTATTGTAATCAATCTTGTACGATAACAAAACATTGATGAACGAAGGAGTCAAGACAGCTTACCAGATATAAAAGAAGATGCAAAAGATACTCGGCTATTAAAAAAATAGAGACAGTCGTGCATATATTTCAACTCAAAATAGAATTAAATACAAGTCTTGTATCAAATAATTTTATTATTTACTTAGTATATAGGTAATAGATCGATTAATCAATAGGGAAAAATAGAACACTCATAAAAATAACTACTTCTTAAGAAATATGTATATATATATATATCAATAGAAAAATGTAATTTATTAATATTTAACTCTAAAATATTCTATGATCAATTTTTAAAATAAGCAGGGATATAATATTATACGATAACCTAAAAAGTGAAATGTATTGTATTAGAGAATGCCATAAATGAAAACAGGTTTTCGCAATACATCATCATCATCATTTGCTTCTTTATTATGTTTCTCGGGTCTGCGTAATAAATTTTTCCCTTGCATTCTTCCTTGTTAACACAGGTACATATAAAACATTATATCATGAGGAAGAAAAACTTATAAATACGATTTTTTACGAAATAGTTAATTAAATTATAATTTATGGTTAAAATAAATATATGTAATTACTAAATAGTAATGACAGAGTACTTAAACTGTCAATTAAATAATACAATATTTTCAAACTAGTCAAATGGGTTTTGTATTTCTGTAATCAATTATAAATAATTATATTTCGTTACTTGACATTGACAGTAATGGCAATGGCAATAATCAATGGACAGTAAATTGCCGCATCAATTGATGTCATACAACATACGAGTACGAAGAGAAGTGTTATTTTATAATAGTATAGTTATTGCGTAAGTAAGCACTTGCGTATTGTGTTCAAGTTAGTAAATATCACGTTAGTAAAGGTTATTGAATTTATAATGTAGTAATCATTCGTATATCTTATAGTATACCTCAGCGATCTCAATGTATAGAAACACCTCTAGTATTAGCTTCAATTCTAAATAGAATTTTATATGCCAAGTTACTGCCATTCAGCTGCAGAGTTAGATAGAAATGATACAGCATTTATTATTGATGGATGAATATAGCATATGCACTCGCCAGCGTCAACAGTCAGCGCCAGTGGCGCTGTTGGATTTACAATAAATTAATACCAATGGATTCCTATATGCTTCCCCTAGCAATGGAGGCCACACAACTAACAACCCCAAGGATTACAGGATTATAAAATATTGGTAGTAATGTGAACTGTTAACGCCACTATGCCAGGTTGGCCTTCACGCGGTTCGCCCTGGTAATGATCATGACAAATTTTTGAAGAATTTATCAAGATTAGTTAACTGACCTGATTTCATGCTCATTTTATCAGCTTCCACTGGTGCCTGCATAAACCGTTAGCGCAAGCGGGTGCATCATTCCATTATCAACCATAAAAAACTTAGTGTTGAGTATTACTATAAACTATGATTGTAGGTATTCTTATATTTATAGAAATATTTGGCCAGTATGTAGATAGAGAAGATTAACAACGAAGAAATCCTGTAATGGTTTACTTTTTTTTGATTCAAGAATCCTCGCTTTCGACAATCGATAATTTTGATGAAAATTCTAGGTACCCGATAACTAATTATGAAATAATAATTCTAGGTTTTTTCTTTATTGGATGTTGACACTGGCTTCTTTTTTTCGCCTGTTATCTAGCGTGTAGATAGATAGATATGCTTACATAGAATTATTGTTAACTAGCTACTCACCCCGGCTTCGCACGGGTGTACATGTATTTATATATAACAAACTTTCCTCTTGAATCACTCTACGTATTAAAAAAAACCGCTTCAAAATGCGTGGCGTAGTTTTAAATATTTAAGCATATATAGGGACAGACAGCGACAGCGACTTTGTTTTATACTATGTAAAGATGATGATGATACTCTAAAAGTGTCGTAATTGCACCGAACCTTAAAGCAGAACCCTTTGGTGCGACTATGTCCATCCCTTTGTCACAGACGACTTCAAAACGGGGGTAATATTTTTTTAAATAGTGCTATTTACCAGGTCTGTTCAGGTTGCGAATACTGATTAGATTTTTGTATTTTGCAATAGCATAATTATGCTGGTGGTCACTTTATTCTCTCAAATCTGAATTTAAATGACTGTGTATTATTTTTAACATATACAACATTTTTAAAAGAATACAAGCTGATTTTCTTGTCAGTTCATCTCATCTCGAAATCATTCCGAACTGACGGTAGATTTGACATATCATAAGAGTTTGTAATAGACCTGAACATGAATAAAGATATTTTGAATTTTGATTTTTTTTTACCGGAAGTAGATAACAAAGGTCTATTTCCATAGACTATTTCTAAAATGCAAGTCGCAACTTCGAACTTTTTTACAAAGATATTAAGGCTATTTTTTATTGCATTACAGATATTCAGTACAGTGTTTACATATTTGATATTTGTTTAAGCATTTAAAAGTATCTATTGAAAATTTGCAATCATCGGTACACTGATGAAATCACAAATAAGGTTTCCCTTTTTGGTTCAGAACCCTAAAAGGGCTTAGAGGTCACTGACCTCTTAATGGGTAATGTTTTCCTTTAAATTTAATAGGTACGCCATTGACGGTCACCGGCAAATGTCCTCTAATCAAACCTTACAGAGATTCTACCATTGCGACATAGTCAACAACATGTTAAAACGTTTTATCGTATCTAAGTGTCTTCTAATGTAAACATTTTGAATAAACATAACGGTATGGAATAAATAATCAACAATTTACTTTATTGTACAAATTTTAAAGAAGTTGACATTGTTGGCACATAAAATTGGAATAAATATCATAGCAGTCTAACGCAACTGTTTCATTTATAGAGATTAAAATAGGCTGTGTTTCTTTCTAGTAATACACAATTTCTTCACGTCTTTCATTAATAACGTTCGTTTAGTAGAAAAAGGTAACAAACTAACAGACAAATTTTCACATAATTTATAAAATTTTATAATAATAAACAAACGTAGGACAATTCACACAGCGCCATTTAGTTCCAAGCCAAGCATAGCTTGTGTTAGGTGCTAGACAATTGATATAATAAAATACACATACTGACCACCTGGGAGGTGAACAATCTTACTCATGAATACAAATGTTTGTACTGTGCGAGGAAGCGAACTCGCGACATCGGTAGAACACGTTGATATTGTAATAACTCTCTAACATGATTACAATAAGCAAACACTTACGGATCATGTCCGCCCGCGTAAAAGTATATTACGGTGAATAGCAAGTAGACCCCAGCAAACATCAGCGGCTGCATGATGTGGAGGAGCCTGCTAGGATGAGCAGATGAGATCAATTCCACCAACATAACTGCTGAGTTGATGCCGTGTAGCATCACGTCGAGCACAGGATTCGGTGTGAAATAGTCCATGTTGCCGGCTGAAAATCAGGCATTGTTTATCTTTATTTATTTATTCTTTTGTACACAAAAATGTATAGATATATGGTAGGATTTTTACATAGTAAGTATATAACAAAAGTCGCCGTCGCCGTCTGTTCGCTTATATCTTTTAAATTATGACGAATTTATACGTATAATACATGCGTATAATATAGTACAGAAATCGAGAAATACAAAGATTTGTAATGCATCTGTGCGAAGCCGGGACAGGTCACCAGTTGTTAACAAAATAATGTTCAACCTATATCAATTAGTATGTAAAAGAAAATTAAAGTCTGTTTTTTAATTAATTATATGTCTAAGTGACTGAGTGTCTGATGATTATCTTGTAATTCACTATATTAATACTATAAAGAGCAAAGATTTGATGTTTTGTTTGGGAATGACCATACAAAAATAATTGATTTTAAAAATTATCAGTGAACAACATAGGCATCATATCCTTAAAAAATTATAATCCTACAATAATAATGCCGGTGTAAAAGTCGGGGCAGATCTTTATTTAAATATTGAAATCATAATATAAAGGAATATCAAGGTCTGGTGATGGCGTAAGCAGGAAAAAATACCAGTTTTAATTTTGCACAGAATATGTTGTTTCCTAAAATTGCATGTAGAAGGTCAAGGTTAAGGGTCTATATAATGAAGTGAAGGTTCGAGCGATAGAATCTATGATAATCAAGGTTTCAGAATTTTAAGTATTTATTTTTATGTTAATTTTATCTGTATGCAATTGACATTGATGTTATAAGATTGTCAATTTGATTAATTTGTTTGTTTAAATCTCTATGCATTCACGATGTTGATGCGCTAGTTGGGGCAATGGAATGAAGTAAAATATGACACTTTTTTGTTAAGGGTTTTATTTCGGATCATGGTCTCTAGAAGAATAAAAGAAGAAAAATAATGAAAAGAAACTTTAACACAGGAGTGGACTATTTCAATTAAAGTAATTCAGAAGTAAGTTGGTTGTTGGCATAGATGTCTCATATAATCATATTTATCGAGGACATTTTTTACATACGTATTGAATTTCTTTTGTGCATTTTCCGCATACGATATGTATATGTATTTTTACAATACATACAAAGACATTTTCCGCATTACTGCTTCTATTTTTATTACAGTAGCCCACTTGACAACTTTTTCGCACTCCCGATGTTGAAAGTGACCGATCTGAAACGTCTGAACTGTAACGAACGTTCTCCTTGTTTTTTCCAGCTAATTCATCGGCTAAAGAAAATATAAACTCCTTTCTGGATATTTTCGAAATTAAAATATTATAAAAAACTTGGAGAGGCCATCGAAAACACCCTGCTTTCACACTATATTTGCGTCCCATCTGCTACCGAAGAACACCTCATTATGTTTAACTATGGCAGATAAAAAATAATTTTACAATATATAAGGATTGTTGACGTGACTAATTGTGCGTATAAACTCTTTTAATGTTCAAATTTACTTAGTTAAGATTAATGCTATGGTTTTTTGTTTTCATTTCGTAAATCAAATTGACGTCAGTAAACCTAGTGACAATAAAAAACAATTGAAAATGACTTTTGTTACGTAGAACAAAGAAAAAAACAGAAGAGCAAAATAAATATATTAATGACAAACATGTAACAATTTGGTTTAGAAAAAAAATTTTTTTTACATTACAACAGGATAACGATGGTTTTATGAAAATAGGGGAAAATGTTATTGCAGTTATACAATACAAGACCGATGGTTGCTTTATGGGAATAGGGGACGTATCTATCGGCATCATTGTTGAATAGATTATAAAACGGTCTGCAAAATTGTGATCACAGAGATAGCTCCTAATTATTTTATAATTGAATTAGCTTAATTTTGTTAGTGAATTAGCTCTGGTATATCATTTGAACTAGTAATTTTAACGAATAATACTGCACTTGTTAAGTATTCCTATTGTATAAATACTTATGGTTCGAACTCCTTATAATTTTGTATTTATTATACATTGATAAGAAAATAACATTTTTTTAAATGTACTAAATGTATGTTGAACTCTATTTTCTCATTTACCATATATTGACCGTTGTGTGTTGATCAATAGTGATGTTATAAAGTGTAAATGACATTTATATATATATAATTCTCCTTTCAATAGAGTATAATAATTTAAACTATGAATAATTTTAATAGTTCCATATAATTATCAAAGCTTGTAAATTTTTCAAGTTATAACTTATAGTAATATGCGCGAACACGAAGTATTCCCTATAAAATAGTTACTAAATACTTAGGTACATAATAACCATTCATGCCATTCATAACAGACAATTTAAAAGTGAATGTCAATTTTTGCTGAACCTCATCGTTATAAATCGACGAGGTCATCACGCTAGGCCGCAATTCAAAGCCTTCAATTTTACATACATCGTGTATACTATATACGTAATAGAATAATAATGGATAAATATAAACCAAATTTACCCATTCGGTGGAGTGCGACGGTTGACCAAAACAATATAAAATTTTATCAGAAAGTTCTAGTAAATTGACAAGCAAAAATGTCATATAGGTACAAAGACTGCTTATATATAAATAACTTTGACTAATGTCAAATAACCTAGACATTTCTGTTTCTGTCTCTTGTTTAAATCAGTTGTTAAAAATCTTTATTAAAAGTACCTTGGTGTTACCTATTTGTATCACCAAGAAATAACTTGTATGTTTAAGTATTTTCATATTGTAAGTTTCCTTGTGAGCAGAAAATAAAGATTATTATTATTATTTCACAACCAAGCTACTTGCGTTGTAAGCTGTGTTTCGGTGGAGATTAATGTTAAGTAGTATGGCTTGGTACTCCAGAATGGGAACGCAAGAATGGTATCACCTGATAACGTAATGTTCGTGGTGCTGCTCATGTGGCGGCGGTTACCTCTTACCATCAGGTGGGATGTTAGTTTGTTCACAATGCCAATTATATAAAATAGATCTAACAATATATCTAATTAGTATTAAATTGTTAACATATTTTTTTACTCACCTTTACTTCTAAGCAGACCCCAATAAAATCCGGACACAAGGAAGGACACCGGAATGGCGATGTTGTACAATACCCAATATGTTTTCACGTACCATGGCAGCCCAAATGTAGCATCTAAGGAATACAAAACAAGCTTTAATGTTTTATCGGCAACTATACATTATTATCAAACAGCATATTTCATTTTAACATCACTTTATTCTCCTATTAAATTAAGGAAGGTACTTTATATTTCCAGGTAATACCTTATATTGAATTTCTTATGTTTATAATTATCTTCCACTCAGTATTTTAAACAAAAGGGAAAAAATATTAATACATAAAACTTGACTTGTTCATACGCGGTTAAAATGTCTTATATTCATAAATCATTTTTGATTTTATTTCCGGATATATCTTTATAAAAGATATGCTTTTTGATTCAGATATTCACCAAGCATTATAAATTTATGCATATTAAAAATACAGGGATAAGATGGCATTAATGTTTACCTGGATTAAATAAAAAAAATGCTTAATTTGCTCAATGCGTGAATCAGGATTCAGGATCCTGTAAGGTATAATATTTTTTTCTGTCTCTGTGATTATTATTACTATGCCTTTGTATTGTTTGTTTTGATTACTTACATCAATTCTAAAATGTAATTAATTTATTAAACTGGTTTCAAGGTTTGACGTCAGAACACTGCAGATATTTATTTTTAATAACACCGAATCTAACATGAGGACAAAGGTTTTCCCAAAAGAACAAACTACCAGTACGCAAATATTGTATCAGGTACAGGCATGACGTCAAATTTTAGGCCTACTAGTAACAAATATATGTACCTATATAGTGTGATGGAATGATGGTATCATTTAAGTATATGGTGTACTATTCACTAATTATGGGGTATCATTCCGTACAATACAGATACTGATCATACATCATAGTGATGCAATAGTAGGTAGTTTCATTAATAAAGATAAAGCGAATAGGCTAATCTAAAGATTTTGTTTCCCATTTTCAAACGATTTGATTTTATGGCAGTTGGTACAAATTTGTGTAAGATGCATGTTTCATTCAACAACAACAATTGCTGCGTACACTGGGTCATTTATTAGATAAGCAGAACTCAAATTCTACACATTACATAAACGAGATATTTACCATGATAATGCTGTTACAAACGTCGTGTAACGATGGATGTAAAAGCATATTACTAGCAGACAAATCTCTCTATCTGCTTTCTTAGTCTTTTAATTCGTAAAAATCACGGGATCTTACCACGTTTTATTTTTCTTTCAAGTGTAATAATATGATTTATAGTGGCTACACTATACTTTATATACATATTTACTTTATTGCTGTGACTGTGAACTTCTTTAATATCCAGTGTTAGTTGGGAGAAATTCAATAATAAAAATAATATTATTTTATATTAAGATCTTAGTTCTTCCGAATGTCGTCATGGGCGTCACATGATATATGTGATGCTGTTCACGTATGAAGGTGATGGTTAATAATTAATTTACATATTCCATTATAAAAAAAAAATTCTCAGTGACAACTTTCAAACCCAGCAATGACTTGCACGATAATAACTGCATCTGGATAGTTTATCTTTCTGTCAGACAAAAATTGTTACGTGCACGTCTTTACCTGTTGCTAAGATCACGTTCGCTCTATCGACCTCAATTATTCTGTTACAGCTTGAGGTGTCAATTATTTATTTGTTCCTAATATGTCATGGAAAATCTATAATATTAATCTCTGAGGACATTGACTGACTATGTGAGTCAGTCAATATCCCCAGAGATTAATCGAACGTATAACTAAATGGGTAGTAACATGAAATTTTGATAGTATTAAATGCTTCTTTGGTAAAGCCTTTCAAAGAGACTTTTTAGAGTCTACACAGTCTAGAGAAAATAATAAACTTTTGTTCATAAATGTGTATTATTATTCTCTATCAGTGTCACGATAAAGGTAGAATTTTTTTATGACATAAAATATATTTAATTTTAAAATTGCAATACGTTGTTTTCATAAATAAAAGGTATAGCATATACAATAGACTAAAAATAAATATAAGAAAAAAATACGTACCAATAGGGTTAATAAAATAAGCATAGGCCGAAACAATAGAGGAAAAAGCTGAGCTAAGAACAATTACAAGGAAAATCCAGTGCGTCCAATATATGAACCAAAAATGGATGTGAATGTTGAAGGTTATATTGGTCAAGATCATGGAGTTGATGAGCACACTCGCCGATAATAGAAAGAGGAAAGATCTTAATAATAGTAGAGGTAATGAGGAGCGACTGTTTAACCATTTGCTCAAGTGGAACTCCGATGGCAACGGGTGCTCCAATGTAACCATCCGCCATTCACATTGTAACTTCAAACTCTTCAAGCACTGTATTATCATGATTACAAAAGATGCATACACTGCAATAATTTTACGTATACTTCTTTATTGTATCGTATTTGTTATGTATAGCAATAACAATTGTTTTATTATCAATTAACAATATTGGACCAATGATTTTATCGCACCAAATGTTTGAGTTGTTGCATGAAACTGACGAGATAAATTTATGTTGATCAGCGAACCGTGAGCAGTGGAGATTGTCAATGAGAACGGTCAAGGTCTTCCAAATACTTAGTTGAAGACTTAGATGAAATAATTTTTCTCTTTTCGGATATATGTGATGCATATAATTGGATTTGATAACTCTATATGAAGAGTAAGGTCCACCCGTGAAGCTAATTAACATGTTAGACCTCATGTGAAGTAAATACACTAATTCAGCAGTATTAGTGGGAAGCAAGCCGTTGCTGACAGTAGTATCCAAACACATTACTTTTACATGCTTCAAAAAGAAAACTACCTAGTTTTAAAACAAGACTCTACATCTGGTGCAAATATACGATTTAAGATATAAACATAAAATAAACTAATAAATATATAAACATAATCTAAAAAATAGTTGTTTAGTTTCATCGTGTTAATTTATAATATTAATATTAATATTTATTAATTTATAACATATTCGGCTTGTTTTTTTATTATTTGGTAAAAATTTTATTTCATAGCTGTTAGTGAAACCATAATGCGATATGCATTATTGTTTCACTAACAGCTATGCCAATGCTTGCCTGTCATGTTATTAGTTAAATACAAGTTGTTGATTTTGTTGTATTATTTGAACAATAGAACTTGTTTATGCTAGAGTTTTATGTGTACAGTAAAAATTACTGTAAAAAATTATATTCATGTTTGGTAAATTATTTGCTGTATGTAGATGTAATTACGTCTCTATTACTTTTATTATAGCTTGTAGTACATTATGTTTGTACACCAAAGATTATATTTGAAATTTTGTGTTTGTGTTTGGTACGAAATTATACATTTTTTATATAACGCAGTCGGCGAAGAAGCTTACGGTTTATGTGATAGTAAACGATAGTAAAGCCTATACGCCTAAAACACCAGGGATGTTATGTGCGTGCTTCCCATCCTTAAAAAACCTTAATATGTATACCCTTCTTGAAAAACCCCATGCAGTATCTAAGGTAGTTCATTCCATAATCTTATACGCGGGAGGAAGCTCCTATGAATTAGTATTATTAACTAAGATTTTTAAGTATGTGTTACAATAGGATATATATAATTAGCTATCTATATATAATAGTAATTTAGTTAGTGGCAAATTTCGGTTATACCCTTTGTCTATAGGTATAATGCAATAAATATATTAGATATCAAAATATGTTTACAAAAATATATAAATTTCGTAAAAGTATTAATCTTTCACATGTTATGGTAATTTGTTTTTGATCTACGACATCAATGTTTCAGTGTTTAGACAAGATGTATAATGTAAATTTGAATTTCACACTCATGACCTTACACTTTGTTCAGTTATTGTATTATTTGGCTACAATAATTATTATTCATAATTAAATTAAATAACAATATTGGAATTTAGCTATTGCTATGAAATACCCAATTATTTAAGAACTTTTAATATTCCTTTAATATGAAACACCATTAGTATAAAATTAACTTTATTTCGTAACGCATAAGAAGCATTTTTGTTTTCTTTATAAATAAGACAGTATCAGTAACAGATATCAGTACAGTATCTACCTATATTGTGTTTTGACGTAAAGGATATTCAAAACACCGGAAGGATTTAAATCAATTAACTAAGGCATGCGTGTGTATACTATATCTTGATAGCTACTTACAGTGTATTATTTAGTACTAATTTAACCCAGCTTCTTAATCAGCGATATAAAACATACCTAGCCTATGTTTAACAAATTTGTAACACTAAGAGGTAACAAATTAAAATATGGCTTCATAAAATATGGCCGAGTATAGTGATCGACTGGCTCATACTCGTGAACGAATGCTGCTTGTAGGGACAGGTCTGCTTTATTGACTTCGACTGATCTTATTATGTATTTAATATTTGATTCTAATAAATTAGTGTTAGTTGGTAGTTTGTATTCACACGTTTCGACTTAAATTAAAAAGTGATATCGATTATTTAAAAGAGCTACACGCAAGAATGAGTAGGAAACTCATTCTTCTTTTGATGAGACAGCTTTCCGAATGAGCAGTAGATTATAAGAAGTATGACTACGATTATTCAAAAGTGCTTAAATTAAGCTTATTTGAATAAAAGATTTTCTATTCTATTCGAATTAATTTAATATATAATGTCTAAAGACAATTTTAATAAAAATTAGGAACTTTTATTCTAGTTTTCTTTTTGCGTTTCTCTCAATTATCTCTTTCCTATCACAGCCAATATACACTCTGCCAAAATTAATGACAAGAAAATTATTGGCATCTAATAGCCATAGTGACGTAGAAGATAAATTTATAAGAGTATGATTTAATATACATGTATATATGTATATATATAATTTGTATACATATTATAGAACTGCTTACCAGATTTTTCTTGTCTCGTTTTTCGGACCGTCACAATAATTCCAAACAAAGATTCCAAGGATATGATCATCAGTCCCCAATGTGTCATGTAAATAAAAAACTTTTCACGGGAGCCCCAGAAGAAACAGACCGACCAGGTGATGATGACGACGGACCAAAGTAGAATTGGGATACGCCAATACAGAGGCGATATATTCCCGCGGCACGATCTCCCAAAAGTTTTCGACGTTTCATCTCCGTCTACGATACTTCCCATACAATGAGCATTCCTCCAATTTATTCGACCCATTGTAAATTACAAAAAATGACTGTGTAAAATTGTTTACAACTTCTTTATCCTTATGATTTAGCGCTAAAACATAGGAATCCCCCTATCTCTCAGTCCAAGACGAAGGCTGCAGTATCTGGAATAAATAATTCTCTCATTAGATGTTATGATAGCTAGCCAGCGGTCCAACTGTTACAAATATTTATTTAGTTTATTATTCAAAATATTTTATTAGCAATTTACTGAATATTCTCCTATGCACAAAATACATTGAAAATATACAGCAAGAATGTATTTAAGATTATACCAGTTGTTTTGTATCCGTATTGCAAGTTCTGCTTAGTTATGAATTGGTATAGATAAAACATAAAAAAGGTATAATCATAATTGATTTCCCATTGTTCGCAAGTTATGGTTCTCGTGCTTTACGCAAATTCCAGTTTGTCAATAAAAGCAATCTACTTTGTGCAAAGTAACGTGTGAATTAACTTAGCAAATTCTCACGAATAGACCTCAAGTTCGAAGCGGTTATGGAGTAGGCGCGATGACCGTCAAGCCCTTGCAATTTTGTTTGCTAACAAATAATGACATGCCGTTCTTCAAATGGACATAGGTGTACATTATCTTTAGTTAGTTTTTGCGGTATGGTCATCGGTGACTCAGGTTTGTCTATGTCAATCTGAGCAAAAGATGTATTTAGATAATACATTAAGACAAATTTAAGATATATTTTCCAAAAAATAATGAGAGATAATTTGGATTTTTTCATTAATAACAATAAACGTTAGTTAATAAAGTTATTTAATAACTCCAGAATTAATGATGCGTTGATACTGCCCATTAAAGTGTATAAAATTTGTTTTGGCTTCAGCATTGATATTTATTACAAAAGAAATGTTCGTATTTGTGATATTGCATCTCTGTGCATTTTCTACCGCATATATCACGGGGAGTGTTCTGAGGAATTGTTCGGATTAATACCAGCTGCTGAGTTTCACCACCGTACCACCCGCCAGAAACTGAAATACCATCCTAATCATCTGGATGAATGGCGGTCTTCCACAGTGCGGTTTTCTAGAAACTTTTTGCCTTGCACAACCTCATTGTGGAATCACCTTCCAGCAATGGTATTTCCGAACCTTCAAGAAAAGAGCTTATTCCATTTTAAAAGGTCGACAACGTACTTGCAATTCCCCTGGTGTTGCGGGTGCTCATGGGCGGCGGTAATCACTTACCATCAGGTGAGCCGCAAGCTCGTTTATCCCCTGTGTTATAAAAAAAAATCTACTAAGTTTTTTTTTCATTTTCATGAGGACATCTCATTCCTCTTCCTGCTCATCGTACGAGCTTCATTTCCAAATCTTTCACTTTAAAGGCCATTAAACACTGGAACAAGTTACCCCTTGACATTAAATCCAACTCTTCAAAATTCACTCACATTCAAATGCAAATTACTCAAACACCTTTCCCAGAACTAGTTTTGGCTCCCGCTATCTCTGTAGTATTATTCCTCTACTCGACCTCCTCTATGCATCTGAATTTCATTGTTGTTTTGTATAAATTTATAATTGTATGTGTATTTGTATGTATGTATGTGTATGTAGATTTATTTATATATGTTTAATATTTATTAATATTATGTATTATAGTTTATAAGTATGTTCGCATATGTATTTATATTTAATCATATTAAAGTTGTCTTGTTTTTATTTATTTTTTAGATTTGAATTTCAAATTTTGTAAATGCACCGCCTACATGAATCTCTGTTTGCTCAAAGCTTGGATGGAATGGAATGGAATTTAACTTTATTTTTCTAAAATAAAAGTAGCTAAGTTACTCCTTATTACATCCTCCTAAAAAAAGTCCCGTTAAAATCGGTCCAGCTATTTTAGAGATTAGCCGGAACAAACAGACAGATAGACAAAAATTGCAAAAAATGTTAGTATAGTGTATGCACCGTATTTTTAATCATATGAATGTAGTAAAAAACGGTTATTTTAATATTACAATCAGACACTCCAATTTTATTTATATGTATAGATTAATATCAGATTCTACTGTAGGTATATGTACCTCACGTATGTAGGTAAGTATATACTAGGTAGGTACTTATTTAGGAATCATTGCAACATAACAATCAAATTCGTCATCAGTCAAGTATTGTCGAACATGTTTCATGAATATCTTGAGTTATAATACCTACTCAGTAATTTCATTGAAATAAGATCGCCCTTCAACCGGAAGACAAGTTTGACGGCTCAATGAGGTAAATAATTATCAATGCAGAACATTTTCTTACAAAGTTTCCTTCTAGTCATTTGTATTGAAAATCAGTTAATATAGGTATCTATTTGATAAATAATCAGTAATCGGTTCTGTTGTGAAATTACAAAAAGATGATTAATAAAAGTAAGTAAATAAATTTACTTTATCTATTGGTAATATTCTAAATTTGCCTTTTTTTGTATAATTACAGGGTATAGAGTAATGACAAATTATTCTTTAGGAATAAATGCAGTGTATGAAGACGGGGATCACAATGAATTTTTGACGTTCGTGATGCTGCTCGCATCAGTCAGAACTTTCCATCAGGCGGGTCGACGCGACGGCTTGTTTGTCATTTCCATTACGTAAAACAAATATAAATGTATCATAAATAGGGGTCCAATAATAAATGAAGTAGATACATCGTTATATACAAAATATAGCAACAATTATGTTATTATATCTTCAATATTTAGGTACATGTATTGATATATATCTATATTAATATTTAAATTGTAGTATGTACGTATAATATATTGAAGGTAATTAGATATCCTGCGAAATTTATATTAACTTAATAATAATGATAATAATCATAATAAATACTTTTTAGTATACATAGGTTATATCAGTTATACGGTAGTGGTACAGAAATCCATAGTCATTAGGGCCAAGTTTATGTTACGGGATGGTGGTTTAACGTACGTAGCATCATTTAGTTGCGTAAAACCATAATGTTTCTAATAGTTATTTAGTTCAATAGTTTAGCATTTATTTACTAAATGTAGAAGGTAAAGTATATACGTACATAAATTTATTCTCCATTAAATAGTTATGTACATTTTGACCTCTACATACAACGTTAGTTCAATTATTGAAAAAAATTTAGTGAGCGACAATTATGCTCCACTGAGCGTAATTTAAGGCCAAAAATTGGCACGCAAAGTATAGACAAACATGCGGTTGCGACATATATTTAAATTCATATCTGCAGTTCTCGCTGCCTACCTCATAAGTATCTCTACGTGAATACTGGTCTACCTATTGATAGAAAGATTAATGTATTATAGAATACCTGTTTTATATTCAGTGATTATCATTCTGATGTCACGGTCTTGCCATGTAAACATTATACTAAGTTCAAGTTCAGCGGGCTATGGCCAAAATAATTGTTAAGTCGGATTTAATATTGACCTACAAATGATGTGACGTAGAACGGAATTTTTTATGAAGAATATTTATTTAATATTTTTATCGATATATTTGTACTGAGCAGTGATTTAATTAATCCGCCACTAGTTTTTATGTGCGGCTTTGTGTACCTCTTTCTATCCCAATTATTAGTGACTTTAAATTCAAAATGGATGGTTGAGATGAAGAAGGCAAGAGTTATAAAATGTATAATATTAATAAGAATTTATTAATTATATTGTTGGTAATTTAAAATTATCGTTCGGTAATAATTCGTCTCTACTAAACTCACGCTGGGCTGATGCCAATATATCTTCAGCACATGCTTGTCCTATTTCAAATGTTATTGACATTTATCCTTGTGCGCTTTATGCTTTAATTAGATACCTACTATATATATATATATATATATTAAATTTACGTACGTTATTAAAAAATGACACACATAGGTATATAGTAATGAAAAATTACATATATAGGTAGGTAGAGAAATTACTGACATTCTTTCTGATTTACAATAAATAAAATCAAAACATTTTCAATTCAACATATTTTATTATTTTGTGGCGAATAATATTGGTTGTTCACATATTTAGTGTAATTTTAAATCCCTACAATCCTGTCATATAAAAAAGTATTAGTGTATAATACACTAATACTAATACTTTTTTATATATTTTTATATACTTCCCGAGAAACAACGAGTTTTCAATCAAATTAATTATTCAGTGATGGTAATAGATTACTACGAGTATTCTCAAATGTACAAGAGATAGAGCAAAAATTAAATCATCGAAATTTTATTCCGCAGCCATTACATTGTTTGTTTGGCAAATTGTTGACTTTCATTGTCATTCAATTATTCAATTACCTACACATTTGTGACAAAGTATAAAATTCAGGAAAATTGTGTGACCTTTAAATAAGAGTATGATACTCGTATATTAGTACGAACATAATTTTGTATTCACGTCGACTCAAAATTACTAATTCACGTGTAACCGAAGAATATGTTATTAGGTTTCCGTCATGGTGCCCGAGTCATTTTATATACCTACTATTACCTACTCATAATGAGGATGAGGGAAGAAAGAAATTTTGTGAGTAGTAAGGTACCCTGTCAGATCTAACTACCTATATGTGTTTGCCTTTCGCTCATAGTGGTTAATCCCTGATGGATACGTTTCAAATTGCAATAGGTTATCTGATAGATATTGTCATCATCCTTTAATCTGTTGCTAATGCCTTCCCAGAGCACACACATACTACCTATATACTGTGTATTCTAGTGGAAATTGTGCGTCTTTTTAATTTAAAATTAATTAGGTTAATTTAAAGTGTACTTATAATGGACTTGTCTACATACAGACATCAAATCCGACAGAATTGCGTAAAATCGGTATGTAGGTATTAATTACTGATCTACATCTGACGCGTACAGCAAAAATGAATAGTTCTACCACAGATAATATAATATTACATAGTTTTACTTAGAAACTTGAATAATAAATAGTTTCTGTATCAGATTGAGGTCTAGATATTCACTAAAAAAAGGGAATTTCCCACGGGAAAGAAAACAATTGACCGCGACAAAGTCAAGAAACCTCATTGTTATTATTTTGCAAGATTTTGGCTGTTTTTATGCAAGGTTCTCATGTAATGTAATTTATAATACGTGAGATCTACTAGTGATAATATTTTGGTGGATTTGTTTTAATAATTAAAAATCGTTAGATGCATTTTAAGCTAAACATAAAATATTTTTACATTTTAAATTATTTTTTTTTATATTTTAAATTAATTTTATAGTTATATTACTTATTATCTTCATCTGTAAAAATTACGAAAGTAAATATTTTTACTTTTTATTTTTTTGGCGCTAATGGCCACCAATGGAGTCCGTTTAAGTTTTATGCGTGCAATAAGAATTAATAAATATATACTTACACAGAAAATATTATATCGAATACAGTTATTAACCTAAACAAATTCGTCTGTACAATTTTATTCAGCGGAATTATATATTCTTGGGGTAAGGCAACAAGTCTAAATTAAATGTAATTTTCAAATTAGGCTGGACATTGACTTTTATTCAAATTAAAATGAATAAGCGAGGTAACTTCACGTAGGCCTTTAAAATCAACGTTTCTTTGACATTAATAGATCGATGTATGTACTTACTACATATCTATTATAAGTACGGGTCGAGGATTTCTACATTTTATTAATGGATTAGTGTTGTACCTAGTACCTACTAAGTTGTTTCTAAGTAAATGGTTTATAATTTTAAGACTTCATAGCGGACTCTCAACTTAACAACAACATTTTTTAGTTCTATATAATAAAAATACTTACAACATTTCACCTAAATAAACAATAGACAACGATAAAAGAATAATATAAGTGAATATTAATTAATTAACTCTTGGAATATATCATATACCAATAAAAATTAATTGTAGTGAAATTGAGACGGAGTTAATATAATTATTAATGTCTTGAACTAATGTTATAACATATATTACATTGGTGTATTGATTTTTTAACTACATACCGATTTTGATATTTTCTATTATTTTTATGACGGTTTTTCTACCTTCTAGATTACTATAGAATAAGTAAATTCAAAAGTTTATTCAAAATTCTGGACATGAAAGAGCAATGGCTCTCTCGTTTTGGACGGATACCTTAATGATTCATCATAACATGAAGGTATATAAAATTGACAAAACAAGGTTAATAATACTAACTAATATATAAATTAAAAAATAGTATATTTACCTACTTACATTATAAATAATTCAACAACCAATGAAATTGATTTTTGCGCTTTGCTTGCGGCCAGTGAACTTAAAATAGGTAACAAACCCCTAAAAGCACTTAATGATGGCTGCGTGTAGAAATGGTTCTATTTAAATCAATAAAGTATAATTTTTCTAGCACATAATAATTTTATTTTTACATATTTACGTATTATTTTGTGTCCTTGTTTCCCTACCTGTACTTTAAAGGATTACAGTGATTTCTCTAGATTTACCCTGTAATATCTGCACGCAATATAAAACCTTAGGTATGTTGCTGTGTGCATAATTAGGCAGTTATAATTACCACGGGAAGCGGTGTTCAGGTGTGTACGTAATTATTTTTAGATAAACTGCACGTATTGCCTTCTAATATTATTTAGGTTGGCAAGACATTTATATTTGATTATTTAATATAATATTTTTAAACTGGTACTTACTAATTATAAAGTTTCTTGTTTCATATAAATCATAATAAATATAGTAAGTAAAATTCAAATAATTCCTTTATTGTAGCTTACCTACAATATTTTGCAGTGTCACGAAAATTAACAAATTTGTCTCATATTCTCTTTTTAAATTTGACTGTTTATATTTACGCGGTAATTTAGAATACGATTTAAGTAGAGGTAATATGGTATTAGGACGCGCGCGTCACGCGCGTATTTCGGCGCGCTACTGATGATGGTATTCAATGCTGCGCTCGAGAAGCTGCTGTGTGCTGGGTTGTGCTGTACCGTGCGCGTATCCATTAGACCGTGTTCAAGGCAATACATATGACGTCTAATAAATAACTTCCAAAAAGAGATACGTTTATGCAAAAATCAACCTTGACACGTTTTTGTTAAGACCTTTACTAGGAGCTAGCTATACCGGATTACAATAATTATAATAAATATTAAGATCTGGAAAATTGGGTATAAATGTTTTAATAATGAAATCGACAATCACAAAGGGAATAACTACTTAAGTAGTTATTTGTCGGCTTCGGCCGGCCTCTAGTAGTTTAGCACACCGCCTTGTCTCCACTGATCGCGGGGCCGATTCATCGCACATTTGTAGATATTATGAGTAGGTATGATTGTTTTTATTGGTCCGGGTGTTTTCTGTGTATATTAAATATGTGTGAATTTACCAAAGAAATGTATTTCAGTAGTGCTGGATAATGAGCTGAAAAAGTGTGTCATAGATATAAAAAGGATAAGTGATAGAATAATAGCTGTCAAAGTAATAGTAGAGAGCATGGTTCTGAACATTATTAGTGTGTATGCTCCTCAGACTGGAAGTGATGAAGACGTAAAAGCAAAGTTTTGGGAAGATTTTGATGGTTTGATGATAGGTATTCCAGAAAATGAAGAGGTATATGTTGGAGGGGATTTTAATGGACATGTAGGCGTACATAATGAAAACTATGATAGAGTTCATGGGGGGAGGTCGATTGGTATACGAAACGAGGATGGCGAATCTTTATGACTTGTTTTTCGATGCGTTAACTGAGAGTATATCATCCATCTCAAGCTATGATCACATTGCGTTATTGGGAGATTTTAATATCAACTTGCTGAATAACTCGGAACAGAATTCGCATAAATTAAACTCTTTTTTAAAATCCTTGGGTTTACAAAATTACATCACTCAGCCTACACACTTTACACAGACTAGTGAGTCTCTCATTGACCTTATTTGTACTGATACTCCTGTTATAAATATCTGCATTGATCATATACCTGAGCTCGGCGGCCATGCAATGGTTTATGCGCAATTTAAAATAACAAAAAAGAAACAATCGCCACTTTATAAGTTATATAGGCCAATAAAAAATATAGATATGACATCGTTCAATAAAGATTTAGATGCAATTCCATGGGATTCAATCCGCTACTTAGATACAGTGACTGATATGGTGACCTGCTTCAATGCATATGTAACTGAGCTCTTTAATTGCCACGCTCCGGTAAAAAAAGTCTTATGTAGGGATAAACATAAACCGTGGCTGACAAGCAATGTACGGCTCATGATGAAATTACGGGATTCAGCTCATGCAAAGTCTAAAAAGCATGACAATGTGGTACTGCGGGACGAATATAAAAGATTAAAACATCTTGTTAATGTCGGTATGCATTTTGAAAAGAAGGCTTATTTCGAATATAACATTAATAAAAAAATTAAGGATTCCAAATCTTTATGGTCAAACTTAAAAAAGACTGCTTTACCTAATACAAAGGTGAACAGCTTGCCCTTGTCTGTAAACGATCCGGATAAAATTAACGATCATTTTTTAAAAACTCCAGGTATTGACGAAGTTCGCATATCCGATCTGACTTACTTTGAGCATCATAGGTGTGGTTCATCTACTTTCAATTTAAAACCTGTTGACTCACTTACAGTGGGTAAAATTATGCTACAAATAAAATCAAATGCTTTGGGCATTGATAATATATCTAAAGATATGATGCTTTTAACACTCCCTAGGACACTGGACATTATTACTTTCATAATTAATAAGTCTATAGAGTCTTCAACATTCCCTGCAATATGGAAAACAGCGGTGGTATGTCCTATCCCTAAGGTTACCAACCCATCAAATTTATCAGATTTGCGACCGATTAGCATATTACCTTTTTTGTCTAAAGTCCTGGAAAGGATTGTCCATCTACAAGTGTCCTATTACTTGGAAGCCAATAACATATTACCACCTTTTCAATCTGGATTTAGAAAACGAAGAGGTACGATCACTGCATTATTGGATGTTGTGGACAATGTTTTGGCGGCTATGGATAAGGGAAATGGTACCTTGCTTACTTTGCTCGATTTTTCGAGGGCTTTCGAATGTTTAAATATAAACCTCTTACTTTCAAAACTTAGATACTATGGATTTGATGGGCAAACAATACTCTGGTTTGATAGTTACCTCAGTAATCGTCATCAGCTCGTAAAGGTAACACAGAACAACGGCACTCTACTATATTCCAAACCTAGACTATTGACGCGAGGAGTCCCGCAGGGATCAATTCTGGGTCCCCTCTTATTCATTCTGTATAGTGCTGACATTGCTAGATACTGTGAAGGATGTTTATATCACCAATATGCGGATGACTTACAAGTTTACATGTCTATAAATCCTCAAGATACAAACATGGCGGTTAGAATATTGAACTCAACACTTTTCCGTATATCGAACTGGTGTAATAAAAATTCTCTTGTTTTGAATCCGGCTAAGTCGAAATTCATGATATTGGGTTCTAAATTGCAGGTACAAAAAATTAAAAATCAAACACCAGTTATAACAGTAGAAGGTACACCTCTGTTGCAAGTAACTGAAACGCGCAATCTGGGTCTACTAATGGACTCTGGTCTTAAATTCGAAAACCATGTCCTAGATTGTGTGGGGAATTGCTTCTACAGACTAAAGATATTATACAAAATTCGAAATTATCTTTCAACTGATCTACGTGTTCGACTGTGCGATTCTCTGATATTGTCCAAGCTGAGTTACGGTTTAGCTGTTTTCGGTTCATGTACACTAGCTAGATCACGGCGGCTTATCCAACGTGTACAAAATGCATGCGCCCGTTTTTGCTTCCGTATACCACCGCGTAGTCATGTCTCTCCTTATCTCAATAATGCTAAACTACTAAATATGTCTTCACGTTACAACCTTTATTTTGCGACTTTGTTGTTTGATGTCATTGAATCCAAAATGCCTGATTACCTTTATAGAAAACTTGTGTGGTCTGGCAATCAGCATGCTTTTAAAACCAGGGCTTCGTTGTATCGACTAGTGACTCCAGCACATCGGACTACTGCCTTCAGAGGCAGTTTCAGATATATGGCCTCCAAGTGTTGGAATAACTTACCTCCTCCTATTCGTAATATAAAAACTAAAGTAAATTTTAAAAACCTTTTAAAAAAACACTTATTGTCTGAACAACTGACTTTAAATAGGAGGTCCTTTATCTGAGGAGTCTTTTTTTCAACGACCGAAGTCGGTAAGCATGGTCAGGAACAATAATGTCTGACTCACGGCGCGTTTAGCCAGCGACCTTGTATATGCAACAACTATTATTTATGTACGTAGTATGTATCTATAGGTTAACAATATATGTATACATAACACACCACTTCATTTTTAATCTATTTGTATATTGTATAATGTTTTGTAATAGTATAATTTTTTAAGAGCTCGAAGTGTAATATATAAACATTCACGTATATATGTATGTAAGTATGTATTTAATTATAGGAGCCAACAGAATATCAGCGCTGCAGACTTATCTGTAGCTTCATGCTGAGTTGGTTGCCTCTTCATCATTGCGACACATAAAGCCACCTCCATTTTTATTTTATTTTGTAATATTATATTTCTGTATTATTTAATCTGTAAACTTTATTTCTATTTATAAAATGTATCTCATGTATGCTATGTGTTTGTAATGGTTGAATAAAGAACTTATCTATCTATCTATCTATCTATTAGAAACTGCTTCAGCATTTGACCTGGCTATAGTAAACACTTGGTTTAAAAAAAAAGAGGAACACCTTATCACCTATAAAAGTGGTCACCATGCGACACAAATAGACTTTTTCCTTACGAGACGAAACAGGTTATGGACTGTCAAAGACTGTAAAGTGCTACCAGGAGAAGATTTAGTCACACAACATAGATTGTTATTAATAGAACTAAAAATTAAAGTACATATAAATAAAAATAAGAAACGCCCCCCACCTACAACTAAATGGCGAATGATAGAAAACAAGGAGTATGCAAGTAGATTCAAGAATGAAGTTGTAGGCAAAATGATTAGTATGAAAGATATGAATGGAAAAACAGTGAATGAATGTTGGGATGAAATAGCACATTATATTAGAATGGTAGGAAAAGAGGTCTTTGGAGAAAGTAAGGGAAAGGGCATAATAGATAAGGATACATGGTGGTGGACTGAAGAAGTGCAAAAGATATTAAAAGAAAAGAAGAATGCTTTTAAAGATTGGCAAAAGGTACCTATAGAGAATGATCGTCTGAAACAAGAGAAAAAGATAATTTATAATAAGTTTAAAAAGGAAGCAAAAAAAGTAGTAGCAATATCCAGAACAAGGGCATTAGATAGAATATACAAGTCACTTGATGACCACAGTGGTCAAAAAGAACTATACAGGATCACAAAAATGAGAGAAGAAAGAGCGAAAGATATGAAGCATGTGAAATGTATAAAAGATGATACAGGCCAAATTTTGTTAAAAGACGACGACATAAAAACACGTTGGAAGGTATATTTTGAAAAACTTATGAATGAAGAGAATCTGTGGGATGAGCCTACAAAAGATATCTCGGTAAACATCGGTGTAGTAAATGAGATTGGTATGGATGAAGTAAGGAAAGCAGTGAAAAGTATGAAGAATGGGAAAGCTGTTGGGCCAGATGGCATACCAGCAGAAGTCTGGAAATTATTAGGAGAAGATGGATGCAAGTGGTTAGCTTTATTCTTTAATAAATTATTGCAGGAAGTGGCGATCCCTAAGGAATGGTGCAATAGTTCACTAGTGCCCATTTTTAAGAATAAGGGTGATGTACAGGATTGTAATAATTATCGAGGAATAAAGCTCATGTCTCACAGTATGAAAGTATGGGAGAAAGTGATAGAAAAGCGATTGCGTGATGAGACTAGTATCACCCAAAACCAGTTTGGATTTATGCCAGGCCGAAGTACCACAGATGCCATATTTGCACTGCGCCAGCTGTGTGAAAAATACAGACGTGCTCACAAGAACTTGCACATGGTATTTGTGGACCTGGAAAAGGCGTACGATAAAGTACCCAGACCGGTTTTGTGGTGGGCCCTGAAAGATAGAGGAGTGCCAGTGAAGTATGTGGAGTTGATTCGTGCTATGTACAGTCAACCTCGTACATACGTTCGGTCGGCCGCGGGAAATACCAGCGAGTTCAGTGTGGCTGTAGGCTTGCATCAGGGGTCGGCTTTAAGCCCGTACCTCTTTTTGTTGATAATGGATGCCTTGACGTCGGAGATACAAGAAGAGGCACCCTGGTGCATGCTATTTGCAGATGACATTGTGCTCGTTGGTGAGGAGGGAGCTGAGATACAGAGTAGATTGGCGATATGGCAGCAAAAGCTGGAAAGTGGTGGCTTAAAGATAAGTAATTCCAAAACGGAATACATGTTTTGCGACTTTGGCGGTCTTTCTGGCTCTGCAGCCATATCACTAAATGGAGTTCCATTACCGATCTGCTCCGATTTCCGGTATTTAGGTTCACTCTTCCAAAGCAATGGCGAATTAGACCGAACCATAAAGCACAGGATTAACTCAGGTTGGATGAAGTGGCGGCAGGTTACGGCGACGACGTGCGACTCACGAGTTCCCCTTAAACTTAAGGGCAAAATTTACAAGACCATGATCCGGCCTGCTATTTTGTATGGATCAGAGTGCTGGCCCATAAAGGCGACGGATGAGAGACGACTGCATGCAACTGAAATGCGAATGTTGAGATGGATGTGTGGTGTGACGAGGATAGACAAGATAAAGAATGAATACATCAGAGGAAGTATGAAAGTAGCACCGATGTCAGAGAAGTTAAAGAGTAATCGTCTATCGTGGTATGGGCATGTAATGCGTAGGAATGAAGATCATATCCTAAGGACGGTGTTACATATGAATGTGGATGGTTATAAGGGTAGAGGAAGACCGAAAAAGAGATGGATGGACTGTGTGAAAGATGATATGGTGAGAAAGGGAGTAAATAACGGAATGACTGCGAACAGAGATGAATGGAAGAGAAAAACATATTACGCCGACCCCAAATAAATGGGATAAGGAAGAAGCAGATGATGATGATGTATTTCAGTAGATATAGATATCTATCAGTTGTTTAGGACTTATGACACAAGCTCTGCTTAACTTAGGACTAGAACCATCTACATAATTTAAAATTAATCACCCAGGACAATTAATACAGCGCCAGCTGTGTTAATTATCCTGAGTAATTAGTTAGGTTATATTGCGAAATATGAACGAGATCGCATTAGAACGTCTAGTTCAAATTTCGTGGTCATAGCCATTTCTCACTAAAGCCACAGATAACATAACTAAACCTGATGTGAATATTCTAATTTTATAAGTATGCCTAATAGGTTTCACCGGTAACATATCAGATTTTTATAAGACCAAAGAAAGACTTGTGTTAGAAACTATCTACGCGTCATATTGTTCGAAGATCTGTTTAGAAGTTTAGATTACTTTTCTTTTATAGTACTCTGTAGTAATTTCTACATTATAAAATATATGTATAGCGAATACACATAATAACATACATGTACCCTGTACAGTAGAATAGGTACGTAAGTTTTAATTTTACATCTATGCGTAATTATGTGCAGACATAACTAGGCGCTAGTGGCAGCTGCTTCGTGACAACCCATTATCTACATTCCAGTTCACAGATTTATCTTCATAGAATGAATTTGTTAACAAACGGGTTTGGTCGCTTGGTATGGTATCGTCTCGAGTCGCATTCTAGTCAGGTCTTACACCACCTTAACGTTTTATGAATGGACAGGCGCTTGGTAGTACAATATTAAGGTACTACTGGACGTACCATTTTTATCGGGTTCTTCTGGCTCGGTAAATTCAGCCGCCAAGTCGCTTGGTTAGTAAGCTGTATTTCCGTTGACGAGTGAGATAAAGCAGTGCAATTTACAGTATATGGAGATATATGTTAGTCCTCCAGAATGTGTGGTATCAGACAGCACCTAACGTGATGTCCGTAGTGTTGTTCATGTACCTATAGGAAAAGGCGACAGTTACCTCTTACCAGCGGGTGAGACGTCAACTTGTTTGAAATGCCAAAAGTTTAATAAAAAAAGACCATTAAATAATTAACAGCTGTACTTTGCATTTTTATCTGCACTGATTGGATGATATTTTTAATAGAAAAGTTTCATTCGAGTTGTTTTGTTTTCATAATTTTATGAGAAATATTAAAATACAACGCTAATCGGGAATAAAAAAAAAAGGTAAACATTCGACTACATTCCTATGGAATATTTATTTTATTGTATTTGCTTATAAAACCACAGTATACAGGAATACAGTGTTTTTTAAATAGGTAAATGCTTTTCAACAACAATCGTTTAAGGACGAGTAATCAATGATGTTTATATTGTAATTTAAAGACAAAATAAATTTTCGTTCATTCATAATTCAAATAACTTTTGCTTATGTAAAGGTTATAAATTATACAAATATCATATCTATGCACTTCACTTTATTCAATAATAGTGTCCGTAAACAATTAGCGACTAATATTTATGACTTATTGGTAAACGAATAAAAAACAAATATAAGTAATTAAAATATGACGAGTGATAATTATATCACTGTTATAGTGCAATATTTATTGCTCCAAATAGGATATGATTTATTACTTACAGTATGACCACAATGTGACCGTCATTTAACCCGAATGCATATTGCCTTAATGTTTAGGCTAATAGCCATTATGGAATAGAGGGCATAAAGTATTAAAAAATATCGGGCTATAGAGAAACAAAACAATATTAATAAATTTTCGTTATAAAAAAATGCAGTCACATACAGTCCATAAAAAGAAGTTTGCCATATGTTGTAATTCAAAAGTAGTACTACTTCTATTAGTAGGACATAAATCGATACGTTGATTTTACAATCGAACTGTCCAACAAATAAGGCGTATTAAGGAAACCTATAATACTAATTACAATAAAAGGTAAATAATTATTTAAGTTTAATGTTTATTCATACATTATAATCATTATCACTTTAGGAACAAGTAAGCAAGTCTATTATTTATATTTCATAACTAATATTATAAATATACCTACTACTTTAAATGCATATACTGGTAAGGTATATTTAATAAATATTTGCATTTAACATATTTATATAGTGACGGTTATGCCCATCTTTTTATACTTATACATTTCTACAGTATAAAAGCCATACATTATGCCAAGTAATGTTTAGCCATATTGGCTATAACCAAAGCCGTGCCTACAACTCATGCAGCTGAACAAGTTTTCTCAAGAAGGAAAGTGGATATTTAAAAATATTTTTTTTTAAATCATATTACATTATTGTAATAAATGGATTATTTAACTGCGCTCAATCTCAGAATTCAATATTTAGGTAGTTTGAGAATTTCACTTAGCTTCATCAGGTAAGTTGTTCAGTATCAAAACTATCAGTGACTTTTAAATAACAAGTATAAGATTTCTTTGACGAAATGGTATCCCTGTTATTTACATAAATACACTAGAAAAAATACTTTCTTTGGTTGGCTAACAAGAATTGAAGCACCAGTGTTACTGCTGGACATTAAAAAAATATGAAAACCCGTCGCACAATATTCTTAATTATTAAAATAAGCACATCACAGTCACTCATATCACGCAATAACATTACAAAACAATAATTTTATCGGTAATGTATACTCGTTTAAATTGCACGGTGGTATAATTCTACCCTCGCATCATACAATAAAAAAATATAAGTATTACTACTTAATAGATATATCATAACATAAGTAATATAATAGGTAAAAATATTACATCAAACATTTCACAAGTAGATATGTTTTTAAACATAGAGATAGCAAATAATTGATAATAGGTTAGGAGAATTAGTAAGTACCTAAATGATAAAAAAATATTTGGAATCTTTATAATCTTTTATACATAACGTTTATAATTCATTTTTCATTAATCAAAATTAGAATTTATGAATAGAAATTAAATGGATACTTTATATTTCATAGTCTTTAATACTAAACAAAAATCACATTAATGCTTTGTGATCAATTACTTAAAATGGCAGCATCGATGTCTGTTAGTACCTAGACTTACATACAACCTCAACTACATAATACTCTCTAAGTATAAAGGTGGATATGAAGTAAACATGCTTTGCCCTTCTATGTATAATTGAAATACACACACATTTTAAACTCAAAAGCTGTACTTCAGCCACTATAACCATATTGTTACAATATTAGACTTTAAAATTAAAAAGAATACGTTGATAATTACAAAATTATTTAAATATACTATGATCTTTTTTAAAATTCGTCATTTCGAATTAGACCTCGGTCTTTACAGATTTTCATCTGGAGTTTGTTGTACAAACATAAAAATGTATATGTAATCTACAGATTATATTTTGTGTGACCATGATTCTTGCTCTTCACCTGTAATTTCAACATGCATATATTTAATGACTAACATACAAATTGTATACTGTTCCTTTTTTCGTATTACAACAGATAGATATGTATACAAGATGTAACGGATAAGGTACAAATCATTGGAAATCCACCCATAGATTTGACACACACCACAAACTGACAACTTTGTAATTTCTTCAAGAAAAAAAAAAATAATTTGTATTACTGGCACTAAAACAATCTACTTATATATATGTTATTTATACTCTTAAACCATATGTTAAGTAGATAGATTATCATACGGTTTAAGAGTATAAAATGTATTTGTATCAACCTTCGAGCTTCTATGATTTATTGTCATACCTTCTCTGTTATACCCTGCATAGTTTTAACATTATTTATTTCAAATATCTTTTTAAAAAGTTAACATTTTATATACCATACCATCTTACATCACAAGCTCTGTACAGATCAGTCTGTCATATGTAATAGTATTAGTGTTTCTATATTAAGATAACGTGTACTAAACGTTTAATAGTAACTGTGAATATTTAAATTAGTTGATTTTGAAAAAATAACAATTTTTGTTTTAAGTGAAAACTGCTAAAATACCACAGAGCGTTTACTCCATACGTATATCATTAAACTTACTTCATTCTGCATTGTTCAGTATCTTTCAACCCTATTTTCTGGATGCAAACTAAGTTGTGAATATTGTTTCTACTCGAATCAACATCCAGCTTGTAAATTCCGAATGTCAATCTTGGACTTAAGGTAAACGATATATACAGGTATAAGGTAAACAATAGATATTCGTCAAATAGCGTAATTAGATATGTTGAGTAGATAATTGTAGGCAAATATGCACTTATTGTATATTTGATTACATACGTATTAATGTTTAGATATTTTTTCTGTAATTGGCATGGCTAACATACTGACGACTTCCTTGATAGGGTGTAACCGTCGCCTATAAAAATGAACAGCACCGCAAATATCAACTTATGACACACGTTCTGTAATATCAATATCGTATACTACTCGTGCTTTCTGTCAAAGTAAATTGCTTGGCGGTTGAATCTACTTTGTTTAAATTCTGTTGATTACTACTACTATTCGGTAATTTCAAGAATTTTATAAGAAATATTTTTCTTTGCACTGTGCAAAAAGAGCACGGAGCAAAAAATATATATTTGTGGGTTGTCTATCAATAAAATAAATCAAAGATAAATCAGTGCTCGAACTAGCCAGTAGCATCAATACTTAACTAAATATGGCATGAGTATTTGAATTAAAATTAGTATTTATTTATAAATTTTAATGAATCGAAATAAATAGAACCGTATAGAACAGATACTTGCAAAACCGGAATGTATGAATATCGTTCTCTTATAAATAATTAGTAACATAAAAATTTGTTTTCTTAAAGTCACAAGCAATGACTACAACAAAATCTATACGATTTTCTACTTATTAATAGGTTTTATATGTAAATCCTATAAATATTTGAAGTAAATAAACTTAATGAAATAAATTTACATGTATGATAACAAATATCTACCTCCCTAAATATATTTAAATTGCTTTCGTAAACACGCGGGCACGTCAATGTATAAAATACTTACTGATTTAAAACAAGATGGCACATCTTGTTTTACAATCACTAAATAGCTGCTTGATAAGACGTATTATAAACACAATGTTATACAATTGTATAATTAAATGAAATTCTACTTGAAATTTTACTAAATACTTAGTCCGAGACACTACTCATTTCACAATAATTGATTAGGTAAATACGAATGCCTTCATTAAAATAAAAACAAATATGAGATTTAGATCCGGCAACTTCACAACTGTAGTTTCCTTTTAGAACAACTTTTAAATTCTAATGGCATATAGGTACCTACAACTTCCAACTATAAGAAAAAAAGGACAGGAAATTCTAAATATTGTCACATAGTGTCTCTGCCTAAATTGTAAAATTAAACAAACTTACATAAAGAGAAGTTCTGAGACCCTTTTCTTATAATGTATCTTATATATTTAAACGTTGGGAGTTGTAATACAGCTATGCTATGAAATTGTAATAACAAAAAACTCAATATTTATTGTATAAACATAATTTATGTTTGCTTTCTACAATTAATAATAAATATTTCCTACGGATTAATGTGATAAAAAACCAAAATGAAAATAAAAAATCTATGGTTTTGAACTCGTTTATTATTCCGTAAATACCGTCGACCCTATAGACCAACCTACACTCTTAAACATAGTAGTGAGAGATATTTCTCTGGGTGCAAAAGTAGGGTCCACATCACTAATTACTTGTTTTATCCACCTAATTAATGTTTTAATACTGACATGGTTGTGAGGTTTTATATAAGAAATAAACAGCTTATCATCAGTATTTAAATTCCTCAAGTTTTGAGTCTTCTCTATATAGCATTTTAATGTTAAAACTGGGCATATTTCAGGTTTAGGCAAATAAAATGGAACGAACAAATAAACCTGACGATTTTCTGGTGCAGATGTTTTTGATAAATTTGTTATTTTAATTTTAGCCCCATTTTCAACAATCTCTATGTCACTTATACTAATTAATGATAAAGTTTGAATGCTTAGTTCACTTCCTAGTGCTAATAAAGTTACCGATTTCTTTGTTAACTTATCTAAATCTAAGTACTCATTGGGAAACCAGTTACAAATATAATTTAAAATAACTGAAGGGTCCAATGTTATAGATGGTTCCACTTGATCAATATCTTTAAAAAATTGTTCAACTTGGGAATCATTGTCTAAATTTGACTTCAATAGTACAGACAGGGCTGAACGAAAAGTAATTAAAGTATTATAAGAAGCTCCTTGATTTAAATTTTCTGAGAGGAATTTCAAAACCTTGGGGATAGATAACTCAAAAACATCTTTTCCATCACAATAAACCCACCATTTTGTAAGAGCTACTGTGTATTGTTTAATAGTGTCATCTGATAAAGAAGATATCATTACATTGATGTCTTCCTCTGGTACTAACCTCTTCCTACATCCTTCAATGATAAGATGCAGACTCCCAGGGTAAGACTGCTGTGTAAGTGATGTGGGTCCCTGAAAGGTGATATAAGTAAAAAATATAATAATTAATTAAATATTATAATTTGTGATATAGCCTTTTCATTGATAAGTAGATACCAGACTTGGGAGGTCCACATAAGAAAACCAATATCAGTATATTGGTTTTCCTATATGGAATATTTAATTTAATGATTAATTTTCAAAATTAAACAAAAGTGTGGAAATGCATAAAACCATACATAGTGTGACCAGTGAAAAGTAAATGCATGGATGCCAAATATTCAAACAGTTACTGATGGTACAAGTTGACTTTTTTCTTTATTAATCACAAAACCAATGCTTTCCAATAATATAATTGTTGCTATACAATTTGTAACTCAATACAATTAATACCATCCAAATAAATAACAGGTTTATATTTACTACTATGAAGTAATAATTACTTTAATATTTTAGTAAAAGTAAAGAGAAAAGACAAGACCAAAGGGCATATAATTGTACTCAGGTACCTTCAAATTGGAACAAAAAAGTTTTTATATTTGTCAAGGGGGAATTAAAATATATGTATCTTTTAAGTTAATATGGACATATGTATTATAATAATGATAGCCCTTATCCATTCACACAACACCATCTAGTCCCAAGCTAAACAGAGCATGTGTTATGGGTACTAGACAACTAATATAACCACTTAAATTTATATTAGTAATACATTTATTTTATAAATATGTATATATTATACATAGAAAAGACCCCGACCAACATAAATAATCAAATTCATGTAAAAATGTTTGTACCATGTTAAATTATACATTTATATTCTCTAAATTATAGTTTTGAAGTTATTTACCATTTTTTAATATAAAACTTAATTCTTAAAACTTTTCCCTTTTGTCTTAGTGCTAAACAATTTCAATTAAGAAATATTTACCTTTGATATTGACATACAATCTTCTGTGTGGAGAGGTAAAGTTTGGCTGCTGGACACTGCAACCCACGTCTCATCAAGGTCCTCTGCTGATGACTGCTCTCCATCTGCTTCTTCATAATGACTATCACAAGGAGAGCCCTGATAGTTTCCAGATACCTGTTTCGGAAGATTTCGCTGGATCTTATTCTTCTGGCTATTATTAATATTGGATGGTTTTAAGATTGCTGTTCCAGACTTTTTAGTGCTGTTAGGTGTTAACACATTTTTATTATAGTTCACTCCAAACAGGAGACTATCCCGAACTGAACCTTCAAGTGACTGTGCTATGTTTTCATCCAAATTAGAAGCAATGAGTTTTCTGCGTGTGATTGTATCTTCCCAATGTAAATCACTTAACAATCTTATCACATCACTAAGAGTGGTGATAGTGTTCATTATATTAACATCACCTCTTCTCAGATTGTTCATAATATCACCAATAATAGCAATGGTAGTACCCAACTGCTGCTGCTGCTGTTCTAATTTTGTATCCCTGTTTATTACTGAGTCAGTTAGGAGACTTTGAAGCTCCACATTTAACTTGGGAGCATCTAACAGTTTAGCATTTTTCGGTATCAAATATCTTTTAACAATCTCTTCTTTGATATCTTTCTTTAAACCACAAGTTAAAATGGTCTCAAATCTCTTTATGATTTCAGAATGTATGTCCTCCCCATACACTTTATTACTATTTAAAGTGTTACTAAGAGCTGAAAGTATACTTTCATCTAAATGTGGTATAGTATTTTCATCTGTAATTGAAAAATTTCCTTAGCTGAAAATAGTATGATATTTTGGTAATATCAGGATTACACAAGGAGGGTATAAAAATGAAGCTACCAACCTTCTTTCATGAGAACATAGGATAAAAGAAAACTCTTTGTAAACGGTATATGTCACTCGACTAGACTTCGTGTTAGAAGCGGTACAAGTTAAAAGAGAAACACAGCATAAACATAACCGAACTTAAAGAATTAAGATAAATGATACCTTTAGTTTCGTCCAGAATTTGGGGATTCAGTACAGGACCATCACAATGCTCATTTTCATTATTCAGCGCCGCTTTCATTAACATTGTAGAAGTACGGAATTTTCGACTATTATTTTTCTCATCATAAGTGTTTCGTTTATTTGGCATTTTATATAATTATAGAATAATAAAAACTATTATAATTTTCTTTTATGCAATATGTCATAAAATTGTTGTTATCGAAAAAAACGATAACAACAATTTTATGACAACTGTCATTTATATTTTGGCAAATATGAATGACAGTTGTGTAGTTGACACCTCATAAGTTTATTTCCTAATTTAAGAAGCATTCCAATTTGTTTAAATATCACGAAGACACGTATCATCAGTCTCGGACTAAGCATCACATATAATTGATATTATTGTGGTAATATTTATATATTTATTATTATGAGTATTTAAAAACACACGATCACTTAATTCAATAATTATTACTATATCACAATGAAATGCATATTCATTGGTATTTTATTTATATACAATTGAAGCGTTTTCGCACAATCGCGAGTTGACATTTCATACTAGTGATCGTTTACAAACCATCCTTTGAGGAAAATGTCATTATTAAATTTCATGGATATTATCACTGGTTTCGACTTACTATACCCATTATATAATTAGTACCACTAGTTTATATACAGTTTCGAGTGAAAATAATTGAGTTAAACACGTTTTCTGAACCCTCAGTGCGTTGGCAATGTGAGTTGATCGCTCTGAGCGCGCGCAGGCCGTAGTCGCGCGGCGAGCCGCAAGCGCAGTGCGACCAAACACGTGGCGCAACCATGCACGAACATCAACACCGTGGCGCACAACGCCACAAATCCGAACGCAGGACCTTTAACAAACATTAAATTACAAATTAATAAAAAGAAATGAAAACCAGTATAGTTGTTTTTAATTGATCGTGTAGGCAGGCTAAGGTGTCTAACTACAGCATACAAGCCTGTTCTTTGGTAATATCTATAAGTCATATAGATCCAATTTTGTCAGTGAATTGCAGGGTTTTTAACAGATTATTGTTTTAGCACGCTGAGACATACATGCGGTTTTTATACACAACGTATAATCTATAGATAGATATTGATTTGTATAATATTATAAAAATATTTATTATTCAATATAGATTAATTATACGTTACGTGAAAAAACCGCATGCACATATGTCTCAGCGTGTTAAGTACCTACAAATTTACAAACTATTCTGTATTATGATATACCAAACAACGAATAATCGAGAATATCTATAGATACAATATATTGTACACTTATCAGGCGCAAACCTGAAATTGTTCGTCATAATTTATCATTAGGTACTAAGTAAACGTTGGCCTATCATTAAAGCTAATTCTCATTATCTGTTACTAGTCAACCAGCTGTGTATGAGTAGGACATTTTATAATCTACACTTAGGAACTGCTGAACTAACCAAGTAGGTATATATACACTCTATCCTGAGGAAATAAACACCATCGCTCCTAAGAATATTATTCAATTCTTGTCCCTCACGGGTCTAGGCAGCGAACTTTAAAAAAAGGCGAGCACAATAGATCTATGCAGGTCGCAATGTCACAGGTACTTGACAATAACACAAAAGACCAAATAAAAATTTGTGTGCGGCGATAAATGTCAAATTCGGGACCTATTAACAGAGCAACGCGGGTACCACTGCACCGCGGAGGCCGACCTAGTAATTATTTAATTGACAATAAAGACTGATTGCGATGCGCTCTTGACATTGGGTGTTAAATGTTGCGTGTCCATTGTGCATCGTGACGTGACTTTAATATAACGTTCACGGAATTTAATATTCAACTTACTACGCAATGGGCAAATTTTATTCATTTGATGGCCCCGGTGGTCTAGCGGTTTAGCATACCGTTTTGCTTTCGACGGTCGCGGGTTCGATTCCCGCACGGTGCAAACATTTGTATTCATGAATATGATTGTTTGTATCGGTCTGGGTGTGTCGGCATATGTATATTATGTATGTATTTACAAAAAATATCTATTTAAGTATTTATATCAGTTGTCTAGTACCCATAACACAAGCTCTGCTTATCGTGGGACTAAATGGATCTGTGTTAATTGTCCAGGGTTATTTACTTATCTTGATATTTCGTTTTTAATTATCATGTTGGATTATATATTGAATGTTATTTTTGTTTCGAATAAGGTTGTTAAATTTAAAATTTTTTTAAGGGTGATAGGTAATGGAATGATTTTGCATCATTATTCTAACGCCTGTGCTAACGGTTTATGCTGTCGGGGCACCAGCGGAGGATAATAAAATGAGCACATCAAGATAAATTCACCATGATGATTACCAGGGGTGGGAATTGCGAGGTCAACCTGACGTGGTACATTACCTACTAGGAATTAAGTTATTAGTCCACTTTACTAACATTTCCCTTCTCTCCATTAAAAATGTATTATGTATATACTTTTTTTTTCTCGAAAAATGTAAGCATATTGTAATTTTATTACATGATAATACAAATTTTATTGGTATGTACCTACCACGGTATTATCCTGTATCATTTTTAGCAAAAGATTAAAAGAAAACCACAGGTCAAAACATTGTCCATGTTACTATAAGTTGGTAGAAGAAGTACCTTTATTTACGTACGGCAAAATTGTTACACAGTATATGCATACCAGGCTTATCCCAATTAAGAGGTGGGTATATGGCAGGCAAGTTGAAACGGTCGGTGCCTCCAAGCGCCCAGTAAATGGCGCTGAAGACACCATACGTGAGGCCCACCGCTGAGCCGTACAACGCATGAGCGGCCCGTAGCGGGTGCGCTGTCACCAGCAACTCGCATACCATGAGCATGGAGTTCCCGCCATGAACCAGGAGATTCAAAGCGTTGATGTCATGTAACTCTGTAATAACAACCATTGATTTAGTACAAGTTAGTTATTTTAATATAGGGATTTAATATTTTACTTATTGTTTATGATAAAATGCATATATTATTCGACACCAGCAATGTCGTCGTAATGGTTCCAGTGAGCGACCTAAGGCGTCGTGACAAGCTTGAGGCGCCATCTATGAATGATAACTATTTGTAGCTGTGACCTTGAGCGGCAATGATCCTTTTAAATTGTATTTTTCTTAATTAGGCCTTATTACCGGAATCTACTTTATACGTAATTCAGCTATGTATCTAATGTGTATGTGTATATGTATATAACATCTTTCGTGTAGACTCCCGGATTAACATAAATCCGGGAGTCTACACGAAAAATTATTGGTTTTCGGGATTTTTACAGGCTTGTACTTAGACAGTAGAGTTACTAGAATTCTTTACAAGACATTATATGTAATTAAAACAAAAAATAAGTTTGCAATCTTAATTATTTCATCATGTATCTAGAAAGATGTAGTCTCTGATAGATGATGTTGAAGAAATGAGTTTATTTAATAAACAAATATCACTTACTGGGATCGTAAACGAGTGTCCAGTAGATAAGTGTAATGACAAATGCTAGATCTGTGGCGACGTTGTGCGAGAGCCAGTACATCCGACACAGCAGCGGAGTATTGAACCGCCGTGGTGTTAACACGTCCTCCTCTTCGTAAGCTGCGAACATTAAAAAGAATAGAATAGAATAATATTTATTACAATCACACGTCTCAACACAATAATGATGATCCCCACAGCAGCATATAAATTATTATAATATCTAAATAGAAATAACACAATACAAGTCATTACATCAAAATAAAAAATAAACACATACTAAAACAATGATAACAAACCAAAAAAAGCACATCCACCACTGTGGAGCATTGTCACCTCGTCACAGTGTATTGATGTGTCTGTAAGGGGCCCATCTCAGTATTATGCCATGACAAAAACCACGATGCTGATTTTCAGTGGAACCCCGAAAAGGTCACGTATAAGAATTATTATGCAACCCTAGACTCTCCAGTTCCATAGTTTGTACCACTATTGTTTTGACATAGAGTGCACTCCTTTTGTTTCTTTCCATGAACCAAATTATTTTACTTATCCACGCGGTACCTTCCTGTTATATAAATATACTTTTTTCTTTTTAATTTTAAAATATAAAATTTATTTATTCATTTCCATTCCATTATTAGTATTCACATTTTTTTTAATAATAAACATCCTGTGAATATAACAATATAAGAGAATGGAATGGAACCTGTGCTAGGAAAACCTGTTACAATATTCCTCCCCATTCTCGGCTCATGGGTATTAGACTAGACTTGGAAAAATATGATTTACTAGGCAACAAAGTATTATATATGTGTGTGTGTGTGTGTGTATGCGTGGATTACGGAGGGGGGGGGGGATTTATATGTGTGGTGTATGATTATGAATTGTGTAAATAGAGCGTATGATTGATGTTGAATGAATTATATTTTAATACTCGTATATATTTTTACTCTTTACAACATGGAGTTAATGGCGTTATTAGTCACCAATGAATATGTTCTCAGGGAGGGATGTTATCCAGCAGAATGCCTGTTATAAGACTATTTATTACTCGAATTCAAATGTCATATGAATTGTAATGTTACACTGACTCCAAATATGATATTTGAATATATGATAAACGTGTGTAAAATTAGGTTGAAATATGTAACCTAACGGTATTCAATCCGATAGGACTGACATACAATTTCATTGCCATTATGGCTGACTGAGTATTTTATTACACCAAATAAGGAGCACTAATATCTATACCACTTTTCTGCCATTGTTAAATTCTTAGTGAAGTTATAATAGAGAATTTCGGATTGAATGACGGTGTCTGCACATATATTGGTTGTCCCTATAATTGATTATCGGATTTTATATGCAATTAAAATATATATAGCTAAGTTACGATGTTATAATGGAAATAAACTACATTTATTTAGGATGACGTAATAGGAACCTAAAATTATTTTTTGGATTAAATTTATGTACATGGAAAACAATTAAATGAATACAAAAAAGCGGACATTCATTGTCTGTTTTTTTTCTGTAATATCCATTAACGAAAACATCTGGCCTGTATATTTGTCTGATTATTTACAAATTGTGAGATCAATTGTTTTTTTTTCCTTTTTATTTAATATCCAGACAGTCAATGGTAGACAGACTAAGTACTAATATAAAAACCAATAAGGACAATTAGAACGCAAGAGTCGAGGCCGGCTGCTTGTCTTAATTGATGCGAAATTGTATCAATCGACCGTTTGTGACCTGCCGGACCCCTGTCGATAGGTTGAATTGAATGCCGATATTAGGCGTTCAATTCACTAACTAATGATTACAAGTTGGGGAAGTAAGGAGATTTTTAGTAATCAAGACTAGTGAATACAGTGCAAGCAATGTACACTGCCAGCTTGATGTCCATGCCATCCTCCCTGAAAACCATTATAGCATTATTCCTAGTGAATTCGTCACTGTGGGCTAATTGAGCTAACTTCATTCTCATTTATCATCTTGCATTTGGTCCTCGCCATAGTTAGCGGAGGTTTTTCGATTCATCCATACAAATACAATGATTACATGTAATTACACATTAATCGACGACCCGTATGACGCGGTGACCTGTGACACAGGTTCTCTAGATCTATCTACTGGCTACAATTCTTCACAAATATGAATTTGACATATTTTTTCATAACAAATTATTCAATTACCTACTTAGCAAATTTTAGCAACACTTTATGTCGAAAATAAATAAAAATATACAATATTTTTTAATTGATTAAGGATACAAACTCGCTTTCCCGCATGATAACGGAAAAGTAGAATGTACTTGTTCGTCCCGTATCCGTAGCATGTGCTAAGAGGCAGTTACATACAACTATGTAAGTGGAAACCAACAAAATCTTGAAATAACATTTATACTAAGTATATGAACTGGCTATTGCAGACAATGGGTTTATAAGATGGGATTCTCCAGCAAGTTCTCTAGGAGGGCCTCTAGCAGTGCGAAGAAAATGATGAAACATACTTAACAAATATGTAGGTAGATCGAAGTGATTCGGAGGCTATATATACAAGATTAAGTCTCGTATTTCCTTTTTGATATGTAAAATAAGAAGTGGCAAAATTTTTTCACTTCCACTTTTTTCATATGGTATATGGGGTATCTACCTATTTGTCATAATATTTAAGTAAACATAAAAAACAGCTTCTGTTGTATAGCAGTTTAGCACATTGTCTTAGTTTCGATCGCGTGTTTGATTTTGGCAAGTACAAATATTTGAATTTCTGAGTACGATTGTTTGTTTTGGTCTGGGTGGTTTCTATGACAAAGTATGTTTATTTATTTATTTATTAGAAAACCAACAGCTTACAATCTAATACATTAATCAAAAGTACATATCTAGAGAAAGCCAATAACAGGTTTTCAGTGAATTAGCAAAAGAAAATAAAACAGAACGTGGCAAAAGGAATAAGGATTAATTTAAAAGTACAAATCAAATATTATAAATTTCACAATATATAAAACTAATAGAACAATTTTAAGAATAACTTTAAGAATTACAAATATTATAATAGTATCTGAATTAGATACTATTTATTTATATTATTAGTCACTTGTGTGTGTGTGTTTCTGTAAGAAAGAATGTGTGTGCATGTGTATAATTAAAGTGTATGAAGATAACTATAAGTTGTGATTAAGAATATGAATGAGTTTCGTTTTATATGTGTTTTTAGAATAATATCTAAAGGGGTCTACGTCTTTAAAGTATTTATTATACGTCGACATTATACGAGAAAATATAGAATTTTTAGCATATTTAGTGTGGGCAAGCGGTACCGAGAATAATGGTGTTCCACGTACACGACGGCGGGGAACAGAGAATGCAATAGTATTGAGGATCCGTGGGCTATCAATGTTTCCCATGATAATATCATATAGAAAAGAGGCATCCAAAAGTTTACGACGCAAGTCTAATGTTAATAATTTATAACTTTTACATCCTTCCTCATAATTTGTGAAAGTCTTTTGTTTAAAGTTAAGGTATTTAATAAATCGCCATTGTACCTGCTCCATGCGGTCTTTATAAATTTGATACTGTGGTGACCATATGCAACTCGCATACTCTAGTGTACTACGTACATATGCAAAATATACAGATTTCAGGCATTGTATGTTTTTAAAATATCGGCATACACGCTTCACAAAACCTAAGCTCTTGAGCGCCTTAGCTACAGCAATGTCTATATGTTTGTCCATTAAAAATTTGCTGTCAAAATATATACCAAGATCACGTATTAGGTTAACTCGCTGGATCGGGATGTCGTCTATGGTATATGTAAATATTAAAGGAGTTTTACGTCTTGTAAAACTGATAATTTGACATTTATCATGACTTACAGTAATATTATTTTTTTTGTAATAATTACTCAAAGAATTTAAGTCATTTTGTAATTTGTAACAATCAGAGACACTGCTTATAACACGGTAAATTTTTTTATCATCGGCATATAATAAATATTCCGTATCAGCAAAGCTTAAGTAAATATCATAAAGATAAGCATTATAAAACAGAGGCCCTAAATGCGATCCCTGGGGAACTCCGGAGGGAATGTCAACAAAATTAGATCGAAAACCACCTATTACAACAGCCTGAGACCTGTTCGACAAATAGGAAATTACCCATCGAAGGAGATCCCCATTTATACCCAATATATTTAATTTTTTTAATAAAGTTTCATGATGTACGCGATCGAAAGCTTTTTCAAAGTCTGTATAAATTACATCCACCTGTCCCCCTCTTTCCATATTGTTTAACACATAAGATGAAAAAATAGCCAAATTAGTAATGGTCGATTTAGATTTTAGAAAACCATGTTGGTTATCTGTGATGCTGTTACTGATAGTGGGATAGATTGCCGCATATACAATTTTTTCTGCCACTTTGCTAAAAGCATTTAAGATGGATATAGGTCTGTAGTTTTCAATCCTGGTTCTGGCACCCTTTTTGTGGATTGGAACAATAAGTGCTTGCTTCCAAATTGAAGGAAATGAACCCTCACTTAATGACCTATTATAAATAATGGTAAGCGGCCGTGTCAGTGGTTTTGCACACTTTACAATGAAGTATGGATGAACCCCATCGCTACCTGCGCCTTTTCTAGTATCTAATTTAGATATAAGATAAAAAACTTCAGCCTCGGTTACCTGCACAGATTGGATATATCCTGTGTCTCCACATAGAGGTGAAGGTAAATCATTATTTATACTATTGGTTTGGTTTGGTTGGTTAATAAAAACGCTGTGAAAGAAGTTATTAAATCCATTTACAATAGATTCACCATCTGAGTAAGTACCAGAGATCGAGTTAAAAGTTTGTGGATACGAAGCATTTAATCTTTTTGATTTAATATAAGACCATAGTTTTTTTGGGTTTTCTATGATTTGTTCCTGTATTAAATTAATGTAATTATTTAAACATTCCTTCTCTTTTAAGTGAAACCTTTTTCTAAGCAATGAGAATTCGTCATAATCTCTTAAGTTATTGGTTTTCTTCCATTGCTTGTGCACCTTTGTTTTATCCTTTAAAATATGTATCAGAGATTTGTTGTACCATATAGGATACCGATTGTTGTTTTTAGTATATGTTGGGATAAATTTATTAATATTTTCATAGATTATATCGTAAAAAACGCGAGTAGCCTCTTCAACGGTACCATTTTTCAAAATACTATTCCAATCTTTATCTGATAAAGAGAAATTAATTTTTTCGTAATCACCCTTAAAAAATTTATACTTGGGTAAAATATTTTCTTTAAAGGATTTTGTTACAAGATCGAGACTATCAATATGTAGGACTGGGTGAAATGTATCTTCTCGTACTAAAGGATAATCACATTTTTCTATTTCAATACAAAAGTTAGAAAATACCAGATCCAATACATTGCCATGAGAATTGCTAATGATATTGTGTTGTTTGAGACCACACAATGTCGTTTCGTTTATTAATTTAATACCTACTTCTTGAATTTCAATAGCACCTTTTTTTAAAAAAGAAGGTCCGTCGCAGTGCCATTCAATATTTGACAAATTAAAATCCCCTACCAATAACACTCGGTCATTACTAAAATTTGTACAAAGATTGTTTACTGTATGTAGAATATTATCAATATCACGAGATTGATTTGGGAGGCCACCCGGGATATATGTTCCTCCTATGTGCAAGTTAAATGATGTGTGACAATTGTCATAAATAATACTTCGAGAGGGTATCGTCAACCAAACTGACTCTGTAGGTGAGATAGACCACTCGGGACGCGGAATGGCACACAAGTTACGCATAGTACAGATCATGACTCCCCCGCCAGTGGCTTTACCCGTAAGTGTGCGATTCCGATCACACCGATATACATCATAACGGTCGTCACAAAGTTCTGCATTAAAAATTCCGTCACATAACCAGGTACATGTTATGTATGTATTTACTGTAAATTATGTGTTTTAGTACCTCTATCAGTATGCTATCATAAATATATAATAAATAAACCTGGACGAGTAACACAGTTCCACAGTATAAGCAGAACTTGTGTTATGGATACTATACAACTGATATAAATATTGAGATATATTTTTTTGTAAATAGATACATAAAAAACACTCAGACCGATACAAAGAAACATACTCATGAATCCAATTGTTTGATCCCGCGACTATCGGAAGTAAAGCGGTGTGCTAAACCGCTAGACTACTGACTACTGACCATCATATTACAAGCATTTGTGTAGTTGGGACTAGATGGCGACGTATGAATTAAATAGTCTTGGTTTATTATTAGTATGTAAAAATTACTGAATAGCATTGATCAGTTGTTGTCTGTAGCAGATCTATAAAAGTGTTTTATATATTTGGTAAAATTGCAGATGTGCTTGTAGGCGTGGTACAATGACAAGAGATCATACGTTTGAAATTAATTGATTCGCGTCTGACATCGTTCAAGGAAAACATTTGGTCTACTAATAGACTCACCCACGCGAGGGTCTTGAATTGTAGAATTACGTTTAAATAAATAAATCCTTGGTATTAACGCAGGAAATAAACCACATGACGTACTTTAAAGTTAGTCATAACTAGATCAATTTATTTTACTTTACAAGAGGTGGAACTGGAGGTTTTACTGTAGAAGGGTGTACCTCGGTCTCGTTTATTTCAAATAGTTTGAATTGTAATCTGTTGTTCGGTTTCATATATACAGGATAAGAGGCATGATAGTACTCTGGAATGGCAACGCATGTATTACGGGTTTCACATAACAACGTGAAGTGGGTGGTGGTGGTGAACCATCTGGTGGGACACTGGCTTATTTATACCTAAATGTAATTTCATAAAAAAATCTTATATTTGTCTATTTTTTTGTTATTTTTTCACGACTGAACAATAGGAAATCTTATAAAATTCTTAATTAAATATAAATCTACATATTCGACGTGAAGACACATTGTACCACGTGGACAGACGTAGGCTCTTTTATATCAAAAAAGCAAATAAATTCGCGGGTAACAACTAGTTTTAAGATTTTTTGAAAGAGAAATGGAGACCTATTACCAGCGTGCATGCATAATACGAGGAAAGTGGTTAAGTAGTGCAAATGTGTAATACATACATGATGTTATCATTTATATTGTCATTTACTTTTTACTTTGGTTTATGGAAAGTACATAATAATATTGAACAACAATTAATATAATAATCATGCATACTCACAGAAATTGTAAGTTTGTGCTCTGTAGCGGTGAACGACGGCCAATGCCAGGGCAGATTGAATGGCTATTAACATGAAACCCCAGTTGGTGAAATAAATGAACCATTTGAAGTAATTGAGCTTCACTGGAGGCCCTTCATAACGCCGTGGAAGTCGCTGGCACGCAAAACTGGCAATGCCAACGCATATTACTGCCAAGAAAACTAGCCATCTGGAAAAGAAGATATAGATTGGTATTCTAACGTATTTTCATTAAAAAGCACTTGTAATTGACGTTAGTTTACCTTTCAATTGCACATTTGTATTTCTAGAAAATCTTCTCTAGAAATTCAGGAGCTTCCTCCAGCTTACACTTAGATTTTGTGGATTGAACTACTTGCCGAGGTTTTATCGAGTATCATAGTAGTATCGAGAGTATATTACGGTTTCTTGAGTGTCGGCAACGCGCACCCCTAGTGTTACTAAGCGTCCATAAGCCATAGTAACGGCCATGGTAACGTTTACCATCAGATGCTTGTGTGTCACCTACATGTTATAAAAAAAGTTGTTGTTGTCTTAGTTGTTAGTTACCTGTATACGAGATATCCAGTTGAAGGTCTTTGACTCTTCTGCCACTGGCAACAGGCGAATTGGTGTGGAGGCGAGTGGTCCAACCTCAGAGACCGCCTACTTGACTGCCACATTCGACCGAACATTGCTGGTCTGCATGTCTTTTTTTGCATTGCTGTAAAGACGAACTATATTAAGTGGTATAGAAAAAAAAATATTTTTCTAATTCTTTGACGGCTATCTAGCAATTAGTACGCCTGCTTACACCTAAGGTAAGGTCAGTTCGATGCTCGCGCGATCCAACCATTTGTATTCATGATATTGTTTGAATTAGTTTAGGTGTTGTCTATGTGTAATATGTACAAGAAATGAATTCTAGTATTTTCAGAATGATTTACTCATACTCATATTACAAGTACTATTTAGCTTGGGACGAGATTACGTTGTGTGAATGAATTGGACTGTGTTATCTTACTAATATAATATTATAAACGCGGCAGTTTGCGAGTATGGATGAATTGATGGATGTTTGTTGCTCTTTCACGCAACAACTACAATGATTTTAATGAAACTACAATAATATAGGTCAGCATAATACAAAGGCTATAAATACGCGTGTAAAACCGCGGGCACAGCTAGTTATCATTAAATTAAAAGTCTAATCCACTATAAAGCATTGTGTATTAGCACAGATAAGATAATATATCAGTATGGGCACTGGTTATAAAGGTAAGTTTGGTCTAGCACGAACTTCTGGGAAGCCGAGTCCTGCAATCTGCATAAAATCCAGTTAGTCATCAATCTCTTGTCTTTGTGAAAACCAATAATTACGTCATCATTAAGAAATTAATCTAATATATACCTTCGGCGAATCTTAATGCCAAATACCGATGTAGACTTTCCAAAAAATCGTCTAGTTGTTTACGTGGGTACCTCAGTTTCTTCTAGTTCAACCGCCAAGCAACTTGCTTTGTAAGATGTTTTTTATTTGAAAGATTAAATAATGCTGTGCATTTACAGAATAAGAGGCATGATGCCTAGGGAATGGCAACGCATGAGTCCTACCACGTCCGGACGTCCTTGCTATTCATGCATATAGGCGATAGTCACAAATAACCATCAGGTGGGCAGGCTTAACCCTGGTCAGCTTGTTTGCAATTCCAATTATATAGCAAAATTGGGGCACAGTTTTAATCAGATTAGCGGTTTAGTAAAAAATATAAAATGGAAGCGTCGCTTCACGTGACCGTTGACCGGCGCGAAGATAGCTTGCTATGAATCAAGTCATTCAGTCTATTAGCCAAGAATACGTTATGCTACATCGTTTCATTAACAACCACATGTCTCGATGGCCAGTAAGGTTGGCAAGTATTTTCTTTCATTAATTTTATAAGAATAAAGGTAATATAGAGTGATAGAATGAATGCTTCTTAGTGGCAAATATGGTAGTTTTACAATCATTATCAACGCTAATATCCCTTAATATCCATTATATTAAGGACGATGAATATTAGCTACAAATAAGTATTTTCATCTATGAAAATTAACAAAATTTTTCACTTTCGGTTAGTTAGGATATACAAGGACATGTTACTGTAATGTAAATCTTTTGCTGTGTTGCGAAATTTCTCTATAGTTAGAGAGGGAATAAATTTTTATTACATTTAAAATCTATATACTATAGTTTTGAAATGTAATAAAAATTTTATCTGTACATGGCAGATATATGAGAAAAGTTAATATGTAGGACCCTATTAACGTATCTAGAATTATTGTCTATGACTTTGTGTGCGCTAATCTCAGAAACCGTTTTAATAAATTTGGGTGCGGTTTTGGTTAATGTATTGTGATAAACTTTATTTAAAGTTTTGAGTAACACTTGTAAGTAATTTGATTTACTAACAATACATTCTTCGTAAATTAAGTTACTACTTAAATAAATGTTTGTAGTTTTGTCGTAACATCACATAACTAGAAAGTAAGCGATAGAAGGAGTGACAACCCTAAAAATAATCTTACAATGTTGCTACTATAATCAGATTTATCTGAGGATATTGAATGTCAAATGAAAGTAAAATATATTGAATGCAGTTCAATGTCAGGTCAAGATCCAATAAATTACTTTTACAGATAGATTTTCTTTATTATGTCCATAATGTATGTTACCGACTTAATTAATACAAACTGTATACTGTGTATTTTACCATATAATGTTAATAAAAATATAAATAATTAAATTATGATTTTTAATTATATCACCTTTACATTAATACTAAAAAAAACTTTATTGATTCTTAAGATTAAAAAAAAACATACCTATATTACTACTACTTTAGTTTACTATTAAATATAAAAAATACTAGTTAACAATACAGAATTTTATGTTACTAAATATGCCATACAAATATGGTGTTAGTGGTATCGGGTTAGAGATTTTAAATGAATCAGATGTACTTTATATAGTTTATCCTAAATATTTTTGATGAAATACTAAGCCTTCGCTCTTGAATTACATAGATTTTGGTTCATAATATACCACATTGAGAAACACGAGGACTATGTCTATATTGGCACATTTGAAGACATTGTTTTTCAATTACATAATGATGTGCCACACCATTTTATTGATTTATGGAGCCACTAACAACAATCCAATTGAGGTATCTATTTCTCAATAGGGATGTGACGTTGTCTATAATAAATCGATATTTTTTGTTAGTGCGTTCTTATTATTAAATTAATATCTATTTTTTTTATTGAATAATCGAATTTTCCATAATCATTGTTTTATCACAATCCCAATTTTTAGGCTCTAGGCCAGTGGATATTTTCGTTTATTGTTTTAGTCATTTAGTCTCGTTTTTTACACCACTTAGATGTAAATTATTTCGCTTGTTAATTCGTATATCAAAATTCACAAAATAACCATCTATTTTTGAAAGAATAAACTTCATACTACCCCAGTGTAAAGTGTGTACTTTCAAAAGGTGGTGGGATGAATAGAATAAGAATAGAATAGAAAATCATTTATTCAAATAAACTTACATTATAGCTTTTTTGAATAGTCATTACATTTTTTTAATCTACCGCTCATTCCGAAAGCTGTCTCATCACAAGAAGAACGAGCAAGAAACTTGCATGTTGCTCTTTTAAATAATTTTATTTTTACTTTACATTTTTAAGTTTAAGTGTCTGAATACAAACCACCAATTAGCACTAATTCAATTAATGATGCTTTCCATCTCCTCAGTCTGAGGATATAAAAATTATCGCTCCTAATAGGTAATATCTTTCAATTCTTATCCCTGACGAGTGTAAGTAACGGACTCTGAAACAGGGCGGGTATATAGATTCTCGTAGGTTGTAGTGCTATAGGATTAAACACTTAGAAATATCCCAAACCTCTCAATAAAAAAAAGATGCACCATCACAACTTAAGAACGATGAGTGCCAAGAGGGACCATATAAAGGTCAACCTAACAGGGAACAATGTCAGTAACAGGACCATCTGTCTCCATTACTTCTCAGCCTTGTTGGTCTAGCGGTTTAGCACACCTTTATCTATCTGCTGGTCGCAGATTCCTCTCACGGTGCAAAGATATATGTTTAGAGTATATATGTGGTTGTTTTTTAAGTATTTACAAAAAAAAAATGTATCCATGTATTTTTATCAGTTGTAGTACATGTAATATATGCTCTGCTAAGCTTGGGACTAGATGGCGGCGTGTGAATTATCCTGAGGTATTATTATTAAAGTCAATTCCCTTTCTCACCGACTGCTGGCAGATCTGGTTATATTAGAACACAATGAAAAGGAAGCAGAAGGAGAATTATTCACAATCGTGCGACGACCCCGCCACATGAATGTTTGCATTAAAATTGCTGTATTGTACTCGGTAAGTGACACAAATCTTGCGCAATGTAACCATTATGTCGATAATTTTCTAATTGAAAACCTGTTGCTATGGACGACTGTGATATGAGAAATGAAAACCTTATAATTTCGACAACTGAATATTCGGCCACATATAACTGTATGAATTGAAAGTTGGAACACAGCGTACATAGCAAGCTGCAACTTTTAGGCGACTGAAATATGTGAGACATACCTACCGAGTAGCTACGTAGACGACCTTTTATAAAGTCTAACTCGCCAAATGTGCTATCAAAAGGTAATTAATTTGGTGATGTTCTACAATATTAGATTTGATAAACTATTAGACATTTCTTTGATTTGGTAAACAATACAATTATTAAGGATTATACTATTTGTTACCCGCGATTTCGTCTGCGTGGATTTTTTTATTATTAAAAATATAATTTCTAAAATAAAAATAGCCTAAATTACTCATTGTGACAATAGCTATCTGAGATTCCCGTCAAGATTGGCCAACCGTTTAAGAGATTAGCAAGAACAAATAGACAGACAAACATTTTTTTTTAATTTGTTTATGATGTAAGTATCAGCTGTTTTGAAAATTTTAAATTACAAATAGACACTTCAATTTTATTTACATATTTGTATAACTATATATTATTTGCCTAACAATTAACAGAAATAGAATAGAGGATAAAACTGCAAATTTCAGTGTGTTTCAAACGGAAAATAAAGCAACTGAGTTGCGTAATCAAACTTCGGGCGACTATCAGACAATCAGTATATTTATCGATTAACTACCAATTCGAGAACAGCGAAACAAGACTTTAATGTTCAACACAATTTAGTGTGTTTATTATACCGTATATTCTCGCAGAAACTGAAAATACAACTTCAAATAATAGTCCTGAAATAACCCAATGAGGTAAAAAAATGAATGTAGAATTGTGGAGAATATAGCAATTATATAAAAGCAACAGAAAAAATAGTGTTTTGGAGTCGCTTCAAAAATGTAACCACCATTTTATTTTGTTTTATTAGCGTAATGAATGAATACTACGTTTTGGTACTGATATGTCTAGAGAGGAGACCAGACGGGAGCGCTTCATCATTGTTTAATTAACGCTTACAAGTCAACGAGCTATTTGGCCGGGAACATGCAGACTGCCGGCAATTGACAGCCACCTGCATCAAACAGTACCTAATTAATTTAACAGGCTCAACATCTGTGAGTAATTAAATATGATGATCACAATGATATATTATCGTTATCCTTACTTATATGTTAAAGTTATACATATAAATACGAAAGTATGTTTGTCTGTTTCTTACATTTTCACTGCTGAATAAATGTTTGTAATTTCATATGCAGGTAAGCTGTATCATGAGAATGGACATTGTCTATCTTTTATCTCTAAAAATAATCTAGAGGATTGAAATGAGGTCTAAACGATTGAGAAGACAAAGTCACGGGTTACAGGCTAGTAATACAAATACTATCTGTAGTTTGTCACGATTCATTGGCTGAATGTGAGACTGTATCACGAGGACAGACAAACTCCTTCTTTTATGTATACATATAATTGAATTGCAGTGTCTGTAATATTGAAATAACTGTTTTTTACTACATGCATATGAATACAAATACGGTGCATACACCAAAATAACAGTTTTTACAATTTTTGTCTATCTGTTTGTTCCGGCTAATCTCTGAAATGGCTGGACCGATTTAGACGAGACTTTTTTGTAGGTAGCTTATGTAATAAGGAGTAACTTAGGCTACTTTTTAGAAAAATAAATTTAAATTGCACGCGGACGAATGCGCGGGAACAGCTAGTCTAAAAAAAATAAGACAAATTTGTGGGGGACAGATGTGTGTGTTTGTTGGTTACGCTATACACGCCTAACAATGCATAAAACTCAATATAAACCGATTGTTTTGACGATTTTTTATGTATAGAACTATGTGATCCTGAATATGGTAATATATTATATTTTTTGCTGTCTGAAAATGGGATGAAAGTTTGTCTGGGAAATAAGCGATATATACAACTCAATCAATAAATCGCTAGTAGCTAAATGAAAAACTTGGGATTAATTTTGTTTAATTCTTTTGCCATTAGAATTTTTTTTTTTTTTTAAATTACCAATGCGAAGCCGGGGTAGGCCGCCAGTAACATATAATGAATCAAATCAGTACTGACATCATCTGACACACGGTACTACACTAATCAGGAGATATTGTATGTGTATCATATAAATGACTACCTCAGATGGGGTATTCAAAGAGAATATCACTTTGTCATGAACGCAACAGTTGACATGCTTGGGTTTCGCTGATTACATATACATATTTAAATCCAACATGTCTGCAGGGGCTAATCAACTGCAGTCTCTCTAATAAAGTTTGCTTTGTAATCAGTATTAACCATAAGCTTAGAGTCAGAAATATATATAAATAGAGATGCAAAAAAAATATGTTGGCTAGATTCGAGTCAACGATCTAGAGCCTAAGTTGACGTTTAAATCACTAGACCAATAATTTCCTTCTTTTTGCTGCCTAATTCGAGTCTGTAAATTGCAGTTGATAATGGATATCTATGTAGTTGGTTTTAAACAAGTGTCAATGCTTTTTACTATTGTACAACGTATAAATCCAATAGAGAGACAATTGTTATTCTATTGTAATTATTGTTCTACACTCATTCACATAAAAATAAAAGGACGGAAAAATGATCACATTGAGATAAAGCGTGGAGGTCATGTAAGCAATTTTTATAATCAGTACGTTATTGTATTTGATTCATTACTGCCAATCGCTTTATACAAGGGTTTATTATTCAAGAACTAAAGAGACTTTGTTATTTTTATAATCTGGAAAGGCAATTAATATACTGCTAATTAATAAATAATATTAATAACTACAGATTTTGTTATGATTCCGGACCCAAGCGGTTTTTGTGTGTCTGACTGTCAGTCGCTGTCATTTTGGTTGAGAGCAGTGTAATTAACGTTGTTAAAAAATATTCATACTAATATTATAAACGCGCAAGTATCTTTATATATTTGTAACCTTTTGGCAGTTAAAACTCCACTGAACGAATATTGTATGATAGATAACGAGGTACAAGTACGACATATTTATAATAGGCAGCGCAATTCGAAGCAGCTGGACCTACTTAAAAAATAATACCAGGGATAATAGCACGGTAACCTTCCTATATTATCCCTGATGAACATAGGCCAGATGAAAATACCCATGCGAAGCCAGGACGGGCCGCTCGTAGCCTATATAACTCTTACTTTATACCTTAAATGTATTATATTTTTCTGTTTTAGGAGTCTTCTTTGAATAATTACAATTGAAAAAAAAAGTTTTTTAAATATCATAATTTTTGTAGCAATTTATATTGGCATTTCGTAGCTATGTATGTATTTATAATAATACTACCTGTAACGTGCTATTCCATCTGCTTTTTTTTAAAAGATAAGATAGCCTATGTCTGTCCACATAATATAATCTATTGATAAATTTCATTAAGATTCATCCTCCACTATCTATCCTGGTTTCACATTTATAGGTAATAAATATTAGTAGGATCTATCATTTAAGCACTACCTTCTACATAATGTTTCTTTCAAACGTAAGATCTGTAAAACTATAGGCAGCTATAGTTATAGTTAACACTGTAAAGTCAATATTTGAATTGAAGGTAAAATTAATTATTCACTTGGTACCTATTTGAATACTATTTTTGGGACTAGGAAAATATTAACTCATTTGTATGTAGGCCGAGCATAAAGCTACACATATAGCTAACATTTATTGACGATTTTCATAAAAAACACACTATCTTTTACAGTTTTATATAGGTTCATCTTCATTTACCACCAACTTGTATAAATCTATGTATTATAAATTAGTACAATCACTATGAAACTTTAAAGTATGTATGTAGAATATGTCTAAAATGTACAAAACAAAATCGCAGTTCCTGTCTGTCTGTTCTTAAACAATGCAAGAGACTTTGATATGGGTTTCACTGACATGTCAATGTCATAACAAGAACCAAGTGTTTTTACGGGTGGTTTGTTAGTACCTACAATATGTCCAAATGTAAAACATATATATACATATATATTTATTTTAGGTAGGTTTAACTTAGACGAAATTCATGCGAAGTGGGAACTTACTAGTTATTAAGAAACGAATAGTGTTTTAAATATGTATTTAACAAAATATCGAAATATGTTTTTTTCATATATTGTTTTTATAGTACCTACCTAAAACATTTTAGACATGTCTTATTAGAATTTTATAATGTCTTTCTTTAGGTATATCAGTAGGTATACTATTAAAATACTATGTAGGCATAGGTATACGATAATATTGTATTATATATATATTTTTTATTGAATATCCACGTTTTTTTTAATATTAGCAGAGACTGCGTCGTTTAGCAGAGATATCGTCTGCGTTGGTATCTCAGTCTCACTATTTTAAGAAGTTTACTTTGTAAGCAGTGTTGTGGGGTCAGATTAGGCAGTGAAATTGGAGAACAGGCATGTATTAGTGCACGAATGGCAACGCATGGATGGTAGCACGGGTGTCACATGATGACAATTAATTGTAAATTAATTTGTCTGTATCGAACATTTCTAGATCTTTCTAAGTGTCTTAGTAAGTATTAAGTAAGTATAGATGACGGTCATGCTAGAGCGATCTACTACTTTTCTCAGCCGTAGCTGACTAATTGGAAATGTATTTTTATTTCAAAGTATTTAAAGTTATAGTTAATTATTGTACATACTTTTATTTCATTCTGTCTTGTCAGTAGTTTCCTAATATATATCTCCGTATTTAAAGTCTTTTTCTATAGTTTTACTTTTAACTATATGCATATAAAATAAAACTACAGCATTGCAATTCCGAATCCATGATTCACCTAGAACTTATTTAGCGGTCTATATAAGACAACATCGAAATATATCGCTTTCGACCTATTGTATACCTGTATACTTCTATATAGGGACAAAAATAGCTCACTACAATGCTACTGGCCTCTATTTACAGCATGACCGATTGAAAAATCGATAAGGTGTACGGATGACAGAAAAATAAGGTGTAAGGATGTATAGTATGTTACTACCTTACTTATTATATTGATAACTAGGGAATGTAAAGCTGATATTATTAACTTATAGAAGAAGAGTAAATAATATATAACATTAACGTCGGAAGATACATTTTATCAGAACAATATTATACCTAAGTATATGTAAGTTGACATAAAATAATATAGGTATAATTCCTTAAAGTACAAGTTGTGTAACGTTTTGTTTTAAATCTAACTACAGACCTCCAAATAATAAATCAAAGCTTTATTATTATTTCACAGTGACTAGTACATTCCTGTATTTTTATTTCTAATTGAGTTTTATTCATTTTACTCCATATATATCAGGTTATCTTGGTCCAGATCTTCTGTTACAGAGATAAATAACTTAGTGTTATCACTTAATATTTTACATTATTTTATCTAATTCAATCTTTACAATTAATATCTACTTTTAGAAAATTTAAGTGTTCAAAGTTCAAACTCTAGTTATTTTCGTTTTGTACCCAGGTAGAAATAACTAGACGTTCATAAATATTTATCTTAATTTGCGATCGACTTCGCATCGGTGTGGGAAAAACATCCCACTTTGTTGCTAAGTCAAATGGCTCGTCAAAACCTGTTTATTATAATATAGGTATATACGGCGTTTATTATGTTATGTTATAATAAACGTCGTATGTACCTATACCTAATAATATTAAGCGGCTGTACGTTTTTAAGGCATGTCTAGTGCTAATTTACCTGCATAACCTATATTACTTATATTATATTAATTAAAAAGAATGTATAATAAAACGAAAATAACTTACACAGGTCTAATCTAGGTAGTTTCATTCTTCTATATCCTGTATATAGAAATGGATATATATACCGCAGCGTCACTTTGAATGAGATGTACAGACCGGGTGCTGTCCTGAGCTTGTATAGTAATTCTACGCCGCCAAATTGGTCACGTCGATTCGTATTTCATTGGAATGTTACCGAAAGGAAATGCAGGCGTGTGTTTCGTATTTCGCGATGTTTTTAAAGGTGCCAATGCATTCGATACGTGCGCATGTGCGCCGCATGGGATGACACTGTCAGCTACGGGAGCCGGGCTCCGTGATCCGGCCTGCGTGGATCGGGCACCGCGCGCCGTCGTCGCTACTCAATAACTCGCGGTCTCCAATCTCGATTGAAATTAATTCCTATACGGCAGCCCCGGCGTGCCTTGCTCCCTCGGACCCCGGCAATCACGGCACAAGACTTCGTGTATGAAATATCGACGTGACGATTACTAATAGGCACATATGACACTTAATACAAACAAATGAGCTCCTAATTTAGACAATTGGCCAAATAGTTAAATGTTGTGGTGATAAAATTCAAGCGCTCGTTTCTAATTCGAATGTCAAGGCGAAACAATGAATTGGTAAAGAAATCACTTATAGATTGTTATGTACGCATTTCAGAAATGTAAAACGACAAAATAAGAAACGTGTTACGTGCAAGGAACTGATTATTGAAAACTGATATTGCAATATTATTCTTATTAAGTTATTATGAACTTTTTACTAATAATTCAAAGCAGTAAGCTATTGATATGAATAAATAATAAATCTTACCTGTATCATAAGTATTCATAAATAAAAAAATATGTATACGATTTAAAAAATATATATTTGGATTTTATGCAATATGATTTTTTCAATTATTTCTTATTTAAACAGTAAATGATTTAAGTATAATATTACAATTAGGATAAGCTAAAACCTGTACCGAAACGTACAATGCTAGTCGCGTGTGCCACTAACTGCACCGTGTTTTCAGTATTTATGACTCAAAGGCAGCGTTAATTATGTAGCCATCTACTTATATAATATAGTACTTCTGCGCCATATGCGCCATGCTTAGGTTTAAATATGGGCTACAGTTTTCAATTTTTGAGTTTAGTGCTTCCGCATATTGATTTAAGAGATATGTTTATAATGGCGATATCACATGCGCTAATTGTATGCTCGGTGGAGGGGAAATGAAACTTCCTATTTACAGTTTTTTAATGGATGATGATGAAATGGTGCATCCTGCTCCGCTAACGTATTACCCTGGCGAGGCATCAGTGGAGCATGCACATGTGGTCAGATAAATTAGCCATCTATGAATTTATTATGATGACTTTCAGGAGGAATCGCGTGGAGGTCGACCTGACATGGTTCACTGCTACATGTACATTGGCCAGCACAATAAAACGATAAGGTTTAAATTGAGTCTCATCATCAGCAATTTATCATGATTAATTCAAGAAATATTGGAAATAATTTTGGTCGACTATCAGGGTGGGTACATGGGTAGTAGTCTTAAAATCTTCATTGATCTATATATTAAATACTATAATAATATCTCAGGACTCAGGAGGATAATACCTTGTGTTATGACCTGATATGATATATTTTTTGCAAGTACATACATAATATAGATAGAAAATACCCATACCGATATAAACACTTAATACTCATGAATATAAATGTTTCATTATCATGTGTATAGTGCGAGGAATCGAACCCGCGACCATCGGTGCTAAACCTCTACACCACCGGGGCTGTCAATATTATAATGCTATGCCTAATTTAATTCTAATTGCTAGACTATAACTAGACTGATTTAATGAAATAATGAAACAAACAGGTTTTTGTCCCTTAAAAAAGGAATTACATCGAGTTATAATAAAAGTACAGAACCAATACGAGTAAATAATATCGATTGCTAAAACGTGTACAGATTAGATAGGTAATAAACGGGTATTATTTTATTTATTACCTATATATTTTATTATTACCTGTTTTACTTACACGATTAAATTAACAGTCTCCTTTTTGAAATGATTAAAAATATAGTTGTAACAAAAAAAAGTTTATTAGAAAATAAATTATATAGGTAATTAAGTATGTATATATTACCTTTTGTGTGTTTTTTCATTCTTATTAAGAAACCAAAAACATTATGTCCTCAAAAATAGGTACTTTTTAGGAAAGTTAATATCACAGTTTCACACGCAAGAAAAATACCACAGCATTTATTTTATTCTCCTTTTCACAGTCGACACAAAATAATAGTAAATCGGAACGTGTATTACATTTCTGCGTCTAGTACCTACTGACTTTAATGCACATAAACACTTTACTATTAACACACATATTTTCAGATATACTAAGCACTGCTACACTGCACATTCAGACGGTTAAACAATCCAAAAAACCCTAACCACTAAAACGCTTCGCTTCTAAAACGTGACATGCTTCATGTAATCAATGTAGGTTTATATGTACATAAAGTCCAACATTTCGATCGATTTTTTTTAACACTCACTCACTACATAATGGACGTTCTGATGGTAATGTTGTTTAGTGATCGTTAGCTACCATTGAACGTCATGAAGAAATGTATCACCCCTCTGCACCCCCGCACTATCCCCGTTTGGATCACGCCACGCGGTGTTACCTGGGGACTTCCGTATCACGTGGCAATTTTTTTGCAAAAGCCAGATGTTCGATCGTTACTCAGTTTAGTAGGGTTAACGCTCATTGGAAGGGTTTGTTGCGTGCAGTATTTTTATATCGATTGGTTGCTATTGGTTTAGAAATTGTGATAGCTGTAATGCTCGTGAACGGGTGTTCTTTGTTGACTTACTGTTCCATGAGTGATTTATTTTATTAATTAACTCCAACTAATCTACATATGAATTGTTTAGTATAAAATAAAAATGATAATATTGTAATACCCATATAAATTTCTGGTGGCTGGGAGAAAATGCCTCAATTGTTAAGATCGCCGTCCGCATCTTAATTATTTTATTTGTACATAGAAGTATTATTAAATTTAAAATAAAAGTATGATCATGAGAATCTGGCTGAATAACCTTTGTGTGTTAATTTATTTAGGTGACAGAAACATCGTAAAGAAAATAAATTAATCAGAGAGACGGCGGTAGGCTCGCTCCTTGCCACGTTATTTTCCGGGCGTAATGTGGGTCATATGTTGCGTTCACCACAACGCCGGCGTCATTTGAGGATGTGTCTGACTGACCATCTGGGATAACAGTGCTTGCTGTTATTAGTTTCATTGTAGATTTGACATATTTGTATAATAGTCTGCTTTGGAAATAATAATTTAAGATTACATTTCATAGAAAACAAACGGAGATGTTAGTAACAAGTGTGTCAACACTATTATTGCAAAAATTCATTTGTACAGGTGTAAAATTTACAAGGATATAGCTTGACAATACAAAAACTACGACAACAATATTGAGAACTGCGTTCATTTTATTTATAGTGTTAACTAGTGGTTTGTCGAACATTTGTTACCAACTTTATGCTGTTACTGAGTGCCGATCCTTATTCATACAAAATGTATTATCGTGTGTTATATCAAAGTGCATAGGGCTAATAAACATTTTTGTTATTATGGAATATAATAGGGACTGGTGTATTTTGCTAGTCGGTACAAAAAGGTTGAGTGGATCTCCATTGTATAGTATCTAAATAAATAAAAAACTTATTTAGGTATACCTAAATAATTACTACGTACGGTTTTTTATTTTACCCGTACATACCAGTATATACATTAATGGTATAAGTATATGCTACCTGTCTTTGAAGCATATACTCATATTACTCATACCTTCACTGTCTTTTTTTTGTTAAAAAAATATAAAAATCTTGTTCTTCTAGAAATGGGTATGGTTTCAGCGAAGACATAATTATCACACACAGATACAAAACATACTACATATTTAAAAATTTTGAAAAATATTACTAATATTACAATATATTTTTTCATAGAGCTAGTCACTTTATTAGTGATCTCCGGTGAATAGAAAAGCGAGCAAATTACTTTTGCGAATTATTTTATAGCATGTATTGAATATCTAATTAAACATAAGAAGATAATTATTATTGCGTTTGCGATTTATGAAAGTAATTATTTTCATTATCCACAATAAACTGAAAATGTTCAGGCTACATATAGAAGTAGTCTCGCCAAGAAGGCGCCTCGTCCTGCGACACGATGACGCCTTACTCTTGGCCTTGGCAGGGCTGCTATTTGTTTATCCTTATATATACGTATATATATATATATATTATTAAAAATAACATTTTTTAAAATTTTTGTCTGTCTGTCTTGTTATCTGTGTTCCGGCTAATCTCTGAAATGGCTGGACCGATTTTGACGGGACTTTTTTGGTACGCAGCTAATGTAATAAGGAGTATTAAATTTTTATTTTGAAAAATAAAGTTAAACATACGAAGTTTAGTGACAGCTTTATTAATAAAAAAAAAGACGTGATGGATATATATATATATATATATCTCGCCTTACCATATTTGTCCAGGAGATACTATGATTAGTTAGGCAAATTTTGTTTATTAAATTTGTCTGCTTGTATAATTTATAACATAGTGTTTAGTGACTTTAATGTTAAACGTTTTCTGTAACATGTACCAAGGTATTATTTTTGGTTAAATTCTTTTTTTTAATTAGATCATCATCATCACTGCCTTGCCTTTATCCCTATATTTGGGGTCGGCGCAGTATGTCATTCTCTTCCACTGCTCTCTATCGGTCGTCATATCTGAACATACTCTTCTTTTATTCATATCATCTTTCACACGATCCATCCATCTTTTCTTAGGGCGTCCCCTCCGTTTACATCCAGTCACATTCATATTATACACTTTCCATAAGACATGGTCCTCGTTCCGCCGTATAACATGCCCATACAGCTCAATCTGTTACCTCGCAACTTTTCTATAACCGGCGCAACTTTCAAACTTCCTCGTATATACACATTCCTTATTCTGTCATTCCTGGTAACCCCACACATCCATCTTAACATTCGCATTTCTGTCACATGCACACGACTTTCATCCATCCCCTTTACGGCCCAACATTCAGATCCATACAAAATGACAGGTCTTATGATAGATTTATATACTTTACCCTTTAGTTTCAAGGGCATTCGGGGGTCGCATATCGTTCCCGAAACCTGTCGCCATTTCATCCATCCCGCACTAATTTTGTGCCCTTACATCGCGGTCTATGTCGGCATTGTTCTGAATAACTGAACCGAGGTACCGAAAATCGGAGCAGACCGGAAGCATTACACCGTTTAGGCAGATAGGCTTGAAACTGGAGAGACCGCCGAAATCGCAGAATAGGTATTCAGTTTTAGTTCTGCTGATCTTCAAGCCATCATAGCCATCTATCTAGTCTACTCTGGACCTCGATACCATACTCACCAACAAGCACAATATCGTCGGCAAACAGCATACACCAGGGTACCTCGTCCTGAATGTCCGATGTCAGAGCATCCATTACAATGAGGAAGAGGTAAGGGCTTAGAGCCGAACCCTGGTGTAAGCCTACCGCCACACTGAACTTGTCGGAGGCACCTACCGCCGATCGGACGTATGTGTTAGACCGGATGTACATGGCACGTATTATGTAGATCTACATACTTCCCTGGCACACCTTTCTTCTTTAGGGCCCACCACAAAACTAGACTTTAATTAGATATATACAAAAAGTATATTTATGCAATTTTAAAACAAATGTAAGTATAAAACTTGGCACCAACATTAAATATTATGAAGTTATTTTACTAGTAAGTATAATTGCATAAAACTATTTTGATGTAGCTTAAGCTAGTATATAAAGTGCCTTGTAAACATTCTATATATCCATCTCTTCTCTCTCTTTAAATAATACAATGAGCATAAATTGACATTTTCCTCTTTTTTAAATTCGTTAAATAAATAAATATGTCTCAATCAACTTAGTCAACTTTGTAAAATCCGAAATAATGAATATGTAAACAATGTCAGTTTATGTTTAAATTTCATATTCAAACGTGCAAAAAGTTAGAATGATGAATGATATATCTCAAAACATTTCATTCCTCGCATTGCGTAGTTTCACAGACTGTTAATATGACTATGGTATGACAAATATGGTATGTAAATTTAAAAAAGTAATTGTTCGTAAAAATTAGTCAATTTTTTACTTAATCTGGACTACGTCAACTCTTAAGAAAAATAGTCCAAATTAATTCTTACACTATATTTTGTTTCGCAAACGTGTCAACCCTTACAGAGCAAGTTATTTCCATTAAACGCCATAGTACTGTCACGTTAATGGAAGAAAATGTAATACTGGAAGCCAACGCAATAATACCGTTTTACGAGGAGAAATATCGTAATATTCCATTTATTTGGTGGCTACCTTACATTACGTTTGTTTTTGTTTTCTTTTGTAGACAATCGTAATAAATAATGATCTAATAATTAAATTTAAGAATACCTAAGAATAAATAAGGGTGTTTTAACATATATGTACTACATTCTTTTTTATATCTTACTTGATAGAAACGTTTCAAGTATCAGAATGGTGGTTGAAAATAATATTTATTAATATGAGAAAAACGAACTAAACTTGTGTAAATTCTTTTATAATATTATTTAAATAGTATCTACCAAAGTATATAACTAAAGATACCTTACTACTACTTAAATATAATAAGTCAGTATTGTATGTTAATGTACATACATACATTATGACATGATAATGGCTTTCAAACCCTTTCGTTAACTTGCATCAACGAAGTGGGCAAAATTAATAAGACATGATAAATAGCTTGGAATTAATACATATATATATACATAAATGAAAATATTTCATAAATAAAAAATAATTCTCAAATTGTACTTGTAATTTGAGAATTATTAAAAATATTTGTCATTTTTTTAACAATTCTCGTTTTAAATCAATTGTTACATGTAAACAATAAGACAAATTGATACATTTTCACGACTAAAAGGCTGAACGGATTTTAATGTTTGCCATGAAAATAACAAATAATATCACGAGTGTCTCTTTTGATATATTATATGTTATAAGTTTTCCTAGATTTATTACATCCTGTTAAACCTCAATTATGCTGAAATACTGAAAAACAATGGCTTCACACATATGTATTTGTGTATAGCAGGCTTATAATTATAGAGAGTGATTACAAAATACCTATATAAACTTTTATAGTACCAAATTCGGCCCAAATTGAGTTTTACCGCCAACTGAAATCGATTTTATTCTTAAAATAGAAATTACTTCACTTGTACTATTTTAAATTAAATATACCTTCGCCTACCTATTTCAGCCGCCATAATCAGCAAATCATCAGATTGCTTTGTAAGTTGTATTTTGGATGAAGAGTGAGATAAGGCAGTTAAATTACAGGATAAGATAAGTGACATCTCTCTGGAATAGCAACGTATAAGTGGTAATATGTTAACGAGTGTCGGTAATATGTTAACGTGATATCCAAAATGCTGTTCATGTATACCGCTATCCATTATATGGACAATCAGCTTGTTTCATCATTTCAGTTACATTAAAAAAGTTGGGCGAGTTTTATTCCGATGAAATGCCACCAGTGAGTGGAAAATACGTTTTGTTAAATATTTATAATTGAATTACAGAGATACGTTTACTATTGCTGAGTAACGTTGGTTGGTGCTAATCTATTCAAAACTCGGGCGGGTTGAACCGCCTGTGAAATATTGATACGCTTGAAATAGGTTTCGCTGATGTCATGTTGTAAACAACTTGTAATTACGGCGTTTTGTTCTACAATCTACTTTAAATGAGTTTAAAGGGTAAAAAAATACGAATATCTATTGATACAGTGTTGGGGAAGTCATTGTCAATGGTCGAAGTCTGGGTAAACCCAACATTTCTTATGCTCGGATTTCGCAATTTGAATCCAAGATGCTATTGCTATGCTATTGTATATATTGATGCTATTGATGCTTGAAGAAGTTAATTAACTTCTAGGGTCACCCTCTTTTGGTTTCTTATTGGTATTTTCTTCACAGGACAGTCATACACTGAAGTCAGGTACATAAATTGCACGTATTACGCACACATAAACATCTGGAATTCGCCAGGTAATTAGGTGATATATAATATATGTGGCAGACTAGCTCAACCGACTACCGGTACACTATGAAACTCACAATTAACGTGTTCTATTCGTAGAAGAATATTCACAATCAGTTCAGTACATTTCAAACTTTACTTCTTTATAATAATAGTATAGATTATAGGTAATGGCGAAATCCTCTTCCCTTTATCACATTCAACTTCTCGTCATTTAAAAAGTAAATATTCTGGAAACATAACGCCGTGGTAGTGTTATAGATAATATAATAAATTTACTACTACTACGAGTTCATCCAATTCTTCAGATCTTGATTGCATACTCCGTCAAATGAACATAAAACATATGATTGTAGAATAAGCTTCAACTCTAGGGACTACTACTTCACAGTCCTATAAAATTAATGCGAAAAGGTTTTTTCGGGTTTTACCGTACTCGCAATGCCCGTGGGGTAACCCTATAAATGCGTCAGACACGCATTAAGGTCACGATGCTTTTAATATTTTAACAGCGCTGCCCATATCTCTCTATGAATTATATATCTATGTATAAGAATATTTACGAATTATACTACTAATAACAGTAGCTAAAATAAATTGTATTTAAAATAAATTGTAATTTAGCTAATACAATTACTATGTCATAATTTATTAAGGTTTAATTTCCAAAAAAATGTCAGCAATTTCGGGTTTCATTTGGATCCAAATTGGTTGCGTTTTTGCGAAACCCTAATGACATAAATTCCAACGTTAGGGCAAAGCGGATGGCACGCCTAATGCGAATATCCGATAATTTTATTGCTGAAATAAATTTAAAGTTTTTATGCGCAAACCATTGCGATGTGGTACTTAATTTCTTAGTTTTTAAACTTTGGATAATCAGCTCTTAATTTATTTGATATAATATCATTACGGAGTAAGTGTACATGTGTCACCTATCCTCTTCATCCCCAGGATGTCAGACAAAGCACCAATCCTTATAGTTTGATAATAATGGATTAATATGGTCTCTGTAGATACTCCATTAGACAAAAATATTTTCAACACAACTTTAAGCGTTTCAATTTGGTGTTGCGTTACAAGTAAGATGTGGTAATTATTTTTTGTTTTAATATTGCAAAGAAGTAAATCCCGGTGAAGCTGTATCCAGCTGCTGGTCCTGTAGTCCGACATGATATACCAAAATATTATATATAATACTTTTATAATTTATCGTTAACAATAGAATAATTATTATATATAAAATAAAATAAATTTGTAATAATATTTACAAATTAATTTTATTTTTAAATTATAAATTATTTAATGTAATTTCATCCAGTTTTACTCTTGAACTGCTCTAGTTAGTGGGATCTTACAAGGCTGGTACTTATTGGTGTCTAGTTTTATACTTATCGCATACTTTTCTAATAAATTAAAATATTCCATTATTGTTTCTATAGGAATTTAGAAAAATCAAGTTCCTATAGACTATATAGCTTAGACTCGTGATTTAGATTACAAAATATTTATGTTTATTAAGTAGCTCAATTTGTGCCAAATTTAGTTCAAATCTATTCCGGTGTTAGAGTAATTAAAATATATTATTTCTAATTAAAAACAAACGATAACATTTTAAGACAGAAAAATTAATTTTGTTAACAATTGACAACAATTGACTGAAGGCAGGAAAGACGAGAAGAAAATATAAACGTGACATTGTAGTAATGCCGTCGGGCGGGCGAGCGCGGAGACGGACATGCAGCCGACCTACTTCGGGTCCGCTCGATGCCGCCCGAGCGCGCCCGCTGCGCCGCCCGCCCGCCCAGACCAGAATAGACGCAGCACGTGCGTCCGCCGCGACACACGTCGCCGCCGCCCGCCCGCCCGCCCCGCCAACACGCTCGCGGCAACACGCCGCGCAACACGCACTTAAAAACTCACACAAAACTAACTATAAGTAACGTGTTGTGATCTGTGAACGTGTTACAAGTTTCTCTAGTGAAAACTTACGATTAGTTAACGAAAAGTACATTTAACTATTTATAGATACGTTAGACTAGTGTTTGGTGACTGTTTGTATAATTTGGTAGCGGCCTTGTACGTTATCTTGTATCGTGCCGGTGAAAGCTTTCACGCTCCCCGTCTTTTCGGTTTCAGTTTATGTTCAGAATGTGATTTTTGTGTAGTGTAATAACTCGATGTATTCGAGTGTAGCCTTATATGAGTAACAAAATACAGTAACGATGTGCCTTATCGTGTAATAATCGCGTGTTCGTGAGAATAGTGTTTGCGTTCGTTGTGTGCGCGTGATTCACTGCCTGAAAGATGCAATGTGTCAAGCTTGTGCTGTTTCTCGCGCTTATTGTGTTCCCGGAACCTGTTCCCGCGTGGAGAGGTGACATGTAAGGATTATAATTCAGTTAAATATACGTCTAACTACTTTATTCATATTTCATTCAAAATGAATAAAAATACAAAATATTAAAAAAAGTACGTGATGTTCTTAACACAGAAATACTTCTACCTATATATGTAATTTGTATGACACCTAAAAGACAAAAAGTATTAGTAAGATGATTAGGTTAACTATTGGTAATTATTAAATACAATACTAAAAAACAAAAATAAAGTATTAGTAACAAATGTTACAAATATTTTAGATTTTAATTGGTTAACTATTAATATAGTAGTAGTTTAGTATATAGTAGTTTTCTTAAATAAAACATTATTATAGCTATAAAAAATAACTGCCATAATCTAAGGATATCCTAATCACATAATAGTATATGTACATACAAAATTAGACTGCCTAATTATTTTTATGTTTGACAATTTCTCAAAAACTGTGTTAGAAAGAACAGTCTGTTATTCCTAATATTTACGTAGGTAAGTATCAATTGAAATGATTTCAAAATTATCGTAGAAACTATATAGGTTTTGTTGTGAAAATAAAATTATAGCTTTCGTACAATTACTTCACTTAGGTTTAATAGACTATTTTAAATTTTCGTTCCCTTATTTTGGGTACTCTCGTATGAGGAGGAAATGTTTATTGCATATGTCAAATTGATAGCGTAAGTTTCTGAAATATAGAGCTATGATGGACACACAGTATTCATAGATAATTATTACTTTGTAGATGAGATTCGTCTGCAGATAAGTTAGGATTTTTCTTAGTGAGTTTTTAGTAATCATTACATGAAAACTTATAGATTGAAATGAAAATGAATTAATGTTTATGAACACATCGTAGTTATACGTCATATTTGAAGTTTACCTTTAGAACAGCTTTAGTAACACTTGAATAGTGTCATGGGTAACACAGTGTATTTAAACGGTGATGACTACGAGTATGTTTTGAAATAATGGTCTAACTTCCGATGGTCGCGGGTTCGAATCCTCGCACAGTACAGCCATTTATAATAATGAAAATGATACATACATGTATCAGTCCATGTTTTTTCTATGTATATTATTGAGTAATTATACATATTGGAGTATTTCTATTTGTTGTCTAGTAACACAAGTTTTGCTTAGCTTAGATCTAGACGACTGTCGATTGTCCAGGTTATTATTATTATGATTATAGATATATTATTATATCTTATATATGTATACATAAGATTAATTAATTATTTATTTAATTAATAAGTATAAAAAATTTATTTATTTTTATTTATTTTTACACTTTTTTGCACCAGTTATAGAAAATATTAATTACCATAAAAATATGTATAACAATGACGAGTACAAAAGGCGGCCTCATCGCAAAGCAATCTCTTACAGGCAACATTTAGGTAGACAGTAAAAATATAAGAAAAAGAGTAGGTGGTACAAATGACAACACAACTAAGATGGGTATAAATAATACATGCAAATATAAAAAAATGTCTGAGATTCTTCTTTTTTGGTATGATATTAATTACATAATTTTCTCGCTTTTTTATATGAAGTGTACATGAGCATAAACAAACACATAAGCGTACGTAACGTAATATCAGTAAAAAAATATGACCCTCCCTTGTAAACAGTGTTTCCATTGTTCTTATGTCTCTAGAGACATTTATATTTGATGCAAATACTACTGAATTCATGTTGATGTTCAGAGTATACACGCCATGTTATCTTTGCTAATGGCTTTGACATGAAACCTGTCACGTGTAGAAAGTTACTGGGCGCTTCAATTCGTAAGATCAAAGTGATTTTTAACATAGCCCTCAGGATATCTCAATGTATGGGTCTGTAGACCAGAAGTTTGGTACGCAATGTCGTCACTAGTAATTTCGTTTTTTTTATATAATAATTATTGAACGAGGGAGTACAATTGCTAATATTTCTCTCTAATTTTTTTATGTAATTGGAATGACAAATAAGCTGACGAAACACCTGATGGCGAGGTATAACCAGTGATCGGAGTTGGTAAAGCTATTTTATATGCTTGGTATACGAGTATATTAGAATAATATGGATATTCCCCGAATCGTAGGATTTGTCTTTTAAGTAGAAAAATAATAAAAAGCTATTTACAGATTTTTATTATTTTTACGGAGAGAGAAAACATATACTTGCTATAAGTATAAGGACAATTTAAAGGATAGTACAATAAATAGATAGAAACTTGATTCATTAAACCACATATATTGTTTGTGTAACAATTTCTTATATTTGTACAAGAACCAGCAGTCATTTAACATTTTCTTTTTGAAGTTGTACAAGAACATACCATACAAATTATTTGCGTCTTAAAAATCGAAACATGATTGAATAGAACAAACTAATTTATATTTCACTAAAATAAAATCTTATTAAAATTACCAACAAGTTTAAGCAATATATTAATACTTGTTGAAACAAAAAAATCAATGTTCTATTTCTTGGCCAGAGTTTAATATAATATATGTCATCATATTTTTCAATAATTTTCTAATTTTAATCTGATTTGTTTTTTGTCTAACACCCATTTATATGTTCAAAAAGAGCGTTCGACATCTGTGGATGTTAGTGGAGAAAATATATAAGACAAAATTTCGTCACTGACTTATGAATTGTTTGAGGTCAAAGATCCTAAATAGCTCTACCTATTCCGATCACTGGTGATAACCGACAGCTATACCTACCTATATATGAACAGCACTATGGCCATCACGTTATCGTGTGAGGTCTGCGATACCACTATGGCGTTGCCATTCCGGATGAGTAAAATCTTATGTCCCTTATCCTGTAATTTCACTATCTTGTCTCACCCTTCAACGGAAACACAGCCTACTAAGAAAGTTTGCCTGAAATAGGTAGAGGGATCCACGCAGACGACTTTCTCTAGTGAATTTCATACCTTGCCATTATTTAAGGAAATTGCCTGTAGAATTTACAAACCGAGTTATTACCTAATGGCTCATGAAAGAATCCATCAAATATATTCGTTAGGCGTTAAATTGTCGTTTCAACATTCACATCGTCAGTTTCATACTGTTTCATATATAGAAACTTAAAATTATTCTGAAGTTAGGTGTTATCATTATATTCGTTGCAGTGTTTACGTATGACGTTATAGATGGTACTAATATTTTGTTGAAAAATAGCGAGACCTTTTGTTGAATAATTTCGAGTCGTTTTGGATTTACCAGGAAACCCTAAAAACGTTTTCTATGTAGCTGCTGATAGTGCCATTGGTCTGATCTCGGGCAGTTCTGCATTCTCGATTAAGACATAAATAAAAGTCGTTTATTTTTACAACAAAACGCCAAAATGCGATAAATTTAATGATAGTGTACGTAAGCAAACTTTTAATATAACTAATGAATACACAGCTTATCAGTTCATAGTTCAGTGGATTGATTTCTCAAACAAACGTAACATAGCGTATTTTTTATGTATATTAATTAATAGATAGTATATTCTCTGCATAGTTTGATAATCGATTTCTAGTTACTGTCGGTTTTCGCTTTTGAATCTATTGAGAAATAATTCAACTATGCTGTTAATACAAACTTCTTTGTTATAGAGTCAAAGCATGGGCGAATACCCTAGGGAATGAACTGTGGCGTCTCAGTGAGGCTCTAACAAAGTCAGACCAAATAAGAATCGTAAGTGCAAGAATGTTTAGTTTTTTATTTAATTATTACATATAAACGTGTCGCTTGATCAAACACCTTAGCAAGCAAAAAATATTAGTTTCAATAAATCCTTCCAATGCAGATTTAGAACCAAACGATAAATACAAAATATTTCAACAGACAATTTATTTCAGAAATACAAACAAATGAACGCGAGCGTAAAGAAGAAAGATGGAAAGCATATATTGGATTCTTCCCTAAGTTCCGTGAGTACAATGCTCACGAGAAAAATCAAAGCCGTTAAGGTAAATAACAGCCTTATAGAGAATATTAAAGTTATATACAAAGATTGATTATATTTACCTACATAATAACAATATTTCAATTCATCGCAAAAATATATCTCTACAATATATAATAGTTATAATTCTAAGAAGAAATAACTAGATTGATTTACGAGCTGTATGTGTATATTAGTCGAGAATACTCGACCTATTTTGGCAAACGTCTGGGACCCTTATTTATGAGCGGTCATTTAGAAATTCCTCGTAGATGTCATAGTAAAGTACTATGCATAACTGAGGAGAATGTGCGATTATCAAAGGTCACAGTTTTGATCAATTGTTCACTTTCTTCTCTACTGAATATTGTGTGGTTTATGTTATTTAAAAAATTCTGCTAGTGCTAATATTTGTTATAGATATTTATTAATCCTTATTATTTTTATAAAACCGAAAGTTTATTTGTTTTTACCTTTTCACGATTAAACGGGTGGATGGAACTTGTTAGCATTGAATTGAGAGTAAATGACATTTTATAGCATTACTGGATTGGACTATATTTTATGTCAAAAATCACATGTAAATAGGGTATGAATATTTGCTCAAACAAAGTCACGGACAACAGCTAGTATTATATACCTACTTATAACGTATTCAATACAGAACTAATTGTTTTACAGTGTATCCACGCAACGGCTCAGAAATTAGCTAGAGAGTTTAACTACACCGCCGCTGAGGATGAAAATAATAATTTCTCGTACTGTTCAGCTAAATATTCGCAATTTAGTTACGAAGACGGTACGATAGTAGATGACAGCGATAAACCAGGGTCTTATATACCTAAATTTGCTGTAAATAATACCAATTACATGGATGTCTCACTAGAGAAAGATTCGCATTTTTATGACATTAGTGTCAATACAAACATTAGCTGTGTGCATGTTCCAACAAATATATTTTATAAAGGTAACTTTACTATAATAAATCATTATTCAGATTAGTATATTTGATTCGTGATGATGGTGTTAAAAAATGTTATTTTCCAGAAAGCAAACCGCTCACTGCAATTTTATGGTCTAAGGATCTCAATGAAATATTCACAAAAAATTATCAATCTGATCCGTCTCTCTCATGGCAATATTTTGGAAGCTCACATGGTATATTAAGGTTTTATCCTGGAATGCCCTGGAACAAGAACGAAGTAGATACTTATGACTGCAGAGTTAAACCTTGGTACATTGAAGCTGCAACTTGTTCTAAAGATGTTATCATCCTGTTTGATGTATCAGGGTCAATGACAGGGTTCAAAAATTACGTAGCAAGGAGAACTTTACATTCTCTTTTGGATACTTTATCGAACAACGACTACGTCAACGTATATACTTTCAAGAATACTACTGCAGAAGTAATAGCATGCTTTAAATATCTGGTGCAAGCAACACCGGAAAATTTGAAAACAATCAAAGACATTCTAGAACCAACTGACGATGGGAAGACGCATAAAGTACCTTTAGAAGGTAACGCCAACCTAACTGAGGCTTATATAAAAGCTTTCAGTACGTTGAGACAGGTAAATTATATTTTCGTATTTGCTTTAGAAAATATTTCGTTATTTAGGTAAAGCGTACCAGTATTAAAGGATAAAATGTAAAAGCATTAAGAATGAGATTGTCTATGTATAGTATGTACTTTTAAGTTATGTTTTATTATATATGTTACATTATTCTTTTAGGTAAAGACTAGGAACAAATATTTTTTTTCGTGTGAAAGTATTTTTAATGATACAAATAATAATATTTTTAATAATAATAATAGGAAATTTGGTAATTATATAACTATTCTTTTAATTGTATTCTGCAAATTATTTGAATTAAGCTTATGGGACGAAACTCCGCCTGAGGAGAATCTATTAAATACCGATGCTTGTTATCGACTATCGATTTGTAGGTTTCAGAATTTCGGACTTCTATACCAAGGGTATTGCAACTATATATTATAAACTAGATTGTTTGTATATATTCTGGACTCATTATTACCTAATACTTTAAAAATATTTTAGAAAAAACGTTTTAACGTGTATGTATCAAAACTAAAATATAGATCTGTTTAAAAGTTTTTTCTTACCATCGGTCAGTAACTTATATCTAGATGTAGACACTCGATGATCGTGTGTATACATCTAGATATAAGTTACTGACCGATGGTAAGAAAAAACTTTTGTATAGATATAAGTGTATACGAGTACTACTCAAGTATACACAATTCGTTCACCAGTTCGATCCTCCGTCATATTGAAATGGTGATCAAAATTACGACGGCTTGACCCGAGGTTCGAACTGGTGACCTTAGACTAAAATCGTATTTGTTAGGTGGGTTGATTTTTGCATGTTTGGAGTGCCAGGTGTAGTCGTCTCCTATCGTCCGGTGAATCTGTAAAGGCCAGCTGCGGCCAACAGCATTAGAGTAGTCCGAAAAAAAAGAAAATAAGTGACGTCTGGCAAGTTTCAGAATTTGGGCTATAAGTTATAGCTTTATGCAATGTAGCACACAAAATCCGTAAAATACATAGAATCTATGTCAGTTGCGAAGAACCTACAGTAGTTTGTTTTATAATTGCTTTAGTTTGATTATTGTTTTCGTAATATGTTCTATTTTGTATTACTATTATATGTTTATATGTTTTGAACTTGCAATTAAAACATCTCTATCTATATTTTTGATAGGCTATCTTTATTTCCTAAATAATAGAAAGTTGTTAGTATGTTTACACTTTATGATGATTTTAGAGAAGAGAAGAGATGAGATGCAATGTAAGCAGTACACAAGGCTGTAATCAACTGGTAATGGTTATCACAGATTATGTACCTGGAAATCTCACTGAAGTTTTTGAGGAACATAATCGAGAGGTGGTAGGTGGCAACACTTACATACCTGTGAGAGTATTCACTTACCTAATTGGGAAAGAAGTGACAAACGTACGGGAGATACAATGGATGGCATGTCTGAATAGAGGTGAGAAATTAAGCACTGCTATTATATATATAAACCATACTAATTTTAAAAATGCGAAGATATATTAGTCTGTTATTTTTCACGAACTGAATAAAATTTGACGTGAATATAGATGTATGTATATAATATCTTTAATTCTATAAAGCAAATGAATCATGAAGATTTGAAAAGAAAATATTTATTGAATAGTAACGTATTCAATAAATATTTTCATAATATAATAAAATACGGATTGACTAATTAAAGTGACTACTAATTAACGAAAAAAAGTATAGTATGGTAACTACTTCCTATAAAATGATATGAGTATTAATTTTCTGAAATTCCCGCGGGAACAGATTATAAACACTATACTTATTCACACCAATTTTGATTGTTTCTTTAATCCAATACATTGAATACTTGGTTGAATAACTGTCACTTATTAATTCCGATCTGATCATGGAGAACAGAAACACAAGATTATTAGGTACTATTTTAAATGAATGAAATAATTTGAGTATAATCTATAATATACTTATTTTCATAGTCAAGTATCGTTTACGATTGCCCAAGCAGTTTAATGTAAGTTATTATACAAAATTCATTAATTTAGCCAAAGCATAACTTTATTATGAAGTTCAGCGAGAAATTACGGCCGGAAAACTCGTAATCACTTTAAAACTGTTCGCAGAATGTAATGTGGGGATCAGAGCATAATTACTGAAAGCTTCTTAAGATCTTATCCGAAGTTAGAGCAACCAGGGTAGCTTAATTTGATATCGGACTCTAACGAACATGAATAAAACATTAAGTACATAATTATTATTATATTACAACTAAGACCACTTGGTATTAAAGAGAAATGCTATTTTTTGTAACGGGTACGATAAAGTCTCTGTACACCAATTTCACTGCATTATGTCATTAATATATTTCAATGACCTCTGTAATAAGCAAGAAATACACTGATTTAAAATTTTATAGACTTCAATCAATTCAATCGGTCATATTTAAGGTAGTTAAGTTGATTTATAACAGGTATAGTTTCTACTGACTAACTCTATACCTACATACTGCCTTCATCATCACCAGACTAACTAGATTTAGTTACTGTGACGTGACTTCATACGTACTTTTGCAAAATTTCATCTAGATTAAATAAGAGCAAGTGCCTGTAAAATGTATTGCAAATAAACCGGAATGTCGGTTCGTCGGCAAGCGAACAGGTAGCTATTTAGTTAAATAAAAGGTTGAAAATACAGCAATGGGTCATATAACAAATAAGTTTATTTATATGAAATATTATTAAATATAGGTACTGCTACACAAACACACTACACATACACTACTACAAAACTTTTCCCATTATAATATCATCGTTACATTTAGTGTAAAAAAGTTCCTAAATAAATTTAAGAAAAAAGAAAATTCTTATAATATAATTATATTGTATATACTATGTGAATATACAATATAAGTTTTGATAGCATCCGTTGTCTAGCAGTGTATTATGTCTAATGGATCGATATAATATTCGGATTCTAGCACATTGCAAATATTTGTCTTGATGGGTATGATTGTTTATATTGGTCTGGGTGTATTCTATGTAAATTCTGTGTTTTTACAAAAATATACTTAAGTATCTATCAATTGTTCAGTACCTGAAGTAAAAGCCCCTTCCTAGTTTAGGACTAGACAGACTAGAAATGACTGAATGAATTAAATGCTAATTGAATTTTTTTTTATTTCTGTAATAGTATATGAACTGGGTACAACATATCCACTTTCTAAGTTAGTTTCAAAAACTAACTAAGTTAGCGCAAAATGAACATTTTGAAAACAATTTTGTTAAGTTTTTGTCTGAAACGACAATGTATACGAACTGATGGTATATTTTACTTAGAATAAGTGTCTGTAATAAATTTTATGTATAGGTATGAATTATATATTTATTTAATTATCAGGTTTCTTCGTACATATTCATTCTGTGGAGGAAGTACAACAACAAGTATTGAAATACATCAACGTTATTGCCCGCCCTATGATTCTTGAAGGCGAGAAGCCACCGCCCACTTGGACGCATGCTAATATTGACTATACGGTATTTATATTTGTTCTCTTAACTGACCATTTAAAAGCGTTTTAGTTTATAGCGACTACAGGTATAATAGCGAGTTTTAGTTCATATATAGTCGCCGGACATAGGACTTTTCTCTCATAAGTCGAAATCTATGAGGCTTATTAATTTAAGAAATGGTTCTGAAAAGTACTTCTAAACCCCATTAATAAGATACGTCACTTATTAGGCGTAGTTAGATATACCCCATTTCGGATTATCTTGTATATAAAAAAAATATTTTGTAATTACATATTTATAATATAGATATTAATAGATAGACAGCAGACAACAAGTTGTACAAACATAGTCTCTTATGGTGCAGTTCCATTTAATATTTTTATGGGAACCCTAAAACGAACCGCACCAATATAATGTAGAGGGATTTGGGAAAGGATCTGTCAGGATTAATTGAGCTTATCAGCGAAACATTTTTTTGTTACAAACGAAACAGTTGTTTGTTGTTAAATTCGTCGAAAACCATAATAACTTAAAAATGTTTTAGGGTTTTGTTATGAACTTTAGATGTTGAAAACCGGTAACAAATAAAAAGTATACTAGTTTTAAATAGAAACAATAATATAATTTTAAATATAGAACTAATGTATATGTATCTTATTCACGTGTTTTGTTTTACAGCGAACAACCATATGGGACGTAAGCGATGATGCTCTACAGGTACAATTATCACTTATATATTTTATTTTTATTTCAATCATATATATATATATATATATATAAACAGTTATAAATGTACAATATTTAAAAAACACTTCATATCAGACTGTCAGTAGGTAGAACTGTCATACTACATGTAACAACATGCATACATACGTCTTTTGCTTTGTGCACTTTCATAAGGTTTACGATTTCAGATATTACTAGCTGTTCCGGCAAAAATTGTTTTGCCTTAAATAAAAAAAAAAATTAGGGGTGGACTACCCCTAACATTTAGGGGGATGAAAAATAGATGTTGGGAACGAAAACTGTGACACGAGAATTTTATATATAAGATTAACTCTTCCTTTGAATAGTATACGATATATCATATCACCGTATGTTTATTTGAATATCACTCTGGTATCGAATTCTTTCATTTTTGTTTATAAATGAATGTATAACTCATTTATAAACAAAATATATGTATGCATGTAGGTAAGACTCTTGAGACTAAATTCTACTTATTCATCCTATAGTATTCCAGGCGTAATTACCATATAAATTATTTACAATTTATAATCATAAATATTATAATAAAATATATGTTAACTGTTTACATAAACAACTTTATATATCAATTTAATATCCAGTGTATACTAACTCATGTTACATATTGCTGTTAATTGTATTTACCCACACATATGTTATTTACTATTAGTTTACTAAAGTTTGATCAACATTTTAGTTGTTTGGAGATTAGAGACAGTCTGCTAATCTTTAGATTATGTAATTAGTGTGTACACATACACAGTGTCTAAAACGATAATTTCTCTTGTTATCTCACGCGTATTAATGTTAATTTGCACGCTTACTACTTTTTATATTATAAGTAGCAAGTAGTAATTAAAATTTAGCGGAGATTACCCCGAACATCTAAGCTAATAAACTTTACCTCTTTATAATATCATTATATTAACACATGAACCAAAAACGTTGTGCCGTTTGTTACGCGGATGGACGAATATGTAATTTCGTATACCTACAGAGAAGAAGTTCAGAATGCTATTTATTTTTTAATTATGCATATAAAATACATTAAATCAATAAAAATAATATTACACACAATACCATATATTTGACACACACACGTATAGAAATAGTCTTTGACAATAAAATTTTAATAATGTTCAAATTTATACTTTAAATTAATTATGGCCGAATTTGGACTATTCAGTGACCACAAGTGAATATAGATTTACCTATTATTTGTGGGACTAGAATAGTAAACAGGTCAAATAGTTTATGGAAAATGGAAAACGTCTCTAGCATAACTAAATAATTGAGCACTGTACAGTATCTCTTAAGCATTCTTATTTCTAAGTAAAACGGCCTACAGATGACTCAAAAATCAAAGCCAATATCACAGCAGAGGAGATCGCACTGGATCGCATCTTAGATCCGCTCGATTGTTTGAGACACTACGTCGCCGTATCTGTAATTTCACTACACATATATCATCCTTCAAAATAGAATAGCATGCAAAGGCTTTGTGACAGAAATAGAGAAGACAGAAGTACCTGCCCACGCTCATAACTTTGTATAGTTTCTCTCTAGTACCAGTAAAACCTATAAATTTATATTAAACGAACATTTTTAGACACCTTATATAACAATAACAAAATTATTGGGGGATAAAATTGTGTGGACCCTCTGGTACTAACTGAAATAGTATCCAGTGCTGTAATACACCTATAAAAACTGATTTATATGGAAATTATGGGATCTGCCTACGGCTGTATTCAGATTTCATTTAAATGTTAATGAAGTTTTTGTATAGGTAGGCAGACACCCGTAATATTTTAAGGCAGTAAAATGATGAATAAGTCCTGTTATAAATAGATTGATGAGCGTGAAGGTCTGTTTCAATCAGGGCATTTGGTGTTATGTTTTTGCCAACTCCATATAGGCATTGCGTGACGTACTTACATATACGCATATATTCTGAATTACTTATTAATTCAATTTCTCTCAATTCGAATGAAGAAGTAGTTCTAATAAAATAAAGTACTTCAAAAGTGTAACCGGAGAAAATAGACTCCAATAGGATTCTATCTGTAGGTATGTACACATAACTATTGCTTCGTCCACTTGTGTCTTATGCATACACACCTGTTCTGAAAACTCTTTAAATTTCCCATCGGATTTCATATGATATACAATTATCTGATCATGGTAAGTTAGTTTAGTCTTCCCATGGTATCATGTTCATTTTATTCTTGTGTACGACGCATTTCATTTATAATTTTTAGACCGACACAAAGTTATAATAACGGAATAACATTACAGCCAGACGAGGACAAACTGGTGACATCAGTGGCCATCCCAGCATTTGACTTCAAATATAACGAGGAGAATAATGATGCTATGTTGCTTGGAGTGGCTGGGACTGACGTGCCCATAGATAGCATCGCGAAACTTGCACAACCTCATCAGGTATGTTAATACATAATTCAACTCTATAAATGAAAATACTCTCAACTGGAATAATACAGAACAGAAGTTTTCTAATAAAACAATGCGACCTCTTCAAGTTTGCTCTTGTCTGATTCGTATTTGTTTGGTAAGAACTTACTTGGGGCCGTTTCATCTTAATGCTTGAGGTTATACGAAGATATATGTATATAATCCTATTTTATAGTATTTCAAATATTATATTTTATATTATATTCTATACTGTAGTAGGTACTTCTAAACTCAATACAACAAACGGTGTAGCTCATTGGTTTCAAAGTAAAAGTTTGAACTGTTTTGGAAGTCGTAAAGATTTTAACGGTGTAAGCAATTTAAACAAAGGATTTTCCTTCTTAATTACGCAAGAGATGGATGCGGACAAAAGGTTACAATAAAACGATCTATACTATGAAGAGGGAGGGATGTTTAGGTAGATAAAACAATCGACAGTTCGAACAGGAAAATATACGTGAAAGGAATGTACATGATATATTGCAATGAAATATTATCCACGTGAATAAATAACCAGTAACCGTGTATTGCGTATCTCAAAATCAGCAATATGAAATATGAACGAATAAATGGAATTGTGAATTCGTCAGTGCCTTTGTTAGCAGTACCTTGGTAGAATGATATGTTGGTAAAGTTGTTTTACTTTATAATGTAATCGTTGTGGTTCAAAGCCAAGTTAGGCAATAGGACATTTAATTTTCCTTATAAATTGTGATACGAGTATTTCAGTAGAAATTCCTATTGAATGTACTGATTTTTTTACTTCTATGACAAATAAGTCGCAGTATGGTCACCGAACAATTAACATTATACTTCTAAGCTTTATTTAGTTTTAATAATGGCGTTCAGAGGCAAAACATGGTCGCAATATGGGTGTAGACTTAATAACGGTCGGAATTTGATCACCAGAAGGTCATAATGTTTCTAGTAGCGGTGATCAGGTTCCAACTGAATATTTGTGATATCTAACATGCTAATGGTAGCGGAATTAAACAAAATAATATAAATCTATTAAGTAAAATAACGTTTAATGTTCTATATTGATATTGTAAACGACTTGAATAATAAGAAACGTCACAAAGTAACCTTTGTAGTACCTTCCATACATTAACAATTGGGCTATCATGTCTTCGATTTAATTTATTATTCATTATGTAACAAGAAATATTAATTAAGACTTTCTTTTGTTACCGATATTCTAGAATTAGTTTCGTGGTGTTCTACTGGCACTTTATCCGTATATTGCCTCGAGCTACTATTGTAATTGCCGTAATGAAATTACTGTATACCGTTGCTATAGTAGCAAATATAGTTTAAGATGGATTATTAATAAATTATATTTTGTTCCAGCTTGGAGTCAATGGATATTCTTTTATTGTGAGCAACAATGGTTATTTACTCCTGCATCCATTATTGAAAACTACTGTAAGTGCATTCTTTACACGGTATTTAGTTACATGCAACGTAAAACAATATTATATTAATTATAAATATTACTATCTTTTAACTCGATAAGGTTTTAGAAACAAAATTATGTTTTGACAAGCAGAAAAGGAGTAAAGATTTCAATACAAAAACAAATACGAAATGGAAACAGATGACTATAAAAAATCGGTAAAATACACCAAAAGAGAAGGTTTCTAAGGACTGGATTGCGTATTGTGTAAAATCTGAAAGAGTGTCAAATTACCCGCGACGTCGATAAAATGTTTAATTTGGGAGCCTCGCATTTTCTGATTGTTTATTACGTAGGTCACATTTACTTCGCAATTTGTTCGGGATTTCTCACAATAAAAGGATAATGAATGGAGCCACAAAATGTTTTGTTGTCAATATATAAAAACTACTGTTGCATGTTAATATTACGTCTATGTTGATACAAACAATATTTAAGTAGACAATCAACTTTGTTATATTTATTTTAGTAGAATTTTAGATACACATATAAGTTTCGTGTAAAAAAAAACTTACAATAGTATTAGTGTAGACAACACGGGAGCAAATGTTTGCGTAAATAAGTCTTGAAACCAGTTCATAATAAGAAGCTATTATGATATAATCATATAATACCCGCCCTACAGGACGTATATGTAGTTCAATTAAGTATCGAGTAATAAGTCTACTACTTAGGTATAGGGTCGAAAATATATGCCAATTATTGAACGACTTTTAACTAATACGAACGAATTTTAACTAATTAGGTATATTGCAGTATTATTATGCAGTTGATTTAATAACAAATAATATAAAATAATTTCTTTATTGATTCTTAATGTCTGATCCCGATTCTTACTGTCTTTTGACAGTAATCTTGAGTCTTATTGTCTAATCATTAGTTTTTTTTATAAAATTTACTTACGTCTTTACTGTCATCCGAAAAAAAATCTGTTTTACTTACAGATTAATGATAAGTTACAAGACAACTACAACAGTGTAGATTTCGTGGAAGTGGAGCAGGTGGATGATGGAAAGGGTGCTCGGGAGCTCGGGGACGAGATCAAGAGGTTGAGAGAAAACCTCGTGGATGGCGTCAGCGGCGACATGAGGGAGGTCAAAGTGCTTTTCCACTATGACGACATGAGGTAATGACTATGATTGTTTGCGTATATTTTTGTCGTTATTTTTATTATTAGTTATTTCTTCCTTATATGGTAGAAAAGATAGCCATTTCTGTTTGCTATGATACTTCATTAGTATTCAAAGTCAATCGACATATTGATGATTTGGACGAAGTAAACGGTGCTCTTTCTTATGTTTTAAAATGGTTATCACTCTCCCCACGTATTATAAGATGCGCATCTTATAATACGTGTGATAACGCACATGATAACATGAAGTATATAGACAATGGTTTCCAAATGGTTACATATAGATATATATCCCACTCGTGCATTCTTATTCCGGAAACTAAGATGTAACTTCAATGTTTTCTTTGAACCGAAACACAGGTTACAACGAAAGCTGGTGGTAAAGTATAATAGGTTGTCAAAGGTACTAATTTAGACGATTTTTTAGAAAGTCTACCTCTCTAAAATTAATGATTGATCGCAACTATTCGCGATCTACTCGTACGGTCGTTGTCATGAACAAAGTACAAAATAATACAATGAAATACAGATTTTCATTCTTAAAAGTATGGAAATACATATTACAGTGTAAAATAAATTTAGTATCAACAACTTTAAGTTTTTTTGAGAAGAGTCGATACATACGTATTTTATTCCACTAGGAAAGATTAACTACGTTGTATTGTTAATTTTCATTTTTCAATTTTCATAAGTTCAGTCTTTTTTACTTTACCAGCCGGTGTTGTTTAAAATATTTCCTAACTCTAAACAAAGGGTGACTATGCGTAAAATATATCGTGATCGATATTACCTACATATTTTTAATTATTCACTCCATGCCTCTATTGCGGCGAACAAAGAATTTCATTCCTTTATGTTACGTAATTAAAATGACAAATAAGCTGATGAACCACCTGATGGTAAGCCGTAACTGTCGCCTTTATACATGAACAAAAATGTGCCTTCCGTGATACCACTCATGCGTTGCCATTCCAGAGGACAGTTTACCACTGGCAAGTTAAATGGTAAATATTCAATTAATTGCCATGAAACTTATTCATAAGTTCAGTATTTCAGATTGGATAAATATTTTATATAACCTTTGAAATCCATAAATGGTGTGATTCCACGTAAAAATTATTTTCGTTAATTTTTATAAATTAATATACTTCAGCGCCATCAATCTCTATGTCAATAGGAAACCTCAAGTCTACACTAACATCAATTCAATTTTAACGAGAAACCTATTACATTCGCCAAAACTGTACAAACTAATGTCTTTTATTTCCCAGGAGAATAGCTCGAGTGAAACACGATTATTTCTTCAACCAATTGGAAGGCACACCTTTTTCTATGGGTATATCCTTACCTAAGGGGTATGGTGACACGGAATTGTTATTGAAGGATAATCCTCTGGAGGCCAAAGAAGGGAAAGAATTGACAGGTATCAACGTTACTGATTATTTCAGATTCAGCTACAGAGTACATCCTGATTGGTGAGTTCTATTTGTATTGGTCAACATTCTTAAGTAATAAAAGTTTTAAATACAATTAAACAATAAACAAGTTTACTCAAAATATTACATTAAATTACAAATTTAATGTAATATTTTGAACTTACTCAGTATATGGACATTGAACTTGAATTTATATATGACGATATTAAAGTAAGTTTTCTATCTTATTTGAGATAAAAGATAGGAGGCTGTATGTTATAATTTAACTACACGATAAATTTCATTACGATCCGTTCTGCTTTTAGGGACTGTTCTGCAATGATAACTATGCCTGATTTATTTTGTAAATTAAGTAACTATTTATTTACTTATGTTTATTTTGGCAATTCTTATACAAAATTTTAAAAATGTAGTGATCATGAACATTTACATGAACAGTTTTTCTTATTCGAATGAGTGGTAGAATAAAAAAATATTATGATTCAAAAGTGTTTATTTTGAATAAAGATCATTTATATTCTCTTATTTTAGGGTATATTGCAAGTATCATTATTTAGAAGGTCACGAATCAAAGAATGCCGAGGAAGAGATTTGGAAGTTTTTAGTGAATTTGTCAAAGAATCAAATTGATATTACAAAGAAACAATATATAGAGGAGGACGAGACGGATACTGATTTTGACGTCGAAAGTAAGTGTATTATGATATTATTGTAAACTTTTACTTACTTTTCTTTTAATGGATGATAATGGGATGGTAAAGCCGCTTACGTACATTGTGCCGAGTTTATGAAAAATTACCCAGAATAGTTTTAAAGCGCGTGGAAGTCGATTTGACAAGGTACTAAGCAATAGTGTTACTCATGGGGACTAGGTCCCCATTATTAATAATCTTTCCCCTATTTTTGCAAATGCTGAAGAAGCTAAGCAGATAGATTTTCTATTAGACAACTATTCGATTTTAAAGGTACATTTCGTATTTATAAACGACAGCATTAAACTGTTGTATAAGGCGGCAATTATTGCGTGTCCACTTTACTATTCAATAAAGACTCTATTTTATTTTAATTTCTTCACATGGATCAGCAATCAAGCGTGCAGCATAATAGTAAATTTTAGACTGATATTAGATAGTTTTTGTAAATAATTTATAATTTTATTTCAACAGCCCATTGCGGTAACGCCACAACGCAACTTGGTAAAGACGACTATTACTGCAATGAAGATTTGGTCAAACAATTGGTATTCGATGCCAAATTGACAACTCCTTATTTCAAAACATGGGCAAGAAGTGATGAAGAACACGAACTTGCGAGGAAGTACAATGTTAGCGTCCGTTTCATTGCGACCTCAAGCGGTTTGACAAGATGGCATTATATTTTTGAATCAGATAAGAATGAAATAGTTGACGAGTTTGGGAACAGAGTAAAAAATTTCACAAAAAAGTAAGTAAAGACAGTAAAAGTAAACAAGAAATCGAAATTTAATACTTAAATAGAACATAGATAGCCTCGTTGATTTAATTTTAATCGACGGAATACCCCATGTTGAAGATTTTGAACCTCATATACTTGATATAGATATGGTTTCTCATAGTTAAAGATATTTCTATTTAAAGATGGTTTGATAGCTTAACAACATAATCCGGAACTTTAATCCTTTTTAAGTTTTTCGTGGTATAGGTAGAAAGAAATATATTTTAGAAAGTGTCCGAGATAGACTTTTTGATTAGTATTCTGCCAAAGAAAAAATAAGCTAGTAAAATTACAGGATAAAAGGTAACATCTTAGTCCTCAGGAATGGCAACGCATGAGTGACGTCACAAGCATCATATGATGACATAAAGTCGTAGTGCTTATCTATATATAAGTGAGGGTTACCACTTTCCATCAGGTTCTTCACCCATTTATATGTGAACACATGTGACATTTCTTATGGTTAAATAACATTTGAATATGCTTTTAGAGTTTTTGGAGACAAAAATAATCTTGCTATCGAGGAAACCTGGTATAAAGCAGCGGTGCTTCAGCATATGATCAACAAAGAATCGGTGGTAATAGCTACACCTTTACCTATTTTGGACGAGAGCATCAAAAAAAGACCATCCGTGCTGAACAAAGACGGAGATATAACAATGACGTCAAGTTATGCTATTTTTTACAAAGACGGTGAATCTGAGACCCCAGCCTCGGTTGTCGGTTTCCAGTATTCATATTTGAAATTTCAAGAAAGATTCCAAGAAATAACTAACAAAACATCGGATCAGGTACGAATTTTCATAATTTTTTTGTATTATTTATCGCAATATTAGATAAAGAAACTCTCAATCAAACACAAAACTACAGTGATCAATCTGTCGTCATCGAGCGATGTAGATTTCAACATTTTCAATCTGATCAAATGCATAAAATAAACGTTGGTACTCACCTCATAATATTGTATCACTAGGCTACTATATTTTTCAAATGAGAAAATATAATTATACAAACCGGAAATACATGTGCGACCTTTTATGTTACAGGAGTTTACATGCAATGGAGATGATTATGATTGCTATGTGATAGATAGTTCTGGTTATGTAGTATTATCGAGGCAAAAAGAACAAATTGGACAATTCTTCGGAGTCTTAGATTCGAATACGAAACACGTGCTGCAGTCGTTTATAGATAAATCTGTATTTGAACACGTGGAAGTTTTCAATTATCAAGCTTTGTGTCCTTACTATATGCTGAAACAGCCAAACAGTGCCTGGACGCCGTCGACGGTAAGTGTTTTAAGGGTCAATAATGGAATTGTGTACGTACCCGGGTTAACAGTAGATATATGCTGACTTTCCACTCATGATTGGAAGATGTTAGGATGAGTAAGAAAAAGAAATTTAGACCATCGTGACGAGTTCACCAGGAATTTCAACGATGTTTTCTAAATTACGTGGAGTTATATAATAGAGTAGGTACATTGAATCCTCTTAATTTCTAGTACAATTGTAGTTACAAGCAACCATTAATAATTATTTGTTAGGTAAGCAGCAAACAGCAGCAATTTGTGTACTGATGTTTCGATTTAAAGTGTAAAATGGGCAAGGGGCATAACATATTAGTCCTGGGTTGGACAACAATAATAGCAAATGGAATACTATGTTATAATATGATCTCTATGATATTATTGGTAAAGTCTGTAATTGGTTATTTGCTATTTTTAGGGTACAAAAGTATAGGGTGTCTTATCACAAAATCGATATGACAAATGTATGTTATCAATCGTAACGAACTAAACTTAGTTTTTTTAGTGCGCTCACAGTTTCCAACTTTATTAGTCTAATTTTATTATCTAATAATAGGTAGTAAATTAAAAATTGTAGTTGGATGGATGCAGAATGGATGCTAACTACTATCACTAAAAAAATTTTTTTCTTTCAGCCTTTTAATGTAGCAACGAATTTCATACGTTGGTTATTAGCAGAAACTGCGTTGATTTTATCTGATATATTTAATTGGAATTGGAAGATATACGCAATTGATGATGGTAAGACAGTACACTCCACAGTATACGGCTAATAATTTTCTTCAATATATAGGCAGAGCTGTTTTGAAATAATGTAGACAACATTTTTCTATAAACCGAACTGTTAACTAAACTATATAGTTCGCAGATCTCTTGCTTCTGAATTAGTTGGATAAATCAATTACTAAAAAAGAAAACATACTTGCGAATTATAAATAGGACCACCGTTAAAATCTATATATCTATGGTAATAATATGTCGAAATATTATGACATAACAGCCTGAAGGTTGAGTAGCCTAGTTTCAAGGTTCAATACTTTGACAAATCTTTAATTCGAGCGGGAGCAAATGAACTCTATAAAATAGCGAACTAAATTGCAGCCGGGCTGTAAACTGAACCAAGCGCACCAAGTGCGAACTATTAGGTATGTGGAAGATTAATAGTGGTCTTCTATTTTATTATTAATTCATTATATCGCCTTAAGAATTATCTAGTATATTGTATTTAATAAAGCTTTATTATGTTAATTGATTACTTAGCTTTTGATGTTATAATATTACTATCCAAATTTATATAAGGCATTTACTTTTTTAATTAATAATATCAGGTAAATGTACTCTATATTTTGCCCTAAAAGAAATATCTGTCAAATTTTTATATTTTAATAATAAGAAGTGACTGTGAACTCCGCATTTTACTCGATTACTTTTATTATTAATATTCGCCAAGAAAATATATAGGTACTAAATATAATGTACATACATAGGTTTACTCAGTGCTATACAAACTTTGACAGTTTTAGCAGTTGATTGTGGAATACTATATACGTATCTACTCTTTCTCTATTTTCAGTAGGCACTACCTATTAAGAAGTAAAGGGCCAGACTTAAAAAAATATAGATATTATTTTTAGTGCCTGAATATTTTATGTATAGATAGATAGCTAAATTAGTAGAATAACAAACTTAGAGCACTGTATGCAGTCAGTAGCTTGTACGCACACTATTCTAGAAGCACTCCTAATATTTCCGCTTTAAATAACTGCATGATTGTCTCGCTCACAGACTATATCGATCTAATCAACCAAGGGCCTACAGAGGCCACAACGTCGACCACACCGCCACCATCAGAAAATGAAACCATACCAGCTCAAGAGGAAGAAGACAAGCCATTTTCCTGTGATCACCGCATCAGTCTTTACATATTAAAACAAGAATTCATACTAGAAAGTATGGGCGCGTTGCGAGTAGTTTATGAGGATCGACCCAGCGCTTGCTACCCTGCCTATTGGGCGTCCCATGTATCTAAGACAAACTTATTACTGGTTGTGGTGGAAAGCGGGATGAGGGAATATGGAAGGAACTGCAGCATCCCACCAGATACCAAGCCGCAGCCAACTGTTGATTCCACTACCAGTCGAGAGCCTTGCCACAAGTTAGATTTGGGACATTTGAAACGCCGACGGCTGGAAGGATGTTTCACTTATCATATAGGGGTATTTTTATTAATTCTCATATTTCTTAAAAAATATAAAAATGTTTAACATTTATTATATTATTTAGAATATGTCTTATATCAGAAATTTAGTTGTGACCTGTATCTACAAAACTAACTACTGAAAATATATAAAATTTAGCAGAATTTTTAAAAAGTCGTCTGCGTGTGTAACTGAGTTAGCCGCCAAGCAACTTGCAGTTTAAACTGTGTTATAGTTGAAGGATGTGATAAGGCAGTGAAATTACAGGAATCTTAATCTTCCGAGTAATGACAACGCATGTGTGGTATCACGGGCGTTACATCATAACGTAATATCCGTAGTACTGTGCATTTTTATCTATAATTTCGAGATATTCCCAGAATAATTACAAAATATTTAATATCATTACTTTGAGACAAGAACATCAATTCCGGAATAACGGCAATGAAAAACCTGTAATATATTTTTTGCAGGAAAGAAATATAACAGCTTGTGGTATCGGCAGCACGACCCGAGTGGATACACTAGTATTCTTGACCACAACGCTCCTTGCGGCGTTAGCATATGTAATGCACTCCTGATGACCACACAATTGTTACATACGACACATATTTGTACCTTTGTTACTTTCGCAATAAAATTGTTGCACCTTTACTGTAGACTTTTATTACGGACCCAGTAGATATGCCTAAACTATGTTATATACATTTAAATGTGAATGTAATCGAAAATTTAATGGTTTATTATTTAAACAATTAATTTATTTCAGTTTTATGATCATTAGGCATTAAAAAGCAACCCTAAATTTTCGCCTTTCTATAATTTTTCTCTATTTTTTAATATATACGTACTAATTTATGTGGTAAAACAACGGGATTGACTTGACGGTCGAAGGGTTGACAGGTCAGCTAGCATAATCTATAAAATAAAATAACAAATTAAGACAAATTTTATATTAATAATCGAATTAAAAAATATCGATTTACTATTTAAAGTCCAAATTACTATTTCGAGAATTTTCTCAGTGATAGGATTAAATAGATTAAATAAAATTAATAGTCCTGCATCGCGACCAGTTTAAATTCTCTGCTAAACATCAAAATTTTTACTCCCAAAGACCCACTGTCAGTTTTATTTTACATCCATACTGTATTATTTAAATCTTAAGATACAAGTTTTAATCATTATATGATCAAGCTCGAAGTCGTAAAATATAAAATTTACAACCTTTAATTCAAAACAATAAACAACTGTAAAATAATATATCGACTTAAAACGGAGGGTAGATTCTTTAAATGCGTTGCGACACTGACCTACTGATATCAGGGTATACAAATCGATTCGTTCACCAGGTAGATGTGTAAACCCACTTGTTATATTTACTAGTAAAATACAGGAGCTCAAAGTGACACAGTTTAGCGGCACAAGGGGAACAGCGCGCATGTCCGTCCCCCACGCTTGCGCCTCACATTCGACGTTATCAATCTGGAGTGCACATTAAAAAGTCTAAAATAAAACCTAAATTACGATAATATAAGCCATAAGTGATAACTAACATGTTTGTCAGTACGAATAAGGATTCAATGTGTAGGTAGATCTTAACATATTAGGGGCCAAATTAGATTAAGTTTCTGATGTGCAAGCGTGTTGGGAACTCCATATTACTGCTGCTTCTCCTGTCTTTGGACTCGAGGGATTGTGTTGCGAGTCCGAACAATGAAGGCAAAATACTGCTTAATTCGTAAGTACTACATTACATATTTAGTAGGTACTGTGTGTAAAGTCAGACCTTATAAAAAACAATAATATGATATTGTATATAGATATGACTTGTACATATAAATGTACTCGTAGATTCTAGACAGATCTTTTGGGTTTCGTTTTACCTCAATATAGCATTTAAATTATTATCAGAAGATTTATTAACACAATAAAGAATTTAACTTAATTTAAAGTAGGTACTATTAAACAATCAAATGGGTGAACGTTATATGAAATAGAACACAATATACGCCTGTCAGTTGTTTATCAAAACAGGATTGATTTGTACGCTGTCGTCCTATAACAAAAAGTATCTATTTTATTATCTGATTCTATACTCGAAGACCTAATTATGTAGTAGATATACGTTAATTCGAAAATTTTTTACTTCGAAAAAAGTTTTTTTATTTATGTTATTTAGATAGACTCGGCGATATAGCAGTTTAGCATATCGCTTTATCTCTTGACCGCGGGTTTGATTCCTCGCACGCTGCAAAAATTTCACGAGTATGATTTTTTTATTGGTCTTGGTGTTTTCTATGTATTTACAAATAAATATATATTTAAGTTTAATCTATATCTATCAGTTGTCTAGTACCAATAATACAAAGCTGCTTAACATGGGATTAAATGGCAATGTCCCACACATTGCCCAGGTTTATTATTATATTATTATTTCTAGCGTTCAAGCATGGGCAGTCAAACTCGGCACAGAACTGTATCATTTTGGGGAATTTATCACCAGGAAGAAAGAGGTTCAAGAAGTAAGTATACATTCCAAACACAAACTTTGATAATCTAAATGAAGACTGAGTTTGACAATTATGTTAATGTAAGAAAATTCAAAATTTCTGTTAGTACATATTTGTTGGTTGTTACAATCGTTGTTGTTGTCCTCATTTTGACAACAATCGCTGCCTAAATAATACAATATATATTTAATAGTTTCTTAGCATTTCATATTCACATTTCAAAGCTTTCTATAATGACAGCTTGATTTTACGAGTTAATCTTCTATAAGATAACAATATCATCATCATTATTACATAGTGTAAAATAAAGTTGCTGTCTGTCCCTTTGTATGCTTAAATATTTAAAACTACGCCATGGATTTTGAAGCGATTTTTTTAAATAGATAGAGAGGAAGATTTATATGTATAACACATGTACACCCGTGCGAAGCCGGGGCGAGTAGCTAGTAGTAAATAAATGTCCATAAATCTATTTAATTAACATTAGATAATTATCATATTGTCCAACATATTTAATAATTTTATTAATTTATTAACCAGAGCTTCAAATCAGCTCAAATTGAATCAAGAGACGGAGAAAAGCTAGTTCAGAGTATGTCTGATGATATACGGGCTATGATGGAGCTCAAAATAAGCGCTGTTAAAAGAATAGTAGAAGCAGCAGAAAATATGGCATTTGACAAACAAAATGAACCGGTACCTGAAGACTTTCAGTTTTATAATAGCAAAGAAATGGAAGAGCCATACGATGAGCTTACAATCACGACTACTCCAGAAACAGATTTCGCTTTAGAAAATTGGATAGCACGACCACCAACGAAAAATGCTTACCTCTATCAAAATCCACATTTTTCGAATATTCCAGTAAATATAAATTTTAGCAGTGTACATGTGCCGACGAATGTTTATGCTTGGGGTAAGTCAATAATTATATATACAAATAATAAAAAAAATATATAAAATGAAAAATGTGCATCTATAAATGAATTGTTGCAGCTCCGGAGGTTATCAAAGGTATCCATTGGTCAGAGGGTTTAGATACACATTTTATAAATAATTACCAAAGCGATCCAACACTTTCGTGGCAATATTTTGGCAGTTCAACAGGATTTATGCGACATTATCCAGGTAACCAGTATTGTACAGTTGTTTTTATAATTGACCGCAAAAGCTTTAAAGTAATGCTTAAAATCGTTCCACAGCTATGAAATGGAGAGCAGATCCTGTAGACATTTATGATTGTCGAACTAGGGCCTGGTATATGGAGGCGGCCGCTAGTCCTAAAGATGTAGTTATTCTTGTTGATCGTAGTGGGTCAATGACTGGTCAAAGAAGGGATATAGCAAAGCATGTGGTGACAAATATTTTAGATACGCTGGGAAATAATGATTTTGTTAATGTCATGACTTTTGCTGACACTGTAGAGGAAATTGTACCATGTTTTGAAGATTCTTTAGTACAGGTATGGAATTGAAATAATTGAATAATGTTTCTATAACTATATATTTTTAGATTAAATAATAAGAATACATATTTTTAGGCGACTTTAGGAAACCTACGTGAATTAAAATTAGGCTTGGATAATTTTGAAACCATGGAGATAGCAAATTTTTCGGCTGCACTGACGCGGGCATTCGAACTTTTGGAAATGTATAGAAATAACAGCGGTGGAGCCAACTGTAATCAGGTATCGTAAATTAAAATGGATTTCTTGTATATACATATACTATTTTCAGAAAAATTACATAAAATATTTTTTTGTTTAGGCAATAATGCTGGTAACAGATGGTGTCCCATATAATTACAAGGAGATCTTTGAAAAATACAATTGGAAATATGACACTCCAGTGAGGGTGTTCACGTACCTGATAGGGCGAGAGGTAAAGGTAGTACCACTCCAGGTATTACTGTGTGTTGTAGTCATTGTGCGACCTGCATAATGCCTTTCCTTCGTATTTATCTACCAGTACACCTAGAATGTGGTACTCTCTTCTTTCTATATTACATATTTGTGACTTGTCAACCATGGTATCCAGTGCATGCGATATTGTGAACGGTGACATTATCTTCTCTCTATCTTCCATCTTCATAACGCTTTTGCTTAATAGTGCTTAGTTTTGTGTTTATGTTAGACTAAGAACATATAGGTATGTTTTATGTGTATAGATATATTGAAATGTTTGTTTTTGTGCAAGTCCAAAGTGTTATTTGCTTATATTATTTTTTTCGTATTTATTTGTATTATAATGTGGTAATATTTTTTGTCCTAATCTTAACTGCGCTATAATAGTTATATTTTAATATTTGATTTAATAATGAGCTATTTCTACACACAAAGCTGCTGAAGAACATGAAAACACAATGTACAACATACACAAGGCACTATCATATTTTTACTTATTATTGTATGAAAAAAAAACAATACTGTTAGTATTACGTAATATCAGTAAGATGGACTTTAGGTGGCGGATGTGAGGGAGGTGAAATGGATGGCGTGTGCTAATAGAGGCTACTACGTCCATCTGAGTACGCTGGCCGAAGTTCGAGAGCGAGTTTTAGAGCACGTTAACGTGTTAGCGCGACCACTCGTGCTGCAGAGAGAAAAACACCCCGTTGTATGGACACCCGTTTATGCAAACGTCACAGTAAGTAATTCGTTACAAAGAATGGAATTAATGACATTTTATTTCTAATTCATGAGATATAATGCAACTTATAATTTTAATTAGGATCCAAAAGTAGCAGATTATCTCTGGGAACAACGTGAAAGAGCAGAGCAAAAAGAACGTTTTATGAGTCAGCGACGAGACAAAGCTTTATTTAATTCAGAAAAAGAGCAAGAACGAAGGTGGCGCATTACTCAGGTTATAAGATTGTTATAAAAATTCAATACAATATAATGGAAATATACATGGTAATGGTACATATGGCATAATAAATTTTATAAATGATTGATTTATCTTGTATTCAGATGAAACAGGGACAGTATAGTGAAATTGGAAATTCGCAATATCAACTAATGACTTCTGTATCAATGCCAGTTTATGATCTTCGTCATAACGAGGTACGTTGCTCTTTCGATTATTTAAATATTTATGTTATTTATTACTGACTCCCCCCGTAATATACAAATGTATCAAGTTTTTTAGTAAAAGTATTAAATAAGTTTTTTTTTGTTAAAATAAAAGCAGTCTTATACGGATATTTCTAAAAAACTTGATAAACATTTAAAACAAATATATTAAAATTTATTATTTCCAAAATTCTAAATCTTTAATTGTGCATGATTAAAAAAAAGATGTATCGTCTTTGCCGAGATTGTGTTTACAGATTGGTTTAACATTTTCTACTAATTGGACGTAAGCCCTGTCTATTCTATTTTAATCTGTACTTTTTGATGTCTTGCTTGATGAATATTTTTTAATAATATTCCGTTTTGTTTGATGGTTTCCCCTCAGAACATCACAGAGAATGTACTGATAAATGAAGCTTATTGGGTATCAGTTACAAAAGAGGTACTACACTTAGAAAATTTTGATGATTTAGTGTAAAGTTTTTGCAAGATACAAGAGAGTTTTATGATTTAGTTTTTTGGATTTCAGTAACGGTAAAGTCTTATTTGGCCCCGTTAGCGATGCATCTGTCCTCGATAGATGTTGACTGCGCCCAGCAGCGGCGCGCTCCTCACTCTGCCGATTGATCAATGTGTTGTTCAACCCTTATGGCTTACTGTAGTGTTGTAGTTTTCTCATAGATTGTAGGTGTAGACCACTAGGGTGTTCAACTTTTCTATCAATTATCAAATTAATTTTTCTATGCAAGAGTTATTAACTATTCCACTACACACACTATCTAATGAAATACAAGTTTTTTTGCCTGAACTTAGTAATGTCTTCGTAGAGACATTTTTAACGATTGATTTGTATTACAAAATGTAAATGTAAATATTTTAATAAGAGTATCGTGCAGCCCGAGATATGACTCGTATGGGGCTTTTGTTACTTGAGCATCTATTGAGTTTGAAGTTATATTATTCAGAATGATAAAATTTTTAATATATTGACATTTTATTATTCATGACGTTTCCTCTCCGAGAAAGGAAGCATTTTCTTTTCTAGTGGAAGTTATTACAATGCATTTATCTATATGTTATTACGTTTTATTGCATTCGTACGTCCACAACCAATCGCAGTCCGTAGAGGAGAACGGCCAGAAGGAGGTAGGCCCACGAACTTATAGAAATAACACATGTGGCGATGGATATCTGGTGATGGACGTGTTCGCCCGCGCTCTCTGACACTGCAATCATCCACAATAATACATTTAAACAATAATTCGACTGAATTATATACATAACTATAGTACACGCGTATTTTAATTGGAAGCACAAATCATTTTAACAGTCAGCATATAGAAGAGCTGATAAATTTGACAAAATTTCTCACGTATCCCTCGTTAAAGATGAAACATAATTTAAAACTGAAACATTTTCTTACATAATGTCTTTATATTTGTATTTAATGACTAAAATGTTAACAGATTGTTACAAGGATCCCTTGCAAAGGTTATGAGGCCTAAGCTACAACAGAAACGGTAGTCGGTTTCTAGAATTTAAATTGTAGTATACTAATTTAACATCAATTAAAATATGTAATTTTTTGTAGATTTGCTAGAACCTGTAATTGTGAATAATATAAATTAGAATCCTTAACTTAGTTCTATATGATATATGGAACTTCGCCTAACGGGGCGTAGATGCTAAATCAAAAGTAATTTTTGCTATACGACTAAGCAACGTTTTACGTAATTATAATTAGTATAGTATATATCATGGCTATTACAGTGCCAATATGAACGAGTAGTTAGTTTAATTGTTGACTGTTTAATAAATATTCATAATTAATGATAAGTACTTATATTATTTTTATACTGTCATGATCATTTTAATATTATTTTAGATTAGAATTCATACCGTTTGATGTAGATAATAGATTTATTCATTTTGTTTCTTTAAAAGTGATTCGAAACTTTCTCAATTACGTTTTGACTATACTAAGCTTAAAAATCTTATTATAGTGAAAAAGTGATTGAGATTATTTAATTTTGTTCATGTGAGTATTTTAAGGCAGTGTTATGCAAATCATAATTATTTTCAATGTTTTCAGATGCGTATTGCTAGGTTATTAGGCGTAGCTGGCACAGATGTACCACTATCTGAGATACAAGCTCTAATGACACCCTATAAGGTACTACACAAATTAAATTAATTACTAAATGGAGGCCTATTTCTCGTGTAAGCCAACTAATACTATATGGTTTTTGTTATTTTTAGATCGGAGTAAATGGATATGCTTTCATTGTGACCAATAATGGATACATACTAATACATCCGGATCTGAGGCCCGTGGTTCGTAATTAGTATATTTTTATGATTTTCTATGATAACTATACGGTTACAAAAAGTAAAGATTTTAATTCAATTTGAATCTAATTTATTTCGAGCTAGACATATTTAGATCAGTATTTTTAGTATGAATAGGTACTATTGATCTATGTAACTACGTTAGATATCGAAGGTAACTCAAGCATCATGCAATTATAAAAAAATATTTTCTGTTTATTACAGTTTCAACAAATACTAAAGCCAAGTTACAACAGTGTGGATATGATAGAAGTGGAACTATTTGATGATGATAGAGGGCCAAGGAATTTCAGCAAAGAATTGACAGCGGTAAGACAATACCTACAATTTCTATATATTTATTACGTTTTATAACGACATCACAGAGTTTTTATATTTTAAGGAACCTTAAAAGATACTTACTGTATTGTTTATTATAGGCAAACCTACTCTAAATTGTTGCACATGTACCTACACACCTAATGACTAAATGTCTTATTTCAGCTTCGCAAAGAAATAATAGATCAGAAGACGGGGAATAAAATTATGAACGTAAAATATCACTTGGATGAGATGGTAAGTTACCATTAACACCTTATTAGTTATTAATTTACTATATATTAACCATATATACAATTAGTGATTTATTTGTTTAGTAAGCATTGCAGTTTTTTTTATACACTAAGATTTGGTTGCTGGATTATATTCCTAATTAATACTTGATATAAATACGAATGAAGTCGCGGGTAGTAGCCAATAATTTGTATGTGGATATAAACGTTATCCACTAACGTAAACCAAATAGATTACTCTTTCTCAACACCTAACGTTTACCTATTTTTTCATTATTATAACTTTCTTAGTCGACTGGAATGGCTTATAGTTGATGGTTGTAATGTGCTCTGTGCAATATATAGAATGAACCTAATGGCTGTATGGGCTGAGTCCTTTTGCCTTTCTCTAAAAAGGGAAAAACCGAACCAAAAAAAAAATGAACCTAAATTGTAAAATGGCGGGAAAAGACAAAATTAAATTTTGTGTGAATTCGGATTTAATATAAACTACAATAAGTGAATACAGTGCATTTTCTTAAGTAAAATATTGAATTATAATGATTTTCTGATGTAAATTATATTTATTCTGTAATAAACAGAAAAGGGTGTCGCGTGCCAAAAAGCATTACTTTTGGACTGGCATCAGTGACTCGCCATTCACCCTAGTGGTCGCCATCCCTGAGAATTACGGCCGTCATCGGATAACACCGCCACCTACCGATGATATCCATAGACTATCACTGACATCTAAAAATATATCCGCTCGCCAGTATTTGTCAGATAAATGGAGTGTGCACCCTGATTGGTGAGTATTCTTTATACCATGTTCGTTAATTAGAAGAATGAAAGGCGAATGAATGAATGAAAAAATTAATATATGTGCAATAAATATATATATTTTTTCTAATAGAAATAATAATTTATTTCTTCCAATTCCAATTTTAACTTTACATTAACTAAGTATAAACCTGTATTTTAGTTACCAGCTCCTTCCTCTTACAAGTTATTTAATATGTATAGTGTAATACTACACATTTAGAACTCGATAATAAAACAAATCTCCCTTGCCTATGCAGTTTATGTACCTTGTTGCCATGTTTTCTTAGTGTTCAATAAAAAAACTTATGTCATTAACCCTTGCATGTGCGGTTTTTATCAACTTTTTAACAAGTCTACGAAGACTTGAATACTATACAATTTATTTATTTATATGACCATATTATAAATTATAGGTTATATTGCCGCCACTATGAGCGAACATTCTCTACACCGGAAGAAGAACTTTTGTATTTTTTGGAAAGGGTGGCCAAACCAGGATGGCGGTGGCCAGCGAAGCCTAGGCCTCCAGAACACCATAAAAATAAGCCTGGCCACGACCGACATAATAACGGTAAATTAACTCATTATTTATATTTAAAAACAGCATTATGTAGCCTTGGCGTGTTTTAGATTAATGGAAAAAAATACTACTATTTTTTTAGTAAACGTAGAAAAGCTCTGCTTTGTTTGTAACTATGTGGTCAGCGCTGTGTGATAATTAAATCCACCATATGGATTTTCCAAAATTGCGATCTAAATATACATACTTTTAAATTAAACACTTTAATTGTTTAATAAATCTTCTAAAATCATGATTGTAAGAATGTTAATTGTTAACAGGTACTCCAGAAAATAAGGAGCGGAATAAGGTTTCTAACAGTACTCCAAGAAATGAATATTATTGTAAGTAACACTAATGCGATGTAGATTGTATAATATGATATTATTTTATTATTTTATTACACTGACTATCCAATTAGGTACAACTTTCATAGAAATATAAATATGACCACTAGTATACTTATCTAATGGTTTTGTAAAAAATATTAAGTATAATAATAAAATTCCCTGATTTTACTACAGTAAATCGTCCCGATTTCAAGATGCCATGATGATTTTATTTAGTCCTAATAGACTGACAGACATTCGGACTTTTACCTATTTTAAAATATGGCATGAGTCTTCTATGAAAATGTTATACTCTAAACAGAGTCCATAAGTGTATTGTTAATTTATTGTATATGCATTTGCAATTATAAATAATAAGTACTTATATATATAAATAGACAATTGCAGATAATATTCTACATAATTTTATACGTTTGTTTATAATGGAAAAACAAAAAGTGTTTATAAAAATATTTCACCAATAGATTGTTGCATTATCATTGAATAAGTTGTATGCATCCACGCATGCATCACCGTGAGAATGTTTTTTTTATAAATTTTAAAGAGAATATAATATTTGTTTTACTATGATAATTTTTAAATAATGTAGTTTTATTGTGTTATAGGTGACCATGGATTGATGCAAGCGTTGGTATATGATGCCAGAAACACAGCCTGGTTCAACAAAAGCATATCAGATTCGGCTTCTGAGGAAAAAGCGTAAGTACCATTTTTTTTTAAATACGAAATTATAAATACTTAATAGCTACAAACTTAAGAGACATACATCAGACATATTAAAGTGCAATTAAGTATTCAATACTAAGGTATTTAAATAAAATTAGTGGCAAATAAATATACTATGGGCCAGTCTGGTTGTAATATTTATGTGATATAGAACAATAATACTGAAAATAGTGTATTTTTTTTTCGAATATCGAGATCACTTAATTTTTCGCTCAAGAAAAATACATTTTTAATTAATATATAGGTACCTACATTATGTTATTCTTTATGCACTAATTTATCTTGCACGTCGTTTTATTTTACTTTTGGCCTGGATAGCCCGTTGACAAAAGTGATTGGATTACTGCCGAGGTAAAGTACATCGATATGAAGGAATCATTAATAAAAAAATATTTGTAATATTAATGTTAAAGATAAAGTTTACAATCATCAAACTAAACGTGATGATGTGACTACTAATCAATAATTAGTTATATATACATATAGGTATACGAATAAACTTTATACTGTTGCTGTGTTAATGCCAAAATTGTAGTTCATATGTAACAAAAGATGTTAATTTATTTTTTATATATTGCTATTTATGAATAATATTTTGACGCAAGCGAGGATTTGGTATGTTATTCTATGTAATATAGTACATATTACTGCAGCAAATGGACATGTAAGTTACGTGTGTAAAATAAATGATTAGGTAAATAAACATATCTAACTGTCTACTTGCATGTAAAAGTTCTGTTTTTTTTAAATTGTCTCTAACATTAAGTATATTTTCATTTCATCCAAGTGTCTATTAAGTAGGCAACCAAATATGAGTGCCAAGAATATTACGAGTATAACCGCACATCAGTAATCGTATAGGTACTACTGTTCCCTAATGATAAATAAATATGGCTTTATTACTTAATTAAGGTTGCGTTATACTATACAGTGATAATAATAAGATAAGACAGTAATAAGAGTTAGTACATGAAAGTATCTAAAAATATAGGAATTACGTTTGAAGCAAAGTAACAACTGCATACAATTTGCGTAGGTTGCATAAAATTCTATTTTAATATGAATAAATAATAGACAGCCATTTAGGTACAATGTATATATCTATTGTTATTTGTATATCAACTCTTAATAGAATAAACGAAAATTAGTATGATGATTCATACTAAACAAAAAGTCATCCTAAGCTTTTATTTGACCAAATTTTGGTGTAGACCTTCTTGAATCGTCCCCATTTTATTCTGGTTTAGAAAATTAAAATGTTGTGCCCCGCCACTTTAATATCAAAAATAAACGACCATATCTGTGGCCTTCCTTTTCTGTGTCCTATAAGTTAAATAAAACATATTTTTTATTTTTAAGTCCAGGTTGGAGATTTTATAATGTTTATTAATCATAGAAAAAAATGTTATCAACATGAACTTGATGATCAAAGCTCTATCATTCAATGAGGGAACTTTAACACAGTTGAGATATTAACATTTATTGTTTTAATGGTTCACAGAGCTGAGTTCATCCAGCGGTTTGGATATATCGTCGCGTTCCTGTCGACTCACAGCGGACTCACGAGATGGCAGATGCATCCACCAAAGGAACATGACAATGAAAAGTTAGTTCTTCATATTATACTAGATGGGTGGGTCTGGGAAATAGCCAACATTCACATTGTGGTGAAAGCAACACTTGTCACGCCCAGATTTTGATAAAAATATGACAGTAGATAAAATTGTTACTTCTGTTTCGTTGTCTTAACTTACCCATGGCAGCGAAAAGTATTATAATCTAATATATGTAATTATACTAATTATTTATTATAGACTTAGAATTTATGAGTTCGGATGTTAGGAGTATTCTCCGATGCTACTGATGTGATTATGAAATTCTTTTTATCGAGGAAGGCTTACATCATGACATGATCAATAGGAGTCGATCTGCTTTGAAATATATTGCAAAAACGGGGAAAAAGTGACGCACATGAAGTTGAGCGGATCAACTAGTAATATTATAAAAAATAAAGATAGCGAATAACACTGGCTATATTTTTTTAATAGTTGTAAATGAAGTGGTACACCGGTTTCCGCTAACGGAGTACTAATGGATAATGATAAGATGAACATGAGGATGAATGATGTTGAATTTATGATGATTTTCAGGGGGAAATGCCTGGAGGTCAACCTACTAGTAATGCCCTCTTCCCCCATTGGATTTCACATAGGCAGCACCGCGGGTTGTAAGAATAGTTTCTTTTTTCTAGACCCGAGTTCGGCAAGCAATGGCCGAAATCAATAGACGAGGTGTGGTACCGTCGCGCGGTAGAGCAGCACTACGTGGACCCTCTGAGTTACGTGTACAGCGTGGAACTTAACACAGAGAAGTTCCCGCTTAACGTGAGCTCGGCGGTGGTGACCGCGGCGCACGCTGTGTTCCACGGCGACTCACACAGGAAGACTCCGGCTGCGGTCGTTGGCTTTCAATTCAAACACGAACGGCTCAGCGAATGGTTTGAGAATATAACGTCTTCGGTGAGCAGATCTTTTGTCATTAATTTAGACTAGTTACTGCCCGCGATTTCTACCAAGTGAATATGATTGACCGGGATCAAAAGTAATATGTATTCTTCTCCATACTTCATTAAAATGTTAAGTACCTTTATATCAACTTTTAAGCGGAAGGCACTTGATACGGGCATTGCTGTCTACTAGGTCATTAAGAATATATATTTTTTAATTTCAGTGTGAACATAACAGAGAGTGCGTGACTTGCTTGTCAGATGCTTGGGACTGTTATTTAGTAGACAACAATGGATGGGTCATTGTTAGTGAAGACTCCAATCAGACTGGACAATTTTTTGGGAAGGTTTGTTTTTTATATACGTTTATAATTTACTACGACGAGAATAGAACCCAAGATCATAACGAGGAATCTTGTTTCAGTAAGCAGTAGGCAGACGTGGAATTGGTTTTTTTTTCTATACGATATATAGGCTATATTAATAAGTTTTAATTTTAGATACGACCAGACATTATGGCAACATTGATTGAGGATGACGTCTATAAGCCAGTACATTTGGTGGACTATCAGGCTGTCTGTTTTAGAGAGAAAAAGACCTCAAATCCAGCAAACGTTTTGCTAACGGTAGGCATTTTGTTCATACATCATAATCGTTTGTTATAAAATATATCGGATTCATATAATACGTGTCTAAAATGATAAAATCTATATCTATTTGAACTTTGATCTGCAGCCATTAGAGAATTTGCGGTTAGCGATGGCCTGGTTCCTGACGACAACAGTTTGGTTCTACAACTCCATAGCATCAGGACTGGCGCAGGCCTCCAGCTACTCCTTTGAGGACGGTGAGTTAATACATATATACGTAAGCAATGTTTTAAAAAGGTTTTTATTTCGAATTCTAATGCTGTTGGCCGCAGCTGGCAGTTACAGTTTCACTGAATGATATGGTGAGGGCACTCCAAACCCGCGGTAGGACTTATGGAGTGGTTGAAGGCAATCTGCTGCCTGTCGGATACGACTTGTTTCATAAATGGAAGAAAATCTCGATTGATGGTGTATCTTTAAACTATGCAATGTTAGTTATAACGCATTCGATGTTGCGTGTTGCAGTGTGAGCATGATCTAATGTTAATGATTATCCAGTTGAAAAAATGTTGTACAAAAATGTGCCAGAAAGAATATGTGTTAAAACATGTTATTATGCATGCTGAAATAAAATTTAATGTTAATTTTCAAAATTATCGAATTTAATTCAACTCTGTTGGGTATACCTACATGGATATGTCAACATAGATATGTGTTTATATTAAAGAGAGTAGATTTAGTACAGGTAATTTTATGTTTAAATAAGAGTTTGTGACACTAACACTAAAATGGGTGCATGCGACAGCCCCACACAAGCAAATAACACCCAAAATTATTTAGATTAACACCTATAAGAGGCCATCCATTTCTAATCACACGTTGACGGGTAAGGGGATGTACAAAGTGTGATAAAGTATCCTGAATTTCGTGATGTCATATTTCAAAATGTAGTATATCTAGTAAAATTTGCACTGTTAAGGAAAATTTTAATAATATTTTAACACGTTAAAGACCGCATGCCCACCGGGTGGGTCACTCCGCAATGAAAGTAAATTTACAGGTTGGGACGGTGATCTCCCGTGGGCACTTTCATTGAAATAAATGTAGGAGTTAAATATGTCTGCATCAAATAATTGTACACCAAAAACATATTTAAGAAATTGTTTACGTTATTAACAATAATAAAAAATGCCGGTCCATATGTGAGAAATAATATTATTCAATGCGGTCTTCAATGTGTTAAATTGCTTTGTTGACCAGTTTACACTTTCTTTACTTGTGTAAAATGTGATGTCGCACTAGAGAGAGGGAGGAGGGGGGAGTTTCACAAATGGGACCAGCTGTGACAAGAATGGGTGGGGGGGTCAAAGAATTATAATATTTATGGATGGCCCCTACTGTAGTAACGCTGATTTAAATTATGGAGTCAACAATTGGTCGTAGTTGATTGTTCCGACTGTAGTAACGACTCCATCTTGTTTTCAGAGTTTCTTACAACCACCGGTGAGTTCTAAAACGAGCACAGTAGTAAACCCCATTTGTTATAATTGCAAAACCGAAATTAGACTGTTCCCGTTTCTAACATTTCTACATTATCCTATGTCTGCATAGATTAAGCATGTTTTATATGTATTATATATAACGTATGTATATACCTATTTCTATTTCCAAATAAGATTGTTTAAAATTAATATGTTTGTTAGTGTGTATTATTACATAGGTATGCATGATATACCAGTGATTGTAATATGAATGTAATATAGTAAATATAGGTTGTGAATATTTTTATTTATACCATATAATTTAACTTCATTATTGCTTTTTTTCCTTCTAATCAACAATTACTTAAAATATTTACGGGTGTTTAAATATTCTTATTTCCTATATATGAGATTATATTTCTGATTGTATTGAAAATTATCATTACCTACGTACAATTTTTCTTTATATCGAATCACAAGTATTAAATCATATACATAAATACATCTTAGTAGTAGTCTTCTAGTCGAATAGGTGTATGTGTCCAAAATCCTAATTGAAAATATAGTCCACAATACGAGTTTTTGATAGATACCGACTAAACAAGATTTGGTACCTACAAAAGACAAGTAACAATATTGCTATGAGATGCAACTAAGCGCTGCTTAGAGACTAAAATTTTAAATATTCTATTATTTCAATTGCATGCTTTTATTTGCACTTTTTTTCTTCTAAATGTGTAGGTAGGTATAATTCTTTCAGTAAATATTTTTGCACGTAATTTTACAGTTTCTACTGATGCTGTAATCAATGTTTTTGTGTACAGTACCACCATTATTGGATGAGGAAGGTGACGACGATTCCGAGTATTCATACATGTCTAAGCCAACTACGAAAAACGCTGAAAGAGATTTCGAAAAACTGGTACTGATCAACAGAACTCGGCCAACGCCATGTGACAGAGAGATGTACCTTTACCAACTAAATTACAACAGCTTAAACGACAAACTCAATAAACCCATGATGAATTGCTCAAGGCCATTCTATGTTCAATTGGTGAATTACACAAACATGCTGATGGTGGTGGTCAACGGATTGTGTCCGAGAGAAGAGGTACCTATATCAGTGGATCCGACTGAGGTGCAATACAATGAGTCTTTACCATGTTTGAAGCACATACATCCTCTATATAGAAAGCAACCGACATCGTGCATTAGGAATCACACTGAGGTTCGTAAATTCTAGACTGTTAGTAGTGAAAATATTCTGATTATAATTGTTTAATGAGGCCTATATTACAAAAGTTCTTGACATTCTACATTGAAATTTGACCTTAATAAATAGACTTTATATAAAGTCGTCTGTACGTCAGTATGTCTGTAGGTACCTCTATCTCGCCTAGTTTAGCCAAGTAGATTGATTCGTAAGCTGTATTTCTATTGAGGGTTTGTTAAGGCAGTGAAGTCGTATTAGAAACAACCATTAGCAATCATCCAATATCGACTGGATATGAATTTCTAGCAAATTTGCTTTTTCCGAACAATAAATACAATGAAAATTATCCATTATAGAAGATTTATTTTAATTATTTCTTTTTTATTACATTATTATAAATGTGTATAATCGTCGAGAATCATGCCCGTATAGTATTTTCTACTAACTTAACCATTGGGTAAAAAAAGAAAACGGCTTATATCTTTGCCCAACAAAAAAATATACCAAAATGACCATACCAAAGTGTGCCCCCCATGGAAAAAGGTACACGATCACCTCACTAGTCTAAAATATATTTTAATAGTTTACTGTTTCTATACATATAAATAAAATCGGAGTGTCTGTTTTACTACATGGATATGAATATAAATACGGTACATACACCAAAATAACATTTTTTACAATTTTTGTCTGTTTGTTCCATTCTGAAACGTCTGTACCGATTTTGACGGGACTTTCTTTGGCAGGTAGCTGATGTAATAATAAGTTACTTAGGTTACTTTTATTTTAGAAAAAATCTTTTAATTTAGAAATAGAAAAAAAGTTAAATTCCACGCGGACGAAGTCGGGGGTACAGCTAGTTTGTATTAAAATTTTTAATATATGGTATTCATTTAATTGCCAGGAAAGTAATATAGACATGTGTGGACGCGGCAGTCTCCCTCACAAGAACCTTTGGACTTCACTGAGTGTCCTGGTAATCCTCCGGTATTTTTATATATAAAGGAAAGTAACAATATTATAGTCAGTAATTATTCTAATTTTGATTAGGTATAATTTTCCAGTAATAAATTGAAGATAATATCTCTATTGTAAATGTTTATTCAACATTAAATGTTTTCTAACATTACTAAGTCATACATTTTATTTTTTACTAGTAAAATTTATTTGTAAAGATCAAAACTATTTATTTAAAAATAGCTAAATTTACATCGGATGGAAGATGAATTATAAATAGAGTATAATTTATATAGATTACTAAACCAAATAGTAAAATACATGTCATACCCACATATCATATAAATTATTTGTTAAAGGAATATTTATTTATATTTTATGATGGAGTTGTTAAGTAATAGTTAATCATATGCTCCCAAAGTGCCATAAGTAGGAGGCATAGGATCATATCAGGTGTTCAACCATGATTGACAATTTTAGCATTAAAAGTAATGCAGAGACATATTAACTCTTGTATAATTATTTGTGTCAGATATATAATAAAATTGTTGTTATAAGATGGAGGGTATACCCTTGTTATAACAAGAGAAATAAAGATAGTCCTAGCTTTTCTATACAAATTTAATAAATTGGCTTTGATATATATGTCATCTTAACTTCTAAATAAATTAATAGACATAAATTTTATAATAGGCTTTCTTTCATCATTATTTGTTAAGATTTCAAGTTAATAATAAATATTTAAATTACTCCGTCCTGGCAATTTTTTAAAGCATTTTGGACTGGGGTGGAAACTTTATATTCCTGTGTGGCAGGTGTTAGATTTATTAAATAAAAACAGTTGATAAATTTGTGTTGTTTATTTAAAAATATATAGTTACCATAATATTTGTAATGAAATTATAGTACCTACTTAGTAATTTGAATCTCTGTCATTGTATGTAGATGTGAATTATTTATAATTCAATTGAAATGTGATTATTAATTTGGTACAAATAAATACTTATTGAAAATATTTGAAGACAGTTATTTTAATCCTATTAATGTACACACAGCATTATCATCGAGGAACTTGCACTATCCTAGTTATTATATATGTATATATATATATAATAAACTAATAAATATTTACAGAATTTTTACTCACAAAGCTATGATACTGCTTTAGCTATTTCCAGCTGTTTCAGATTGATACTTCTTAACAAAGTCATTGATTTCGTGCATTAGCATCTGGTGTCGCTGATGTCTTAATAGCCCCTCCTGGAGTTGTTCCAGTTGTTCACCACCTTCCATAAAATTTTTCAGATTGTGCAGGGTACCACCACCTTCACGGTGTTCAGTTATACGATCTTGTGGGTAGTTATATGTTCTTATTTTTTCATTTCTATTGCATGATCCAATCTGAAATATTTTAAAGCAATTAAATAAAAATAAATGAATATGTTAATAGTACTGTTATACAATATATAATAATATTCATGTTATATATTTAACTGTTAGATGTTATGGGATATTCAATAATTCAAATTTTGTATTTAGACTCAATAAATCTAATTTCTACAAGTGTTGAAACAGAGTATTGAACCTATAATATTCCATTATATTAAGTAAATAAGTTTAGTTGTAAATAACATGCTCACTCATGTGTGGATACTAAATTATGAATGAATTTAACAAAATAAATCAATTAGATACCTGAGACTTCCTCTCATTATTTATTTTTGAAATTTGTTCATCCTGTTGTGTCTGTAATAGGAGTGTTCTTAGTTTCTGCATGGCTATCTCTTTGTTCTTTATTTGTGAACGGCCCTCTTGACATTCAACCACTGTACCAGTGGGAATATGGGTGATGCGTACAGCACTATCAGTTGTGTTTACATGCTGACCACCTGCACCACTAGCTCTCTTTGTTTCTATACTTATATCTCGATCGGAAATATTTAACTCTATGTCAGTGGGCTGGGGGAGTACAGCCACAGATACAGTGCTTGTATGTATACGTCCTCCCTTCTCAGTAGCAGGGATTCTCTGCACTCTGTGGACACCAGCTTCCATCCTCATCAACTCCGGCACCCCATAGCCTGATATCAACATTGATGCTTTTCTGATACCTCCAATATCAGATTTCTCAATAGAAGCAATGTCCACTTCCCAATCCTTGTAATTGGAATATGATGTATACAATTCAAAAAGTTCTCTTGCAAACAACATAGCTTCCTGACCTCCAGCACCGGCCGACACCTCCAATAAGACTCCACCCTCTGTTATGTTGGGTTCTAGTAATATTGACTGTAACTCACCATCAATCTCCTTTAACCTCTTCAAATATATTTGAGCTTCTTCTTTAATCATTTTCTTCATTTCATTGTCCTCGTTCTCTTTTTTATTTAAATCCTTCAACGATTCAATGCTGTCGTATAATGCAATGCGTTGCTCTAATGCATTTACTATTGGTTTTATTTCAAAAAGTCGCCTAGATTCCTCGTTATTACGACCTGTTTTCGTGTGTAGGTTATCATGTTCCACTATTAAATGTTTTAAATAATTTTGTACAGCAGGATCAGACAAATTTACAGAATTTTGCGAATAACATCTACGAACCAAATTATAGTTCCTAGTTATGTTATTTAGCGTACGGAGAACTGATAATCTCGTAAACAACATGGCCTTACATTTAATTAAAAATTTTAAGAAAACAAATATTATTTACTTTATAAATAAACTCTCTGAAAGATACTAAGTTTTCTATTATATTCAAATAACAAATATAATAGGTTATTTTATTTTGATTGATTAGATCACAGAGCAGTCAGTCAGATTGTCAGTGTAAAGTAAAGTGCAATGTAACAGGTTAATGCCAACTATTTTTATCACAGATTTATTTCGATGTCAATCAAGGACTTCATTAATTTGTATCAAGCATTTAAGTCTAATCTACGAATGAACCCTTTTGATCCTATACCAAATTCCATATCCTAAATTTACTTAATTCGTAAACAAGTTTCCTCAATTTTGTCTTTGGCAAATGCACCAACCTGCCAAGCCAGTAGAAGGAAAAAGTCTAAAAATTAATTTATAAATATTTATATTGTTATTATTATTATACAATCCACTGGTCCATATATTTTAATTCATTTTAAAAATTCTATAGTCATTAGTTTTTCCTCCCATCTATTATACAGTGTTGTAAACTAAAATCATTGCTATCCAACTGCCATCTGTTGTTGAAAGGCAAAGGTATGGTAATAGTATTATCACAGATAATATATGGTATTATTAACAGTAGATGTCGCTACTATATATTTAGTTAGTATTATATTTATTATATTTGTTGATCGTCACAACATACAACCAATTTCGAAACTATTGAAGTTACTTATTACATTTTTTGTGTACGACTTCCGGGCAGCAGCATTCACGTCTGCGTAAAATATATATTTCAACCTGGATACACGTTTTCATTAATTTTATTTATATATCTATTACCTATTATAAAAATAAATTAAATTATTCACAAACATAAGTCATATTTTATTCCACATAGGATAGACTTGATTTGTATTAAAAAACAATTGAAATTGCTTTAGACGAATCTTTTTTCCGAAAAGATGGTATTAGGTAGATATAGATATTATTAGATATATAATATATAATAATAATAATAATTTATTTGCTCAAAAAACACAGTATAAAAGATGATAATTAAAGCTTAGTATCATGTGTTTTGCCATAGTACCTAGTGGCATGCAAAATAGTATTGTTTAAAATTATAGGTACATAATTAACTACCTATACAGAAAGAAATAATAATACCTAATAATTATAATAATAGTTAAATAGGATCTCTCGAGTCGATATTTATATATTTTCAAAAAAATTCTTTAAACTGTAAAATTCCTTATTTTTTAACCATTCTCGTAATGTCTTCTTAAATAATATTTTGTTATTCGTCTTCAATGTCTTTCTTATACACATATTTTCACAGTTTTTTGTGTACTGTGGTATTGTATGGGCTTTAGCAAGTACCAATCTATTAGGATTTCTGGTATTTCTAGGATAAATGTCCTGAGCTTTCGTAAATAAATTTAAATTTTGTTTTACAAAAACAGCTACCTCATATACCTCTGTATAAAGCGATGGAAGCGTCAATAGTCCAAGTTCTCTGAAACGTGTTCGACATGACTCGTACGGTGCGAGGCCACATAATGCTCTAATACACTTTTTTTGAGCAATGAATGCCCTATTAATATTTGTATCATTTCCCCATATTTATACCTAGTCCATAACGCAGTACAGATTCCACATATGCATGGTATGCAGTAAGTGCATTCTGTTTGTTATGTTTTAACACGCTTCATTGCATATATAAATATGTATATAGATTTGTTTTGTCCAATTAAGTTGTTGATCTATCATTATACCCAAAAATTTTGTTTCATTAACTGATTCAATTTGTATATTTCTGTAGTTAACATTAAGATGATAGATTTCGTTATTCCATTTATTAAAATTAATATAATTAGTTTTATTTACATTTATTGTAATTAACAGAGAACCTACACGTTCATACTCTAGTGGGCAGGTGTAAAAATATCTATTAAGTGCCTATATAAAATAAGGGCCAATACTTAATATACAATACTGCTACTGGGGTAGGGGTAAAATCGGCTTGACGACGAGGAATTCGCTACATACGAGACGATCTCGGAAAACTATCCAGAAGTTTTCTACCTCTGGACCTCACACTACCTCTCTCAAATGTTATACCTGATTTTAATTGTTAATTCAATTATGTAATAATCACATGTTTTTGAGGTTGGTCGTAGTTCTTTAAGCAGTCGATAATATCGGGTTAAAAAGCTAATTATAATAGCTGTATATCTAAGTTAGTGTTTATCTATTAGTGTTAGCAATCACTGGTTTTTTTTATAACATAGGAGACAAACGAGCATGCGGCTCACCTGATGATAAGCCCATGAGCTCCCGCAACACCAGGGGAAATGCAAGTATGTTGTCGGCCTTTTAAAAAGGAATAACCTCTTTTCTTGAAGGTTTCAATATCGTATCGGTTCGGAAATACCATTGCTGGATGGTGATTCTACAATGTGGTTGTGTCTGGCAAAAAGTTTCTAGAAAACCGCACTGTGGAGGATTCATCCAGATGATCAGGATGGTATTTTAGTTTCTGGCGGGTGGTACGGTGGTGAAACTCAGCAGCTGGTATTAATCCGAACAATTCCTCAGAACACTCCCGTGATATATGCGGCAGAAAATGCACAGAGATGCAATATCTCGCCGCAAAGCCAATGGGTCGTGTCTGCCACATAGACGTTGATTGCCAATGATTCTGGCTGCTCGGTTCTGAATGCGGTCAAATGGAAGTAGCTGGTATTGTGATCCTCCCGCCCAGAGATGAGAACAATATTCCATATGCGGCCGGATCTATTCTTGTATAATTGCAAGCGATGGGCCGCCGTGAAATACCGTCTCACTCTACTGAGCACACCAAGCTTTTTTGAGGCTATTTTAGGCCTTGTCCTCCAAATGACCGCAAAACTAAACTCCACTGGATATATCAACGCCAAGGACTCAAGATTTGCCTTCATATCAAGGAGAGTGTCTTGAAACTGAGGAGATACGATAAATGGATTCTTTTTAGCGATAACATAATAATGATCATGATGAAAATGAAGCGGTTTGGTTAGTATATTTGTTCAATGACAACTATAGTATATTTTAAATTTTTTTCGCGGGTTTGATTCCTCGCACGGCACAAACATTTGTATTCATAAGTACGATTGTTTGTATCGGTCTGGGTGTTTTCTATGTATAATGAGTATGTGTTTACGAAAAAAATATCTGTATTAGATAGTATCAGTTGTCTAGTACCCATAACACAAGCTTTAGCTAGCTTAACTTGGGTCTAGGTGGCGCTGTGTGAATTGTCCTGAGATTATTATTATTATTATTATTTAAACATTAAGTTTGGATAGGCTTCTTAAAAAAATTCATGTCATCTAGTTGCCTTGAACAGCAAGTTACTTAACTTACTAGTACCTATCGACTTCGCTATTATATGCTATGTTCCAAGTCTTTCAATTTGCCTCCCCATTGTACCTACGAGTACAGGAAAATTTATTACATGCCGGTCGTTAGTGGCATTTGTTATTAGAAATTGAGGTCAGCATAATATTTTTTTCATCATTTTTGACACTTGTCGTTATTTAAAATGAAAAATTATATTTAGGAATTAGCAAAAATTAAATTGGTTTCTTTTGTGAAACTTGAACGGCAAACAAGCTGACGGCCTTTTTGATGGAAAGTGGCAACCGTCGCCTATACTTATAGTGGATGAAAACTACCACAAACATCACGTCATCATGATAACACGAGAATGAGTGAATTGAAACCTAAGTGGTCTAGGAGAGTGCGGTTTCAAAGGAGTTCCCTCCCGCGTACACTTAGTTTGAGGGGTGAACAACCTGCCCAGGTTTTCTCTAAAAATTACAGAATGGGGGTTTTCAAGAAATTATATAACAAGGTGAGGCATATTAGGGTTTTTTAAGTGTATGCAACGCGCATGTGACTTATGTTCTGTTTACCATCAGACGGGCCACGCACTTGACTGTCACCGTCGTAGTAAGTATTAAAAAAATAACATTAGCTATTGCTCGCTACTACATCTGTATTTTTTTTTATAAAAGACAACCTTTGTCCGTTCTTTTGATATAATTTGTCCTGACATGGAAGGCTAATAACGTCGTAAATACATAACAGACAGATCGAAACATTTTCATTTCCGCATTCGCATTTCCAGTGCATGTTACAATATATTGTGATGTAAAAACAACTTCTTACTTATAACACGTATGCGGTTAATTTTAATTTGAAAGCCATTACAAGTTTGTCTGTAGAAATTTATTATATGAAGCTACCTATTGTGTAATCACAAAGATCTATTTTGCAAAACGCAACCGCATTAATTGCACGCTCTAAGCTAATTCGCCTTCCGGTACACATTGTTGTAGTTAAGTGAAATGACTGCGAATTCCAAACATTTTCTATAAAAGTGCGATTACCACATTGACCGCAACGATGTGCCTATTGATAGAATTATTAGGGTTCCACAAAGAGAGTTTCCTCTCCGTAACCGCAAGGACGTCACTTGAGCGTTATTCTACATTCTTGCAGCTTGTATGGAGTTATTACTGCTAATGGCGATGGACAGACGGACAGGTTATTGTGTCTCCGCACTGCCAGACCACACTGCTTCCTCTTCTCGACAGTCGGCCCAAGTAATAAGCTTTGTCAATTTGTCAGTTTCTACAATATGGCGTGCATATCGCAGGTTTGTTTAATCGATGATAATGATATGATGTACCCATGTCCGCTGTAATACCTGACGGGGCACCGCAGAAAAACCACGGGGATCACTGGGATTATAAAATGAGGACAATGCTATCTTGGTTGTCCCATAGTATTCGCTAGGATTTCATCACGGGGAATCGGTGAAGGTTGCCTTGGTGTTAGATTTTCTCTTTAAGTCCTAGCAATCCTTTAGTAGGGTGAGGACACCGCTAAGATGTAATTGGGACCACAAATGAAATAACCTTGAAAATAAAAATACAAATGTCATTTCTATTCCTTTTGTTGAAGAAACATAATATAATCACTAATTACATTTCTCATCATTAAAGTACATTAAAATTATTTTTAAATGAACTTGACATATTTCAGAAATAATGGTATCAAAATTAGGAACTTTGCCTAAAGAGCCCTGCCTTTTTTTAATAATATATTTTA